TACAGGGAAACCGCACCGACGCTGCCATCTTCCAATTCGCCGCCGCTGGCTCGGCCGGCGATGATCTCAAACATGCCACGACCCGAATCCTCGAAATCCCATTCAATTCAAGAAACAAATGGATGCTCACACTATTCGACTCGCCTCCTCAACCCGATGAGGACGAGGATGGTGTTCGCTCCCCCCATGCCATCATCAAGGGTGCCCCAGATGTACTGCTCCCAGCCTGTACCAGTTACTGGTCGGCCAAACACAACTTGGTACGGCCGATGGACCACGAAGCCCGTGATTCCATCCGAAAACTCCAGGATACTCTGTCCAAACGGGCAGAGCGCGTCATTCTCATCTGTGAGAAGACTGATATTACCACCACCGCACCCCCAAGAACCAACGCCTTCAGCAGTGAAATCGCCTTGGTCGCCCTCAGTAATCTGACAGTTGTGGGAATTGTCGGCATCATCGACCCTCCACGACCCGGCATCAGCCACACGATTAGCGAATGCCGCCGCGCTGGGACGCGATTCTTCATGGTCACTGGTGACTACGCCCTCACAGCCGCTGCTATTGCCAGGGAAATTGGTATTTTCTCTGCCGAGCGCGAACTGGATACCATCAACACCATCAAACAGATCACAGCCGGTGGCACCCATCCTATGATTCAGGAAGCCAAAGTGACAAATCAGACGAGCAGTCTCCTGCTTGACGGCGCCCACATTGCACGGTTGACCGAGGATGACTGGAACGTAGTGTGCAGCTACGAGGAGATTGTCTTCGCGCGAACCACGCCCGAGCAAAAGCTGCGCATCGTCACTGAGCTTCGCAATCGCCACAACATCGTCGCCCTCTCAGGTGACGGGGTCAACGACGCACCGGCCATGCGTGCCGCAGATGTCGGCATCGCCGTAGCCTCGGGGAGTGACATTGCTATCGATGCTGCGGATCTGATTCTCCTCGATCAATTCCACTCCATTGTTGACGCCATACGAATGGGACGCCTGGTGTTTCAGAACCTACAAAAGGTCATCTGCTACCTCCTCCCTGCTGGCTCGTGGTCCGAGATCTGGCCCGTCATTCTCAACGTCTTTTTCGGCACGCCTCTTCCCCTAGGCGCGTTCCTCATGGTTGTCATTTGCGTTTTCACCGATCTGTTCCTTAGTCTGTCGCTTATCATGGAGAAGGAGGAGTTTGATCTGCTGTCGCTCCCGCCGCGAGATCACCGTAAAGATCACTTGATCAACACCAAGATTTACGGACAGGCCTACTTCTTCACCGGGACAATTGAGACTCTCATGGCCCATAGCATGTTCTTCCTCTATATGTGGAAGTATGCTAAAATTCCCATCCGTGACCTCTTCTTTTTGTACGAGAGGTATAGAGAAGGCTATTACGGATACACGGAACATCAACTGGATCAGTTTAGGGCCACTGGACAGTGCGTCTACTTCGTCACCCTGCTCTACATGCAGTGGGGGAACGTCCTCGCCGTCCGGAACCGTCGCATGAGCATCCTCCAGTCAGACCCCATCCGGAAGCAGCGGAGGAACCCATGGCTCGTCGTCAGCATACTCGTCAGTTTGGCGATTGCCATCTTCGTGACGGAGGTGCCAGGTATCCAGCGACTATTCGACACAGCCTCTGTGCCGATTGAGTTTTGGTTCATTCCGTTGCCCCTTGGATTGAGTATTTTGTTCATGGACGAAATCCGCAAATTGGTTGTCCGGACATATCCGGAGTCGCTGCTGGCCAAGGTGGCGTGGTAATGGGCCATAGTTTGGAGTATATGTACATAGGTTGCGTACGTGATGATTAACGACTTTCATGACTATCATTATGACACTACATATGATGACAACTAGATAACCATATAGTGTCCAAAATTCAGGAAGCTCTCGCCCATGCGGCAGGGGAGCGGAAATATTAAATGCTTTGCGCATGGCGTGAATACATGGTTAGAATTATGTGTATCCGGAGCCAGTTCATGCACCCTGCGTCGTGTGCTCGCAGAGTTACAGAGCCTTTTTTTTTTCGACTTTTCGATCGGGACTTGCGGCTCGAGGTCGGATTGAACTTGATCAAGGCGCGACGACACTCACAGCCCTGCAGTTTGAAGCTTCGCACTTTGGCTACCTACCTAGTCAAAGCAAGTAGACTCTCGACCGCCAACTACATCTTTGTCACCCAGCTATCCCCACACGGTAATTTAGGTCTACCTGTATTCCGTGAATTAAGTTCATCACCGCCTTCTAGAAGAAATCTTGATAGCCCCCACAAATATTCCCTGGCGAGGAGGACTTAAGCGGCGGTGGTTCCCCGGTCTAAGCAACAAAGGAGCATCCTTGGTAAGCATAGGAACAAGCATATCATGGCCAACGGCAGTGTTCCTCAATTTCTCAGCCGCTGCCATCTTTTTGCCATCACATTCATCTATATTCAGCAGCTCGTGACCACATATCATAATCAGGGATCGCGAGAGCAACACTCCACTGGTCTAGTCTTACTCATTCATGTTGTCATAGCGGGAACGCCCAGCATTTAGTGGGCGTCTATAGGGGCTGATAAGCATTTACAGGGCGTCTTAGGGGTCTTCGGGGAGTTTCTTAGGGGGCCGGTTCACTTGTGCACGCCGAATATGCAGTTAGCTTAATTAGAAATACCCACTAATTCCCCCTTTGGGCTCTCAGCCACGCACCGTTTGAGCAATACCGCGCCTAAGAGCAATATCCAATCATGACACCTCGCCCTTAATTTCATTTGACCTCACTTCAATCTGAAAAAAAAAGGGTAAAAAGGGACAGCAAACCTCCTCCCATCCCACCTCTCCCCCAGAATCGCCCGCTGCACCCGTCCAGTCGCTACCAATTGCCGCCAGCCCTACCGCCAGACTTCATCGGCGCAGCTTCAGTCCGTCCCACCCCGATGTGTGTGTCATAAGGCGACTCAGACAAGGGCTGGCCCATCCGCCGCGCGGCACCATCCATTTCACCTCACCATCGGCAAGGCGCATATCCCGCCACGCCCACCCCCTCGTGGGAACGCAGCCATGAGACGCGCGCTGAGCCTCCGTCTCGCCTGCCAGGCCGCCGTCATGAAGGTCTCGGCCAACATCATCGTCCAGCTGTTGGTCCTGTGGCGCAAGGGGCCCGACCACTTCACCTTCGACTACCAGCAGGTCCTCGAGTTCGCGGCCTACGGATCCTTCAACTCCCAGCTCAGCAACATCATCCAGTTCATGCTGGAGGACTGGTTCCCCGCCACGCGGCCCGCGGCGGACAGCCAGATCCGCCTCCAGACGCTGCCGAGCGTCGAGGACAGGCAGCAGCTGGAGGTGAAGAAGGACGACGACGTATCGGGCGGCGGCGCGGCTGCCTCGGCGGAGCCCAGCTTGCAGGGGAAGCTGAGGGCGTGGTTCAGGATCAGCCCGGATGTGATTTGGTCCAATCTGCTGGCCAAACTCATCCTCGACCAGACTATCGGGTTGGCCATCAGCGGCGTCATCTTCCTCTTCATCACTAACTACCTGCGTGTTCCTAACCTGCCTGCCCTCTTCGCCGTCATCCGCGAGAGGATCTTTACGCTCATCAAGGCTGGGTGGCATATCTGGCCTGTGGTCGCCCTCGCCAATTTCCTCTGGGTGCCTGTGCGGTCCAGGGTGCTCGTTGCCGTGTTTGTGGGCTTTGGCTGGAGCATCTTCCTCAGCGTGTTCGCCATGAAGAAATGAAGCGTTCTTTATACTACTACTCTCTCTCAAATCGACTCTTTCCTTCTCGTTCGGGAGTGTTCGTTTGTCAGCAAAATGATTAAAGCAGCAACGGCCGGAGCAACGGCGTGGAGTTTTCTTTTGTGTTTTCTATTTTCGACATTACCTGTTGTCTTGTATGCCCTGAGCGTTGGTTGGTTTTGCATTGAGGCATGACGCCGGGGACCTTGTTTATTTTGTTCGTTTTACTGCGATTCCTTGCATATACATTTAGCTTGTTTGATATAGACTTTTGGGCGGGGAATGGGACTAGAGAATAGAACATTGTTCACATATATCAGATGGCAGGATTGCTCGCAAGTGATGATATATCCATCCTACTTCGAGAAGCTTTTCATCAAGCTCAAGTAAATGCATATTAGGCGTTCGTGCCAAGGATTCCCTTCATGCTTTCCTAACCAATAGATATTAATCCCTCGCATAGACTTGACAGGATCTGTATGCATGGTGAAAATCTGCATGTGCTAGATGGTATTTGTCGCCAAGTCTACTCAAGAGTGTTAGATGGTCGTTATTATGAAAGTAAACAATCAGAGTAAATTCGGGAAATTACGTTCTTGAAGCCTAGGTTTGGTCTCATTAGTCTAAAGAGTTTGAGTATTAATTAAAAAGACAGCAATGGGAGAGTCCACAAGGGATATCTCAATAGATTGTCTGTTTAGTAGTACAACAGGAGAGAGAATTTGAATATAAATTTAAACAACAGAAGATACCAGACCGGACATCTCAACACAATGAGAAGTGCTATTACATGTATGAAATAGCTCTATTCTCAATAAATAAATCTAAACGAAGACTTGGTATTGCTTTAGTTACGTGTGACATGGGATGGTTGTGAACGATGGCGGTTAGTGCAGGGTAGTTTGAATGTGAGGCGAGGCCATCGAGCACGCGACATGCGAATTCACCAGTGTCTCAGCTGGGTCTTACTTTTGCGAGCTCAAGATTGCTAAGGGGCAAATATGGATTATGGGAGAAAATGTCTCTATTCTTGAAAAACCAGCGCCTCATGTAGCAGTGGTAGATTGAAGTAAAACAAAACGCGCATGCCAATACATCTTTTATACCCGTAATTCCATCACATATCCCCTCAGTATAATCGGAGCAACTTCTTCGCCTTGGTCCTGGCCTGCTACTCAAATCGTCTATGTGAGCCAGCACTCATAAAACCACGCCGCGATTCTGATGTTTCCATATTTTTTCTTTTCCTTTTCCGTAGGTTTGTGCAGAGGGAAGGTTCCGTTTAGAGAGCCAGGGCAACAGCGGCGGCGGCAAGACCGAAAGCTCCGACCTTCTCGGCTCCCATGGTGGGGGCGGCAGCCTTGCTGGAGGAGGAGGAGGCCTTTGAGGCAGAAGCTGAGGCAGAAGCAGAGGCCTTCGAGGCAGAGGAGGAGGAGGAGGCAGAGGCTTTGGCGGAGCTGGAAGGAGAACAAGTAGGTTAGCTTACATGGTTGGGACGAGAGAGGTCCTTTTGCTGATCAGCTTGCGGAGGAACGTACGAGGCAGAGGCAGAAGTAGCTTTGGCAGTGCTGTGAGGGAGAGATGAGTTAGTTTTGTTCCATTGCCAATGCGTTGTCTCTTCACTGGATAGGTGGATGTGCGTACGCAGCAGCGCTGGTGCCAGACACAGAACCGGTGGAGGTGGTGGCAGCCATGACAGGGCCAATGGCCAGAGCGGCAACAGCGAAGACGGTAGTGAACTTCATGGTTGTTTGTTGTGTGGGGTCTGATGAGTGCGAAAGCTGAGATGTTTTGAGTTGAGGATGGAGAGAGAAGCTTAAAAGGAGACTCAACCAAGGGAAGAACCTTGAGAGCTTTATAAGTTTATTTCAAATGGCTTGCCCCCCTGATTTGCTACTCTCGGCCGCCTCAATATTGCCAGATTGGTCTAAGGCGGACCGCCAGTGGCCACTGGGATCAACGAAGACCAAGTCGAGCCCCTGGGGGACTGGCCTACTCACTATACGATAGTAGAACCAAAAGCAAGTACGTATTGGCCATGCGTAAATAGTGCAGCCCTGGTCGTAAGGCGAAGGAAGCTATTGTATACGCCTACCTCTGGCCCCACACGTGATTCAGTGGTATGGTCTAGAACCTCGCGATTGTTGCGCTTGCCGGCGATCGTGATTCTAAGCGGCATGTGGGTGATGAACTCCTTCTAGGTTACTGCCAACTTCGGACGGAACGCCGGAGTGACAAGGGGATCGCGTTCAGTGTACCGGTGGCGCGAGAACCGACCAATATGTGAAGCGAAGCTCCCCTTCGAGTCTTGTCTCGCCTTGCTTGAGACTAATCCGCTAGTCAGGGCATCGGCTTAGTTGAGAAGGTGAGGGAATAGATCGATCCCCCCATGGGTGAGACAGTTACGCGCAAGATCCCCCTTTCCCCAGAGATCACCTTGCAGCTTTACCCGGCCTACCAGCTGCTCATCTCGTATTGGTCTTGCCGACCTTACCGTGAAATATGTCCTGAGAGCCGAGACAGCAGCAGGGAAACGCGCATATCACACAATACGCCGCTGCCAATCGGTAGCTGAGAGCTGCCAAGCCACGGACCGTTCCCCCACCTCCCACTCCATCGACCAGCCAATCGGCAGCTGAGAAGGGGAAACGGGGGACGTGGTCTGGAATGGGGTCTGGATGCTTTTCGGCTCCAACATCCGACTAGCCTGTGCTAAACGCCTTCCTTACGTGCTGTTACGAATTTCGGACATGTATGGGGTGATCGCTTAATTTGCCGTATGTGAAGTAGGCAGAACATCAGTCGGGACCTGGGCCTCTCTGCCTTCGATTAAAGTATTATTCAAGCTTGACTTGTTGCTCGCATTCTAGTTTCAGATAAATACTACCTATAAGGATGCCCTCACCCCCTTGAATATTACATGGAATCTCCTTTGCGTGTTACCATTTTCTTCAGTAGAGAGAAAAGCTATTGCGTCTTATTGATCGTTCACCGTGTATTTACCCACCTTAATAGCAAGATATTCTCAATATATGGTCATATTGCTCTGTTATATCAACTCTTCTTTCGTACTTGATCCATCAATATTCTCGGAGTCCTCGAGTATGCGGCTTGGGATTTTCGGTGGTACCTCGCCCACACCCCGGCCTGATTGTGCGCCAGACCCCGAAATCGAATAGTCAGGAACTTGTGTTTGTGAGGCCAAAATGATCCCGTGAGACACCTCTGCTCCTTTTGGCAAGGGTCGGGTCGGCGTAAAGCCGTCATCACGTGGAGCAGCCGTCCCGTCATTCTTGTGTTGGTTAGCCCCTTCTGTTCTTAGCCTGTTGAATGTGGCTGTCATGCCATGGGCTCCATGGAGACACAAGGTTACCTGTCCCCGCTGCAGGTTCGCTTCAATCTTATCGTGGGAGGTAGTTATAGACTGGGCATCCGATTCTCATGCTTCTTCTGCCTATGTCGAATGGGATGATCGTCGGTTGAAGACGCAATGACGATTCTTCATCCCTTGCCTGTCGATGCCGTGATTCATATCCTTCCGCGCTCGGTTCCACTTCCTGATACGAGCCTTGTATTGTCACGCGCGTATCCTCTTCTATGAGTAAGAGATGACGAAAGTTGTCTTGAAATGATGAGAAACCTTATCCCGCTATGAAGCTATAGTGGCTTTCAAGCCGTTTCGTTATTTCCTTACGCGTCATCTGACGTTTCACATAACGATCCGCGATGATAGAAAGTATGGCCTGCTATTGTTCGCGGCTTATTCTCTTTGTGCTTCTGAACACACCTAAATGGTTAGGCTTGGCGATGCTGGGCCTAACGCGTATTGTCCTCCGTGCTGGGTTGATAGGGAACAGTCTTTTTAACACAACAGTCTTTCTACTTTATCTGATAGTGTCATCTTTCATGTCTTTACTCCTGTCGTTTAGTGTTCTACATTAATCCTCCGAGACCATGAATTGTAGGTGGAAAATGGAATTATGGGATGGAAACCACCCAATGAAAACCACGCACGGAAGTATTCAATCTACCTATCTTAATTAGAAATCCGCACAGTCGATTTCGTTTCTATGAGCTTATTGACCTTGGCGTTTATTAATCGCCCATCTAACAAGAGCCAATGGCCTCTCGTTTAGTTCACGCGAGGTGTTACCCAGCCATACCAAGTACGCTTGGTATGTTGGCAATTTTCGTACCCAGCCCGTCTCAAAACTGCCGTCACCGAATTTAAGGGCAAATTCAGAATCGTGGGACAAAAGATCCTCCCAGGTAGTCTTGATGCCCTCATGGTGTCGCATGAGAAGCTCCCTCGCGTCATCTCTTGTAATATAATCCGCTTTCCCTTCTGTAGTAATCTCGAACATGGCCTTGAGTTGGCCACGTTGTTCCGACTCTGTATGACCGTTACCTGCCAGCCACGCCAGTGACGCCCTTACGTCCACAAAACCTTCGTGGACCACATCATTGTAAAATCGATCCTCTTCGGAAACGAGGACGTTGATCCATTCCAACAGTATCCTGCCCAGGGCCTCGTGGCCCTGCGTTTTCGCAACGCAATGGTTGCACTCGAGGGAGTCAAAGTAGTCAGACCACTCAAAATCGTGATTATGCCAAGTTCTGTCCGTGAAGGCTAAGCCATTTCTACGCGTCAGCCCTACTCGAAATGATCTCATCTCTTGCCATGACCTGCATGTGCGGCATCTCCCCATGTACATGGGCCAAACCTCCATGATCCGATTCTGAGGTAATTGAGGCCGCTGATGTTCCAGCACAGTCCAGTACTGTGGGAAGTATCGTTCCAGCATGCCAGCATAGAGCAACTGTCTGCTCGTCCGGAGGCATGGTACAGAAGCGGGCTGCATAGGTTGATCCAGCTGTCCTGCCTGATAGCGACACTCGTGACACTTGCGAAGGTAGCGTTTGAATCCCCACCGATGCAACTGTAATGACTCGAGGACTTGCTCCATCGCAGCTTGCTTGGCCTCCAGTGTTGGTGATTCTTCGCCGGCTATGGCCTCGACAGGTATCCCAACTTCTTGCAGTCGGTCTAGATACCTGCTCACGTTGGCAGGATGGATCCAGTCATCCTTCTTCCTCTGGCCTCTGCGTCGTTGATTGAGCTCCAGCGGCGGTACATGTTTAATTGCCTTTCCTCCCCGGATTTTACCCCGCAACGAAATCCTCCACTTGTTGGCCGTCTCTGCAGCTGGTGTCCCGGGAATTGGCTTCCGATATCCAAACCGTAGGATTGCGTGGTTCTCAAAGCAAGTATGAGGCAGTAGCCGCATACAGCCCGTGCAAGCCCATCTTATTGTCTCCCACTCTGCGCTCGAGGCTGGGCGAGGACATATGCTGGCATGAATGATTGATGCTGAGCCCCCGTACTCGTCTAGACATTCAAGAGCTAAAAGCCGATCGACAAATTCTGCTCTTCCTGGACTAATCATGCGCCGAAATTGTCTGCCCGTTTGGCTGAGGGCAATCAGCGCGATGGGGTCCAAGAAAGGGATGATTTGTTGAACAATTTCCAGCGGTAGAGCCTTCAATCTGAGCGCTGTAGTTGGCTTCTTGGTGGGAGCCCTGATGGTGCGAGGCCACTGTCGCTTCTTCTGCTTCTCTGACATGACGGTAATTCAATGATCACAGATTCACACTCAATAATTTGGGGTACGATAGAAAGTTCGCTTGTTTTGATGACTGGAGAGTGTTGGGTGAGAGTTGCAACTCCGCCTGTGCTTATGAGCGAGCTGCATGAATGACTCATATCTCGGATATGTTACACAAAGAGGAGAAAAGGTCTTGGCGACATATCTTCCGAATATTAGCAAGATAATCCCAATTGGGCCATTATGCACACGACTTGCAGAGTACCTGTGTGGCTTATAATCTCACAAATGTGCAGAACACACAGCCTATCAAATTCAACGTGGAAGTCTTAGCTGACCACCGTGTCCACTGGAAGAGTGAGCTCGCAGGTTTTCTCACGCCACTCTCGTTTCACAGATCTGAACCACGACAATGCTCTAGCTTCTCTCTATGCTGTCAAACCTACCTAACCTACCTAGGTATTGAGAGACATTGCCTGAACCACGCGTACTACTCTCGTAAATTTACCATCTTTGCGATGCCGAAGAGGAAAAGCGAATCAGAGTTTTCACACGAAGACTACACGGTCGGCTGTGTATGCGCGATTGCCACTGAGTATATAGCCGCCCAAGAGTTCCTTGACGAGGAGCACGAGCCGCTTGAGTCACTGCACAATGATACCAATGACTATGCCCTGGGGAGGGTGGGGAAACACAACGTTGTTATCGCCGTGCTTCCCGAGGGGCAGTATGGAATTGCTAATGCGAGTAGTGTCGCCAGCAACATGGTGCGCAGCTTTCCTCATCTTAGGATTGGCCTCATGGTCGGAATTGGTGGAGGCCTAGGCGACGTTGTTGTGAGCACCGTCACGGGAAGCCACGGTGCCGTATTTCAATACGATTATGGCAAGGCCGTACAGGGGCAAGAGTTTCAATCCACTTCATTCATAAATCAGCCACCGGCTCTCTTGCAAACTGCAGTCAGTGGGCTGAGAACAGTGTACGAGAGAAAGGGATCCCGTATTCATGAATCTGTGGAGGAGGCCCTCAATACGAACCGACGACTGAGGAATAGGTTCCAGCAACCGGATCTAGAGACAGACCGGTTATTTTTGTCAACAGTTATTCATGATGATGCGTGTTGCGCTGATAGGAATGATCCGTCGGAAATAGTTGACCGGCCACCAAGAACTGAACGCGAGGATGACCCCATGTTCATTACGGGCTAATAGCGTCCGCCAACCAGGTAATGAAGGACGCTGTCATACTTGATAAACTATCGAGACAGATGGATGTCCTGTGCTTCGAAATGGAGGCAGCCGGCTTGATGAATCAGTTCCCGTGCTTGATTATTCGCGGCATTTGTGACTACTCTGATACCCACAAGAACAAGGAATGGCAAGGCTATGCTGCGATGACGGCGGCTGCATACACACGGGATCTTCTTCACCAGATCCAACCTAGCAAGGTCAACATTGAGACAAAACTGATCGAGTTTGTGAACAATGGTTGGTAGAACGTTGGAACTGGCAGTATGTATTATTTACTAACAATGCGTAGCTACTAAGAGGCTTGAGGATATTCAATCTTCAACAAATGATACCAAACCCCTTGTGAGGCTATTCAGACTGATAACCACCTAGAGTGTTTAAGGCAATGGCCTGATCCTCCCGATCCCTCTGTCAATTTCAACAAAGCCATCGAGCTTCGCCAGGCCGGGTCAGGTCAATGGCTACTTCAAGATTCGAGGTATCTGTCCTGGAAGAACAGTGAAAATTCTCTTCTCTGGCTCCATGGCATACCAGGCTGCGGGAAAACGGTCCTTAGCACCACTATCATTCAATATTTGGAAAAGGAAGAAATGTTTCTCTATTTTTACTTTGATTTCAACGATACTCGCAAACAAACGCTTGAAAATATGATCCGGTCGCTTTGCTATCAGCTATACCGCAACAAGGCAAGCCAACGTCACCTGGACGAGCTGTATTCTGATATTAATCTGGCGAAAGGCAATTGAGCACTGAAATACTAAAAAGTACTTTTCTCATGATGATTCAGGAGGCAGGAAAGATCTACGTCGTCCTTGATGCTCTTGACGAGAGTTCCACATTGGAGGATCACCATACAAGAGGACTGCTCTCCTGGATTGGTAGCTTTCGATCATCGCGGAACAGTGTTCGGTTAATCGCTACAAGCCGGCCAGAACACGCCATCCAATCACAGATGGACGCATGGGCTGGTGTTATACCCGTACCTCTGGAAAGTCATTTGACAGAAGGTGATATCAACTCATATATTGTAGCGAGAGTTGGGCAACTATCTAGGTGGCATGCAAGGACGGATATTCAAGATGAAATCATATTTGCGCTTAGTTCAAAGGCGAATGGCATGTGAGTTATCTCTGCATTACTTTGTGGATGTTCTAATTTTCTTAGGTACCGCTGGGTTTCATGCCAGTTTGATATTCTGAAAGATTGCCGGGATCCTCCAATCTTAAGAAGAGCACTCTCAAGTCTCTATTGAGGACGCTGGATCAAACTTATAGTCGAATTCTGGAGAGCGTACCCCTTGATCACCGACATTATACTATACGGCTCCTCCAATTCCTAACCTTTTCGGATCGCCCGTTGCGAATCGAAGAGGCTGTTGATGCAATTGCAGTCAACACGAATGAAAAGCCATACTTTAATCCTGAGGATAGAATGCCAGTTCCAGAGGAGGTCTTGAGCTACTGCTCCAGCTTAGTGGCTATGACCAATAGAAGGGGACCAAATGCCAGGTACGAAATCAAAGGTTTCAAAGAGCTGAGTCTAGCGCATTTCTCAGTGAAGGAGTATTTGATATCCGATCGCTTCCAACAAGACGACCGGATGAAAGATGTCGGACTCGATTTCTTGGAAACAAATGCAAGAGCTTCCATTGTCAAGGTCTGCGTTGCATACTTACTTGGAGTGGAAGCGCTGATCTACAGAAGCCCGGGGGTTAGTGCTGGCAAATTTTATCATCTAATGTTTGCAGAAGAAGGTGAGAAAACAGTAATTCAACAAGAATATCCAATAGCTCAGTATGCGGCGAAGTACTGGCCAGAACATGCTAGACTAGCAAAGAATATTGGAGAAGCCAAATCATTAATCTGGGATTTGATGCAGTCCGCAGCCTACTACATCAATTGGGCGCTCTATGACCCCGCCAGTAGATTCTTTAGGACGCAGCCAGGTGTTGTTTTTTTTGCTCCCAAAGTATATTATGCCACACTTTTTGGGTTGACTTGGCTTGTTGAAGGACTTCTTGAGGACGGTGCGGATGTCAACGCTAAAGGCGACGACGGAACGGCGCTCAATGTAGCCTTGGACCGTGGCCATGGCGAGATACTGCACCTCCTCCTTCAGGCTGGCGCTGATGCTGATGCACCTAATGAGGATGGAGACACACCGCTCCATGTCGTTGTAAGACGTGGTAGGGGGGGAATGGTTCGGTGGCTTCCCGAACATACCACCTATATCGGCGCGATAGGTAGCACTGTCGCTGATGGGATAACGCTGCTACAAGAAGGTGTACGAGACGGCCATGTTAAAATCATCAGGCAGTTATTAGAGCATGGGGCTGACATCAACGGAATGAACCTTGACGGAACAGCGCTCCGATGGACCGTGAGCCACGGTAATTACACTATCGTTCAACTACTCATCAAATATGGTGCCGATCTTGATCTTGCCGGGAGATATGGGGGGATACCTTTGCAAGCCGCCGTACACTATGGCCATGGCAACATCGTGCAGTGCCTCCTCGAGAACGGGGCCGACGCTGACCTGGTATCTAAGGACCAAGGCTCTACGGAGATTTTCTATTGGCTGTGTCAAAATCGTGACAAACTTGCTAATGAAAACATATTCAATGAGAGAAATACACCGCTCTACCTAGCTGCAACATACAGTGATGAGAAAATGGTGCAACAATTATTGAAGCACGGCGCGGACATCAATGCCATTTCAACCAACGACAACTCAAATGAGACGGCCCTCGAAGGAGCTTTGGCGGGCGGTCACATAGAAATTGCTCAACAGCTCATCGAGCACGGTGCTAATGTTGATGCAAGGAGCAAACGCCACGGGTCAGCCTTGTACCAAGCTGTAACAAAGGGCTTTGGACACATCGTTGAGCAGTTGTTGGATCTAGGGGCTGACCCAAGTGTGGCTGGGACGCTCCATGAAGCAGTGAGCCGTGGCCATGAGGGCATGATTAAACAGCTTATTGACTACGGCGCAGACATTGATTCATACAGTGAGGCTCATGAAGGAACACCGCTGTGTGCTGCAGTGTGTGCCAACCGCAACGAGATCGTGCAACTTCTCCTTCAAAATGGCGCCAACGTCAATGGGACTGAACTTTCTTACGGCTTTGCACTCCATCAGGCAGCAATGGGCGGTCAGGTGACAATATTGCAACAATTACTCGATCAAGGCGCCGACGTGAATGTGACAGGCTATAATGATAATAGGACAGCACTCCAAGCAGCTGTGTTTCATGGTCGGCATGATGCTGTGCTGCAACTCCTACAACATGGTGCCAAGGTCAATGAAACTGGCAATCAATTTGATGGACCGGCACTTACAATAGCCGCGGCAGAAGGGTATAGTGAGATCGTCCATCAGCTGCTTGAGTACGATGCTGATATGAATGCAATTGACGGGTCTGAGGGAACGGCGCTTCAGGCAGCGGCGAGCCACGGCCGCAGTGAGATTGTTCAGCTGTTGCTTAATCGGGCCGCGGATGTGAGTTTAGCAGCGGGTAATATTGAGTAGGCTCTCCAAAGCGCTACACATTATCGTCACTATGATATTGTTGAGCAACTACGTGAACACGAGGCTAATCTCGCCCCTGCTGCGTGATGACTGGGTCACCCTTCCACTGGACTGTCTTTCGACAGAAAATTGTTCCCTTTTCAATGATTTTAGTAGCTCTAAACATGGAATAGCTCTCACTTTAGATCTATTTATTCATTCGTTTACTTGGCTCATTATCCCGTGCGATTTCTCATCCTGAGGGTTTTATTTCCTGAAGACTCTGTTTCCGAACAAGAATAGCGAAGACAGAGATGGAGGGGTGTTAGACTTTCTACGATGACATCTCTTTCGTAGAAACAGCTTTGCCCGAGGAGATGAGTGCTTACTGGTCTTCATTCTCTCATGGTAAGGCTAAAGAATCCGTTTCTAAAGAGGGGTTTCCTTTGAGAAAAGGTTATTTCGTAGGCTTCAGCCGGTTGCCGCCAAAATTGTCACTCATCTGGATAATTTCAATCACTGGATTATTGGTTATGACTGTATAAGATCGAACCATTTGAATTCATAGGATTGTGCCTGGGATTCCTAGACCTTGGGCTCAGACTCTTAGATAGAATGTTAGCTTTACCTTCACGTAATTATGCCGTATCCTAAGTTAATCGAAGTGCATTGACTTAAACTTCGAGTTTTAATGTTTTGATCTGCTAACATGCAATCCGAGTCTATGTTTCTTGCTGGGCATTGTAGAAGCCTCAAATTTAGCATCAATATGTCTTGAACGAAAAAGAGATCACGTTCAATTCTATCTGGTCTTCTACATCTGCCAGCCAACCCATATGCTATATATTCACCTTCGCACACAGGCAAATCCCTTTTCACGATACCATGTGAACTTATACCCCTTGAAACTATCAGACCAAACCAATAGATGCCAACGATTCAATGGGCCGAGTGCGATTAGGGGTGCAGGCAGGTCAAGTCCGAGGGGCCATCGATGCTGCATTTAGTGAAAGCGCTTTGTCCACTTGGCACAATATCGAGGAGATCAGCACCATCAAGGCTGAGGGTCGTGCCATCACCGTTCACGGCCTTGATATCGGTGAATTTGATTGGATCGGTAAAGTCCAGCCATCTCATCCAGTCGCCCATGCTAGTGTACCTGTTGACCACCCAGGAAGCGTCAGTGGCCGGGAATGGCTCGGGAGCGTCCAGAATACGGTAGACGGTCTGGCCGGTGTTCAAATTCTCGACTGTGCCATTGATGCGGGTTTCAGAAAGACGGCTGAGGCTCAATCGGATCTTGTGTCCAGCGCGGATGGGAAACGAGATTTCGTTCTCGGAGCCCCCGCCGTCGGGGAATACCCTCCAGAGGGCGGTAAACTGATATTGGCGCTCCTCTCTCACCGCCGAAATGATGATCCCAGCCAGTGTGAGCTTGTCTGGGGAGCCGAAGTAGCCATCTAATCCGGCGAAAATAGCCAGCCCTGTCGTCCAGCCATCTGGGTCGGTCTCGAAATTAGGCACGGTTACGGTGGCAGTCGAAAAGGTGATGTTGGTTCCAGCTCTCGAGGCACCAGCCCAGTTCTCGGTGGTAATATACTTGCTTGCTGATATCGACGATGCCTCTTGGGAGACTGCGGATACAGCTGAAGAGCCACCCTAAAGACGAAGTTCGCATTATTAGCTGTTAGACTCTAGGACCGAAAAGAAGGATCTGGCACGAGATAGAAGCCTTCAAATTTGGAAAAAGATCAACGAGGGAAAACCCAAACTCCGCAAACCACGCAATGCTATACATACCTGAACCAGTCCTTGGATTTCGGCTTTAGCAGCATTGACCACTGAAGTCAGCGGGGAAGCTACAGTAGCAGCTGCTTGCAAGCCAGCGGCGAGAATAGTAACCGCGACTCTCATGTTGATTAATCAGTGGTAATACAGAGATTGAGTTGTAGGGTTCCAAGACTTAAATGTCGAGTTTTGATGATATTGAAGCGGGTAGTGAAGGGAGAAACTGGCAGCTAATTAATAGTTTTATAATCGTGCGCGATGGTCTGATTGATAATTAAACGAGGAAAGGCTGGATGAGGGTAACATCGTAGAACACGACCTTGACGTTGCCAAGCTGCCTTTTCGGACAAAACGTGGATGAGTTATACGAGCTACGGTAACACGGATATATGGAAAGCGGAGTAAAGGTCGAACGTGTTCGCCATGGAGACTATGAATCAGGAAGCTGTGACCTTTTATGGTATGATGATCGGGACCGCTTTGCTCCGTGATCAAAATGTTCTGACCTTATTCTCATTCGTTGAATCCAGTCCACCACCTATCGTGGTTCTGGATCGCAGAGGAAGTGATGCAAGTTATAGCTATAATGTATCTTGGTTCTTAAAATGAATCGACGTAAATGCCATTCTAGAAATGATAGGAGCAATTGACGGAACAACCTCAAAAGTAAGATCAAACCACAACACTTGGATCGGCCTTGGCCAATGAGACGGACAGAAAATACGTCATTTGTTTCGGGCGCCTTGTGGGATAATTGTAATAATTACCTCAGCAATTTCAACCCACTCAAGGGGAACAGAGTTACATTCTTTTGCGTTGTACCCCTGTGGGGAGTAAACACCTGCATCCGGTGTCAATGCTGCCATTCTACAATACCACCTCACTCTAATCCAGAGAGCGTATATGCCAAGAATCAAGTTCATTTGTCACACTCCGATTGCCAGAGGTCGACAAATCTGATTGGCGTCTGTACTGCTCGACCGCTTTCCCCTGGCAGTACGTGATAAATATCGCGCACTACTCACCGCTTTGCATTACATATCCTTTGACCAAGAAATAGCTACATAATAGAAGTCAATTAAGGTCTGGGTTTATCTCCTTAGATATGGCTTCCACGAGGAATCGGCTTCGTAAGACTGAGCATTCTGTTCTTATTACCTACTATAATGTTGATTTGATCTTTTTGCTCCTGAGAAGGGCTGACTTGTTTCGTTTTGGCATCGATCCTCCTTGGTCGACCGGAATACATTTATGCCTCTAAGTAAAGCAATGCTAGCTTTATCAAGTTTGAAGATCCGACAATTCACGTGGTGTGTATTTGTATATCCGGATGGCGTCACATTGTGCTGCCCCACAAGGGACATGCGGACCAACATGTTCCGTTGGATGAAAAAGTGCCGATAGTAGAATGCGATATCTTTTCTCAATACAGCTATTAACGAAATGCACATTCTGGATTGTCTATGAGTTTTTGATTCAAGTCAGTTACCAGAATTAACTGTTACACTTCTTGGGAAAGGAAATTCTTGATAGCTTTTCGTGTAACTGCAGGGCTACAGATCAATTTCGTTCCCGGCAAATCTTTTGAAACAATTATCTAAGTCTAAGTCCAAGTGGAAAAAGAACAAGTCCAATGAGGAAAGTTTTCGATCAGGCTTTGATTTATTTATCAACATCTGTGTAATAAGGCTCATTGATCCAGGCACTACAACGTCATGTAACGGCATGGTGCATAGGGTACCTCCAAATGTCATATTATCGATCAAAGAAATGCTCTTCTCTTCCCAAACGAGCTTCATCTCAAGTAGCTGAAATTGATTTTGTTTCCCCTCTTGCACGACACGTGCAGTTCTTGCCGCAATGGCTCGACGGACGATTTCTTAAAGTCAACTCCTTTGAGAACTTAGATCCTCGTGTTCATTGTGTAGAGATGTCGGGCCTAGCATCTTCCATTGCTCTTTTACTATATACTCGAACTATCTGTCGAGAACCAAGATTCAATACCAATAGAGCCAATAGTAGTCAAGCCAGATGTGAACATCAATCACCATTCTGGAAGCAGATCTCCCTCAATGTACTGATTTCGAGCTGGGCCACTACGCTTGGATTCCATGTTGAGCAACCCAACGGCCCTTTTTGTCAAGACTTTGCCGCAAGATGGGTTTCACAAGAAGGATATTGAGGGATGGGTATCGATAAGTTTAGCTCTGAAGTTGATGAGCATGAAATTAGAATCTCGGAACTGAGTAGGTATCACCCTATTGTCTATGTTCTTATTGTATTAGGTGGACCCCTTTTTCTTACTTAATCTCAGTCCGCATTCTTTAAACTGTGACGGCAAGGTCAAGAAAAGACTACGGTGAGCTTGAGCAAGCGGTTATGGGACGACTTAGTCTCTTTCACGGTGTTGGAGGTTTTGATAATAACATGCTCGGTATGGCCAGTAGCCGTTTTGTGAAATTTTACGGAATTGTCGGTCTCCAAGCCTCTGCGGACCATTCAACTCCTTTCACTACTTTGAACATCTTCCTCCGATTTAGCTAGTTTAGCCCTTTGTAGTATGCCTCTGAAGTAGGGTTATTTTAGGCTTAATTTAGTTATTTAGCATCATAAATAGGTTTATACGCCTATGAAGGCCTTGTCTTGGTTCACTGTAGTAGAGATATATGATGCCATGTGTGAATAGGGTAGGTAGTGCTAGAGCTTTTTATAAGTCGTTCACTATAAGATGTCATCGTTAGAGGAGTCGAAGCAACTCCGTCACTTCAATTTGGTAAACATTGTAGAAGTGTTTAGAAGAAGGGATGTTGGCTGTGCATTGCGCATTTACCAAGGGAATGCGTGGTGATGGGATAGAAATGAGTTGCGATAAAAGGGCGTGGGGAAATGAATTAAATACTTTTTTTTTACACCTACGAACAACCGAGATGATGAACTGGCCGCCATGCAGAGTAGAGGAGGTTGGGATTGGGATTGAGCTGAGCCCTTGCCTGATCCAACGGGAGGCCGCCTGCATCGTGAGGCCTCTTTGACGACTGCAAATGCGTTCAAGAGCAACGGCGGCCGCAAGGAATGCGGTATTTGCTGGTGAGGTGGGAGGCAGCCGTTGTCAGAGTGCTTTGGCGGGAGGCAGCCTGCCAGGACGGACTGGCGGCCTCCTCATCCACCACTGCCCCCTCCTTGCCGCACTTTTGCTGCGGCACCTGAAAAAGGACAGGAAGAAGAAAAAAGGAAGTATCAGACAGAAAATAGAAATGAGATTGAGCGGGGATCGCTCTTGGAAATATTTTCATGAAGACAGAATTTACATGTGGAAAGCCAAGTGCACACCAGCCCCGTTGCCCAGGTACTTGGCACGCTGCGGGGGACAAGGTGCGGGAGGAAGTATTCGCTTGATGGGGCCGGAGTGCGATGGGGGAACTGGGACGAGGCTCTGCGTTAGATGGCGGTCCTATTGATAAACATACATTTGGGGTGCAGATTCGAGCCGGATCCATCCCGGGCTGTGTTACGTGGGAGGGCTTTATTGATTCTTTGCGCTCGGCTGTGGTGATCGGTGGGTTGCTGCCGGATGCAGTCTAGGGTATCACAAGTTCACTGAATGAAAGCGGGCGCCTTGGAGGGAGGCAGCCCGTCATTGTCGTCGCGTACAGTGAGTGAGTGAGGAGGAGTGGAACAGACCTGAGGAGCAGCTTTGGCAAGCCGAAAATTGTGCCAGAGGCAAATGACACGTACGCAGCCATACCAGCGGCTGTTGGACGACGTCAATGGACAACCCTGGGCTGGGATGGAAGCAGGAATGGAAGCGACGCGCCTCATGACAACCAGCAATGGCGCTGGCCGACTGTAGGCACGGCTGAGCCGGCGCGTACAGTGGCTTGCGACGCACTCAGGGCACTTGTGCGTCTGCCATAGCGTTGGTGGCAACTGGATTCTAGCGGCCGAGGCGCTGTAACCGGTTGTCACCGTCGCTGTAGCCCGAGTTCAGGCCACAAGTATTTCGCTCATAGCGGGTGGCAGTCGCTTCTACCTCGTTGCTGTTAGCACGAGACTGACAAAGTCACGACTAACCTCATCCCTCCACAAGCCATCACCACATCGCGACGCCCGCCAATCACCAGCCCCCCTCCACCAATGGGTTCCCTCTTTGGGGCATGATGACGGCGGCTCCTTGACGGTGGACAAGCTTTGGCCAGTTGCCGTCTGGGCCGTCTGGGCAACCAGGTTGCCAGGGCGCACTCCCACACCAGATGCTTTGCTTCACCCCGACCAAGGGTGCCAGCTGCACTTGGCTCCGATCTCCAGGAGGCCGCCGCCAGGACCCTTGCCCTCTCCACCCATACGTTGTATGTTGCTTCTGATGTAAGTGCCCTCCCTAGGGATTGTGACTGCATCCGACGTGTGTCCTCGTCTGCAAACCATCACCGCCTCCAGACCGACCCAGCCTAGATAGCACGTGGAACGATGTCTGTCACCTAACATGAACGATCCAACGATCGACCATCCCGCCAGTTGCAGGAACTGGTTCACCATGATTTCGAAATACTTCCGATGGCACAACGTGGGAAGCGGGCCTGTTCGAAAAATAGAACAACTAACCTCTTAAGCTCTCCTGGGATGGTGTCGACAAGACACCTTGGACTGGACGGATCTGGCTTGACCCCCATCATCTAGGCCCGGGTCCTTGAGCCACATACCTCATCTCCCTCAATCTCGGTCCTTTGGCCACGCCCACAAGCTTGCGTCCACACCCACATGCATACTCAGATCCATTGTACTCGTCCCATGCTCATTCTCATACTCCCACGTTCTACTTGGCCCCCATCTGAGACATTTGTTCTGCGAACCCAGTTTGCGGATCTCTGATTTCACACTGCTTATTTCAGCTACTCCTACGCGGAATGGCTCAATATGTGCTAGTTCGTTAGTCTTCTTTCCTCCCTATGGATAGGAAAATAAGGCTATGCATGAAAGGATTTCTCACCCACGCTGCTGGAGGGAGCCCATGTGCTCCCCTCACGCGGCCTGCCTACTTTCTCCTACCTGCTGGCACACCGCAGCTATCGTAAGGGTGCTTCGCCCCCGTATATGAGGCTGCCCGTCTCCTGCTCTGAACATCATTTCCCTTCCAGCACTCTCACATCTTTCTTGTTTGTTTCTATCTATCTTCACATTTCTCTCCTAACTAAAGCCTTGCCGGCTGCTGTTGTCGTTGTCATCGCCATTTACCATGGCTGAGGAGAAACCAGCACTGGCCTACACGGCCGAACGCATCAGGTTCCAAGCTGATGACGAGGAGGCAGGCCGCGTTCGTCGTGGCCGACCTTCTTTGGTTCGGTCGCGCTCGAATGACTCCATGAGCATCCGGAGAGCTGGGTCTCGAGGCAAGACTGATCCTTCCTTGGCTCTGCCTATCCAATACCGTACAGTGTAAGTCTAGTGTTCTTGAAGAAACGACTCGAGAAAGCATTCGCTGATGTTTTGTCTCCCATAGCTCGTTCCAGGTGGAAGAATCCAAGGGGAAAGAGCAAGTTGAGTTGCGAAAGGCTCAAGACAAGGCAGCAAAGGGTAAGCTTCCCCCCAACCATCTAACTACCTAGCACCTACTGGTGCGAGACTTGATCGTAGCGGAGGCTAGTTGCTGACCCTTTTTTCCCTGAAGACTTATCCGACCTCGTTTGGCATACCCTACCCGCAAATGAAGTCAGTCAGCGACTCACTACCTCCCCTGGCACCGGTCTGTCCTCCGAGCAGGCAAAAAGGAGAGTGCAAGAGTACGGCAAGAACGTGCCTTCGCCTCCTGAGACACATCGCTTCAAGACCTGGTTTGGCTACTTCTTCAAGGGTTTTGGAGGTATTCTACTCGTTGGCGCTATTCTTGTCTTTGTCTCATGGAAGCCGCTTGGCGAACCTGCCCCGGCAGTTGCTAACCTGGTAAGAAATCCTCTCAGAAATAGATTTGGGTATTCTGTTTTGCTAACAAGCCTCTTCTTTTACCTAGGCCCTCGCGATCGTACTCGTTGCCGTCTTCGTCATTCAGGCCCTCTTCAACATGTTCCAGGACTGGTCGACATCACGCGTCATGGCTTCGATCAAAGATATGCTTCCTGAACAGTGCGAGGTCATTCGGGAAGGCACGCAAATGCATCTCCCCGGAGAAGAAGTTGTCCCCGGAGATGTCGTCATCATCAAAGCCGGCAGCAAGCTACCAGCTGATATGCGCTTCATTGAGGTCTCCTCCGATGTCAAGTTTGACCGGTCGGTCCTCACAGGAGAGAGTGTCCCTTGCGCCGGTACTGTGGAACACACCGATACCAACTACCTCGAGACGCACAATATCGGTCTGCAGGGAACACACTGCATCATGGGCTCTTGCAAAGGCATCATCGTCGCTATTGGTGATAAGACAGTCTTCGGTCGCATCGCTAAGCTGACGAACGAGCCCAAGACCAAGATGACGCCCTTGGAAAAGGAAATCCTTTACTTTGTCTTGATTATCTGCACCCTGATGCTGACCATGGTTGTAATTGTTATTATAATCTGGTAAGTAAACTTGTTCTGTTGCGCCGCCCTTGGATCGTTTGCTGATATCCTGACACAGGGGCGCCTATCTCCGACCCGAGCATCCTGACTTCATCAACGTCCCTACTCTCATCGTCAACTGTGTCAGCATCGCCATTGCTTTTATTCCAGAAGGATTACCCATCGCCGTCACCGCTGGATTGACAATTACCGCAAACTTGATGCAGAAGCACAAAGTTCTCTGCAAGTCGCTGAAAACCGTCGAGACTCTCGGGTCAGTCTCTGTTGTGTGTTCAGACAAGACTGGAACCTTGACAGAAGTAAGTTGATCCAAATGTCTATTTATTAATTTGACTAATCTGACCTGGCAAAGGGTAAAATGACTACTTCGGACTGCGCGATCGGAGAAACCACCATGACCGCCGAAGAAGCGGTTAGCAACATGGCTTCCCACGGCAAGTCGACCGGTAACCCCGTCAGCCAGCTCCGTGCCATGAGCGCCCTCTGCAATGCCGCTGATCTGGACGCTGCTGGTGCTGATCTCCCCATCGCTCAGCGCAAGGTCTTCGGTGACGCCACGGACTCGGCCATCCTGCGCTTTGCTGAGCAGCTGGAAGCTGGCAGTGTTGCATATCTACGTGCTTGCTGGACCAAGACATATGAGCTTGCCTTTAACAGCAAGAATAAGTTCATGATTCGCTGCTTTTCCAACACGCGTCCCGAGGCTATTCACCAGACTCTTACCGAAGCCGAGACCCGTGACTTCGGCGAGAAGGATTTGTAGGCCAACCTCTAGTTCTCCATTGTGGTCATCATCGCTAATGCAAAGCCAGGTTGCTTACCATCAAGGGTGGTCCCGATGTTCTTATGGAGCGATGCTCCAGATTCGTCACTGGAGATGGACACACCGCGGAACTGACACCCGAGAAGAAGGCGCACTTTGAGGCACTCAAGAACAAGTATTCGTCTGCTGGAAAGCGCTGTTTGATTCTCGCACGAAAGGTCCTTTCCGAGGGTACCGTCACAGCCGCTGCCGGAAGTACCGAGTACGAGAACGCAATTCTCGAGCAGTCCAAGACCGGCCTGACTATTGTCGGCCTCGTCGCCATTGTTGATCCTCTCCGGTCTGATATTCGTGATGTCGTCAAGACTCTTCGTGGCGCAGGTGTTCGCATCGCTATGGTAAGTTTTTACTTGACCAATTTATCTGATATTTGTTTAGTTGGCTTACCTCCCATAGGTCACTGGCGACTTTGCTCTGACAGCTGTGGCCATCGCTCGCGACGCCGGCATCGTGACTGTCCATCACGTCGACACCCCCGCCGACCTCCCTCGATTCCCCGACAGCGGAGATTCATCTGACGACAATGAGAAAGAGTCATCCGTGCGAAAGGCTGCCATCGTTCTTAGCGGCCCGGAGTTGATGGCTCTCAACGAGCACCAATGGGCCAACCTCACGCGGTACGAGGAGATTGTCTTCGCCCGCACAACACCTGAGCAGAAGCTCCGCATCGTCCGAGAGTTCCAGCGCGAGAACACAGTGGCCATGACAGGCGATGGCGTTAATGATGCTCCATCTCTGAAGGCTGCAGATGTTGGTATCGCTCTTGGAAGCGGCTCTGATATTGCCATGGAGGCGGCTGATATGGTGCTGCTGGAGAGTTTCTCGTCCATTGTGGTTGCCGTCCAGTATGGCCGTGTCGTCTTCGACAACTTAAAGAAGGTAAGTCCTCTTGAGAGGGACTCAAAAATCAGCTCTAAAATTTGTTTCTAACATCCTCAACAGGTTATCTCATACCTCTTACCCGCTGGTAGTTTCTCCGAGTTCTGGCCCGTTATGGCGAGCGTCGCGTTTGGGCTGCCCCAGATTCTCTCCTCTTTCCTTATGATCATTATCTGGTATGTAAACCCCTACCATAGAATTTTGGGATGCACAACACTGACAAACACTAGTTGTTTCACTGATTGCGCCGCCGCTACCATGCTCTCATACGAGCAGCCCGAGGCTGACGTCCTCACCCGCCCACCCCGCAACGCCAAGAAGGACCGCCTCGTCAACTGGCAGCTTATCCTCCAATCCTACGGTGTTATTGGTGTAATACAGACCGCTCTCTCTTTCACTATGTCGTTCTGGTACCTCCAGCGCAACGGAATCCCCTTCTACAAGCTATGGTTCGGCTACGGCCCTCCCGCCGATATCGATCTGGACTACTACACGCAAAAGGTCAACGAGGCGTCATCCATTTACTTCGTCAACCTTGTCGTCATGCAGTGGTTCAACCTCATGGCCACCCGCACCCGCCGCCTCAGCATCTTCCAGCACCCTCCCTTGTTCAACAAGGCGACGCAGAACTGGTACCTGTTCCCCGCCATTCTGTTTTCGCTGGCCATGGCCATCCTGTGGCTGTACATTCCCCAGCTTCAACCTGTCTTGGGTACCACTGGCGTCCCTGTCGAGCACTGGTTCTTTCCTTTTGCTTTCGGTCTCTTTACCTTGGCTTTAGATGAAGCGAGGAAGTTTGCCATCCAGAAGTGGCCTCAGGGGTGGCTGGCAAAGGCTGCGTGGTAGTTGAGTCCAATGCCAGGGTTGATTGTTCAGATCATAGAATTATGACGATTCTGAGTAGCAAGACATTTTTTTTTTCTTTGTATATAGTGTTCTTTCAATTAATAGATTGACGCGAGAGTAATCCAAAAATATCTTCCATTCTGCAGAACATTTCAGCTTTATTGGAAACTTGAGATTACGCAAGGGGGTGTTGTACAAGGATCTCACACTTATCCCTGAGCCATGTTCTATTCATGGGAACAATGCAAGGTTCGCTATGCAAAGATTTGGTCACTGCCAAGCCCCAAAGACCCAATTCTGTCCCCTTCTTAACAATTTCTGATATACATACGAGAATTCTATTTTCGGAAAATAAAGCCACAGTGTAGTGAGATCTTCTAAGAACGCTCTATCTCTGCGTTCTAATCAAAAATGATGCGAGCCCCCTTGGAACCAAAACGTCCTATGGGAATGATGTAATCGTGGAGGGAACCAATATCAGTCTCATCAGTCTCATACAGTCTAAACTTGGGGCCACCAGGACGGAAGAGGACGGCTAACACCAAGCTAATTTCAGCATACGCCAAGCTGATAAAGTGCAGAAGTTAGCATCTGCCATCATTTCTTGTTATTCAGGGGGAACTACTTACCTCATCGCAGGGCATGAACGGGATCCTCTTGTAAACGGGACGAAGTTGCGTTTCATTTCGGGGGTGACGTTATCCAGCCATCTGTTAGGGTCGAATTTGAAGGGCTCGGGGTAGATTTCGGCGTCAGTATGCATATAGTAGGCGTTCATTCCGACGGGAACCTGTAAAGTATTAGCCATGAACGGTATTTCTAGGGTATTTCCATCTATCTTACTCCGGGCGGAATGGTCCATTCCTTGTATTGAAGTGGCTCATGAGGCGAGATACGAGAGAGTCTGTGGAGAGATCCGTAGCTTACACTGTTGACTCTGTTAGTCCTTCTGTTTGATCTTCGGCGAGTTTGAACTTTGACGCACCGTAGAGCTTCCTTGATGACCGCTTGCAGGTAGGTAAGCTTCTCGAGATCCGAAAAGGTAGGTGCTTTCTCTGGCCAGTCGGCAACGAACTCCTTGATCTCCTCCTGAACACGGGCACAGATGTCAGGGCACTTCAGAAGGTAGTATATGCAAACAGTTGCAGTTCGGGCGGTCGTGACACTGCCGGCACCGAGAAGACTCTGCGCCTCGTTGGCCAGTCGGTGGGTGTCCTTGTCTTCCTCGGAAAGGTCGCTCTTGTGGATCAAGTATCGGAAAAGGGTGGGCTTGGAACCAATCTTGGCTCCGTCGAGATCAATCTTGCTAGGATCCTCTTTCTTGGTGTCTTCGATGTGCTTTGTGGCCATCTAAATGGCGTTAGTATTGACTTTTAGAAGAGGGAAATGACAAATGTTTACTTCTCGGTAGGTGTTGAAGGCTTGAGTGTGAGGAGCAATCCAGACTAAGGCCTTTTCAGGGATGAATTTCAGGAAGCTGTTGATGGTTAGCAAGAGATAGAAAGAATTGCCAAGGGCGGGATTGAAGACTGACTGAATAACCCAAGGGAAAACGACAAAGACCGGGATACAGAGTGCGATAGAGTGCATGAGGTCGTGCCTAGATGGAACCAGTTAGCCCTGCTACATCCAACGTGTCTGGTCAGCCGCAATCTTACCACCCAGGCGAGAAATCCTCGTCGTCAAGATAATCTTCTCCGTCGCCAATACAGACGCGGCGAATGATATCACCAGTCAGAGCCTGCATGGCATGGTCTACACGCGAGACTTTTCCTGTACCTTCGAAGCTATCATATCTATCAGAAAGCTTTTGAACGCATTCGCTCATGATAGGCTCAAGTTTTGTTACTCCAGCGCGCGAGAAGTATGGTTCAACAGGTCTACGTCTTTGGCGGTGTAGTTTATGGTCCTTCGTAGCAAAGAAAGTGTCTATTTGGTTAGTTGATTCCGTTCAGCATATTGAGCTTAGGTACTTACTGCCCAAGTCGAGGCCCTGCACGAAGTAATTAAACTCCTCGGTTTGTCGAATACCACCAGAGACATAGACAGTATCATAGAACGAGCCATCATCCACCGACAGCTCATAAGGGTTTACTCGAAGAATTGGACCTAAAGACGAGTACTTTGTTAGATAGCTGGAGTTGAGATTTGAGACTTGATGCATTATTGATTCTCATACCGTAGATCTTGTGCAGCTTTTGGATCTGCTTGTAGTAAATTCCACCCTTGATGACATCGTAGTAAGATTCATAAAGACTTGTCGCGGCAGCAAGCTTCGGGCCAGGGAATTTTGCCAGTGGCGAGAAGTACAGGCGGTCGATAATGATGTAGACACGCCTGAATACGAGGATCGCGACAACAGCTAAGACGATTCTCCATCTTAACTCCCTCCCCTCCGTCTCAAGCAAGAAGTCTGCAAGGGCACCCATTTTGAATTCGTATAGGGAGGAAGAGAGGCAGACGAAAGATTATTCTATCTCCAAGTTCATAGAAGTAATGGCAACAAGATAACATTATTTTAAGTTAGAATTTTCAGTCCTAAGTCGTACGCATGCCTTGAATGCACGCCCCAAGCCCACAGACCAAGGCCTGTCGGTGCACCGTCAGCAATATCACAGCTTTGATACCAAGTTGAGTCAGCTCGGGGCCGAGCAGGGGTGATCCCACCAATCTCGGCAGTTAAGAGACATGCTTGCTGGGGTGACGGAGATGCTAATCCTCTGGTAGCAATCTCTAGTGTTGATTGGCCCAATCCCGGCTCTACCATGGGAGGAGACCAGGTTCGCAGGTGTGAAACTCCTCCACAATCTACAATCTAGATGCCTAGCGAGTTCTGTGGGATGCCACCCCTTGCCATGACTGCCTTGGGAAATATTCTGCGCAGTAATCAAGACTGGGTCAATTTGAGTTATAGCCAATACAAATCAGAGAACTATTTATCAACCTTGTTGTTCTTCTCCAGAGAAACTACCAGGTCCCTGGACAAAGTCGCCTATCTTTTCAGGGCACTCTACGACGTTTTAGATTGTGTGTGCACGACACCTTTGACCCTGCTACTTACAAGGATTAGTTATGGGCTGGCTCATCGTTGCGGTCGAAAGAGGTGTTTGTGGTTTCTAATTCATCCAGTCTCACTCGTTGTTGCAATCGACAATCAACAGGAAATGAGTACGGAAAGGGTGAGTCGGATTAAGTTTGCAAAAGAGCTTAGTTACACCGTGTATAAATTATTCTCTCCAGACACTGGCCACGTTATGCGAAATTTCTAGTTAGATTCACAGGAAGATGTGATAAGATGGAGACCAATGAGGATATTACGGTACGCTGTTCACCAAGAAACTCTTCTTGAGATCTAATGAAGGATGGCACCTGTAAGATTAGACACAAAACAGTCGAGCAGCCGTTTGTGTCCAACGATACATCCTGTATCTGAACACGCTTGGACAATGAAAGAAATCAGATGTCTATGTTAGGGGTTTACGAGTAGGATTGTGGATTAAATAAAAATTCCCCAACACAGTAAATTTTCCTAGGTTCGCCCCTTCTACCGATAACCGGTCATCACTAGTTATAACACGAATCCTTCACAGCATGCTTGCGAGGTTTCAAGTTCACATCTTCTAGCTTAACCGAACAGCATTATTGTAAGACTCAATCCTTCGCGGGAGAGTTCCGGGATTGTTTGGAACGGACTTTTTACGCAAATTGGAGATTTGGATTCCAGAATTTTGCAGATCCCTAGCACGGCCATACTCGTGTGCGGTCAATTATAACTTCAACCCAAGTACAGGGTCCTGTGCATCTCCCCTCAGATGGGTAGCGCTCACATAATCCACTAGCGTGCGGCAAATGCCAAGTGCCAAGTGCCGGTCGGTGTGTAGCAACATGGATTAAACCCTGCCTGTCTCCATGTCGGCGACTGTTTCTTGCTTTCGTCCTTGTCAACTAGGCGAAGTACGTGTAAAACAGGGGATGTCTCCTCCGGCCTACCATTGCGAGCGTCTTCTAGATCTAGTTAGATAGTCGGAGTAGAACAGATGCTGCTCCGTGCTGTATTCCTTCCTAGTTGTTATCTAGGGAGAAATAAATCAGTCAGATTCTCTAGGATTACTCTCATGGATCCAAATACCCATATGGTTTCGTTTCTTGGAGTTTGAATTCCCCTATTATTGCCTCTGTTCTTCTTCTTTTTTCATTCATATCATACCATTCCAAGCTTATCTCTTCATCTTTTCCCTAGCACGAACTCGAGAGCTGCAGTTCACAATGGAGTACAAATATTCAGAAATTATTGAATCTGATACGCAAGGCCTATGTCTGGACATTCCTGTGCGCAAGCACTTGAATGCCAGCCTAGAGGACCGTGGATCTCGAGAAGCACGCGCAGATTGGGAGAGGTTTGTTGGCCCTCTCTCACAGAATGCAGGCGCGTACTGCGAGGGTCACAGCTTTGTGGCCATTTCTGTCCCAGATTGCTTGCCAGATAGACTGGAAGTTATTTCCTATGCCAACGAATTCGCGTTCCTACACGATGGTAATGGTTTATCTGTCCACAGTTAGGAAGGAAGGCAGTCAGGCTAACAGAGGTTCAGATGTAACTGATGTTGCAGATCAAGATACAGTATGTTAGAACTTATTCGAAGTTTACTTCTTCTGTTACAAGGCTAAATTCAGCAACAGGAAACCCAAGAGAACGACCACATGTTACAAGCACTGATGGAAGGTGTTCAACAAGGGTCGATTGAGGCTCGAGAGTCGGGTAAGCGCCAGATCCAAGCCAAGATTCTGATGACCATGATGGCTCTGGATCGAGATCGAGCCAAAGTAGCGACCACTGCCTGGGCCAAGTTCCTAGAGCAAGGGTCAGGAAGAGAAAACCATAATCATTTCTCAACCCTCGAGGAGTACCTACCTTACAGATCGAAAGACTCCGGTCACATGTTGGTCTACTCCTTTTCTGCCCCAAATATCGAGTCCTAATACTCTCATAGGTTCTGGCACGCCATCAGCATATTTGGGTGTGGCCTTACTATTCCTGATCACGAACTGGCTCTGGTTACGGAATATGTCATGCCTGCTTCACTCGCATGCAGTCTCCAAAACGACCTTCTCTCATTCGGTAAGGAATACGAGGCTGCGTTAGAGGCTGGTCAGACCGAGATCTGTAATGCCCTATGGGTTCTCATGGGCGAACACAATTGCACGTTGAAGGAGGCAAAGGCCCTGTGCATCCAACGTATCCATGAAGAGGTTAGAAAATACCTCCAATATGCGGAGCGTGCCCAACAGATGCATGACCTGAGTTCCGATGGCAAGAAGTACGTGGATATGATGCGATTTACAATCAGTGGAAACGCCGCATGGAGTGTCCGTTGTCCACGTTACAACCGCCAACTTCAAATCACGATCAATGAAGATGAGCGCCTAACCCTCGATGGCATTCCAAAGAAACTCAAGAGTAACTCTGCATTGATCGAAAAGTCGACGTCCCCTGAATCGATTGCTTCCGACGTGTCTGATGCCGGCTATGTCACTGCGAACACAGACAGTGAATCAGATCATTCAGACGCCATGTCTCGTGTTACTATTGACGGTGTTGACAGACCAGAGACACCCGCACAAGAGTCAAAGATTCATGAATTGAAGGCGGATAGTATTGGACCTGTCCGAGAGCCGTTAGTTCTAGAATTGGACTCAGAAACGAGCAACTGGTCTTCCTTGGGCCCCGAAGAGGCGGCATTGGCAATTTATCCTCAGATGAAGTCTGATGTAGGTCAATTATCACACGAATACTGTAGTTCGAACTAACATAATCTTAGGTCGTCACTGAGCCATATCGATACCTAAGCTCTCTTCCCTCCAAGGGAGTTCGCGATATGACCATCAATGCACTGAACTTTTGGCTCAAGGTTCCCAATCATTCTATGGATTTGATTAAGTCCGCTGTCAGAATGTTGCACGGCTCTTCTCTCATGTCAGCTCCGACGCTTTCCCCTGTCACCAGTCAACTTCGCTGACACGCTTCACTTAGGCTTGACGATATTGAAGATGGCTCTCGCCTCCGTCGCGGCAAGCCCTCAACGCACGAAATCTTTGGGCATGCACAAACCATCAACTCTGCAACCTATCAATACATTAATGCAACTCAAGAGATCAGGAAATTGAGGAACCCGCATTCTATTGATATTTTTATTGGTGAGTAGTTGAGCTACCGAAGTTCATTTGGTTACTCCCGGCTAACGTAAACATACAGACGAGGTCCAGCAACTCTTCATTGGCCAGAGTTACGACCTTCTTTGGACATCTGAGTTGTCTTGTCCGACAGTCCCGGAGTATCTACAGATGATTGACGGCAGTATGTTTCATTCTCCTCTCATACTACTGATCACTTCAGCTTGTTGACAAAAAATTAGAAACTGGAGGCTTGTTCCGTCTTCTCACTAGGCTTATGGTAGCTGAGTCCAAGTACTCGGGCGAAGTCGATTTCGCGCGAATGTGCTCACTTTTCGGGCGATACTTCCAAATTCGAGATGACTACCAGAACCTTACCAGTGATGATGTAAGAGAAAAGTCTCATCATATTCCTTATTTCTCTTTACAAGCTAACCATTGGCTGCAGTATACCAACCAAAAAGGATTCTGTGAGGACCTTGATGAGGGGAAATACTCCCTTCCTTTGATCCTAGCCCTCACCAAATCGCCTCGCAAAGGGCAAATCAATTCTCTCCTGGTCCAGCGGCGTGTAACAGGTTCTTTGACATATGAGCAAAAATGCTTGATTCTGGAACACATTCGACGGTCTGGTGCTCTCGAGGCGACCAAGACCATCATGGTCTCGTTAGCCAAAGAGCTCGAGGGAGAGGTGGACAGGCTCGGGAAGATTTTCGGGGAAGAAAATCTCGAGCTCAAGTTGATTCAGGAGATGCTCAAGGTTTAGAGAACTGACGAAGGCCGCGTTCACATATATAAATAACTGCAAAGAAGTTTGCCGTAAGGTTTTGGCTGGTATAGAAACTTTATGGAATTGTTTTAGGTTCGGGACAGGTAAACTTAGATTGGATACTGGCCGTTAGGTTACTCATTATTTCAGCTCGATTCTGCGTGTTTGGTTTTAACACAAACCATTTCATCCTTCATAGCCTTTATCCACTGACTGACAACATATTTTAACATCGTTTTCTCAAAAGCATCATAGACAAAGGAAATTATCTTCCAATTCTCCTAAGCAACTTGCCAATTTCTTTCATTTTTACTCCTTCAATTTTCAAGGCAAAAACTTTACCCCCGTATGCGACCAGCTCCAAAGATCGGGAATTAATTGTCGCATGTGCCAATGCTAGGGTCGGGCTCGAAATTCCTTTCAACTCCTGGATCTTGGGCTGGCCAGGCTGGTTATTGTCAGTCGTAATGAAGTGGCAAAGATCCTACTCTTGGCCAATAAGAGAAATAATGCCGAGATAGCTATTGTCATAAAACACAACTACAGTTTTTGTCGATTAATGCAAGACCTTAGATCGCCTTGATGCAAAGATCCCGAGCTCTACGTTGCCAGGTCGTTGGAGAAGCAATCAGGCTTCCATTGTACGCTCAATTAATTTCTTGGCTCCCCGAACTCTACGTGCAGGGGCGTTGGTACTTCAGAGATGGGTGATGGCATGGTTGACTGTGGGCAAAGACTGTAGAACTTAGCGATCATAGCTTGGGTTGATCACCTAGCTGACCCAAAAACACTTGCAAACAGTAAATCAACATCTTGTCGTGATTAGGCTTTTCATGTAAGACATAACGCAATTAAAAGCCACTTGTGATATTGTAGAGTCTCCTCGTGCCTCTTCATTTCACACAAATTGCCCAAACATGAATTCTAAACCTATCCCAGGTGTCATTGACGCCAACTTGCAATAAAGAGATGTTCAACAAGAATGCTGGGATCCCCTTTTTTGTGTGTGTTTTCATGGGGAAGCCAGCCAAAGCTATCCTTTGGTAAAACAAGCACGTCGCCTATCAAAATGGGATGTTCCAACCTGTCGAGCTCGTCTCCGTTATGCTGGATCCCAGTTTTCTCCGTGAAGTATTCCATCAATACTTTGGTGTAAGCGAAGGGACCGGTAGTAGACATGACATCTTCAAAAGTTACTTGGGAGCCACCTGGTTTGGACTGGAGGAGACTCCGGAGATTGTCCACGACTTGATCAACAATTTTCTGAAAGACGGGATGGTTTGGCTTTGCCAGAATGATGTACTGGCTGAGCTGAACCGAGTAAGGAGAGCCGGGCCAGATAGGTCGTTTGTGATGGTCATTTTCAATGCCAACCACTAGATTAACTAATTCATGGTACTCATCAGGTATCCAATTTGATATTGGTTGATGTGGGAATACGTCAATGTCCGCCCAGACTCCGCCTTCCACAAGCATCAAAATATATCGCAGTAAGTCTGCCCTCAAGATCGGTTCGTGCAATGAGGTGAAAACATTTGCAATGGCGGGATCCGTTTTGTCGCGCACATAGTTGTCCATATTGGCATGGGTCATACGCTCGTAACGCCAGTCAGGGTTGACAGCTCTCCATTGATGGGGATAGCCAATGGTACGTTCGGTAGGATTCTCGGAATCATCTTTCCAGCTCTGCCAGATCTTCTTTGGGAAGGGTTTCGAGGGAACTTCGACGATAGCGCTAAGGTTTGCAGATGACGGCCGGTGGAAAAGGTCGCCTATCCCCGATGTCAGTTTGCTGTCAAAGGTAATTTGACTAATACGATAAGTGATTTGACAAACCTGGGAACAAATCTATGAGCGTGAAATGACCAACCAGTAGCAAAGTGGTCGCGAATAAGGCTACTAGAACAAACCAGGATCTCCTCGTCATATTGAGATAAATGAAATTTATACATGAGCATGCTGAATGAGGGAAATTAGGGAGAGCTAGTCCTACTTATAGCCGTAAAGGAGGGGCGGTTGGTCATCACGTTGATCTGTTGGTTGTCTACTTTTGTTTCCCTTAAGTTTGTTGGTTACTAACAAAAAAGCGCCGTGCCTCCATCCGTGACAAGGGTTAGAAGGCACCAACGATGACCGAGTTCTCTATGTAACTCTGGTCAACCTGTTCAGGTTACGGACTAGAACACTCGTGGGTCAGCGCCTAACTACTCCTCCGCTAAGCGTTCAAGACCGAGAGAGGAATGGTTTCTGCACTTTCGACCTAGCATACTAGCTTAAGAATATCAGTACCTCAGAAATTCGTAGATGCAAAAGAAAACAGCCTCGATGGACTAAGATTAAAGTGGGACAAGGCGGCTAAAAAGCACCCATGATTGGCTTGAAGTGACATTCAACCCTTGCAGGTCCGAAACCCCTTGTACCAAATTGATGCGCCAAACTTGACTTTATCATGCATGTTGGACCAACATGCATATCTAACAACAACAAAAAAAACGACCATGCCCATACTGAGTGAACTGGCGCTACGAGGAGAAAGTGAAGTAATCCACTTAGGAATCACACCATATTCTTAGATCCTTGCTAACCAAAAACAATTCAACCAGATTACGCACGGTTGGCATCAGTGTCCCTACATGAGCTCTCATTGCGATTAGAAGGCTTTGAGCCGAGGCTCAATCCTCATTTATGCATTGAAAGTATAGCTTTCATTTCATAGCAACATGCTAATTGAGGTTGAGAGTATATCCTGATTTAGGTTGAGGAAGAAGTAGTTACCTGACTGAGGTTTCAGGCCTGTGCTGCCAGATGGTCTAGGGTAGGCGAACATGGTGGTTGCATATCAGGTGTTAGTCATCCATTGCCACGAGAATAAAACTGGTTAATCTGGTAGGTAACTCGATCAAGTGCCGAATTTCAAGTGCTTCCTCGTTCGGCAAATCAACTGGGAGCTAATCAAAGACTCCTCTGGACCCGAAGGCCCCGAATAACTCCGCCTAGCACCTTCTTCAAGTGACTAGGGAAACCGTTGCGTGAAGTACAGTCCCCATAGGCATCTTAGCTTACTTATGGGATACACATCTGAATACAAAGAAGTGCTTAATATCTGAGGCTTTGACGCTGCTTGAGAAGCTGCCTACCAACATACATAGGATCCTGTCTAGCTAGCCCCTTGTCTGTAATACTTACCTGTATGTAGCCGTCGCTAGTCGCCCTTTACCCTTCGAGGGATGTACTGGAGTTACATAATAAGAAAATCATTACCAATGCGCAGTCCTCGTGGTCAAATCGATATACAACTACAAGCTACTAAGTCACACCGTTGGCCAGAATTGAGACTCACAGATATGAAATTTTTACGTCTTCCTCCCTAATTTTTAAAAAGTCTTTATGAAATAGCACACACAAATGAAAGAATGCGTTTAGTTTTGGAGTAGACCATACTTGTTCACTTATCGAAGACTTCAGCCTTGCTATGCTGGAGTTTCAGGTTCTTAAGATTGCGGACCTCTCTGTCTGCTAGCACTTGTTGAATATTTACTCTTAACGTCGGGTTTGTAATTGGTACTGTTAAATTCCCCCCTTGCATCTATACGTCCATATTTACCTTTGTCAAGAGAAATTCATAACAATTTCGTCATATTGTTTCTCAATACGGCTAGTTCAAGTTGTTTTGTACAAAGCTGATGAGCGAATTTCATGAACAGCGCTTTTCGTAATCAAAGAGGGTAGGTGGTTGGTGATGGATAAGCGAAACCCTACGGAAGATGTATTTGAGGCTTCATCAAGTTATTGTGAGTTGTATGCAGCGTTACAGTATCTCAAACAGCCTATATCATTTTATAAAACTCGTTATTTCATGAGAAGTAGAAAGCATATCTTACCACCGACGGCATGGCTCTGAATTAAGTTGCTGCCAATTGCTCTCCTGAACAACGCTATAACAGGATAAGCTAACCTTGATCCTCTGTGGTAACCCCATAAACGGGAAATAGACAGGAAATAGTCTCCTTGCGGGGGATTCACGACGTTGTTATCTTTGGTGTGGTTGCTACCCCACCCCCTGGGCAGCATAAGATCGATCCTCTATCCTTATCATCAACATTTGAATACAAGTGCCCACTATTAGCTGGCGGAAGAATCTTGTATTGACCCGGGATTTTTGAAGCTAAACTCGAGTTTTGATTTACATGAGATAAGACCCTCGGATCTTTATGAAAGGGAGGCTTGGTGCTGACCTACAGACGAACATGCTGCTATCTGCAGATATCACTGTTAATCTCACCCCATGGTACGCGGCTGTGGCTTATCTATTTGCGATATTCCTATTGATTTGTTCAATATACGGATCAGATTGGCTGTGGCCTGCGTTTGCATGATTTATCGTTCTGTATCCGCTGGACAGCCAATTGTAGACGACGTGACTTTTCATAGACTTGGCGGTCATATCCACTGATTGGCAGACTTGAGCAAATAAGTCTTGAACCCAAAAGGCATTATTGTTGGCAGCTCAAAACGTAATATCATTTGTGATCTAACTGCTGCGTTGACAACTCTACTGCGTTTCACCTCACCATAACTTACAAGTATCTGACATAGTGATATGGCTGTAAACCCTGGAAGTAGCATATACAGTATGGCTTACCATGGTGGCAATTTAAGTTGACAACCATCCCTACCCAATGCTCGAAGTTAGATAGAATTCAGTATCTTCTTTTATATGCCAAGACTATCCATCTATATAGTATATGAAGTATATCAACTTCAGTTAAAATAGGAAGACTGGGCATTAATACCATTGGAGGGTTGATCCAACTGCTTCTAGATACTTGCTAGGCGAAATCAAACTTATTATTTTGGCCAATTCCGTACTATATTCACTCTGGGCAATTCAAAGCTATGATCCTGTTTTCATGGCTTATGCAAGCTCCTTCTCCATCTTATCGTATACTGGCCGAGCATGGAAAACACTGTCAGCCGTAGTCTTTGCCAAATCCTCATCTGAGTATCATTGTGCTCGTAGTTCAACGTTTTCACCACCGTACTTCATGAAGAACTCCCTCTGAGAGAAAGGTAAATACGTGGTCAATGTATAGTTAGGATGCACCGAACTCTGCGTAGAATTAGTCACAGTCTCAAGTCTATCGACAAGAATAACCACCTACCTGATATCCCAAACCGAGCATGATGCGGTGTGCGTCGCTCTTATTAAGCATGCCTGCATGCCAAAGTCTGATGTCTCTGATCATGATGTCTCCTCTGTTGACCACAGGCTGAATTGGTGGGCGTATTTTCATTCTCTCGACCTTCTTTTCTTCCAAAACCGGAGGAATTCGGCTCCCAATGTAGGCAGTTGGATAGGGGGCGATATCTTCCGGCGTCTTGGCTAGCATTTGGTCTTTGTAGGTGGTATGCGCATGAGAGCCTAGCCAGAACTCAGTGGAGCCATTCTCAGCACTGAAGTCACATAAGGGTATGTTCGCGATGAAGCAAAACGGGAACAAGGGATGGTCGAAGCTTCCATCCTTGTGCACCGGTTTGCGTTGCCCGCCAGTGTTAGCGAGCGCAGTGTTGGCAGTGAGCCAATTAAAGACGGGACGGTGTCCAAGATAACTTGAAATATAACTTTAGTTCATGCCGTTTAGAAACTTATCAGGTGTTGATCACATACGCGTTTGCTAGCTGGAGGAGAAACTGATTGAAGAACACCTCCTGGTTGAGATATTGGGGGTTTGTAATTGGGGGCCTTTGAAGCATATTGGCTTGATGAGAGGTTAAAACTGGCATCGAGGGATATTTAACCTCCAATACTCACATTTAACTCCATGGTTGTAGCCCTGGGAAGGGTCACTGATCCTCTCATCAGCATCCTGGCACATCTTGGCGTTGAGCTTGTCAATCATCTCCACCGGGATGACACCCTTAAGGACGACTAAACCATCCTGGTGTAGCGCACCAAGGGCTTTTGATAGAGTTTGGAACGAATATTTTCCCTTGCGGCGCTCATCTTCGGACATTGAGATAGCTTGAGGATCATTTGATGGAGAAGTGACCACCATGGTACTGCTGGCTATAGTTGTTGATGGGAGAATTGATGATCTTGGTCTGGACAGCTATGATAAACAGGCCTTCGACTTGATGAAGGTTTAGTCTTGCCAGAGACATTCCATCCGTTACTTAGTCGGTAGGTTTATATTTACTCATCGGCGTGTCATTATGCTTACATTGAGAATGGATGGTGAACTGCAGGGTACGGGATCCTCAACCGGAGAAAGAAATCCCAGATTGGTATAAGATCAGCCTGGGGTGTCATCTAGGACTTATCTTCGCAGGAGACAGGCTCGCCAAGAGAGCTTGGAGAGATATCCTGTTTTCTTCATCGGAATCGTTATCTAAGTAACTATGATTGCTGTTCTATGTGGCTGGAACTGGCTAGATCATGGTATCGACCTCATCCAGGGTCTTGGGCATGGGAGCCGATAAGCGACTCCTTGCCTCGCCAAGCAAAACCACTAGCTACCAAGAGTAAGTTCTCCGTAACCTTTGTGCTGGGAGAGATAAGGGGTTACATTCTCAAGAGGATTGGACAGCCCCTCAAGAATCAACAGGTCTAGTAAAAGCAAATCATGGCCTATCAGATTGCACCTAGTTCAAACAACATCCCCTGATATGGAATCAAGTGCTTAGGCTCTCAGATACACTTGCTACTGGTTTTCCATTCTTCCCATTCTCATAAAATCCCCATCCGTCGTCACCTAATAGATCAAGCGAAGAGAGATTTTGAGAGCCCTGCAGTGCTTTCTTCTGTTTTAGACAACAATTGAATTTCTGTTGATCTTGAAAACTCTAAGACGATTCCAGGTTATGATGGGGTTGTTGAGAAGTTAATGTCAACGAAGAATGTGTTTTCTTCTTGGGATAATTTCAAACGTGGGGTTCAGGTCAAAAATACCTTGTCTGATATCTCTTTGCGTGCCCTGCCCCAGACTATGATTGGAATTGGTCTCAACTGGTGGCAAGCTATAGTTGTGATCTTCGTGTCCCAAATGATTGCCGCGATTGCCATGGCCTTCAATTCCCGTGCCGCGACAACCTACCAAAACAACCTACCACCTCGGCTACCCAGCCATCAGCCGAGCCGTCTTTGGGATGGTAGGTAGCTACTACTTTATTGGTAGTAGAGCCATTTTAGCTTCAGTCTGGTATGGCATTCAGCGTAAGTAAATCTCGAACAAATTCCTGTGAGGCTCTGATAGATAGAAGATGGTAGTCTATTCTGGTGCAAGCCACGTCGCCAACATGCTTCGAGCGATCTTCGGCGACAATTATAAGAACATGCCAAATCATCTTCCGGCTTCTGCGGGAATTGCCACGAACAAGATGATTGCCTTCTTCATCTTCTGGCTGATCCACCTCGGCTTTTGTTTCTTCCGACCATATCAACTTACAAAGTTCTTCTGGTTCAAAGGATTCATCATGGTACCCGCAGTCTTTGGAGTTTTCATCTACTGCATGGTTGAAACGGGCGGGCAAGTCAACCACACCCTGCCTCAAGCGAACGCTACTAGCGGAATTGGATGGTTTATAATTCAAGCAATTAACACTGGGATGGGGTAAGTGAAGTTTGATCAGAACGGAAGCCTTCTCTGACAGTTGTGATGTTTCAACATTTAGAAATTCTGCCACCCTCATCACGAATCAGCCCGACATTTCGCGATGGAGTAAAACGAAATCCACGCCGGGAGTTTCATCAATGGTAAGTTATCATTATGCCGAGAGAGGCCAAGGGCTGCGAGCTGATTTAGTATCACAGCTCGTAAAGCCCATTACTTGTACACTTGCCGCGAGCCTAGGCATCTTAGCCACAGCTGCAGTCAACGGCAAATGGGGCCTTACATTATGGTAAGAATCGAAACCCTTGTTGAGGAGCAATGTCACTCAGTTGCTATTTAGGAACCCATGGGACCTCCTTGACGCTATACAAGACCGTCACAATGGTTCAGGTCCCCGGTTTGCTATATTTCTTGCTGCCTTCACATGGATGGTGGGGATCCTTGGCACCAATATAGCGGCCAATATGATTGCGTTTGGTCCCGACATGTCACTTATTGCGCCGCGTTACATCGACATGAAACGAGGCTTTTTCCTAGCCCAGGTGTTAGCTTATGCCATCGTGCCGTGGAAGATCATGTCGTCAGCCAAGACATTCACCTCATTCCTATCAGGATATGGTCTCTTCATGGCGAGCGTTGCCGCCATTATGATAGCTGACTGTGCGCTCCTCATTGAATTTGGAAGTAAGGGAGCCTAATTGACACGCGCCCTCCTCACAAAGGCTTCAACTTGCAAGCAGTTATTGCATATCTCATTGGAATTGCCCTCCCTCTTCCCGGCTTTCTCTCATCACTGGGTGTGCCAGGTGTTGGAGCGCTACGGCCGGCCAACGTCTCTTCTCTCTCGGCTGGCTTCTTTCATTGTTTGTCTCATTGATTTCTTACCCACTTATCTGTAAGGTCTGGCCAACTGAAAACCAGAAGCTTTTCCGCGATGACGGGCTGGCATGGGAAGAGTCTTCCAAGACCACAATTGAGGGCGTGGATATTAGGATATCTCCGGACGAGATCATTCTGGACGCAGAGAAGCTCATCAAAGAGGAGGCTTAGTGGTTCGGTCGTGTTAGACATACCCGGGTATATGAATGCCATTCATAGCTGCTGGATATACTTTTGGTCTGATTGGGATACCCTGTATCTTGAACTTCGACCTGCGATGAAATCTTTTGCCCGGAAGAGTGATGCCTTCCAGGCAACGACACGTGGAAGATTTTCTCTCAAGGGGGGTTGTTATTTGGGGATGGATCATCAGTAGTAAATAATTCTACCTAGAGACAATACGTAGAGCGCAAACAAGGAAAGGTGAACAAAAGGCTCATTATTAGTCATACGTACAGGCAAAAGGTGATTGCCTAGATGGATACTACCCGGATCCACGTCAGCCTGTTGTGCCCCTTAAATAAGTTGCGTATCCCGTATTTTGCCCTCCCCTTTCAAGTCCGGATCAATATCTGAATGATCATCTTCGCAATTTGTATTCTTTGATACCGAATATGCCTGGCACCCCTCTTTTAGATATACCTTGGGAGGTCTTGAGGGCTATCCTTTCAGAGTGCATTTTATCCTTGTACTATGATAGGCGTTATGATGGGCGTGTTGGCTACTTTCTTCAGGAGCCTAATTATGGAGGAATGTTCAGGTTGAGGTTGGTTTGCAGTAAGCCCTACCCTTCATGAAGCTAGAAGTTAGTTCTCCAATGTCTTGTGCTCATCACACTCCTTTCCTTTCTTCCAGGAGCCTTTAATCACGTCTTTCGTGATGCCTTGATTCAGACCCAGGTGCTCGATCACTTGGCACCTCTACCCGAAAATCCTCCCTACAATAAAATACATCCTCTAGCGTACTGGCAAACGAGAACAGATGATGGCGCCCAAAAGCTTTGGCATTCATACATTGCGCAAATGGTGCAAAAAGGGGTCAACCCCAGTGTCACATATTTGCCAAACGCCCCAGAGATCTCGTGGTGCGCCGAGATCCGTGAAATATCACAGTTGATATGCGACAGAGTGCCGCACGCCAACTTATCCAATACCATCGAAGCCCTCTGCTGGCTTGGTTTCGGGGGTGAGTTGGGTGGGTTAGGCCATCTCTGGTATATCAACTCCCAGGTAGCGCAGCTGCCAGCGGAGGACCAAGGAGAGTTCAGGCGAAACATCAATCTCCTCAGCGCCGCAGCTTATCTGAACCATCTGCCTTTGGCTAGAGAGCTTTTAGCAGAACATGCCGATCCGACGCTTAACGACTTTCTTTTCCCTGCTCCAATAGAAGCAGCTGCGCGAGGAGGAAATATCGAAATGCTTCAGCTGTTCCAGGAAGTTTTAGCGGAACCAGAACCAGAACCAGAGCCAAAGCAAAAACATCCAATGGAAATAACCGGCGGGTTTCCACAATATCTAGATGAATATCTAGATGAAGACGTTCCAGAACTTCCTTTGCACAGCACGATGGGAAGAGTTCCTTGCACAGGAAAGGCTGATCCTCGAGCAGTTGTTGGAGCGGCAGCAACGGGCAACTTACAGGTCCTTGAGGCGGCATTGTACTCTCCATTGCGTAGTGACATCAACAACTCCGACTACTTTGGTCAACCGTATGGAAGAGTCAATCCATACTCCCGTCCAGGCCGCGCCCTCAAATCCATAATGGTACACTCAAAAACGTGGCAAGTATACTCCAGGCTGGCATCTTTCTTCCACGACTTTTACATCTCCCAACCGGCAGAGGCTGCTTTCCATCTACAGATGTTCGCTGAATTTGGCAACTACGAATTAGTGAAGAACTTACTCGAAAGAGGCGTTGCTTGGCAGGGAAGCAACAGGAGATACGCTCCTCCCATGCATGCAGCTGCGCGCCATGGTCGAGGAGATATGGTAGATCTACTAATACAGCATGGTGCTGATGTCAATCAACCAGGTCCTGCTGTATTTAAGTCGCCTCTTTATCAAGCAGTGAAGAGCCGAAGTGTCAAGATTGTCCAGAAATTTCTAGACATGGGGGCCGTTTGTGAGTTCAATACTTTGCAGCTAGCGCTCTTCCTTGGAGATCCTGAGATGGGTGAATTGGTACTGGAACGTTTCCCTCTCAAGAACTTGCTTTACGAACACATTTGGCAGCTTTTAGCTCGATCTGAGGAAGGGAATTGTACCTTCGTGGCCAATTTACTAAGAGAGAAGATCCCCGGCCTCAGGGACTTAGATTCGCCCACCGCTTTGACATCCGAAAAATGGTCGGATATAGTTAAACGAGCCTCGAAAGGCGTGCCAAAAACTCGCAAATGGTGGTTCTCTTAGATTATTAGGGTCTGAATTGTATTTAGAAAAGATGGTTTGCATTTCGCCGCCATAATTTGGTTATTTTGTGGTCGAAACCCTGAGTATTCCGTCCCAAAGAAAGACCTTATTCTAAGCCCATTTTGTCTTCAGGCCAGCCAAATTTCTATGACAAACCTTGTTACTATATGAAGCCTGAGGATAAGGGAGCAAAGCTAGAAAACTCCCCAACTACGGGTATTGCAATTCCAGCCTTTCTCAAGTTCTACATTTGCTTTTTTCACAAATGCTGAGCTCAGGACTCCAAAATCCATCAAATCGATCCAAAGGCTTCCAGCAGTTGGAATTTGTGGTCCACAAGAAAGTTTGGACTTGCTGTTACCCCGCTGAAACAAATCTAATTGAGAAGCTAAGCTGAGAAGACCAATATTACCCCTTTTCAGGTCTGGGTAACTGAGAGTAGAATGTTGTTGCAATGGAGCATTAAGCCTTCTATAAAGTTCGAGCACTTATACTTATTGCCTTCAGGACTGGACCAGTAATATTAGACTGATGGCATGAGAGGAATGGGGCAAATTCTAAGAAGTCGAACAGGAAATTCAGGGCCCAAGGTGCGCTCTGACAAGCGAACGAGATGAAGGAGGGTGCATGGGCTGTAATAGGACTAATCAACATCCACTTCAACATTTTATCAGCCCGTAGTTTCGTGTTGTTACCAATAAAAGCATCGACGACCTCACAAGCTAGCCTTCCAAACCAAAAGGGGAGCCCTTTGATCTAGTCAAGGGGTCTCCCAATATACTCTGTGGCGAGAGAAAAAAACCGGCCTGATAGGTTGAAAGCACAACTACACGCCAGTCTTAGTGCCGCTGGTGGTTAACGTCCCACCACTGACTAGGCCTTTATCAGCAAAGACCCCGTGAACACAATTGTAACAGCTTAGGTTCGGCGATGACCACTCGGCCCGCGTTTTCGAGCCGGGAGATGACCCATAAGTTACGTGACTACAAACAATAAGTAATGAAGACAGATAAGATGCTAGACGAATGAACCCTGTGTTATGGTCGGATGAAAGCCGGTTATATCCCGGAAACGGATAAAAAGTTGAGTGTTTAAAACACGACTAAGTCGGTGGTGGAAGAAGCGCATGAATGGCGTGATGGATAATACCAACTCGAGATGCTCTTTAAGAGCCTTCCTGTTAGTAGCTAAAGTATTTGAATAGTTACAGCTTTCCAGTAAGAAGACTCTTCATTACAGTAGCTAAAATTGATTGTGTCTTATCACTCCCGTTTGATTTGAAGGTAGTCTTTCTGTTAAATTCAATGGTTTTTCGCGGTACTGAGACGTACCTACTCCAACCCCTTCACACAACCTGATCTTGGCCCCTTTCATAGATAGTGATAATTGGGTCTTTTCGGACCGATGTAGCAAAACAAGGTGAAGGGATTGTTGCGGAGCTTTCGTCCAAACGATGGGGATGCTAGATTGCGTGATGAACTAAGATCGCAATAACTTCGGATCTTATTCCTCGCAACCCTGCAAATGCCACAATGGAGATGCCTCAGAGTCCACTCAAAGATACTTAAACAAGTTGATGTAATTTTCTGAACTTCGTACGCCATTAAAACGGGAACAGCCGTGAGATATATCCACTGAGGGTCACTGTGTGTAATTCTTTAAGAGCAGCTCAATGCGCTCAATTGAAACGGATGAACAGATCATCAGCTTCTCACCTCCGTTTTGATTAGGCCCTCAGTCATCGACCCTCGGTGGGAAAATTCATAATGTATTCCGTGGGACATACTTTCAGGCGGTCCTCCTTGGGCTTATTAGCTTTACCCAACCAGGAATATGGAATGCCATGAACAGTTCGTGTCGTCTAAAGCTATTCATGGTATCGGAACTAATCCATCTTTAGGCTTGGGCGCTGGTGGGCAGGCCGAGCCTTATGCTGTCAACGCAGCAAATGTGATTACGTTTGTGTAAGGCCCCCTGGTTTTGCTTCTGGAATCCAATGTGCTCTTTGATTCCTTGCCAAAAGGACAATGTCGGGTTATAATTGTGGCTGAAGAGAAATGATTCTAATCCGAGAGGCAGAATTATGGTGGTACTGGCGCCCTTTGCTAGCGTTATTGGAAACTTGATCGGAATGAAGTGGATTGTGGTGTTTGGATGCATCGGATACGTCTTTTATTCGGCATCTCTATACGTCAATTCTGTGTACGGAACACAGTGGTTTCTTCTTCTAGGAGCAGCGCTCTGTGGATTATCGGTATGTTCTTCGTTATTGTGTTCGTCCAAAGCGTCTAAGTTGACATTCCCAGGCTACCGCTTTATGGCCTGGAGAAGCCGCAATTGCTGTCGGATATCCTGAAGTTAGAAAGAGAGGCAGATGCGGTAAGTGAAGTGCTAATCTAAGTAATGGGTTGACATGCTTCATCCTTGCTTCCGTGTTGACTTCTCGAATGTCTCTTCTAGTGGCGATCTGGATGGCTATTGGCAAACTCGGATCCATTATTGCAGCGTCGATTCAACTCAGCTTGAATAGCGACAAGGATAAGACCGGCGCTATTTCCCCCAAAACCTACATCGTTCTCATTGCCATCCAGTGCCTTGGTCTCCCTCTGGCTCTCCTTTTGTCACCACCCGGCAAGCTAGTTCGTGACGATGGCCGAAAACCGACTTTTGCAAATCAGAACAGAACATTCAAGAACCAACTCATTGGGTTTTTACAACAGTTCAAAAGAAAAGAAATCGTTCTTTTCATCCCAGCATATATCACTGCTCAATGGGGCATTACTTATCAAGGCAACTACATGGCGGCCTACTTCACGGTGCGGGCTCGAACACTCGCCGGACTTATTACTGCACTTGTCGGGGTCGTTGTCAACATTATCGGAGGTTGGTGGCTAGATACCAGAAAGCTCCGTCGGTCTACTCAAGCCAGGAGCTTTTGGTACGCGACATTAGCTCTGTACACTCTCGTTTGGATATGGAATATTGTGATACAAGAGCGATGGGCCAGAAATAGCCCGGGAGAGATCGATTGGTCTGGTGACAAGTGGAACCAGGGAGTAGCAATCTTCACGCTTTACAGGTATTTGCATTTTCCCAATCTCAAAACTTCCAGGCTGTCCGGGGCAGTATAGCTGACTATTTTCTATCAGGGTGGCCTATGAAGCTATCGGCATGTGGCTCTATTGGGCTTTGGGCACGCATGACTACGACCTGGACACCGTAGCTCTATCCATGGCCGTCCTTCGAGGGGGAGAAGCTCTCGGGTCCGCCATCGGATATGGTATTGGATCTATCCGAAGCGCAACTTTGATGACCAACTTAATCGTTTCAGTTGTCTTGTTCTACGTTGGGGCTCCGTTCACCACATGGGCCGCTCATTTGATCAAGGACAGGATTCCTGGAGAGGAAAGCGACTCGAGGGACGATGAAAATAGAGGATCTAGTAGCCCGGAGGTTGAGCAACAGACCCAGGTCATTGTTGCGAAGAACTAGGTGTCTAACGAGAATTATGCGTGGCTTTACCCGTATGGTCGAGGTCAAAAGAGGGAAACAAACTTTCTCTTCATACATTCATAGAATAAGGTTATGTTTCTTCTTATCTTCCTTAATCGAGGACAAGTTGAATAGGAGAATGATTACATTTGGGGGAAGAGAAAATCAAGTTCTACGAAACCCTAGTTGGAAAATACACCGTGATTAATTCTCCAACTCAGATTATAATTCAGTAACGTAGGACCACATTCGGTACACTGCTTGCTATTAACTGCAAATTAAGGAAAAGAGAGAATTCGCAAAACGTCCTACCAAATGACGACGCGATCTCAGGTTTCTACGAGTTCCTTCTTCGATCTTTTCACAAATATTGGACTCAAAGCTCTCTGCATTACAGCTGTCAACCATGGGCTAGAAAATGACCGCATTCCCGAATTTCAAAATAGTGAAATCAATGCTTTACGTCACAAGCCTATTTAGTACAACAGTCAGTTATAAGCCTCTCCTCCCTAGATTTCCATCTCAGACACTAGTTCAGATCTACGCATTCGACGGCTTCTGCAAGGTCTACGGGAAGGTCTTGGTGTAGGTGCAGAGGCAAGATCCGTCGGCGTTGAGGTCGTGGCGTTTGAATCGGACACTGGGCTCTCTGTAGATGAGATAGGCGTCGTTAAGGTCGATAAGGTGGTGGGTGTAGCAGCTGGTGTAGTGGTAGATGAACCTGGCGTCGTTACTGTTGGCGTAACAGCATCTGTACCCAGAGTCGAGGAGCTGGGGGTAGTTGATGGGTCAGATGGCGTTATTGATGCCAGCTGATCAGAGGTTGAAGAGTTCACAGGAGTCGGAGTAGAAGATAGTGAGGCTGTCGAAGGGGTCGATACTGGCGCGGATGGAGTGGAGATGTCAGTCGTTGACGACACGGGGCATGGGACTGCAATTATGGCGTTGTCGAAATATAGAGTGCCTGCCCCAGTGATAGAACTGCCCGCTGGCGCCATGCAGTAAACATTAAAGCCGATGAATACTCCGTCTGGGTATGGCAGTCTCATTCCAGGAGACCTAAGCGTGTTCCATCCTTTGTCGTTGCCATCTGCGGTGAATTTCAAAGCGCCCGTTTGATAGACTGAGCCTTGAGGAATGGACAGGTAGAAAGAGATGTAGCATGTGAATCCGGTCGCGGCGCTGGGGTTCACAATAGCCTTGTAGTCGATAGTGATGTCGTATAGTTGGGTCGCGTCCAGTCCGTACACTGTTTGCCCGAAATTATTGGCTGATGGACTTGTGAGGCTGTAAGTCGCTGTTAGTATGTAATCGCAAGCTATCCAAAGAGGTGTACCAACATTGTCATCGACTTTGCTCCATCGCTGTGCTGGTCGGTGGACTCTCCGGGAGTGAACTCGTAAGCCCATCCAGGAACTGCTGTGGCTCCATTCTCAAACGAGGGGTTCACGAATAGGTTCTGTCCGCAACTTGCTGGCAAACTTGTGATCGCAGCTACCGGAAGAACCGAAATGGCAGCCAGAAGAATCGACTGAGTAAGCGGTAGACACCTCATTTTGTCTACTTGAGTAGTCCAAAGGAATAAAACAAACGATCAACCGCCTGCAAGGCAAGAGAAAAAAAGCAAATGCACTGTTCAAGTAAAAAGAGCGACTGATGCAAAAGAATGACTACTTCCAATCCGAACGCTGGTGTGAGGCCGGGAAACGAGTGTATGGAGGTTGATGAAGTGAAGGGATGGATGGGGCACCAGGCACAGGGATGGGGAGATAAAGTACAGAACATTTTTCCCCTGTTTGTCAGCCGGCCTTGACCATGGGGAGACAGCTCCATCCTGTCTTCCAAGCCATGATGGGCTGGTCGCTTTTCATCTTGATATCGCGCTATTGCTTGAAAGGACCAGGGGTCTAGCCGGCGTATCCAACCCATGATGCGAGAGGCAAATCATCGCCGTAATCCGATGAAGCGTGCCGCGAGCCTAGCTTTCATCTTGATCATGGTCAGCTCTCCCGATGGATTCTCCTTACAGGGATATTGGTTTTGTTAAGGAACAGACTCCTCGCTCGCACGAACCGTGAAGTCCTCCCGTTTCAGGCGTGAGACGATGCAAGTCCGAATCAAACCAATAATAAAAAGCCAATCATAGCTGATATGGCCCTGAATCGGTTCTGGTTTGCCGATCGCAACGGACTAGCGTCGATTAAGTGGGTGATGGTGACTCTGTTATCATCAATAGTGAGAACAAGCGTCGAATTGTCGAGACACTAAAATTCAGGGCAGAGAAATAATGATATGTTGTACAGCCAAGCCAGGGCGTTTACCCTAGATCGTGTTAGATTTCAAGTCTTTTCTTGGCTTAAATCAGTCATGTTCTGACAATGCTCGAGCCCGTGTCTTCTGAAGGCTGGTATTAGCGAGCGCAGTCTCAATATATCGAATCGCAGCCTGGGCTGGATTATTGGGCCTCAATCAAACCTCAAGGAGGAAAGGCTCTCAAATCCTTCATGTTATACTTAGAGTTAGGTTTCATCGAGATTAGCAGAACTTAATGAGATCCAGCGAGGATTCCGCCAGTCGACGAATTGGATGATCCTGTGTCCTCGGGGATTAGGAAGTAGTCTGCCGAATCAAAAAGTAGATGAGCACGGCTTGGAAATAACAAGTGAAAGAACAGGCGGGAAAGGGGTTTCAAGGAGACTGGGGTGCTTTGATCTCGAGCCCCGACAATGGCGTAGATGGAGCCGGTGAACGGAGCGGCAGAGCCTGAGCCATGGAATCTCTAACCCCTCCTGATACAGGAGCACTCGCTTTACTTCACTTCCCCTTCGAGAAGATTCACCATAGCCGTATTCATATGGGCTTTCGGTAGTTACGAAAGGTAGCGGAGAATATTACCGCCAAGAATTCACGGGACCCTATCGGCATTTGAGACCGTGGCCGGGACAAATGAGCCGAGAGGCGCGCGCGGAAAGTCTGACCTGCCTGTCGAATTAAAGATCCCTGTGATGGAAAGAGGGACTACATCTGACGCTAGCTCGAGCAGGAAGCTGAGCTCCGGCAAGCCGCGCGCTGTGGAAGTCAGCCAGGTCCAGTATTCAGCCAGACCGCGCGTATCGGCAGATTCTCTTCACAGGAAGTTCAAGGCCGCTCTATCCAGAGATATCCTGAAGTTTACACATTCGCGGAGAGGGGGCCTACTAGATCTGGGCATGGATCAGCAACTCTACATTGAAACAGTTGTCACATCGGCTTTATCGGCAACGCCTTCACGCAGAGGGAAGCAAATACTGATCTTGCACGCGGCAAGGATGTGGGCACACAAAGAACTTTTGTCAGAGTTGACAAGTATTTTTATGCTTCGACGATTGATTAACAATATACTGAAGTATATAAAGCAGACGAAATGTATGTTCTTGGCTTTTAGCGGAACAGACAGACATCAGCTCAACTCAACAACCAATCAACACTCCTAAACTTAACAAATCCTATTCAGCACTGTCATTCCAAGCCCACCATGCAATTCTCCAACATGTTCTTCTTGGCTGCTGCCATTTTCTCGACTTCGGCGACCGCCTGCAAGTGCCTGGATACCAGCACCAAGGACTATCCCCGAATCCACCAAGTCTTGTTGCGGGATCGCTGGCGGCAACTATGTCGGAGACGACTGCACCATCGACTCTCTGCCGCACAACAATCTTTACGACTTTCGAATTTGCTGCGCCTACAGAAGCGCCCTTGAAGATTGCTAGAAATGAGTTTCTAGTCCAGGCGCTGAGGGTCAATTAGGCTTGGTAGAGCGACGATGTGGGGGTGGTAGGCACATTACTTGAGAGAGGAGAAGGAGGCTGGTTTGCTCAAGTTGAAAACAAATGTAGAACATGATACTCAACATCCAAAGCCCAGAATTATCTGCAACGGTGTCCACCGCAAAAGATTCCTGGCCTGCTTCTACCTTCGAAGGCGCAGTGCCCTGGTACTGTGAAGAACGATGTTGAGGTTCGCTTGGCTTTTAAGCCACAATAAACAAATTACCGTAGTCGGATGAGTGAAGACTCTGGAAATAAATCTTGTGGCTTTTCGGTATTCTTCAACCACTTCTAATATATCTGTATTACTCCCAAGGGTTCCAGTCCGGTAATGTCGTTGAAGCTTCCAAGCTCCCTAATCCCATAGATCACACACATCCTTTTGAATTGTAGTGATTCTATCATCTCCTTCTCATGATTGGGTTTCACTAGATCATATCCAAAACCTCGCATCGACGTTTTGATGAGTATATCATCGCTATAGAGAGGCATTCTTTGGGATGAAGCTAGCGGCCTGATTTCCCCCGTGTTCGTAGCGAAGCTTGTGCTTGTAACCGCGATTGTGATTCTGGTAAATGATTATATGAACGGTTAAGAAACGCCACCACGAGTGCTTAACTCCCTTCTCGTGCAGGCTCCAGTCCCACCTGTTCGAGTAGTGGCTGCAAGCTGTGCTAGTTTAGTATGTCGACGGTTCCTGATCTGCATTGGCCGTTCCTCAACTATACTTCTGAATTTCTGACAGGGATAAGCAGATATCAAGGTGCTGATTGAAGGATACGTTGTCTGGCGGCTGGTCCTGATCGCAAATCGGGCATCGGACCATCTCACTTGGGCACCGGGATGGTTCTAAGGGATTTACCTCCGGGCGCTCTGAGGCAAGATTTGATTTCTTCTTCCGTGGCGACAATTCGCGGCGCTCTAGATTACCACCCATCTTTCGCTTTCCAGCCGGACTAGAAAGCTCTTTTTCCTTCGCCCCCAACAAGGAGTCTGGCTTAGAATGTGTACTTTTATCCGCCATGCGCTGAAAGGCCGCGCTGAGAGTGTAGTCCTTGCTCACAAGCTGTGTCAGCCTCACACCAAGCAATCGGCATGGCTGGTTCGGTTTGCTGGCCAATGTTGCCTTGACAAACGGAAGAGAATGCTGGAAGATATCGCGGGCGCCACTGAGTGCTTTCGGTAGCTTCGTTTGCTTCGAATACGACTCAAAATCGTTCATTTTGACCTTTACTGTGAGAGTCTGCCCGGCACGGTTGAGCTCCTTTAGCTTGGCTTCGACGGCCTCACACACCGTCCGCAAATTTCTTTCAATGATGTCGGGGGCTGAGGTTTCTTTGAAAGTGCGCTCTATGCTAGCACTCTTTTGCTGCTGGTCCAGAGTGGCTTGAAGTTCGGTTCTTCCGCATCCCAGGTACACTTCAAGCAGAAATTCAAACAACCGGTCCCCAAACAGGTCCCTCAAGAACTGTCGGTGTGAGAAAATGTCTTCGCATGTGGCAACGCCTATGCTAGCGAGTTGCCGATCCAGAGTATGCCCAACCCCTGTCACCTTCCTCACGGGTAGATCTTTGATGAAGGCCATCATGATATCCGGCTCGCTGGGCAACTGGTACTGGCCATCTGGTTTAATGAACGTGGAACTGATTTTTGCGAGTTGGATGTTGGCTGCGATGCCTGCGGCAACTGCGATGCCTGTCTCGTGCCTAATGTCCTTTCGCAGACTCTCGACCACATCCCACGGTTTAATGTCAAATTCAGTGCAGTATTTCGTGATGTTGAGATAGGCTTCATCAGTGCCGCAGATTTCATACCCAGGATCGTACTTCTGCATGAGCTTACAGATTTGAGCCATCACCTCCCTGTATCGATCATGGTTGGGCTTGACAATTCTGAGACTGGGGCACATTTTCTTGGCGACCGCGATTACCATTCCAGCTCGACATCCGGTCTTCCTGGCGATGTAGTTGCAAGCTGCTACAACGGTGTCCCCAACGGCAAAGGGCACGTCCTTCAGTTCAGGGCAATCATTCTGCTCGACCGAGGCATAGAACGCGTCGCAATCGATATGGACGATGGACTGCGAAAGATCTCGATTATCCTTGAGGCGAGCGACAACTTTATCAGCGTGAACGAGCTGGGACGTAGTATCTGAGTCTTCCAGGAGACGTTTCTTCTCTATCAGCGCGTTGCATTTTTCGGTTAACGCCTGATCTCTCTTTTGTTGGTGGTTGAAATATAGCGAGTCTTTGGAGGCTTCGTAAACAGTCCGGGCGATCTGGCACCAATAGGTCAGTGGTTGGCACGCATGGACTGAACTGTTGTTGACTTTGCGTGACTGACCTTGTCGCGATCCACGCCTTCGTAGCCCTTTTTAATGGCCGCAACACCAACGAACGATTTGAATAAAGTTGAGTCCGGCTTTATGGCTTGATTTGAACCAGCCGAGGAAGCCATCTTTGGGGAATTTGCTGTGCTGATGCGGCATCTCGATCGCCGAAGTCTTGGAGATTCACGGTTTCTAGACTGGAAGTGCGAGAAACGTGCTTAGGTGATCGTACATCAACTACCCTATAGCACAATCACGATCATCTTTGGAACGAGTTGGCGGACTGCGATGATGTAGGCAACAAGCGTTATCGGTCCATTTTTAGATAAAAAACAGTCTGAATATTCATTTTTATTTAACTTTCTGCAGTGAAGATTATCAGGAATTGCCGTGGGAGTGTCTGATATGTGAGTAATCACTTGATGACAGGGAAGTTTGAGGACTGAACAGCGAGAACCGACGACGCCCGGATATTCTCCTCTCCCACTCCAGCCTTAACACTTTATCTAGACTCAACGGTGTTTTACGAAGATCATTATCGACGCTAAGGCTAAATGTGAGAGAAATACGACGAGCTCTTCCGATACTGGCCGTCACTGCCGAAATAATAAGTCGCCATGGTGTAGCAGAATCTAGAATGCTCCATGGACCACGGAGACTGCCGCGCGAGCGTTGGGCCTAGTTCCTGCATAATACATTAAATATAGCCTTGTCCAGCCTAATGCAGCAAGGTGCGTCGGGTCATTGATTCATCAAAGTGCCAAAACAGCGGAGCGAAAGGGGCTAAAGTACGGATGAGCAGGGTCAGACGAGCCCGTCTGCCCATTTTCTTGCTCGCCATCGGCGATCGATCGAGGCTCGGTGGATCCCTCCACGGCTGCCTCCTGCAAGCACCTGCCCCTCGCCTTCTGGGGAGACGGACACACAGCTGATTCCACATCACACAACATAAACATGCCGGATTAGCGATGACTTCGACACGGAGGCCAGGCGTGTCCTTCTTCCCTCGCGCCGACGCCGCTGTCCTGTCCTCTCAACATGAATCGCTTCCAGCACGGGAACAGACCGTGGGGCCCATCTACGACCCTCGTAACTTCGACAAGCCCCTCGAGCCGTGGCCCTTCGCCTCCGGAGAGACTCTCTATCCTCCCAAATCGGACCAGTTTGCGCCCTCGTCTATTCCGGAGAAACCCCCATACCTGACGGACCCCTACCTGCGGGCTTTCCTCGCCCGGAATGAGAGACTCAGGCTGTCGATGCTCTGGTACTACACCCGGGGCATCCTCGACGAGCCTGAATTCCGCGCTGGCCTGCAGGAGAAGGTTCAGCTTGCCCAAGAGTCGACGGGTTGGGAGTTCGCCATCGTTGGTATCCTCGATATTAACTTCTACATCCGCATCGCAACCGTGGGCGTCCCCGTCTCCATCCTTCCTCGCGGTGAAACCCTTTGCGCGCACACCGTGACGCAACCACCCGGCGTATGGCTTCCACCTCTTTCTCTCCCGTGTGTGTTTCTGTATCATGCTGATCATCTGCTTAGAGCATTTTCCTATTGCCGAACATGCTAGAGGATTGGAGGTATCAAAAATCGCCATATGCAGAATCTGGCGGGCTTCAGGCGTATGCGGGTGCTCCCTTGCGTTTGCAAAGTAGCGACGGCGACTGTGTCGGACTTGGATCCCTTTGCGTTGCGTCAGGGACTAGCCAAGAACCTCTAACAAAGATACAGCAACAAACTCTCGCCCGACTTGCTGACTGGGTGTCGGCCGATATCGTGCAGTGTGCGAGAGCAAGGCGCCAAAAAGACCGACGTCGAATGTGGGAGTTGGCTGCTGTCGCGCAGAGGGAGGTTGATGAAACCAGTTCTCAAGAGCCCGTTTTCAAAATACTTGAGACTATCTACCCCGAGGCTACCCATTACCCTCCAGCCTTCCCGCGATGCCCAGATCGACATCGAAGGACAAGGGTCTGTCCCATTGTCTGACTTTGAGAACGGCCTGTGGGAGGATATCGACTATATCGACGACTTCATCGCCAAATCGAACCAACGTGAACCCCCGTCGACGAAGGTGGTGCGCATCCTCACTTCGCCATGCGAGAGTATATCTGGGCCTTCCTTTTTGGTCATCTCATCCCGCGATTTCCGACTCATCTTTGACGACATTGACTTGTGGTTCGTTCAGCTCTGCGCCGCCATGATCTCACAACTCTGGCACAAATTGCTATTGGAAGAGGCTTTGGTTGCCAAGGAGAAGTTTCTTCGCGGGTTTTCGCATCAGCTCCGAACACCCATCCACGGGATCCTCGGATCCGTCGAATTATTGGCTGAGGTATTAAAGCCCAAACTTCCCAGTGGAACCACGCCTCCACCGTCCGACGCTGAAGAAAACATTCGGGCTGCTGAGCCCTCCTTGTACCTGGACACCATCAAAATCGCCGGAAGAGATCTCATATCGATAGTGAATAGCATGATTACTTTGAATCGATGGGCCGACATTGCCATGGCTGATCGTTGCTATTCCATGCATACCGTCCATGACCTTGAGACGGAGCTGGGAGATGAGATCCACAAGATGCTGGTTGAGGATCCGCGCTACAGATCGTCGATTTTTTTCGAATCGACCAATGATGTTCCTTTCAAGATCGACATCGGCCTTCTCCGAGATTGTCTACTGCCGCTAGTCATCAACGCCATCCAGAACACGCAGGATGGGATGATCAAGGTAAAGATTACGGCGCACACTGATGCGAAGGAACTCGTTGTCGACATAGAAGATAATGGTAGAGGGATCAGTCCCGATGACTACCAACGGATATTTGAGCCTTACGAAAAGGTTGACACGCACTCTGGCGGTGCAGGTTTAGGATTGACACTGGCTTCCAAGTTCGCGACGCTTCTTCATGGCTCCATCACTTTAGAATCATCTAGCATTGGCCGTGGCTCACTTTTTCGCGCCACATTTCGCAAAGTCGAGTTTTCGCAACCAGAAATAGTATCCCCACCACTCAAGCTGCAGAGCTTTCCTTTGCAAGTTTATGTTAAGGAACCATCCTCCGAGGACCTTTCACTGCACAACTGTTTCTCCGACTTTCTCGCTCGGAACGGATTTACGCGGTCAAACCAGAAAGAAGATTGCTATGTGATTCTCCTTGATTATTTCGCCGACGTGAAACACGGCGACAAATCCCAGATTCCGCCTGGTAAGGCTGGGGTTTGTTTAATTCCAACCACAGAGAAGGAATCCTACTTTGAGCAAGCTTCCAACGACATACTATTCTTCACAGGTCCATTTTCAACGTCAAAGTTGCGTTCAGCAATCGAAGAAATCAACAGAAGATTGGAAAATCTCGGAACTTTGCCAGAGGATCAGCCTCTGACCAGTGCTCCGCCATCCAACCAGCCACAGTCGGAGGAAGGACTCGTCGAAAAAGAACTCCCTGCACACACGAAGCCCTCAGAAATCCCGATTCCGGAATCAGCTGAACCAGCAGCACCCGAACCGGAACCAGCACCCGTAGCACCAGAGGTCCTGCCGAGCCCGATTCCCATCGCAGAAACAAGGGAGGCCGATCTGGGAAGCATACTGATCCCGACGAGAGCCCCCAAACCCACGACGCTGCTGGTGGACGACAACGCCATCAACCTGCGCATCATGCAGATGTACTGCACCAAAAGAGGTCTCCCCTACCTCTGCGCCAAAGACGGAAGAGAAGCGGTCGAGGCCTACTCCAAACACCAGGTCGACGCTGCCGAGGGCAAGGTTAGCCCAATCGAACTCATCTTCATGGACCTCCAAATGCCAGTCTGCGATGGCATCGAGGCGACCCAGACGATCCGCCAGCTGGAGAAGGAGAAGCAGTGGGCTGAGTCGACCGTGTTTATCGTCACGGGCCAGGACAGCCCGGCTGATCGAGCTGCCGCGGACGGCGCTGGGGCCCATGAGTACTATGTAAAACCTGTGAGCGTTGCAACACTTGATTTAGGCGTGGTTCGGTATTTTCCTGCATTCAAAGCAAAGTGAGCATACATACACGAGAGATAATTATAATAAGAACACGAATATTTTCTCAATGCAGGGGTTGAAGAATGAATCACATGGTTGTCATGGTGGAGTCGATATAATCTATTGACAGACTCACAATTCTATGAGTCTCGCTGCACGATCTACTTATGTCTCTATGGCTTGCTCTGACTTTGGGAGTGTTCAATCAGAGCGTGACAGCCACAACCTGTCCCCTGCCCCCGCTGGCCTCGGTCGTGCCTCCAGTCACGACGTACACCGTCTTCTCGTCCTTGCTGAGCGCAGTGGATGTTGGTCCCGCAAGCACAATATCCCCGGAATCATCGACAAGTACGGTTTGCTTTCCATCAGGGGTAACTTTGACCAGGAAGTGAGGGTGCAGGCCAATATAAGCCGTCCCGTCGCGGGCCAGAGAAAAGTCGTCGTAAGCAGCGCCTCCTGGCACGGTATCGGCACGCGCAATCTCCTCGATGTCCCCAGCCCGGTCCCCATTGTCGGTAATCTTGACCCTTCCAAAGAACTGCTGGGCCGAGTTGGTGAAGTACAGGTAGTCGCCATGAACATGGAGCCCATTGATGCCGAGCGGGACAGGTGCGCCGGCGGAGATTCCCAGTTTCTCGTCTTGGAAGGCGATATCGAAGGCGCCCGTCGCCGTGTTGGTGCGGAAGATGTTGCCTTCCTTTGACCCAGCGTGGAGCACGATGTGCGGATGCTTGGGCAGAGCGGTCATGCCGTTCAGCATGGTCGTGTTGCCACCCTTGGCTACTGTCTTCACGGTGGGCTTGCCGTTCTTCTCGCACTTCTTGAAGCTTATGATGGCGGTCTGGGCGGTTCCAGCCTCCCAGGCATAGTTGGCAATGTCGCTGATACCGCCAGTAACGGCGAAGACATCATGGGTGACTTGGGCAATTCCCGTTAGTCCGGTGATGCCGGGAACCTGGGCGATCAACTCAGCCTTGGGATTCTCGGCGCTGGGGTCCAGCGTGTAGGTGCTGGCGTTGGCGAAGGTGTTGAGGAGCAGATGACCGTTGGAGCGAATGGCGATGTTTTCAACGAAGGTCGCTTCGGGGAACTGGTAGAGCTGTTGCACTTGCACTGCGCCAGTCAGATGTGCGGCGGCTCCGAGGAGCAGAATTGACGGGACGAAGGAGGCGAGAGACGGCATGGTTGATTGTGAGATATCGATATGTGCTTCCTTTCGTCTGAATGCAGGAAACATTTGACAGACAACCAAAGTTCCTTCTCGAATCCTTTATAGTGTGAGCCCTCTGACCCTTGTCAAAGCTATTCCCCGCCAGCCGGGGTTTGAGGTTGGCGGTGGAGGATCAGCGTGAGTAATACATTCATGCCCTCGATGTTTCCGGACCTACAAGTTTCCTATCTCCGCCAAAAGTCGCTGCCGTGCTGACGACAAGCTGGTTAATTAACCTAGTCTCTCCACCTTGTTCGCCCTTGACTCGAAAAGGAAAATGACGACCCTGGCTCGATTATCCTAATTGAGTGTTGAGCCCGGAGATGTCGCCTTTTGTCACTTTGTGATGTGGTAAGCAGATCACTAGATCTGGGGCATGGCTCGTAGATGTCATGGCAAACTCAGACAATTCTCTTCCATGATGAGGTCTTTCCCCCTCGATGATTTCGGCGGCTACGCAGCCAAGACTTTCAGCTTCAGTTCCACGCCTGATGACCCTATATCCATTGATGTTGCCTAGTCTACTCATTGTCTTGAGATGTCGGGTCTCGCATCTTTCATTGTTGTTTTTTATCTTATACTCGAACTCTCTCACCCGATCTCGTCGAATCAGAATAACCTGATGGATCCCCAAGTGCAATCCTGATCTATTACCACGGTCAATTCCTCGTATGGCCCTTAAGTGGTGCACTTCCCCTCTTTGTTCATTCATTCATTTGACTTAGGTACGTGGAGACCGTCACGACTTCTTGCCATATTGGCTAGTGCACATATCTGCCTCACGCAGTTGGATATTTGCCACCCCAGAATATCGTCTCACCCCCGAATCCACAGCTCACGAGTCGATGAACGGCGTTGTTTCCGCCTTTACATGGGTTTAGTCGTCGTTCTCGGGCCTCTTGGGCCGTCTTATCGGATCGGTGTTGGTTTCGGGATCAATCGTTGGGGGCTATTTCGTGTAGGCGAATGCTGTGGTTGAGAAAATTGTATTCATTGTGTTGAGTTATCGGGCTCTGGCAGCTTCCATTGCTGTTAAACTTTATTCTCTTTCTCTTACGAGGTTGAGAAGAAGCCAAGGTCTGGTGTTAGTCTATGGGGTGCTGAACCTAGTCAGCCCTCGATGCATCACTCTTGGGCCTAACGTCTCTGGACCGGCGGTATCCTAGACAGATCCGGTATTGCCAGCGTTTCCGAAGGGCAAAGAGAAGTTTGAAACTAGAAAGAGAATCAGTGCGTATGCATTGCCTCCTCCGACCCCAGATGACTGGGGCAGAGTCTAGTCTTTGTGCTTCATCTGGGAGGGGGTGTTTGCAGACTACGTTACTGGCGTTGACGGCATTGGCCGGGAAATCGTCGAAGGAGTTGAATCGAGAACCGCAGAGCACCGGTGTTTGTTCTCCTTGTCGTTCGCTAATGTGACCGACTGACCTCAAACCCTACTACTGCATGGTATCAACGGCTTGGCGGTTTCCGTTAAGTGCAGACAGAAAGCGGCAGAAAAGCGTGGTGTTGATGGTGTCGAGTGTTGGTAGAGTTGCCCTCCGGCGAGGATCAGGGGTTTGAAACTTAATCAAACGTCAACGTGAATGAGGAGGCTGCAGGTGGTGATAGGGCCACTGCGGCGGAGAGCTTGAGGAAGGCCGTCTTTTTCCTGAGCACCTCCCTGGCACGATAGAGAGAGCACATGCAACCATCAACAAAACGGCCTGATGTTTTTCTTTCTGCCTGGGGCATCCACTTGACAACACCCACCGCTCTAGAAGGTGCGTAGGGTCAGAACAGGCAGTTGCAGTGCAGGCTGGAGGTCGCACACAGCTGTAGACTAGCGAGCCAAGTACCTCGAGATAGATTGTAGCTGGAGAAGACAGGCACAATACTACCTGGAGTGACTTGCGCCGTGCTTCCTGCTCGTGTCTTGTTTCGAAGCTGCACGCGCTAAAGTTTACACAACCCGCGTCACTCAGCTTTGTTGTTTCTACCTACTACCTACCTACCTACGCGCACTCAGCTTTCTTCGCACCTCACATCTCACTCTTTTTTTTTTTTTTTTCTTTCAGCTACGTCCTTTTGGCCCTCACTTCTTTTCGCTTTCTTTGCCCCTTCATTATCCTTGATTCACCCCTTCGTCCTTGTCTTCGCCTCTTTCGTCTCTTCATCCAAACACTATATTGATTTCTCGATCTGAGATCTTCCACCCACTGGCTGTTTCCTGTCGTGAGCTCTCTCACGGCGCCCGGTCGAAATGGCCACTCGTCCTGACAACTCTTGGTTGGCAAACATCCTCCACCATGTTTTCCTGCCCCCAAAGCTTCCGGGAAGCAACGACGAGAGACGGAACGAGTGGGAAAATTCGCTCACTCTTACCTTGAACAATGCCCTGAGAGACTTTGGCGATTTTGGGTGGCAAGAGTCTGAACTGGCCTCTATTAGATTGGCAACTCAGGCCCTCATCCAGTTCAGGAGCCTGAACCCTGTGACCTGGATGATTTCATCCAGTGATCTCATGGCGGTACTCAAGAAGCTCAGAAGCCAAGGTGAGTTGGTTTCCACCGTCAGCGTCGATTACTTTCTAGCTAACCCAATCGCTTTGTAGAGTTTGTTGTTCCGCTCTACATTGGACGTCAAAATGCTGGCATCATTGTTTACTCGAGCAAAGAGCATATCGTTTTCGAAACCTTTGAGCTTTCTCCGGAAAATCAATCCGTCTTCGCCAATAATGGTCGCCTCCGAAGAGACTTTCCCGCCGCCTCCGTGTCTTTACCGCGGGATGTGCTAGACCGAAAGGGGTTCCTCAGTTCCATTTCCGCCTTGATCGCAGATATGAGCGCAATGTCTATACCAGAGATGCAACCCACAATCGTGAAGGGAATCGAGGTCCAAGCTGAGGATCGTGACACAACTAAGCCACACATTGTCAGCCAGCTGTTGATGGCTGCTTTGCGACCCTTCGGCGAAATGCGCCGCACACGCACAATTTGGAAGAACACACGTGAAGAAGTTAGATATGAGTTCGGCAACAAGTTGCCTTGGAGGCGCTCACCGGTGTGGCTGTTGATGAGAGTCGTTCTACAGCTGACCCTCACCGATCAGTCAGTAACTCCATACAACGATTGCTCGTATAAAAAATTCATGGTGTACTTCATGGCACAGCTTTTGAAGCTGTCGCTGGAGGCAGATCGGCCCAATGATGATATTTATATCATGAACGCTAAAATCACTCGCCGCCTTCGAAAGCTTGATGTCAAACAAGCTGAACCATGGATGACGCCCGTGTGTGCCATCATGAGAGATGCTACCGCAAAATTGAACGAGCGGTGGCAAGATGTTGTGCGACAAGACCTTAGGCGTCTCAAGACTGCCAATGTTTTCCCCTCCTCTCCCGATCAGGAATGCAAACTCTCGCTTCCTCAGCTTGACAGTTTTCTCCTCCAAGCCCGGCAGCGTGCATTTAACATGGAGACCGACACGTTCATTCCCTCATCCAACATCATGCGTTTGTCATCAGATATTATTCCATCACCGTTTCAAGCCGAGTCCGGAGCGTATCAGATTTACAACCTTGCGGCATTCGAAAACTGGGTAGCTCAGTGCCTACCTAACTGGATCAATAGCCACGTCAACGATCAAAGCAGCTGCACTCAGCTATACTACACCATGGAGGATTACTTTGACATTGCCAACACTGCTTACGAGTCTCAACCGGAGGGCCAGTCCATCATGCTCCTCATACTGCTGGAGCTTTGGGTTGCTTGCGATAGGTCAGCGGTCGCCATCTATCCCCTTTTGCTAGATTATGATCCCGAGGTGCCAGCAGAGATCTGCTCCTCGCTTTTGCTTCGCTTCCGAAGCCAAATGAAACGACTGTCCGTGATTGAGAGACATATTTATGAACGACGGCAAAAGGCTACACACAAACGGACTTCGATTTTCACTGCATTTGGGACGAAGGAAACCTTTGCTGCTCGATTCTTCGACTCCTCCTCCCATCACAAGAAAGTACTGGACAGAATTGAGTCGAGAGCAAGAGAGGAAGAACATGAAAAACGTCTCGAATTCAGGAAAATGAAAAAAGCCTACGATGCTCTGATTTTGGAAGCTGGAGTTATGAGTCACCAAGAGACTATGGTCACTGACTCCTATGGTGACCAACGCAAGCAACATGCCAACTCCTGCAAGAAGTGCTCGTTAGTCAAGCAAGCTGCTAATATGGAGATCCAAATCCACGAATGGCCTCTACCTAGCGATGGAATAAAAGCTAAATCAGTTGTATTTGAGCTCGAGCTTCCTTCCAATTTTCGGCATTGGCGCGACGGTACATATTTCCTCCGCAAACATGTCCTCGGACCTCGAAGCAATCTGGGCAGTTCCAATTCAGTTTATTCTCAATCCTTGAACGACTACCCGGCGCTTACCAGATTCAGGCCGTCAGACCCGGACTATGCCCATCAAAGGGTAATGCCAGCATCGACAACCAAGCCTAATGCTATCACCCATCGTTCCGGGAAGAAGATTAGTGAGTCTCGCGAGGATCAAGTATGTCTCAGTAATGGGATGAACTGGCATTATTTTGACACAGAGAATAATATCTTCATCAACAACTTCGGCCCGGATGTCCGCATTGCTGAGGATTGCACATTCCTCGTCCCCCCACCCCTGAAGGATTTTTTATATCGGCCATGGAATAGTCCGGATGGGCCAGGCCCAAATAATGCCGTGGCAAGTCAATCGCTCTGCCCTAATCACCTCTCATTAGATGAGTTCAAGGCTCTGTGTTCGCTCCCTTTGGGCCACAAGATTATTTGGGAGAATCTTCTCAGAGAATTTGCCATACCCTCAGTTGATTGGCGCAAGGTTGAGACTGCACTCTTCGCTTTGCAAATATCCCACCAAACTGGCCCTTTCTCCTTTGATTCTGATTTGAGATCATCGCATGTGGGACTTGAAGACGAAGCTTTGGTTCAGAAGTTAGTGGGCGAGATGGGTTTGTCGCTTAACAGACTCAATGAGAACTGGGAATCTGTTCCAGCAGTCGCGACCCTGATCATGGTAACAGCTCGACTACTTTCACTCACGAAGGGCGCTTCTACCCAAATGTGTCTCGCGTTTTTATCCTCTTGTCGGCATACCTGTTTCAAGTGGCTACAAACCTTGCGCGACAAAGTCTCTTCAACTCGAGGTACGATCCCACTGCAGAGTTTGACTAGACGTATTCTACAGGCAGCCCTAGTATGCACACAATCCTACGACATTGATGCTACCTATCTGGATTTGACGCTGAGAGATTGTGAAGCTCTCTCGCAGTTCATCCAGTGTTCTATTGCGATTCAAGAATGCTTCGGTAAACACAAAGATGATACCAAACAAGCTGAAAAATCTTTCCTTGATTGCCTCATTTTAAGATACCGTCGTCTTTTGTTTCGCACAAAGAAGATCCTGACGAGCCAAATCACATCTCAAGGAAATAAGGGTCTTGACTCTGCTATAGCGAAGATATGGCCATCTTTTAGACGCTCGCGTGGGGACCAATGGATAGAACAGGCGTCATGTTGGCTCAAGACCACTACCTCGAACCAGAATGGCACAGTGAAGGTTCCAGTTCACTACAATGTGATCACAGCTGAATTACTGGTCAATGGTCTTCCATTGGGTCGACTCCCTCCGAAGTACGAAGCCCACAAGGATTATACTATTCTGTTCGGACGCTCGTCAGTGGACGTGATGCCAAGTGCCGAAGCGGGTATGAGATTTTCAACTCGATGCAGCATTCAAGGACATCAGATTCATCTATGCTATGGCCCTCACCACAATGATCTTAGGGTGCGCGCTTGTAAAGAAGATACTTTGTGGGAGCTTGTCCCGTCTCGCCTATTTGAGCAACATTTTCCGGAGCACTTTGCTGATAAATATGTCCACTGGTACAATACGGCGAAGAAATTTGTTGAATTTCGACCACTCAGCCAACCCTGGATGTCAGGCGGGTCATCATGGACGCTTAGCAAGCAGGAATTCTTGTGGATTCTTCAGAAGTCTGATACTTGTCTCGTTGGCCCGTTCTCAAGAACTGCGAAACAGTTGCATGAGGTGTTTCGGCCTCTCGAGAAGCCGTCTGCTGTGCACATCTTTTTCGACAAGGCCGCAGCTTCTCTTTTGATTAAGATTCCCAGACTTCAACTCGAATTTTACATAAATGAAGGTTCAGAAGATATAATGTCCCGCCAATATAGAGGGATGCGTGTTGATCCTCAGCAAGCCATCGGGACGCTCATTGGACTTGCCGACAAGCTGGTTTTGGTGAAGGTCGGGGACAGCCAAAACCGCTCGGTGCTGATTCCGGATTGGCAACCTGATCATCAAAAGAATAACAGCCACATCATTGTCAAAATGCACTGTTCTGCCACAAGAATTCAATCATACCAACTAAATCATCATCTCCACTGTTTGACAGGAAATGGAAGTCTGAAGAGCAAGTCATTCCTTGCGGAACTCCATGCCCTGACATCTGGACTCATTGAGGACCCGTTCACACTTCATACCGGTACTGAGGAGGCCTTAACAATCTTGCGATCAGCTGGCGTCCACTCATTCGCTTCTCTTTCCGAAGCAGAAATGGAAATTCTGAAGAGAATTGCCACGTTGTCTCCTGCCCGTAGCTTCTACCCCAAGCATCTCAGACTCATGCAGGTGGTCGATTGGGATGATCGAGGGCTAAGCCCATTAGTGCAGCATTTGGACTTCAGCAGACTAGTCCGCGCCTTGTTCAATCAAGCTTCAGAAACAGCCTTCCTCTACAAGGACTTTATCCAGCCTCCATCAATAGATAGGCAGCATGGAAGCCTAGAAGATCGCGAAGCTATCAGGTCCGCTTCCTTTTACAAAGCTGGATTTGGAGCTGAGTGGCATACGATAGCTAAAGATGCTCCATACAAGGGGGCTAGGGATAGAGATCAAAACTCCAAGCGTGCGAATCGAGTATCGAAAGTAGCCGCTATCTTCCGTGAGAGTCCTGTTAAACTTCCCTTTCAAATCTCACAGGATGCGGCAAGAACAATATATGGAAAGCTCAGTGGTCATCCGATTATCAATCCTAAGCAAGCCGGGGTTCCAAAACTATCATTCGATTCCAAGTGGGTTGGGAACGTATGGCCTCATCTCCGAGAGGCATGGGGAGGGATACAAAAGGCTTTCGAGAAAAGGAACCCCGATGACCACTTTTTACTTTTTTCATGGATGGTCTCTGTCGCCTTTGCGATGGATATTAACGAATCTACGCTCAGCGTGTTAATTGGGCTCATGTTTTACCCCAAAAATCGTCTGATGGCCTTTCCACAAAATTGCGCGTTAAATTTAGAGGAAGGACATCAAGTTGATTTAGTGTGGTTGAGAAGCTGCATCGAATCGCATTATATCGAACTTGGAAAGAGCACCATGTTGAGCCAAGTGCAACAACTCCCTGGAGAACCCCTAAGGGACACGTTCCAGAGAACAGAGTGTTTATTCAAGCGCCAGCGGAAGGAGTTTGCAAGCAGCTTGGAAAAACATGTCCACCAACTATGGCCCCGTGCGATTTCAGATCCGGGGAATGTTGCCGCAGGCCAGACCTTTCTCACGGTCTCCAAAGCCATGCATGCGATCCGGGCGAGGTGTCAAAGTTGGCATAACAACCTTCTGTTTCTCCAATCACTAGAGCAAGTGTCTGCCAATCTGCGCTGCATCATTATAAGCCCGACCATTTTGGGGCCCATTGATCGGACGCCACCTCTACCAGCGGCGCGAAATGTTCACCGATATATTCAGATCAATGACCTTTTTGCTCTTACAAGCACATTGAAAATTTCTGGAAGAGATTTTGTCGTCGAACCACCCAATATTATTATCCAGACCGAATCATCCAATGAAGCGTGTCTGGTATCGGCCTTAGGGCGCCGGATTGCCAATTTGGCCAAATTGCCCCAAGAGGGCCGCTACGTCGAGCAGCTGACTGAAAGTATTCACCAGTTGGGCCAGAATATAGAGCAGTCTTGTCTCACAGTTCATGGCGAAGAACTACTCCAGGTTCTTTCTGAATATCGCGACAACTGCCTAACGCAGTATAACAATCTATTGGAGCAGATAAAGAATTCACTGTCATGGTCGGTGTCCCAAAAGGACAATATGTCTTCCATGTACATTGCTGAAGGCACGGTAACATGGCCTTGCGTATCGCCCAGAGATCTTCTTGATCAACTCAACAGACAGAAATGGGGAACCTTCTCGGAGAATTGGAAAGAGATTGTTGCGAAGTTTGGTTGCTGTCTCTCGCAGCTCCAAGGTGCCGAGAGGTTGCTTCAGCTCCGCGAAAATGAGACAAACCTCATCAAGGAGTTGGCGAATCTCGGAAAAAGAACATGGAATCCTCTTGAATATCCAGATTCACTTCTACTAGAAGTAGAAGGTAATCTGAGGATCCGCAAGGTCCAACAAGAGATTGCAGAAATGATGGAAAACCCCCCAGTTGACGATAAGAACAATGCCGTAATGCAGCTGAATATGGGAGAGGGCAAGTCGTCTGTTATTGTCCCAATAGTTGCTGCTGCTCTCGCTAATGGTTCTAACCTGGTGAGGATCATTGTCGGCAAACCACAGTCCCGTCAGATGTTCGAGATGCTGGTTTCTAAACTTGGGAGTCTAATGGGCAGGCGTGTCTATCACATGCCTTTTTCGAGAAGTGTAAGGCTTACTATTGGACAAGCAAAGTTTTTACAGCGCCATTATCAGGAGTGTCAACGACAGGGAGGAGTTCTACTTCTCCAACCGGAGAACATATTGTCCTTCCAATTGATGGTTTTAGAGGCAGCCATCAACGAAGATGTGGGGTTGTCAGATACTTTGCTTCGGATGAAGGCAACTTTCTTTGATCCATGCTCGAGGGATATCATCGATGAAAGCGACGAAAATTTTTCGGTCAAATTCGAATTGATTTACACGATCGGATTGCAAACCCCAATTGATTATGCTCCGGAGAGGTGGGCGATAATCCAGCAAATTCTTGGTCTGGTTGTTCAGTATGCGCTCAAGATGTCTCGGCAATTTCCCAAGTCCGTTGAGGTCTACATCTCGACTCAGGGTAGGAGTCCAAGGGTTCGCTTCTTGGACAAGAAGGCATCGGATCAAGTTCTCGGTCTTGTGGTTGGTCATATATGCCAATACGGGCTTCTCCCGGGATTCCCAGTGTCCAGACTAAGCAAGCAATCTCGATTTAATATTCGAGAGTACATTACTAACCCGAAGCCAAGTCTCGAGGTAGCTTCCAGTGTTGAGGGGAGTGACTTCTGGGCCAGCTCCTCTCAGAGCCTCCTTCTCATACGAGGGCTATTTGCTGGGTCTATCCTTGATTTCGTGTTCTCGAAAAAAAGATGGAGAGTCAACTACGGCCTTGACACGACACGGGAGCCTAATACTCGACTAGCTGTTCCTTACCGTGCCAAGGACAACCCAAGTCAACGTTCAGAGTTCAGTCAGCCCGATGTTGTTATTTCACTGACCTCAATGACTTACTACTACGGGGGTCTCACGGACGATGAACTTTTTCTTTCCCTCAGCCATCTTTTAAAGTCTGATCAGGCAGATGGGGAGTACCAGAGTTGGGTACAGTCAATCGAAAAGCTCCCAGAGGCATTTAGACAGCTACAGGGCGTCAACATCACTGACCGGCAGCTTTGCATCAATCAACTATTCCCCCATCTTCGGTACGGGAAAGGTGTGATTGACTACTTTCTATCAAAAATTGTGTTCACAAAAGAGATGAAAGAGTTCCCTCATAAACTCTCGGCCTCAGGATGGGACTTAGGCCGTATTAAGAAGCTACCCGCCACTGGATTCAGCGGCACAAATGACTCGCAGCACGTGTTGCCCCTGACAGTGAAGCAGCTTGACCTTCCTGCACAAAAGCACACGAATGCGCTTGTACTGGATAACTTGATGCGGCCTGAAAATTCAGTCACTCTCCTGTCTGCACAAGACAGCCATAGCGCAGTCTGGAGCGCCATGCAGCTACTGGAATTGACTGTGAAGATGAACCCGGAGATTCGCGTAATCCTGGACGTGGGAGCGCAGATCATTGACCTCTCCAATATAGACGTGGCCAAAGCTTGGCTCAACCTGGTTCAAGTTAAACAAGATATCCAGGCGGTGGTCTTTTGCGACGACGAAGACGAGTTGTCTGTCTTGGACAGGCAAGGCCACATTGAACGGCTCCAGACTTCTCCCTTTGCGAAGCATCTTGATTCGTGCCTGGTGTTTCTCGACGAGGCGCATACCCGAGGTATTGATCTCCGCTTGCCACAAAGTTATCGCGCTGCCGTGACCTTGGTGCGAATTTGGTCAAAGACCGACTGGTACAAGGTGAGTCTTCTTGAAATCCCCCACCTGGTTTTTAAGAGGCAGTTCCTTTCTCGAATATTTACTGACACTCTAAAGCGTGCATGAGGATGAGGGAGCTTGGCCGTGGCCAATCTGTCGTTTTTTATGTGCCTGAAGAAATCGAGACGAAAATCAGAGCATTAAGAACTGCCAACAGCGACAGTACTGTGGACGAGCCGATAGCCGTCTTGGACGTTCTTGCTTGGTCCATCTCGGAGACTTGGATCGACATTCGCCGGTCGTTTCCCATCTGGGCAACGCAAGGGAACACATTTGCACGTCAACACGAGTATTGGGAATCGATGAGTAAACCTGATGGTAAGAAGGAGATCAACAAAGATCTAGCAAAAAAGTTTCTCGAGAATGAGGCGCAAACGCTCGAGCAGCGGTATGGGCTGCAGCCTCAGGGGTCTAGTTTCATCGACGGCTTGGCTCAGTCTCAGAACCCAATGCTACGAGAGATTTTTCAAAGATATTCCGAGTTCGGCAATACAGATTTGGATTCGAGCTCGTTGCAAGAGGAACAAGAGAGAGAATTAGCGCCGGAAGTTGAGGAGGAACGACAGAAAGAGCGTGCAAAGCCAGCAGAGCCCTTGCGGCATAAGGTCCACCCCGATGTGGTGGCCTTCGTGCGTACTGGAGTGATCAAACACGCCCGCGGCGCGTTCCGTCCATCGTTCAAGCTGTTCGAAAGAACAAGTGCCGCGGCTGAGCTACGGATTGCTCAGTGGCCAAGCGGCCTCCTGATCACAAATGATTTCGCCCTGACAGTCAAGCCAGAAGGTTCTCCCAATTATTCATACATGGATGATTTTCTTCGAAGCGTCCAATGGATTCTCACAAGTTCTGCTTTAGGGGAGATGGTTATGGTGGTGATCAGTCCTTACGAGGCAAACGAGTTGCGGGATGAGATTGCGAAGTCGCAGGTGGTTACGCGCCACTTGTATGGAGCGAGACAAAACCAAGGGATTGCCCCGATTGACAGTCTTGATCTGTACACCCTTCCTGGCGGTGCACCTCGACATGAGATTCCGAAGAAGTTGATCATTGAGCTCAATCTCTTTGCAGGACAGCTGTACTTTCGATCATTCCAAGAATATACCGAGGTTTGCGACTACTTGGGTCTGGCTTAGAAGGCAGCCGAAGAGGGTCAGGAGATTGCGCCGGATGGGTTCATTCGACGGGCGAAGCATGACAAGACGTGCGACTTCACCGTAAGCCCAGTCAAGTTTCTCAAGGCCATTATCGGCAGGATTCGGTTCAACTGCGAGGGTATTGAGAAGACACATCTTGGGAAGATTTTGGAGGGAGCTTTGCTGACAGAAGATGATTTCCGTTGTGAGCTTTGAAGGGCATACGCGCCTTGCTTGAAGGCTCCATGAGGTGAACGAGAGGCGCGAGCGCAGGTTTGGGATGAGGAGAATGAAGGAGTTAGTGAAGCTCGAGTAGTTTTTTGTATGGAATCGCCATCTACCAACTTCAGATTCTTGAATTTGCCATGGCTTTTTGTAGGTTAAATGTTTGATAATTCATAAGATTCAACGCCCTCACAGAAATCTGATGCGGTATGAGGTGGTTTAACATTTATGCAGCGAGCGAGCCAAGACGCTTGAGGTCAGTCATTTCCTTCCATTCTCGCCGAATAACGACACCAATAACGCCAGATATGGTGGAATGCATCGCTCAATTGAATGGCCAATTGGCTTCTTCTACGGGTGACTGGCGTTTCAGAGTGGGCGGCTCCCTTGACTTTGAGCCATCCTGAAACAAGTAAGAAAAGATGACGGGCTGGACTAATCAATGCTTTAGGCATCCAGCAAGGCGTATTTATCCATCATCCCTCATCCGCACCGCACCAGCAGCCATTCTTCATCTCAAATGCTGATTTATTTGACTTTACTCCCGTGCACCACAGCAATTAATCGATAATCCGGGACGTGCCGGCACTCCCACTCATACAGCGACGGAGTATACATAATTATAACGATGGGCGCCTCAAAGGAGCATGGACTGGCGCCGGGCCGCCAATCGACGAGTGCAACGACTGATGACGCAGTATCAACCGCACGAGAAGCCGTTCGAAATGCTGAGCAGACGTACGAAAGAAAGCATATAGAAACGAAAAATGCCAAAATCAAACTTGCACAGTGTCTACAGGCTCATGGCGACTTCGAAGAGGCCTTGTCTCTATCACGGACTGTCTTGAGCGTGGCCCAGGACACATTCGGCCCTCGCCATCCTGAGACCTTCTCCGCAATCCATCATCTCACTGTTCTGCTGGCGGAGCAGAGGCATACTGCCGAGTTTGAGACGACTGCGAGGACGCTCATAAAAGATGGCGCCGACACTCTCGGCGACGATCATCCAATTGTCATCAAGGCAACGGCAGCCCTAGGCCGTATGTTACGGCGCCAGAATCGTTTGGAAGAGGCGGAGCAGTTCATGAGGGACGCATTCGAAAAGTCCGAAAGATCTTACGGCTCCAACGACGAGCGAACTCTTGAGAGCATTGATGATCTTGCAAGGACACTCCTGCTTCGTGGAAAGATGCAGGACTCTGAGCCGGCAGTGGAAGAAGCCGAGTTGTTGATGGAGGAAGCGCTGGACGCGAGCGAGAGGCTGCTTGGCGTTGACAATGCCGAGACAAACTGGAGACGAGCCGAGCTGGCCTCCACGCGGCTTTTCATGGGCAAAACTGACGAGGCGGAGGAGTTGATGGAGGGAGCGTTCCAGAGATATCGGAAATCGCTGGGCGAATACCATCCAGACACGATATGGGCAGAAGCATTCCTTGCGACCACAGATCCCGAGATCCGGGACGTTGTGAAGAAGAGCGTAAAGGCCCTTCACGATGGGCTGCCAAGAGTGAACACTACAATAACTTCGCTCATAGACAATTTTGCAGACCAGGGTCACTTCAAGGAGGCGGAAATTCTCGCGCGGGCCATGCTCGAAACCAGTCTTCGTGCTCATGGAGACGATCATTCCGACACCATCGACCGACGAGAGAAACTGGCAGCCTTGCACCAGCGCATGGGCGACCTTGACGGAGCCAGCCGGCAATGCAGAATGGCTTCGCAGAGTCGCCAGCGAATTTTTGGCCATACGCACACGGGAATGATCCAGGCGGTGGACTTGTTTGCCAACGTGCTCAAGGATCAAGGAAAGTGTGAGGCCGCAGAGGCCGTCTGCTGGGATTTCTTTGCCGTCTATCCGACGCCTGACCAGCCGAACCATTTTGCCCTCGCCCTAATGACGACACATGCCACCATCTTGAAACAATTGCAAAAATATGAACTGGCGGAAAAGATCATGTCCGAAGTTCTACGGCATAGGATAACGATGAACGGGAACGATCACAATCTTACCGTCTGGGCGGTGGCCTGGCTGGGCAGTCTGTATCTCGAACAAGGCGCATTCTCGCAAGCAGAGCCTCTAATCCGGGAAACCTATGATAGTAAGAAGCGAGTGCTCGGTGATGAGCATGCTGGTACTCTGATCGAGGGCAGGAGGCTCGTTGAAACCATGAGTCGTCGGACCGTAACCAACGAGGACGTCGCGTTTGTCAGCGATCTTTATGAAAAAGTGGTTCGGATATTTGGTCAACAGCATGAGGAGTCAATTCTTCTCGGGCAGCAACTCGCTATCCTGTTGAACAAGCAAGGGAAATCTGATGAAGCCGACGTGCTCATTGCCACGGTTGTTGAGCGCCGTCGGTCTGTCTCTGGCGACCACAATCTAGCCACTTTATGGGTTATCGCGTGTCAATTAGGCATGCTTCAGGAACATCTGAAATACGACGAGGCAGAGCCCATAGCTGAAGGGCTCTTGGCAGCGACACGGAAGATTGCTGGTGAAGACCACCTCACCTCCATTCGGGCCCAGAACACGCTCGCCATTGTGAAATTGCACCAGAAGGCTCTAGATGATGCGGAAACTCTCGCAAGAGACTCGCTGGAACGTACTTTACGGGTATATGGTAAGGGAACTCGGGAAACCACCGAGTCGGCGTCTACCCTTGCCACGGCGCTCGGTGCCCGAGGCAAGTTTGACGAAACGGAGAGGTTGCTGAGCGCTAGCTACCGTATGGGCAAACGTCGCAGAGGGGGGGAGGATGAAGATACAGTCGAACTGATGGAAAATCTTGTACATGTGTTGAAGAAGGCTGGAAAGCGCGAGGAGGCAATGAAATGGGCGAGGAAGCTATACGAAGCCAGCCAGCAAACGTTGGGCCATGACGACCGTGTGACTGTCAGAGCCCGGGAAGAGATTGATAGTCTGCGAGTTCAAAAGCAGCCGGGTGATGAGGCAGGTGTCACGGTGCGCCGAGCTGGTGATGACACAGTGACGGCGTTTGGGAATGGCCAGTCTGACGCGGTGCAAGTGGTGAAGCTATTGGACCCTCTAGCAATATTGGCCAGAACGGCCGCTGCAGTGGAAGTACCATATGAAGAGAAGGAAGATTCGAAGGAATATGTCCTGATCTGATGGGGATACAGAAATTACACGTTGATTTGGCATTATCGGAAACCAAGAGTTAGGATTTTATCTGTATACAGAATCAGAAACCTATAGAGTGAATTCCACCTTCATTTACGCATCGATGCAGCTCTACGGGGCACCAAGAACACGTCCGGGAAAGCCATAAATAAGTTACTGGTGAACGCGTTCGCTCAAAACTGATGTGTCGTCGTGGTCGATACCAGATAGAATCGCCTCGAATCTAACAAAGCCTGCCGCCTTGCGGATATGGCTAACCCCTTGACGCATATCACCGATATGCCTGTCTGTTGAGATCAAATAAGAGACTGGTACAGACGTTGAATTTCAGGTCGTTGTCGCTGCATGGCACGACCCTCCCCTAAACTATTGAATGTAAACCAGAGAGCAATAATGATCCTTATATTCCTATCCGACATCTACTAATCCCCCATCATCGGCTATGATGTTTCGAGCATGCCCACATCACTGTGTTTTCGGGATAATCATTGACTTGTAGTACAGCCTCTTCATCAAGTACTGGGAAATGAGCCATTCACCGTCCTTACGTGTCCAGGTTTCGTAGTAATGCCCTCCTCCAACCCCATGAACACCGTCGGGGACCCCGATAGCTCCCACTTGGTACGTGACAGTACAGATAGTCTTTATAGTATCCTGGTCAACCTGCTCGAACTCCAACGGGCCCACCATATGGATGGCTTGCTGCACATTTCTGAGCTGCACCAGGTAGTTCCCGAGGTCTCGTGCTGAGGGTATGGTGCTATGAGGGCCCATGTCGTAGAATCCTTGCCCGTTTGCGTCAAGAAACTCCAAGGCGCAATCGGGAGTGAAGAGAGCGGCGAAATTGTCCCATTCGTGGGTGTCTGCAAAGCGGCAATATTGCGCCTTTTTGTTTTCAATACTCTGTCTGTCTTCGTACCCGACTCCCATGACGTGCTGTGCGGTCTTTCTAATCAATTCAAAGAGGACATAGGTTCGTGTTATGAGTATGAGTGATAAATGAATATTGATGGCGGCAGCTCCTCACCTTAGGCTATATGATTGACAGAGGTGTGATTTAGCTGAGGGGTAGGTAGCAACGAGGCAGAAACGTGGAGCACGTATCATATCCTACCATGTGCCACAGTAATCCCGTATGTATACCTACTACCTTATCTCGAAAGCATGTATACCGAGGTTTGGTTGCCGATCTCTTGAACGGAAGAGTATAAGCGACCGGAGTCAATCCAAGTCTCACCCATTAACCACTCTGGCACGTTGCCTGTTGTCTCTTGAACAAAAACATCCTAGAGTTGCTTCTGGTCATTCATTTATCTGAAATATAACAATAGCACTCTGCGATGATTCTTATCGGGCTCCTTAGAAGAGCGATCTCTTGGGCCGTTGCACATAAGATATGCACGTCAGTCTATTCAGTCTCTCAAATAAGGTCACCCCCCCTATTCATGATCTGCCCTCTAACAGTGCCACTATTCTATCGTGCCCCTCTTCTCTAGCTGCTGAGAGAGCGGTGTCACCATCCGCATCTATAAACTGGATTTCTGCACCAGCTGCGAGCAGAGCTTCTACGACCTCATCGTGGCCATACTTGCATGGTTCAAATAAAGCAGAGCGCCCATGGATAGACAGAGAATTGACATTAACTCGCTTGTCATGTGCGAGAAGCTTCACAACCTCCGTGTTACCAAACTTTGCTGCCATATATAGTGGTGTCTCACCCAGATTATCCTTGGTGTCCAACGGAATTGGCTCTTGCATGAGCGATTCAACAACTTCCAAGTTCCCTTCTTTTGCTGCGACACAGAGGCGACAAATAGAGTCCCAATTCGGGTCTCTAAGCTCTTCCGGGACGTGTTGACGAAAGCATTCAAGGCCGCTCTCATCCCCAAGTGCTGCAGACATGGCACACACCTTCGGGGTGATACAGGCGATAGTTTCTGCCTCTTTTTTTGCCATGAACATTGAGATAATGGGTTCGATCCAGCGCAAGTACAACTGGGTTGAGTAAGCCATGGCTGCAGCAAGAAGAACGTCTTCAGTAACTATAATCTCATCTCCGCGTTTGTCGAAAAGGATCTCCAACGAGTCAAAGTTGTATTGTGCAGCAGTCTTCATAATCTCCTCAGTGATCTCAATTTCATATTCGTCGAGCAAGAAATCGAACACTCCTACATTAGATCGAGTAGCTGTTAGAATAAGGTCTTCGTTGAGTTTGGCCTCTGATGATCTGTTTTTTAGAAGGAAGTCAAGACACTGGGGGTGACTTATTGCTGCAATTTCGACGACGTCACTTGTGATCTGAATCTCGGAACCATGCCTCTGGACAAGAAGCTTGATAGAGCCCGGGTTCCTCGCAGCGGCTTCCACAGTGCTCTGCGATATTACTATCGCATCAGCATACTTGTCTAGAAGCAATTCGAAGGACCGTGGGCTGTACATTGCTGCCAGTTCCAGGCATTCGTCGGATATTTGAAGACTTGGCCCGGATTGGCGAAGGAGATGAGAGAAGGCTACTGGGCTGTAGGTAGCTGCGTTGTTCACAAGCTCGTCCGTAATCTCTAATTGCTCGCCAAAGTGCTGGAGCAACAGCGCAATCAACTTATCGCCGCACCCTGCATTGCCAGCGGCTTCTAAGAGGATATGTTGTGCTACCGGGAAACTTTGGTTCCCAAATTTCTTCAGCAGGATTTGGAGGACTTGTTCGCCTTTTGTGGTGTCTCTAGCCACGGTGCTAAGGGTGTTATCCGTCAGGACAATATCACCTTCGACCTTTTCAAGTACGAATTTCAGCAGCTTGAGCACGTTGTCGTCGGACCCGCGAGAGCAAATGACACATTCAATGAACTCCGTTGTTATCGCGATCCCAGTCCCTCGAGTGTCGAGAAGCAGTTTCGTCATTTCATAGGCGCAAAACTTGTTTCCAGCAGCATCTTGCACAAATCCTTGGGTGACAGGAAACTCGGAGCCATATTTTGCCAGAAAAAGCCTCAACATTTCCGTCCCCTTGCTCCAGTTCAGGGAAAACAGCAATTCGTCAGTGAAAGGAATCGGGATATCGTTGTCCAAAGCCCACTTGACGATATTGATTGAGCCCCATTCAACAGCAAGCTCAATTGGAGTTTTGCCATCTACGATTTCAACACCTTTTTCGGTCACGCTCTTCCACTCCTGGACGCTAATAACACCACAAATGTCGAATATGCAAACAGGAAGCAGAACAAATGGCGTAAGACCAAAGCAAAATGAGAACTCTGCGGGAAGACCTATCCTCCACTTGCTGTAAATGGTACTGCGGAAGGCTTGATCCCATAAACCAAACGGCGACGAGGGATTATCTTCATCAGACAAGAATTCAGCCAGGAGATTGTCTGTAACAGGCGTTCGTTCTCTAGAAGCTGCTGGTATATGGAAGCCCCACCAGACATAAGAGTACCATAATACTTCAACGGATGGTTCTGTATCGTCTTCCATGTTTATATCCGGTGTCGCATCCACGATACGGATGAGGCAAGCCTCCGCCACGCGGGAATTGATAGACTCGGATTTGAATAATTCGTGCGTTTCTAGAAATTCTCGAACGGATAAGTGCGCGAAACGGAACACGTCGAGGGCTTCATCGAAGATGACCAGGTTGCAACACAAGTCCAAAAGCTGATCTCGCGAAATTGCTTCACTTTTCCCGTCCTGGCTTGTGGACACGGCAGCGAGGAAGGCTTCCGATGTTAGCTGGGCATGGCTGCAGAGGAGCCAGCTGAGACTTTTCTTGGCCAGTTCTCTGTCCGAAGTCGCTTCAAAGTTCTCCATTTTAACGATGAGTTCTTGGTAGAGATCTCCCAAGGTACGAGGCAGCTGGCCTAATCTCTCCATAATGGCTTCCTCGCTACGGCATCTTTGAAGTGCCTGCAGTTGAAGGCTTACCCAACGGAACCTGTAAATCGTTAGCATTACCATGAGATTTTGCCACCAGAGCACCATCAAAAACCCTTACATCCCATCAGCCTTAGCCGTAAGTTCCTTGATAATCTTTTCAGACAATGCTTCTTTGCCGCTCTGGGTCTTCCGCAGAAATCTGCTATTGAGAAGCTTCTTCACCTCCGACGCAACAAACAATTCGATGTCTGAAGAGCTGTGAGCCGATGAAAGAGCCAGACAAGGGTAATTTTCGAACTGATAGACAATATCTTGGTCATCCCGGCTTGACACAAGGAGTTTCAAAAGGCACGGCGATTCCTCCAGTAAAAATTCAAACACGTCAAGCAGGTCACCTCGCGTATCTTCATTGCATTCGTCCAGGGCGTCGATGGCAATGGTCATAGTGGCGCCCTTGTATTGATCGAGAAGCTTGATGATGAGTTCTTTGCTCTCCTCAAGTCTGAGAGGCCCATCGGCAGACGCTTGTGACTCTCGTTCGTTATAAACCTCGAGCGCTGGTTCAAGAATAGCCCCGCCGACTTCCGGCGTGGCAAGCTGTCTGGCAATGCTGGCCAGGATACGTGAAGGATCAGATCTTCCAGGCTCTGCCGGGTTGCGAGAGCAGTAGAAGTATACCGGTTGCGGGCTTTGCTTCGCCTGGAAAGCGCTCATGGCGTCCTCGATTGCGATCGACCTAGGAGAAGTTTCAAAGTTAGCTTTAAGAAACGTAAACTTGGTGTATTTTCTTACATTAGTTTACTTTTCCCGGATCCCGGAATGCCACGAATCCATAGAATAGAAGAGGCGCTTTCATTCTTCCACTTCAGGAAGCTGGGATTTTCAAGGAGCCACTTTCCCGTCCCTTTCAGCACCTCGCCTTTCGTCTGTTTGTGGTGCTGTATATAGGGCTCGGCAGACATCCATTGTAGGATTTTCTTTCTTTGTTCCCCTAGATCGCGAGTTAACCGATTTCAAGAAATTGGTTTAGGGAATGGCCTTACCTTCGAGCTGGTCTGAAATGGCATGAAGAGCTCCGTCCCAGCGCTGCATGGGAGCATCAAAGCTCTCTCGGATGCGCCGGAGTTCAACTTGAGAGTCCAACTGGGCTATAAAACTGTGAGTATATCTACATATCATGTATATCCAGGCTCGGAACCGTGGACTTACCCTCAAGGTTCATCACCAGTGCACAGCGACTGACGACATCTTGGGCTGGTGCAACGGCGGCAAAACTGGATTCCAAATCACCCGAGACAAGAACTCCATACTTCAAAATCCGTTCTGAAGGTTCATTAGTATTTCTCGCATAGTAGAGGATTCCAAATACCAACTTACTAAAGGTATTTTGGTTGCAGTAGGCGGTTGCTCGAGAGAGATAAGTGAGGATGGCTATGTAAAGCTTAACAATAGCACGGCTCAGCTCATCTGCCGCCTGAGAGGATTTCCCCTTGACTAGACTCTCGAGGACTGCAGTTCGACAGATGTACTCAGCGATATCTGCTGTTGTTTCGAACATCCCCTTATACGTGTCCAAATCCCCGACTGCGACCTGGAACCCGATTAGTAACCTCGCAAAAAAGCAGTTATTAAATACCCCAGGCTTACGGTCAACATGAATCGAATACCCGCCCATGCCACACCGGCATGTCCCGGATCAAACTGGACCGCAAAGTCGCCCACCTGCTTGACGAGGTTGACCCATTTGGCTACTTTGCCCAGCACATCACGCACAATCACCTTTTCGCCAGATGATCTCTTGAAACTCCATGCTCGATCAGTCAAACGTTTCTTTGCCTTCTCAGTCACCGATAGCAGCTCTCCAAGAGTGTCTATCTTGGACTCCTGTTTGAAATCTATCTGAGCCTTGAGCTCATCTCCGACAGAATCGACGGCAGCTTTCCAGAGATTATCCCTAAAGTAAAACAGATTTCGATTAGTGGGGGAGTAGGCAGGAAAGACAGGAGGTTATTACCCGGAGGGTCTCACTGCCAAGGCGGCTTCCATAGCTCCTGATGCTGTGAGTATAGCCTCTTGCGGTGTTTTTGGGATGGTGATGAACTGAGCAGTTTGAGATCAGAAAAGTGTTTATACGGGTGGGCATCATTGCTGACATTGACCGCCCCTCTAACCACAATTATTTGCAGGGCTCAAATCCACGGTTCAAACAGGGATTCACATCAAACCCCACTCCAGCGGGATCAAGATTTAGTATCATAAACTACTTGGCAAAAGTAAAAATACTTCCAATATTTTCAATCAGCATCCTAGGTGCAAAGGGGACCCTGGCAACTGGTTACCGATGAGGCTAACCTCAAGCTTCCCCGCCTTGCGGAGAGCATACGCAGATACCAGGAGGTCAACCCACTCCGAAGGGAATCAATAACTCTTAACTTGTCAACACCATGGCCCGGGGCTCATTGATTTCAGAGCGTCCCGTGCTGTTACATTAGGAGTGACCGAAACGGTGGGAACATGGGTCGCGCCACCATGAACCATCGAGTTTGCTACCTTACACAAGGGCGAGTACACGATACTGAAGCTGTCCGGGTCACTTTTCTCCATGTTGAATCGAAACTTCTCGGCCAGAAACAACCCGTTAGATACAATGTTTCTTTCATGCATGTTGTGCCCACCCGTCAGCCACTAACCCTTGACCCTGGTGACATCTGGAGAGATTCCCAATTAGGCATCATCCTGCGCCTTACGACGGATTTCAAAACTTGATTACATGCAAGTGATTAATGAGCATTTTCCCGGACTTCAAATAGTACCGCAACGCTGAAGTGCCATCCGTGTTTGTTCCTCACTGACCATTCCTTCGGTACCTTGCTACCTTGTGCGCAGTTATCATGGCCTTTCTCATGTTAGCTAATGGGTTGTTTTGAGGAGTTGTCACTGCTCACCAGAGTCTGGTCTCACCGAGGGACGTGATCCTGCGGGTATTCTTGATAGGTGTTTCGAGAGCTGGGCACAGTCCTACCAATGCCGCCTTCAGACACTGCGGGAGCAGTTGTTTCTTCGGTGACCTGCGAAGGGGGGACTGCGGGCGCTGCAATACCAGGTGCTGACATTCCAGGACCCGCAGTCGCTGGAACTGTAGTGCCAGGAGCTTCAGCGTGAGGGACGGAGTCATCATAGGCTGTGGTTCCTTGGTTCCCCTCGGGCATCGTGGCAGCCGCTTGGCGTTGGGTCGCGCGGTCTTTGCGATTCCACTCATGACGCGCGACCATGGCATCGGCTCCCTCAACGTCCATTTTGCCCTTCTCGGCGGCGGCTCTGTGCTTTTCATTCCTGGCAACGACGGAAGGATGTTGTTGGTTTGGCTCGAAGGTTTGGTCGGCCGCCTCCATCAGAGATCCGCGAACTGTATCGCCGGCTCCTTTGATACCCTTGAGGCCGGATTTGACATCATCGATAATCTTGGACATGGTTACGGTATAATATAGATGCTTGAATATGAGATTTTGAAAGTTGAGTATGTAAATAAATAAGACGTTAAGTAGAAGATAACGGGGATATATGCGGGCTTCAGCGATCTTGTTCCTATGACGTATTAGGAGGCAAATTAGAGCAAATTGATGTCATGGACTCACGCTTGCCTTTTATTCGCCCATGTGACCTTTGATGCACCAATCATAAGCTGGTTAAACAATTCAGAACAAGGTATCCCGTTAGTTGAATTCTACGTGGTAGCATGTTCATATCCTTTCTTTGATCCTGATCCTGTGTGCATTTGAACGTGCTTGCTCTGAGAAGATTGAGTAGACAGGCGCTCTTCACTTTACTTTTTGCCCTTGTAAATTAGGTAGCTTATAACAGCGCTAGAAATGGTGATTTCCTGGCGCCTATTAATCCAAGCTGGAGCAACTTTGTCCAGGCCGCGGCCACATTGAAGAAATTGCGGAACATTTAGACGAAAATGGCCGGATGCAGTCCAAACGCTTGAAGTCGATGGCTTCAGTAAGACAACTACTCATGGCCCTCAATCCATACTTGGGCAGCACTGTTTGTGAAATACTCAAATCTATGTGAACCATGACGCTTGATATCAGAGCTAATTTTATTTGGTAGGAAGAAGTAAACCTAGAAAAGGCGTTGAGCTATGTAAAGCCTAGTAAATAAAATATAACATATTCAACTCCGAGGAAAATGAAGACTAACCCTAGCATATGAACTTACAATTAGGTCCCAGTTTTGTTGAAAGTTTTCGTGCCGGATTTCAAAATTTATGTATAAGACCTCTTAGTGTGCATTGTAGGATGTGAACCAAGATAGAAGTCATGCGTTAAGTGTAGTGGGCTGTAAGTAAACATCTCAATATCAGAGACAAAGACCAGTTTTTGCTGATGCAAGTAGATTAATAGTTTACCTGAGGTGTTTTGGGGTTTGCTAGCGAGTGGGTGACTTGAGAAATGAGACACTCGAACATTAAGCTGCTTCTTCTCGAGTCTGCGGCCGGTATTATCAAATTATTGAGTACTAATAAAAAAAACTTCAGAGATAATACAGCATATATTATCACTTTATTTCATTTTATACTACACTATTTCCTATTTCAGATTAGAAGAGAGTCTCTCTACAACCACTCTTCCATTAGGTGTCTCATTTCTTATAGTAAGTGAGAGAGCTATGCAGCTGCTGAAAAATAAAAGGGGAAATTCCCAAACACCAAGAATTTAACAACTTGACACTATACCCAGTATCACAACACATTATCGACGATATGAATAAGATCCACTTGCGGAGGTTGAAGCCCGTTACCTTCCCCACAGAAACCGACATGCTTTCATATAGCAGTAGCATTTGTTTTGCTGCCTGATTTCCCTTCCTCAACAGGCCGAAAGTGGCTTTTTACAAAGGAAGAACAGGAAGTTGCTGTTATACGAATGAGAAGAGATGCTATCTATGATCAGCAGGAGGAAGGTACTTCTATTTGGAAAGGCTTGAGAGATGCTGTAAAGGATAAACGAGTTTGGATATTTGTGAGTTTTCCTCCCTTGTTCTTGACGCTGGCGATCTCAAAGTCACTCAGAGGATACTAATCAAAGTTGAACTGATAGGCCCTTATGCTGTGTTCCAACCAGTCCTCCTACGGCTTCAACTATTTTTATCCCGCTATTGTCCAAGAATTCAACCTAGGAAGCCGAACTATTACCTTGGTCTGCACAGCTCCTCCTTACCTGCTTGCCGCACTTATCAACCTAAGCAATGCCTGGCATAGTGATCGCAAAGGCGAGTGGGGCTTCCATATTGCAATTCCGATGATGACGGCTGTCGTTGGCTTCATCATAAGTGTTTCAGTCCTGAACATCCCAGCTCGCTATGTAGCATCATTTCTCTACGTTTGTGGCTGTTTTGGTGCAAATGCAGCCTTCTACAGCTGGGCTGCATCGACAGTTGCCCAGACCCCCGAGACGAAGGCGTGCGCCATGGCTATCATTAATGTAACAGGGCAGTGTGGCAGTCTGTGGAGCCCCTACTTCTTTGATCTAAACGACCAGCCGCGCTACACGAGAGCCATGGTCCTCTTTATGGCTTTTGCCCTCTTGGAGGTCTCGCTATGCTTTCTGATGAAGTTTCTCTTGCGCCGAGAGAACAAGAAGATCCTACAGGCATGTGAAGCAAGTGGTTCTAGGGCTATTCCTAACCTTTTTGTACTCTAAATGGGGGCTATATAGCATTGGGGGACAACCAGAGAATTAGCGAGTAAGCTTGGCACTCTGTCAAGCTCTGCAGCTTATGGAAAGAATATTGATAGTGAAGGAAGGCACGACTCTCTCAGATATATCCTAACGCCTTGGTCAGGAGGCTTCCAGCTCAGTGTTTAAGTGTCCATTGTAGAGAGCAAATACTTGATCTCCAGTCAGTGTCCAGGGGACTCTAAATGTCATACCATACTCATAGTATACCAGACCTACGGGAGAAGGAGCCAGCTATCATCATGCATCTGTAGTGAGAGGCCTTCCCTCGCTCATCACCCCGTAAGCTGCGTTCAGTTCCATTTCTTGGGAAGCCGAGAGAGATATACATCGGCCAACTTATCAAACGCAAACTCTTCGTCCGGTAAATATTCTCGAATAAGACCCTCATTCACTGACTTCAATAGAAGAGCTTCTTCGATCTCAATCTGTCTCCCGTGGACCGAGAAAATAAGCTGTCCTTTCCTGGATTCATCTGCCATTAATATCGCTGTTGATCGAGCAGGGACATCTGTTCCTTGTAGTTTGGCTCCAATCGTTTCAGTGACACGCTGTGTGGCAATCCCTGTCTCTGTCCAATTGGGAGCAATGCCATTAATGCGAATTGCAGGGTTCAAGACTTTGAGGTTCAAATGCAAGCCACGGATGAGTCCCAAAGCGCCATGCTTTGCCACCCCTATTATTCACGTATCAAGTCAGCCTCAGTTGTTCCAATAGGACGGGGAATCGTACTAACCATAGTCTGTACACCCAAACCTTTGGAAGCTTGACGCTGAAGCAGTAACAACGATGCTCCCCTTCTTTTGCTTCTTGAGGAAATGCAAGCCCATAGTAACGGTGTAGATTGTCCCTTTTAGATTCACGTCAACAACGCTCAAATTTGGCGGGACTGGTTTGCCGTTCTCGTCGACTTCATCCTCCACGAAGAGCGCCCTTGGCGCGACCCCGGCGTTTGCAAATACATGGTCTACTTTCCCATGCTTGCGCTCAGCCAGTTCAAATAATCCCAGAAGATCCTCCCATATTGTGATATTGGTTTGGCGGAAGGCGATATTCTCGTGCTCGATGGGAACGGGGTTCAAATCTCCTGCAACGACGAATGCCCCGACATCCAGGAGCAACTTGGCCGTCTCTAGGCCAATTCCAGATGATGATCCTAATGCTTTCAGGTTAGAGAATCATATTTTTCTAAAATCTACAAGGGCGAAGTAAAAACAATACCGGTCACTACCACTGTCTGCCCTCGAAGATTCGCAAAGTCAGCGTCATTGATGGTGAACTCGGACATCACGGCGAGATCTATTTGGAAACTTAAATTTCGAAGAATAGCACAAACCTGGAAGAAAAAGAAGAGAGATATCAGGAGATGAGCGTTGGAGGGGGTTCGTAATTTCTCTCGGGATTGTATACCCTGTCCCATGTGAAATGACGTGCAAAAATAGATGAGTTACATGCAGCAGAGTGCGGGGTTAGATGGGCACATCCAATCAAATCAGATGGAATGCGATATTGACGAATTGAGAACGGAATCTTGTTGGATGCCGAGGCTGCTGAGGGTCTGGGAGGGGTTGCTAGGATAAACCATACGTACTCACATCTGGGAAGGGAAGGTTTCAGTGCAACCAGGTGACTCGAGCTCAACGCTACGATCCGGACCATTCGATCCCCCAGATCTTTCGAGTCTTAAATACTCTCTTAGTGCTATAGCACTTAGAGGCAGTAGAAGTGCAAGGTTTTATGCCTCTCATAATGATCCTTAGTAGATTCTGGGTGTGCTCACTTCCCTAAACAGGACAAGGTCGAGGGAGTACTAGGAAATTTATGACTGATTACTTCCAATTGATAACCTTGATGATGCTTTTCAGTCACTGGCAGGATTTTTATTATTAGCTCAGATTAGTGAGTACGGCTACATTCAACGGCAAAAGAAGGTGCTTATAAATGCTTCAATAGGGAGACTCGCCTGAAAATACTCTGATATTCAGCCTTGTACAAGTTGTTCTTATATAGGTGGGCACCGGCGCTTCCAACACCAGTGCAGAGTGCTTGGTGCATCGCCTTCATTAATGGCGACATTGGTAGTTGAACCTCGATGACTAGGAGTCCGAAAAAGCAGGGAAAGGCGTGTGAGACAAGAGGTACACGGGATCGCTTCTCGGATGGGTAGGTTATGTGGTAGACATGCGTTCAACACATACTACATTCCTTTGAAAATTGAAGGTGCCTTGAGATTTTCTCTGGAGCATTACATTATACTCTGCCCAGAATGTATAGCATATGTATCCTGGCTTCCGACTTTTCCTGGCTTCTAAGTTTTAAATTTACACACGTTTTACTAGTAAAATTAATTTCTTAAGGTCAAATATTAAGACCTTCTTCTTTATCTCTGAAATCATAATTATTAATTAGCAGAAGAAGGTAAATAACAAAACCTCTCTCTTTATTTCTGTTCAAGTTAACATCCCCCAATAGTCCACTTCGATTAATAAAGTTTCCAGGGATTAAAGTGCTGTCTACGCGCGATATTACTCTTTCAATAAGTGTAACCATCGATTGTTATGCGATAAAGGCCTGACTCATTGCCGATTACAATTACAGAATCACCAACTATACTCCTCTGGGGGGCTCACCGAGCTTGCTGAAGACAAGCCGCAATATGCGTTGATATGATCAATTCTCGGAGCGTTGGCCCTACAAACCATCCACACACATCTTTCAACTTCATTCCCTCTCATCCCTAACACCATGCATCATCCTCATTGCAACCTCGTGATACTCCTCCTTAGTCATCTCATAGCTTAGAATCACCCTGATCGTATACGATATTGCAATAATTGAGTCGAGACTCAAATTCCTCTCCCGAATGACACCCATGATAACAGATAAAAGAGCCTCCATGGGAAATGCTTGTGCTATACGAAAGGTTCCCTCTGTAGCGACGTTCTGAATCACAATGTCGACAGCAGGAGGCCCACTATAATACCCTGGGCTATCATCATCTTTGATATCCCGGAGCTCGCCCAACTTTGGGTGAATGTATTTTCCATCAACCACAGGAGTTCTAAGCTCGCCGTGCCATCCTGGATCATGGAAGCCAGGGGTTGCTATAGCGGAATATAGCGAACTGCAGTCAAGTCAGAAAATGCGAAGGAAGAGCTAGGGATCTGCACATATATGGAAGGAGGGAGAGAAAAACCCACAGACGAGGGCCAGAGGTAATGTGCGAGCAATATATCAGGTAGAGCTGGGGTAGTGGCCACCGGAGCTGGGTATGGTAAAAACCGATGATCGAGAGGTCGGGGGCATTCTAGGAAGAAAATAATGAAAAGAGGAAAACGAGCCCCAACAAAGTCAAGTTGAGAATTTATGCAAACAATCTAAGTTTAGGCTCAGCAGAACGCGATGGCCACGTATTGGTTCGTTGCTTCCTACCTCATTCAGGGAAACCATGTCTCCTCTCGGCTTATCTTCCCGGATTGATGGGCTGACTCGTAATGCCAGTTTCAAGTTACCATTTGAATTAAAGTCATCGGACATTGAAAGATAAAACTGGGGATTACCAGAGGTAGATGCACTCATCTGAGAAGTGAGAGATAGACGTGGTCGCGTGTCTCGAACAGGTATGGCTGTATGTGCCAGTGTGTATGTTGAATGCATACTATATTCTTTTGGCACTTTCAGTTTTGGTCGCCATCTCCAAATGCCAACTCAGGGTTCAAATATAGGAGGATCATGACATCCTCGTTCAGAGGTCCTCGCCCACAACCTTCTTCGTTCTTATGTGACTGTTAATGTAAGCAGGAATCAGCCCGGTGACGTGACGGCTTGCGCCAGCCAGAATGAGCTAAACTGCGCTCTCTCATGAAACCTCAAATGTCACCCGCAACAACTTTATTTGCGGCCCTAAGAATGAGAAAAACTTGAATGATGGCCAGCAACATTCTTTGAAAGATCAAGCAGAGTATAAATGGGAGTATTGTAGTTGATAGCTGGCACGTCGCACATAAAGGCGTTTGACCGGCTCTTCAACATAGTAATACTTGAAAGTCCTGACATAACAGACGATGCGTTCCCATTTGTCACAGAGTACATACTTAGTAAAATTCTCCTTAGCTAGTACAAAGGTTTGACCCATTAATTTTGAAGCTTAGCTTTTGATACTCTTTCTTCTTTATGGGTATGACTATATACTAGAGTGAGTTGGAAGAAATCTTCTTGGTGTATTTTCGATTTGGCAGTATGAAGATAATACCGAAAATAAATTATGGCGAATGGTTTCTACCACTACCACCAGAGCTATGCCTTCCGTCTGATTGAAACAAGCCAAGAACTTAAGTAGAAATGGCGGCCAATATAACTTAAAAGTAGCCATGGGATGGTAGTCATGGATTCTTGCGTATTCGCTTCTGGATGCATACACTTCATGTGCAATGAATACTATGTTCACCACCCGCCTTCTTTTTGTACCTAGGCTGAATCTCCACTTGGTCTCTTTATTATGAAAATTTAGCTCAGTAGATTTCCCACTTGCGCGTGCGCCGGTGGCCTTTAATCGTGGCTCGTCTCCCCACAACACTCAAAGTCGGCATTCGGTGCAACTCGGCCACTTTTCAAGTCTCCGACCTCACGAACTGACCGAGGGACGTAGGCAGTGTGCATTATTAATCCGAACCTCCGCCAGGATTGCGGACTTCCAGTCTCACGTTTCGACTTTGGCAGAAGATATTTGCGAATTAGTGGGTGATTTCAGGGTAGAATGATTTATCTCTAGACTGGCCGGTTTTGTGCCGAAGATTGTCGCGAGCGGAGATGATACAGCGTGGGACCAGACAGGTGACGAGTCACTGGTATATATTCAGCTTAGATTGCAGTTATGATATAGACTGCTCGCTCTGCAATAAGTCACTTCATTAATTTCACGACCAAACGATAATAATTCAAATCTCTAGACGACCCTCGACTATCCATACCCTCCAACATTGCCCCACGATGTCAATCTTCCAGCCACCGGTCGAGCCCCTTCCTTCCGGGATTGATCTCTCCGGTCAAACTGCAATCGTTACCGGTGCTAGTCGGGGCATAGGCCTTGAAATATCCAAACAGTTGTTGGATGCTGGTTTGTCTACGCTGATTCTTGCTGTCCGAAACACCACTGGGGGCGAGACAGTCAAGAACCAGCTCCTTGCGGCTCGCCCCAAAGCAAAGATTGATGTCGTCCGGTTAGATGCTGGTGAATACCCGGAAGTACAGAAGTTCATCGACCAGATCCGTGCCGACTACACCGAGGTAAACATACTCATGCTCAACGCGGGCATCGGCACCCTTCACAAAGAGGTGGCGAGTACGGGCCACGAGAAAAACTTTCAAGTCAACTTCTTCTCCAACGTCCTGCTCACTTTCGGTCTCTTCCCTTTACTAGAGTCTTCCGCCGATAAATCAGGAAAACCATCCCGGATCACGTGGACGGGGAGCCGAACCTTCTTAAATTCGTCCCTTGTGACCGGAAAAGTACAACTGAAGTCGACAGAGTCACTATCCCAGTACGTCGACAAGAACAGCCTTGGGCCGTACGATCGATATGCGTACAGCAAGCTTGCAGTCGTCATGTTTCTCGATGAGCTTGCGAAGCGTTCACCGCCCGACAGGGTGATTGTCAACAACTTCTGCCCCGGATCGATACGTACCAACATGAGCGATGTTCTTCCATTCCCCCTACGCGTCCTCATGAAGGCCCAGCTCGCCATTCGGGGCCGTCCGGTGGAGGTATCAGGCTGGGTCGCCCTCCATGCGGCAGTCGTTACGGGCAAGGAGACACACGGGAAGCTTCTCGGAGATAAAGAGATAGTTGAGTAAGTGGTTCCTATGCCGTTCACATAAGACTTTGCATTCGCTGATAATAGGATCTAGGCCTGTTGCATTCCTCAAGTCAAAAGAGGGGCTGCGGATACAGAAGGGTGTCTGGGACGAAGCTCTTGCTGAGATAGGGTCCCTCACAACTCTTCCAAGCTGGGCGAAGGGAAATTAGAGCAAACTTACTCCAGGGGTGCGAGATTTTATCTTTTTGAATCTGTTCTTTTCATATTAGTGATCTCCATAATGATCTTCCTTCCTTTTTTTTTTTGAAAAGGCTAGCTTGAGAGTGATTCAATCTAAGGGTATACTGAAGAATTTTCCAGAAAGCGCTTGTCGTTTTTCCCCTGTGACACATTGATATCTACTAGAGAGGAATCTATTAGTACATGTAGTATCTACCACAAAGATGATAATTAATAAACGTTTCATTGACAGTAGATAAGAATTGATTGCGTTGGATTGTTTCTGGCTTTGAATGCCCCTGGCATTTCCCAGTGCTAACCTTTTTCGCACAATTGCGGTAACTTCCTGTGTGGTCTTCCAAACTAAGCCTGTTCGCGACCTGAAGACTTGGTAGCATAACGTAAATCAATTATACGTCAAATGCAGAAACGGATTGTAGCTGTTGGATACTTTGAATATTGACCTCTAGTACCACTATACGCTGGGTAACTGCTACAGCCGAGCTCAAGACAGGATCTATAAAATGTTGCTTTCCCGGGATTTACTCAACTACCTGAAGCAAACCAGAGCGTGTTTTGTCAGCCAACCTACGTAGTAACGGATATATTCTTTTCGCAGCTAAGTTCGATTCAAAGAGGCCTGTCTTGAGCCAATTCTATGAAATTCTACGGTAGTATATTTTGATATATTATATAAGTTATTATTGAAACAACTTATGATGTGTTGGTGTGTTTATTTGCTGCTAGGTTTGCAATTGTAAATCTACATGTCTAGGGTAGGCGCCGGATACAATGAAGCTAGAGATATCGCCATTTGGAGTGGGGTTGTGACTGTTATGGATGGTAGCATTCATGCATCACAGCTCACAGGGACGGGTCGATTGGCCACACCGCTATCTTATGGCTCTGGCACGTCCCATTTTTGATGAAGAGGTTTACCAGAAGCAACGCCAAGTCGCTCCTGCAGGGCAAATACTGAATCCTCCGCGCTTCTCGCATATTTGATGGATCCGGTAGACTACATCGCTATACACCCATTTTTATCTCCTGGCTACGAGCCTCAATAAATGAAAAATTAAGAGATGCAACAATTATGCTCCGGTTGACCTTCTTTGGTCGAGTCACCGGCGGCGCGGATACCGTCATAAATGACACAGAAAAGCAATCATCCTGCCTGGATTCATCATGTTTTTGTCAAAATGGCATCGTTCTAAAAATGGACTTTGGCCAATCCTGCTGGAAGAAACGAGGAGGCTGATCAAACTCGGGCCCGAGAAGGTGCATATCAGGCCCCTCCTTAGTCAAGATGATCCAGAAATCTCGGGCTGAGCGAATAGGTGCGGTATGTGGGTGAAGTCTAAGAATAGGGAGGGCTGAGAATTAGTCTCGCATATCAACACGAGCGACAGAATACGGTTAGATTACTCTCGTAATCTGCTGCAAACAGATGAGCACGCGACGCTTACAGGGGACTTCGGTAAACATTAGATCGGCACATGCACCCAATGGAGACTAGGGCATCTGCATCTCTTTGAGATTTTGGAAGCTCTAACAAGTAACCGACAGGGTATTGATCCGCCTGATAGAATCCGGCCAAGAGGTAGTTCTGTGCATAATGTTGATGTCGAAGTATTGTTGATCAGTACTCTATTGAAGTGGACTTCGCTACTGGCTAGAATTGCACGTGGAATTCGAGATTTTAGGGCCTCTTTTGGTTCCTTCCCGTATCCTTCGTATGTACAGCATGAACAAGTGGGGAAAAGACCTCCGATGCTTCAAGGAGATTGTCAGAATGTGTAAGCGCACTGTCATGATCCTGCGAAAAGCCCCATTAAGCGGAGGGCCAATCAACTCTAGTGGGCCACACCTTCATACCATAGGGAGTTTAGTGAATGACGGGAGAGCAGCCTTTGATTGGGTTAGTCTTGCCTTGTAAGATATTACATGGTAGACCGTTGTATGGATAAGGCTGACCCGCCAGTCAAAGCTTGACCACCCACAAGCCTGTACGGGCTCTCGCTTCCGAAGATGCTCAGAAGCCCTGCAGGAACTGTCTAAAAATGGAGGGCTGAAAATGTACCTGCATCACGCCGCAGAAATATATCAATGGTTCTCCCAGATCGTCAGTGTCTGGCTGATTCACTCTGCATCTTGTGCTTTTGAATTTAGCAACTTTTCCTTTTGTATTTCCTTTCCGTTTTCTTCCTCCCACTTATCGAGCTTTCTTTCTCGAGTTTTCTTCTCTTCCATTGTCTTTGAAGCATTTACTGCCGGTCAGGATCCGGTGTTAATACTCATTCGATTTTATTTCATCTCCTTATCCCGCCGTTATGACGATACATCTTCCGAGAGCTCTTTTGCTCTCTCTATCATTCATTCTCTATTTCTTTTTGGGGAGCTCGATTGCAACAACAGTACAACATGACGTAGCAAGCCACGATCATGGCAAGGACAAGTCGGCCCTGCTATCCGCCGACAACCTTCATCACCGGAGCATCGACGACACAAATATTGCACTACTAGATGTTCGACAGCCTGGTCTGCTTGGCAAAATTGGCAAGGTGGCTTCTGCCGTGAAGAAGGTCGCCGCCCCAGTCAAAAAGGTTGCCACTGCTGCGAAGAAGGCCGTTGCCCCAGCGAAGAAGGTTGCTACTGCTGCGAAGAAGGCCGCTGCCCCAGCCAAAAAGGTTGCTACTGCCGCGAAGAAAGCCGCTGCTCCGGCAAAGAAGGCCGCCACTGCTGTGAAGAAAGCTGCTTCACCAAAGAAGGCTGCCGCCGCTGTAAAGAAAGCTGCTACTTCCAAGAAGGCTACTACACCAAAGAAGGCTACCACAGCTGTTAAGAAGGCCGCTACCTCCAAGAAGGCTGCCGCGCCGAAGAAGGCTGCTACCTCCAAGAAAGCTGCCGCACCGAAGAAGGCTGCTGCTAAGGCAGGTGCCAAGAAGACTCCAGCTAAGGCTGGCAAGACCGCTACCAAGGGCAAGACACCTTCTAAGGCTGGTGCCAAAAAGACTTCTGCTAAAGCCGGAAAGAAGGCTGCCGCACCAAAGAAAGCTGCTGCTAAGGCCGGTGCCAAAAAGACTCCTGCTAAAGCCGGAAAGAAGGCTGCCGCACCAAAGAAAGCTGCTGCTAAGGCCGGCGCCAAAAAAACTCCTGCTAAGGCTGGAAAGAAGGCTGCCGCACCAAAGAAGGCTGCTGGCTCCAAGAAGGCTGCTGCCAAGACTGCTGCTGCCAAGGGCAAGACCACTTCCAAGGCCGGTGCTAAGAAGGCTCCAGCTAAGGCTGCTAAGGGCAAGACCCCTTCTAAGGCTGGAAAGAAGGCTGCTGCGCCAAAGAAAGCTGCTGCTAAGGCTGGTGCCAAGAAGACTCCAGCTAAGGCTGGCAAGACTGCCAAGGGCAAGACTGCTGCCAAGGGCAAGACCCCTTCCAAGGCCGGTGCTAAGAAGACCCCAGCTAAGGCTGGGAAGAAGGCCGCACCAAAGAAAGCTGCCGGCAAGGGCAAGACCCCTTCCAAGGCTGGCGCTAAGAAGACTCCTGCTAAGGCTGGCAAGAAGGCCGCTGCACCAAAGAAAGCTGCCGGCAAGAAAGCTGCTGCCAAAGGCAAAACCTCTTCTAAGGCCGGTGCTAAAAAGACTCCCGCTAAGGCTGGAAAGAAAGCTGCTGCGAAGGGCAAGACTGCTGCCAAAGGAAAGACCCCTTCTAAGGCTGGTGCTAAGAAAGCTGGTGCTAAAAAGACTCCGGCCAAGACTGGCAAGAAACCTGCCGCCAAAGGAAAGACTCCCTCTAAGGCTGCTGGCAAGAAGGCTGGTGCCAAGAAAGCTGGTGCCAAAAAGACTCCGGCTAAGGCCGGGAAGAAAGCTGCAGGCAAGAAGCCTGCTGCTAAGGCCGGTGCTAAGAAGTCTCCAGCCAAGGCTGGTAAGAAAGCTGCTGCTAAGGGCAAGACTGCTACCAAAGGGAAGACCCCTTCCAAGGCTGGTGCTAAGAAAGCTGGTGCTAAAAAGACCCCAGCTAAGGCTGGGAAGAAGGCTACCGGCAAGAAGGCTACTAGTAAGAAGACTCCTTCTAAGGCTGCCGGTAAGAAAGCTGCAGGCAAAAAGTCCCTAGCTAAGGCTGGAAAGAAGACTGCTGGCAAGAAAACTCCTTCTAAGGCTGGTACTAAGAAAGCCGGCGCTAAGAAGACTGCCACCAAAGGAAAGACGCCTTCAAAGGCTGGCAAGAAGGCCACTGGCAAGAAGACTGCTTCTAAGGCTGCTGGAAAGAAAGCTAGCGCTGGTAAGAAGGCTACCCCCAAGGCTGCCGGCAAGAAGGCCGCTGGGAAGAAGACTGCTGCAAAGGCTGGAAAGAAGGCTGCTGGCAAGAAGACTGCTTCTAAGGCTGCTGGCAAGAAATCTGCTAGCAAGAAGACCCCAGCTAAGACCGGCAAGAAAGCTACTGGCAAGAAGACCGCCCCCAAGGCTGCTGGCAAGAAGGCCCCAGCTAAGGCCGGCAAGAAGACTTCTTCTAAGGCTGCCGGCAAGAAGGCTACTGGCAAGAAGGTTGCTGCTAAGGCCGGTGCCAAGAAGACTCCAGCTAAGGCTGGAAAGAAAGCTGCTGGCAAGAAGACTGCTTCTAAGGCTGCCGGTAAGAAGACTCCTGCTAAGGCCGGCAAGAAAGCTGCTGGTAAGAAAGCTGTCGGCAAGAAGGCTGCTGGAAAGGCTGGAAAGACGACTGCCGGTAAAAAGACTGCCACAAAGGCTGGTGCGAAGGGCAAGTCCGGAGCCAAGAATGCTTCTGGCAAGAAGACTCCCGCACCCAAGGCTGGTAGTAAGAAGCTTCCTGGCAACACAGCGACCCCGAAGTCCGGTGCCAAGAAGCCTGTAGACAGCAAGACTCCCGTCAAGGACAAGACTGCTTCCAAGGAAAAGACCGATGGCAAGGATAAGTCCGCCACTCCAAAGGCTGCTGCGAAGTCCGCTCCGGTGAGCTGCCCTTTGAGGCGAAAGGGAAAGCGAGATGGATCAGACACCGAATGCGGCGGCGGCGGTTCGGAACCGGCAGCAGCATCAAATGAGCCCCACAGAGATCCAGAGAATAAGCTGGGAATGAAGCCGCATGAATTCGATGTCGGCCCCAATGACAAGAAACCGAAGGCCTACGGAACAGTTCTCAAAGTGAATGAGGGTAAAGAAGTCTCAGACGAGCAGCTTGTCAGCATGGCCAAGAACGCCCATGTTTGGGCTGGCAAGCAGCCCGGAAAGACGCCCACAGTGACGACTGCCGGCACTGATGGAAAGGAAATCATTATTGAGACCTCTCAGAAGGATGGCACCGCCCGATACAAAGAAGAGAAGACTGGCGAGGATGGCTCGAAAGAGCCAAAGCATCCTGACACCCAACAGCATATGAGTAACTCTGAGGATCAATGGAAGGAGGAAGGTCGACCAAAGCCTGTCCATGGAAACGGAGGAAAATGCGGCGAAATCAATACCATGTGCACATACGAGCAACGAAACCCCGGCAAGAATATTCAAGATGCGAACTACAGAATGGTCTCTGTCCATACCGAAACGAAGCCTGACAAGGGCGAAACCCTCAAGGAAGAGCATGTCGGCGTCTGGGCACCTTGCGATGGTGTAAGTTGAACCCCTTATCTTTACTCTTCAGAAACTGACGAAGCTAACCATTCTTGCCATTATACAGAGGGGAAGTCCTAAAGATCAGGGAGGTTGCAACACCGTAACCCAGAAAGCCAACATCAATGTCATTCCAGACAACACCCCAGCTGCTCCATACAATCACGACGATTACACAGTTGCGGAATAACATCTAGAGTCTGAAGGAACTAGAGTATCTGATTGCATTTAAGAATAGCAAGCGCTGGCGCCGGGGGGATTGGAATTTGGGCTTATGATTTTCTTCTACTTCTAATGCTCTCTGAGAATATGCAAGTATTCCTCGTGAGGCATGTCTGTATTTATTTAACTAGATTTATTATTTTTGCGATAGATGTGCTACACATGTTTTCCCCTGATTTTCCCAAGGCCAGTTCATTCAAGCTTTCATTTCTGGCTGCTCTTAAAAGTGAGTTCGACCGCAAGGATTAAGATTGAGGCGAGACGCGGTCCACTATAGATGCATTGTGTGATTATTCCCAGTGCCTCTAGTTCGTCCGTCACTTTCTCAAGGGCTCTAAGATAAATGACTTGCAGGTCATGCGTAGAATGGGGAAAGATTGGCTACAATGAAATGCTGGAATTCGAGCATTTTGTGGCATTAGAGGCGCCCCGATTCGGTTCCGTACTGGGTGGATTGCCCGAGGAAGGCATACATCTGCCTCTCAGGGCCCCAGGTGGTTGTGTTATCAAGACTACCTATGGAGCATACATTAACCATAAATGTGTAAGCCATCCGTAAAGCGAGGAGGATTTTCAGCTGCAACGCCCAAGCTCTATTTTTAGGGGTGGGCGTTAGGCACATCTGCCACCCACGTAAGCGCTACGGCACTGCTTGAGCGGATTACGGGAGATTTCTACGGTACCAAGTATATCATATATCATAACACACTTCCGAGATTTATCCCTCCTCATGCAACGCTACCTAATAAGGCACTCATCAACTGATACAGATATTTGCCGCAGCACTGGGAACAAACACGCTGGTCTGACTTTTCCACCTTCCATCTCCCTATCCTCCAGCTGCTCGACGCAGCGCGTGTGCTCGCTTCGCCATGGCTTCATTTTCGGACGCGCCCACCGAGGTCATTGACCAGATCCTGAGCGATGTCCCGGCGTCGGACCTGCCCAGCGTCTGCCTTGTGAACAAAGTACTGAGGCGCTCTGCTGAGCCATATCTTTACTCCGCTGCCTCCTTCCAGTGGGATTTTCAATCAGTACCCCGCGTTGATTCTCTTCTCCTCACCCTCTTGCGGAGACCTGAGCTACTCGACTATCTGGATACCGTGACGTTGCAAGGCCATCTCTTCAATGAGAGAACCCCTCCGCCCCCAATAAATATATCGAACATTCCTTTCGATGAATTTATTGCTGCTATTGAAAAAACCGGTGTGGCATTCGCCAGCATGTGGGTTGACAAGTTGAGGTCGCCCAGCACATGCATGTACGCAATGGTTGCCCTCTTGATCACACAACTTTCCAACACTACTCATCTCACGGTCGGCCACGCTTATATAAACGGCCAGTCGCTCGTGCCCAAAGTGCTCAAGGCTAAAATCTTCGGCCAGCTACCTGCGTTCGAGCGACTAAGAGAACTCCGATATCTGAAGCGATGCGATATTTCATCTTTCGAAAATAATGTGGTATTCTCGGATACCATCAATCTCTTCTACCTGCCAACAGTTACACATATCGAGGTCTCAATGACAAATCCCCGGGATTTTCAGTGGCCAGCAGGCGAGCCGAACTTGGACCATCTCACCTCACTCAAGATCGGATGGCTTTTTGAACCATTCTTAGCTGAGATCTTTAAACAAACCCGAAATTTGAGATCACTTCACTGGACTTGGGAACACCATGGTGATTGGGTTGGTCCTTGGGAAACGACTATCCTTGACTTTGAAAATATCATGGACGCCTTGCGGTTTCTCAAAGCCTCACTGGAGAAGCTTACATTGGAGTTGTACCTCGGGCTCGATGATGAGTTGGCTGATAATCTCAAGATGACTGTCAGGGGAAATCTGTGCGGTCTACGCAACTTCCCCCGGATCACACACCTAGACGTCCCATTAACATCGCGCAGAGCGGACAACTCCGATCCTTTGCCGCTAGCGGACTATGCTCCCGATAGCGTCGAGGTTCTCACTCTTTCTGGAAGTGCTTTAGTTGATGATGAATGTCCGCATGAGTGGGATGGGTGGGTAGAACGGGCTGAATTTAAGGATCTAGTTCCTTTGATTAAGGATTTACGTAATGTTCGTCCTTCAAAACTGCCACGGCTGCAGCGAGTTGAAATTATCGATGATCATGGTGGGAATATTCGACGTGAAATAGGAGGGCAGATCGAAGCGCTTGATCTCGGTTTCAAGGTTCAGATCATTTAGCTCGGGTTGGCACCTTCTCATTATGACTATTTTTATTTTTATTTGATTAGGCAGAACAATTTAGCAACTTCTTTTGACGGCTCATCCCCTGCTATGTCTGATATCTGATCACTATGCTTTTTCTGTCTACTGGGTAACCAAACAAGATCGTAGATAACCAGCTGGGAGAAGACCATAGATCATTCTTCGAATGATTTAGCATGAAGCAAGTGCGTCTGAGCTAACTTTTGGCTTTTGTTCCTCGTATATAATCCGACAAGCTCTAGCATGAACAATTCTCACTTGAGGCGAGAGACGATGTGACACTGATGACCGCGATGTGGGGTAGCATTCCATTGCTTCAAATTAGCCAAGACAATCAACCATATGTTTTGTCATAATGTTTCAATCGAGATAGGAAGGTAAAATACGATGCTTATACTTATAGGCCCCCAATTCCTCCAACAAAATCTGATTTCCCGATCAGCTTATCACTCTTCCAACGCGACTTCCTTATCCCCTCATCAGACGTCATCAAACAGCCGAAGACAGCCATGAAGTTTGCTCTATTTCTCGTTGCCATAGGCTCAGCCCTGGCAGCGCCGACTGAGGTGTTCATGAAGGAGGACAATATATTTTGCTGGGACTTGTGTAGCTTTGAAGAGCCCAAATGCCCCGACCAGATGGTACGTCCACCCACAACCCATGATCCTGGGTAAACATCTAACAGCCTGTGACACAGTTTTCGAGCTTCAAGGATCCGTGCTGGACATGTTGCGGGGATATTTATCTAAGTCACCAATGAACAGCCTGGGGTTGCGTTGAGTCGCCGCCCTGTATGCGGGCAAAATTTGTCCCAGGATTAAGGAAAGAGTTCTGGGCACAATGAGATGAGAGTCGGCTCAATGAGTCTTGATTTATTAATCTACAAACTTCTAGCCAGATGGAAAAAAAACAAGGAAGAGTATTCTAAGTCCCGCCGCTCGTTGCTTCTTCCTCGTCAGCCACCTTGCGTTGTGATTTCTTTCTCCATAGCCTGTAGAACAAAAAACATCCTCCTGTGGCTGGGACTGTTAGGAGAATCCAAACCCAAAAGCGGTCGGTCTCTTTGAGCCAGGGGTTGTCACTGAAAAACGGCATTGATAACACGGTCTAATATTGTGTGCATTAGCTAGATTACTCTGTAAATGCGGCTTACAACGATGGATTTTAGACAGAGTCGGATGATTTGATGAGACAAAGATGCCGTGAGACGGGAAAAACGTACCGCAAAGGTAGCTGCAGGCAGGAATGCCATTGTGATAATAGCGATCTGGGTAAACATTAGCCATCTTCCAAACATACCCGCCTTTGCCGCTCGTACCGTTCTCATTGCAATGCTGTCTCTCTTCATCTCGATAGCAAGTTGGTGTGATGCATCAGCCATTTTGCGACCAACATCTGTATCGGCCCGCATCGCTCTCAGTATCTCTTCCATGGCCCTGCCGTTGGCAACAAGCAGTCTGTCGCTGTTGATCTGGATGCGGTTAAAGAGCTACAGACAGCCAACTGTCAGTCCGGGGACGATCGAATACGACCCAGGAGATTCGGATGAGACACTTACAAGATCCAGGATATTTTGAGTCTTCTTTTCCAGCTCTGTAGCAAAGTCAAGCGATGCTTCGATCTGTGAAAGAACCTGGTTGAAGCCCCGGTTCGCCTTTTCCAGCCCTTCGTCCTCGCCTTCTCCCTCTCTGTCGGAATACATAGAATCGTAAAATTCAATCAAATCTGTCACGATTCCCTGTAGAGACTTGAGCTCCGACAAGTAACGATGCAGATGCGCAGAAATCGAATGAAGCGCCCGGCTCAACTTTGTAAGCGTGGCTTCTGGCGTCACACCGGCCGCATCAAGCTCCGACTGAAGCTTCATCTCGTATGCGATGAGCTGCTCGTTCACACTGTTGAGCGAGTTGGTCCACCACCGTACGGCGCTGCTGATGTAGACGAGGTGGACGAATGCGCCGTTGCAGTGCCTCGTGCTCGTCTCGTCCGTGCTCTTCTGGTGCTTCATCACCTCGGCGATGCGGGTTTGAGGCTCCTGAGCGACCTTGCACCACCGCCCGTGCATGAAATCGAACGTCACTACCGTCACCTTCTTAGAGCTCGGGTCTACTCTCGTGAAGACGCCTATGCAGGAGCGAAATATGTTTCGTCGAGCGTTGGGGAGGTGAAGCTTGTGGAATGGGTTCATCTGCCCTGCGCCTCTCTCGTCCTCTGCAATTCCCGCTTGGGGCTCCATCTGCACGCGGACGGGGATGAAATACCAGCAGTCGAACACTTGGGAGACATCATTGTCAATTTTGAGCTGTCGAAATCCTCTGCCGTTGGGGAGGTAGTGGCGAGAAAGCGCAAAGATGAAGGCCGAGGGAAGGGTCAGTCGTGTGGCCAGCGCCTCGAAGCTTGGCGCTGATATTTGCAGTTTTTCTTGCTCGGCTGGCATAAGAGGGTTCGCAACTAGATCTTTGTATACGAAGCTATGGGTAATTGGTAAGCTCTCTGAGATGTAACGGGCAGGATCTGATATTTCATCTTACAAGAATTCGATGCTGTTGTTGGCTGATACGTCTGGCTGCAAATGCGGTCAGTGAGAAGAACAAGTGAAACAGACGGCATTAAGATGGAATCCATCCAGGCTATCTGATTTGAAAGGATTACCAATCTAGTGATGTCCGCGCGGGATCTCAGCGTCAGTTCCTGGGGTTCTCCCTCAGATTGGTAGTGAACATAATTGATGTTTGTAGTAGCCGATAATTGTGACTGCTGGAAGCTCTCGAACGACTGTGAAATTGATTTGGCGTGCTCACTGAATTGTCACGGATGTGTTAGTAACAGGTGTAATTCTGTGGCACAGATACCGGCAACATAACAATGATTTCCTACTTACAGCTCTGGTGCTTGAGCGGCCTTGTATGCCTTGGTCTTGCTCTGCCTAGATGCCATATTCACGGCACACTGTAACGACTCCGTGAAAGAAAAGCAAAGGTTGAAGCAATGGGCTGGGTGGTTGAGAGGCCCTCGTCATATTGCTGCGTCAAGACCGGCCAGTTCAGCTGAACGGCTCTAGCGCTGCTGGAAAGCCTACGTCCAGGGTCCAGCCGTCATTCTACTGAGCAAGGTAACATTCGCCAATTGCTTCTTGTACAGCCTCTGCAGGGGTCTGACATGGGTGTCGGATCTCGAACTACTTCAGTGGCAAGTGTCGCTGTGCTATCACTAATGTGAGCTTGCTGCCCAAGCGAATCACTCATTATCTCTTGACCAAACCTCCAAACACCGTCCCTTGCCTCGATACGTTGGAAGTTTCTTTTACTTTCCAAATGGCGGGTGGCAGGCGAAAACAGCGGTACGCCGCATCCAACCTGGATCCGTCTTGGAATGTCCAGGACGAAATGCCAGGAGAAGGAAGCCAGTTCTTTATTCCAGCAGAAGCAGCAGCGGAAAGGCCTGACCAAGCAATCGACGCTCAATCCCCCACTATCTCTCGCCAGGTCACTCCGCACTCTGATGCCTTCTCGCCGCCTCGCGCTACACCAGCCCAAGATCAACAACCAATCACTCAGCAATTACAATCCCAGTCGCAATCCCCCTCTCACCTGGAGGTCCTCGAGCTCCCAGTAACACGGGGCAGCACACCGTCCCGACATTCGCGCGATGGTGAGGAATCGGCCTCGACCGTCAGCTCCTCGGCGCCATCACGTTCAGCCAAGGGCAAGAAGAAGCGATATGTGACAGAGCATTCAGCCGACTGGGTAGAGGAGGACCTTGTCTATCCAGCTGGGCCCAGTCTCGGGCCCTACCCACAGCAGACCCTGGCCGCGATGCCGCATCAGCCGCAGCAGATGCAACCATCATCGTCAATAGCTGCACAGCCCCCAGATCTAACGACGCCATCCTCCATGGCCACGACGTCCCCTGCCCTCTCCATCTTCCGCGGCGGCGGCCACCAGACCAACAGCCCGGGACAGGATGCGCCTGCGATACAGCCTGGAGCGCCGTCTGCCTCATCGCCAGCGTCGCCATTCGCGGGCGTGGGACAGCCGAGCGCTCAAGCTCAACAGGCGCCGGATAGCCATCTTGGTGTCATTGTCGAGGAGCAGCAGCAGCAGACTGGTCTACCGGAGCCGCCGCCGCCGCCACAACCACATCCGCAGGCTCTACCGGCTCAGGCAAAGAGAAAGGGATGGTCTAGGCTTCTACGGAGGGGCTGATGCGGGTGATCTGTCACTACCCCTTCATCCCTCGGGTTTAGTGCAAGACGCCTCGCCTACATATTCACCAATGTGTGTAGCGGCGGATGCGCCCCATGTCTGCACAGATGTGAGATGCAGTCTGGTTCGCATCTGAGGCGGACTGGCGGCATTCAGCTGTAGGCAACATCGGTAGCTATGACGACACTGGAACAGCTCACAGTCATAGATTTTAATAAAATTCTTTTTGGTGCCCAAGATTGCTGTCTTCTCTTCTCCGTGTCTCCAAAGCCTTGTTCATTGACCTGGTGCATCACATCGCAATGACCAAATCAGAGCCCACGACACCGAACCAGCCGATTCCTCCCAAGGAGTCTTGGAGCAATGGCCTCCTCCACGGGCTCAGGAAGAGTAGGCTCACAGATGGACCCTGACCTCAGAAGGAGCTATCGACTAACTTGCAGTGCAGAGGTCCTCCATCGCAACTCCAAGAGCCAGTCGTTGTTTTCATCATCTGGTGATCAAACCCCAACTGCGTCCGGCAGCAACAATACTTCGCAATTCCTTGCTTCGCCGGTACAAGCGACACCTCCGATCAGTCCTCATCAGTTCCAGTACCCATATCCATACTCGCCTATTCCACCCGGCCCTCCAAGTCTGAGGCAAGCCGACATCGACCGCTTCGAAGGTTTTCAACAGCAACTGCCTCCTCCGACCCAAGCCAATCCCAATGGACCGCTTTCAATGTGCTTTGCCGTTGACGTCTCAGGCAGCACTCGAGGTCGGGTCCTACGAGAGGAACAGGCAGCCATCGATGAGCTGGGAAGTGCTCTGACCAAGGGCGGACAGTTCTCCAAGGATGAGGCATGGATCTTACCTTGGGATGACAGAGCACACTCCCGTCGCCCGTTGAACGGCGCCATGAGCCTCGTCTCCGGAGCTGGGACACGTCCGTCGGCCGTCATCAACGATGCCATTCACAAATACACCCTCCAGAATTCAGGTCTCTGGTGTCTGATGACAGACGGTTACATCGACAAGCTCGAGGTGCAGAGCTTTGCCAACGCGATCCCAAGAGCCGGCATCCACGGCACCGCATGCATCATCGTCACATTCGGCTGGTACCAGCGGTCGCCCTTCGAGTGCAACGTGTCGGTCGGCATGTCAGTCTTCGCCGTCGCTCCGCACTGCCTGTTTCTCTACCACGGGATCCAGGACAGCAAAGTGTACGTCTTCCAGGCCAAGGGCTGCTTCGAGAAGCTATTGCCTGAGGACAAGCGCTTCGTCGCGTTCAACGCATCTACGCAATGGCGAGACCTGCACTCTGTCTCCTATGATGAGGTGGCCCAGGTGCAGGTGCCTCGGCCGATCAAGCTATCCGTAGACTCTGTTCTGCTTCCCTCGGGTAAAACATTTGACATGCGATCCATCTACGACAACAGTGTCTCTCAACAAGATCAGATGGATCTGCTAGCCGATTATTCATCTCTCGATGTCGTTCTCCTCGCTGCCAAGACGAGGGGAAAGAGCGCTGCGGTGAAGAACTGGGCGGAGAAGGCTCGTAAGGATAATGAATCCAGGCAGCCGAAGTCAATTAATTGTGAAGACTTGAATGGGAAGGGCACCTCTCAACTAAAGAAGCTTATCACCCTCATCACGAGTTCAGACGACCCAGATGCCTTCTGGGACATGCTTCGAAGCGAGGCGTCTTCAAACAAGCCGCAGATCGAGTCGCTCAAGAAAGAACTCAGGTGGCAGCATAAGGTCAACTGGGACACGTTTGAGAATAAAGTCCGCGAAGAGGCCGAGCTGCCCGGGAAGGTGAACATGGCCTTCGATGAGGTATTGACTGCCATCTCAACCTACGAGACAAAAGCCAACCAAGACACACCCGCCGCGCTCACCCCCTTGTCTTCGCCCATGCCCACATCACCACCCTTTGATCCCAATGATGCATCCGATGACGATGATGCTGGAACCCCACGCCTTTATTCCAATCAATACGTCCCTCCTCCCGCTCCAACGAGCCCCAACATGCCACGCATGAGCCCCCTTTCACCATCGGCGGGCCCCGTGTTCCAGCAATACAACGGCTTCGTTCATCCATCTGCAATGTTCAACCCTGGTACCGGACCACCTGTTATAGGCCCCTCTCACGTTTTGCGATCGCCTCCCATGAGTCCCGGAAACATCCCTCCCTCCAGCTACGCCATGACATTCCTGTCAGATTTCACAGATCCTTCGCCTCCCAGATATCCTTCACAGAACCGCGGCCAAAACTACAGTACCTGTTTACTCTGCGGCAAAGAATCATCCCTTCAAACCTTGCTACTCCAGTCAAACCCCACGACAGAGGGCACCCGGAATCTGCCAGCTCCAAACACCCGCTCTGGCCATCGGTATCCGCTAGTGCTGGGGAGCTACGCCGAGACCGACGTCGTCCTCCCCATGGTATGCTGCGACGGGTGTGCCTTTCTCTTCCTCCGCGCCGGCGAACTCCCCAACGGAGGGGGCCGAGTCGCTGCCGCCCTGCCTCTGGTCCAGCTGCACGTGTCTTCCAACCGGAAGAAGTGGGTTGAGACCCTCAGCGCTGTGTACGATCACCGCTTCAGCGATCGGATCGTCCTGCTCGTCTTCCTGTCCACGCTCTGCTCCACCATCGAGGACATTGCCGAGAGTAACGACGCGGGTGTCCAGCGCGTCCGGGAGTCTCTTGAGTGGTGCTGCAGGGCCATCTCCCGCCTCTCTGGTGTCTCTACACTGGCTGGCCTTACACCTGTGGGCAGTCCCCTGACTGGCATGATTGACGAGAGGATGCCCATGCAGGACACGATCCGCCTGGCGTTCTCCAATGTGGGGATCAAGCCGACGGCCACGGAGTCGCCGCTGCTTGGCTACCCGATCCATGGGTTTGTCACCCTCGTTAGGCTTGCTTCCCTATTCGATACCATCGAAGCTTCAGAGATTGAGCTGTTTGTTTGGAAGAGGCTCTGTCATTATCTTGTGGAACAGCATTCCCACATGCAAGCCAGGATCGGGGTCTCCGAGGCGAACGACAAGCTAAATGCCTTCCTATTCGACGGCTCTGCTCGGGACAAGGCTACGCTATCCGACGGCAGGACGGCGCGATCAGTCTGCCACATGAGTGACCTGATGAGCACGCATCTGCTAAACCAAGACGCAGTCGATCAATTCCATCGGATGGAGGACTATTTTGGCATGATGCAGAGCGCGAGCAGCAACTACAAAAACGCGCTGGCCGTCTTTCTACACATCTTCAACGAGGGTCTCAAGAACCAAACACGGGTTACTAATGCCGCCGAGTTCTTCATCCAGTTGAGATACCGGGCAGATAAGCTTGTGCTGCGGAACGGGTCGCTGAATAACATCGTGGAGGAGCCAAAGGCGACTGATGAGGCTATGGCTGTTGGGTCGATTGATCTAATCTACAAGCTGGATAACTTAGACTGATCAGGGTCTTGATGAATGGGATTGTATTTTTGGGTTTGTTCCAGGAGGCTCATGAAGATTGTCATTGGAGATAATAATAATGTTAGGGAGGAAAGTGACTGCATGGGTCATGATGCTTTTTATTATACTATCCGGATATTCAAGAAATACTAATTTAATTCCAATGTATTACAATATTGAGCCTCAAGTAGCTAGTTTAAACTTCTCTTTCTCTACAATCACTGAAGAAACGAAAACAAAGAAAAATACAAGGGTATTCCATGCAACATTCCCCATCACGGCCAACCCGGGCCACCATTCTTCACCAACTCCTCCCCAGTCCAGTCCCACAGCCTCTTCGCAAGCCCATCATCATTCGTCTGCTTGCTCTCCCGCCCAGCCGCGCCTACCGGCTCGTAATAACGTCCATTAATAACACCCTTGCTGAAACTCGCCCACAGCCCCGTCTTTGCTCCCTCGTCCGGCGTGACACCGGTCAGAGCCAGGGCCGGTTTGAGGATCAAGTACCGGATGGCCCATGGCAGATCTTTGTCGCCGCTGTACGCTCCCGTCTTAACGCCGCCGGGATGGACGGATGCTGAAGTAATCTGCGGATAGCGCTTTGCCAGCTCATACACGAAGAGGGACTTAGCGAGCATGGACTGGGCGTAGAGGGCTCGCCCGGTGAAAGATTTCATATCTGACTTGAGGTGATCGAATTCTATCCCTTCCTTGAGTCCAAAGATCTTGTGTGATGCTGACGTTGTGCTGACGATCCGCACGTCGGCTCCCGGAAGGTTGGCCGTCTCGAGCATCAGAGGCAGGAGAAGCTGCGTGAGCAGCGCATGTCCGACGTGGTTGGTTCCGAGCTGGATCTCATAGCCCTCTTTCGTAGTCGTGTGCGGCACCATGGCGACACCGCCATTGAGATGGAGGATGTCCAGTCGATCCGACTCAGAAGTCACGCGAGCCGCCGCCGCCTTGACGGACTGGAGGGAGGCCAGGTCGAGGTCCAAAATCTTGATGTTGGCCGTAGAGGCGGTTTTTGAACTTGATCTGATCCGCTCGAGGGCCTCTTCAGCCCTGACTCGAGAGCGGGCAGCGAGGTAGATCTTCTTGGGCTTGTGCTGGGCAAGCGCTTTGACGGCCGCTTCGCCGAGGCCAGAGTTTGCTCCGGTCACCAGGCATATCTTTTCACCAAGATCTGGGATATCGACACTGGGGTTGAATTGAGGCATTTGGGGGGCTCTGGGGGTTTGATAAAGCTAAGTTTCACCTAAGATCCAAAGGAACTGTTTAGCTGATTATGTGGTGAGTGAGGATTGCAGGAAGACTGTTGATGCATTCAGGCTGTCTACTATTTATACACAAATTCCTCTATTTCATCGGCTTATCAGGCCATTATACCATCCGTTAACTCCTTCATTCCGCGGATTTATATTTGTCACTGGCAATTTGACCTGAATCAACGCGAAACCTCTGTCAGGTCAGATTTAGCCCAGTGCCAAGCCTTTTGTGGTTACCCGATTTGGCAATCGTTGGAGATCTCCGGAGTTTATCTCAGCCAAGCCCGTAAGCATAAGATGTCACCTCATATCCAGTTCGTTTGAAAGCTTAAAGTTTAATTTTGGAGCTTCCGTCGTACTGAGGCATTGACACGTGTGGAAAGTTCATAACGATGACTTCAAATCAGAATCCAGATGGTCAATGTTGCATGTACACGGCCTTTCATTCATGAAGGGCTGGAGCAAAATCCTGGTTCACTACTTAGCTCTACCCGCGACTACCATTTGAGATTCTCTGCTGATGCAAGCTGTTGCTTGTGCCAGTTCCTTGCATCCGATTTAGTGTTCGTTTACTCGTTGCTCTTACCCTTGAGAACATCGACAACGTATTCGCCAATAACCGGGAGAAATTAAAGCCTAGGAATTCGATGGTCAGCAAATCTTTCAGGTTAAGTAAAGAAGAAGAAACCAATAATTCATACCGTATCCACTGCCGCCTGTAACAACAATAAGGCCCTCTGTTAAAGGAACTCTGTCCACGATAAACTGTAGATCGACTGTATCCTTGTACCAGCACATTTTGGCCAAGGCAATTTCCTCCCCAACCAGTTCCGGCAAATTCTCTTTGATTAACGCCTTTGTTTCCTCCAAGGGGGACAGAGGCGGCCCACATTGGCTCTCGATCTCCTCGATAGTCACAGGGACCGAAATGAGAGCCTCTTGCGAAGTCGATGCCACTGGGTTTGTCAATTTGGGCGATCGATACGAGATCTTTCAATTTCCGTGTCCTAAGAGATAAGTTAGGTTTGGGGAATGTGACGACCAGATTGACAAGCATGAGGAGAAAAAGTAATTCGTACTGTGCACTGGAAAGCCTGTGAGGCCACCAATTCCAGAGTTTCCAGAATAATTCCATGCCCGGGTGGGGAAGACATCAGCCTCGTATCAGTGCCGGAGATGCTCGGGTCCCTTGACGAAAATGAAAGTTGCCGGCAGTTGCGGTCACGAATGACTGCAGTTCCGATACAATTTGTGGTGTATATGGTCCGGCTGCCACAATCACATAATCAGCCCTGTGCTCTTTCCCGTCTTTGGTTTTGATTCCAATAACACGGTTGGGCTCATTCTCAGCACGGATGAACCCGGTAAATTCTCCTTGGCCCGGACCGGAGATTGTTGTGGCGCCTCCGAACTTAGCCAGCTGGAGAGCATAGTTGCATGCAAGGTCTGCTTGGACCATGCCCGCATTTGCGTCAAATACACCATCCAGTGGCAAGCTCCGCTCTCGCCTGTTGAACTGGTCGAACCGGGGCCCGTACCATCCTTGCTCCCGGGCTCTCTTCAAGTCCTCATGGTTATTAAGGAAGAACTGGGTGTCACCAAGCTCGACAAGCTTCAGAGTATTGAAAGTAGCAATATCGACATCCTGGGGTCTCCCAATATCAGTCACCCGGGCCCAGCCAGAATGAGAGAACAACTCGACGCCAGAGTCGGCATTCCACTGCTTCCAAGTTCCAATGGCCCGGTTTGCAAGGTCTTAAAGGGGCTTGTTCAATCCATAGGCGCTACGGATCACCTTGTGGCTATCTAGTAATCATGAGTTCTTTGCATAATTGATAATTAGGGCTATCAAAGTAATAGCAGACTCACCTGCAGACGCTGAATCGCCACCACCGAATGGAGAGTAGGCAGACTGGTGATAATCTTGCTTATCAAAGATCGTCACGTTCTTGAACCCTCGTTGCTGCAGATGAATGGCCGTGGAAAGGCCAAAGACCCCCGCGCCTGAGCAGTACCGCCTTTGTTAGCCAGTTGGATTGATTCAACTGTTGACGCTTTTACCCACAGATGATGATAAAAGAGCTACTGGGACCAGCTATAATCGCGATCACAGACTGATGTTTAACGAAAGTATACCCGGCAACATTCCCGGATGCTCCTAAATCGTGCTACTGGAGTTAAAGATAGTATTATACCTGCTCAGCCAACCATCAGTGGGTCAAGAAATACCCATAGACTTTGTCCTCCATGCTATAGAGACTTTGGGTAATTGCTCAGATTATTCAAGATGGCACGTGTGACATGATTCTGTTCGCCGTCTCCATATTCAAGCAACGCATTATTTGGTTATCTGGATGCCAATGAGCCAAATCGGATTGCAGCCAATCAACTTTCCCAGCTTGGAGCTATATATGTGGGGTAGAAATGATGTAATGCCTCGCCGATATTGTGCCATTTCGAAACAAGAAGCGAAATCGGACGAATTCCTAGTCGGCGACTAACAGTTGCTAGAACGCCAGGCATTAAGGAACTCGCTGGGATCTCGGATCCACCAGCTCGCCGTGAAGAGGGCACCTCGGATGAATAAGATCCCATGCTAGAATTCTCTAATCTGGCGTTCAAATGTTGGAATCACCGGCCCTCAATATGTCACCCATCAGGAGAGTTGCAGTCATCGGTGCTGGTCCGTCTGGGGCCGCAGCCGCGGAAGCACTGAAACAGGCTCAGGCCTTTGACGTGATTCGAGTCTTTGAGCGTAGAGGCGAGGTGGGCGGCGCATGGTATGTAACATGACACATCTGCTCATTCTAGACTATTGTTGCTGATTAAATGGAAATAGGAATTTTGACCCAGCGCCCAATGTACCTATAGCAGATCCTCTGGTTCATCCCAGTGCAGCAGATCCTCCACTACAACCGCCGGCTGAACTCCCAGCCACTACGCCAAAGAGTTCGACAGAGAGATGGATCACAGCGCCTGTATACGAGAATCTTACCACCAACGTCAACGTTGTAAGATCATGCAAGCGAAACCGAGTGCATTCCGGCATACTGACACCAAGTCCGATAGGAAATAATGACATATACCTATCTTCATTTCACTGACGTAGACAAAACACCCCTGGCAGAAGACCATGATCCAATGTTTCCTTCTGCAGCCCGGGTGTTAAACTATATCCAAACTCTCCATAACAGGCACTCGGACTACTTGGTCCTAAATACTACCTTGGAAAGGGCAGTCAAACAAGATAATGAATGGCATTTGACGTTGAGACAGGCGGATAACGAAACAGACTACTGGTACGAAGAGTCTTTCGACGCTCTTGTCGTCGCCACTGGCATCTATTCTGTCCCTAGAATACCAGATATCCCAGGGCTCCATGACTACAATCGCAGCTTTCCAGGGAGGGCATTACACTCTAAGTACTTCCGGTCGGTAGAAGGTTTCAAAGCTCAGGTATGTCTTACTCGTTGACGCTTAAGAAGGAACAGCACACTAACAATCCGGATCAACAGTCGGTCTTGGTAGTCGGAAACGGCATAACTGCACTTGATCTCATCCGGGACCTCATGCCAGTGGTATCAAAGCTTACAGTTGCTCACCGATCTCCCAGCTGGATGTATCCCACGTCCCTGGTGGGGGTTCCTGGGATATCTGCTCGTTCCCAGCTCCAACGTCTGGACCCGGAAAATGGGGACTGTTTCTTCGCAGACGGAGGACCTCCCTTCCGCCCAGACGCCATTATCTTTGCCACGGGATATCATGTTTCATTTCCGTTCTTATCCCCGCCGTACGCTAGCCACAATCACGGTAGCTCCTTGGCCGCGGATTGGGTCCCTGGAACGTATCTACACACATTCCATCAACAGGACCCAACATTATCCTTTGTCGGGCTCGTTCAAAACAGTGTTTCATTTCGAATTTTCGAGTATCAAGCGGCTATTGTCGCAGCATTTCTTGCGGGAAGACTCAAACTACCTGTCTTGGAAGAAATGCAACGCTGGGAGAAAGAGCGGCTGGAAGAAGTGAACAACAACTCAGCCCTGTTTCACTACAACAAATACCCAAACAGCGTCGAGTTCCTAAACCAGTTGCATGCCCTGCTGCAGCAGACCACTGGGCCTGGGCTGCAGCTTCACAGTTGGCAAGATGAATGGACCCCGAAATACATAGCAGGCATTGAGGAGAGGAAACGCAGGGTTGAGAACCTAAAGACTCTCCACATCACCGGAACTGTATTGTAACTAGCCAGAATAGCCTGAGAGATTAAAAATGTTAGAATTCTGCGAGTTTTCAATCAGCAATTGTAAGCCCAGAGGGACAAGAGGTTGCATTTACAACTCTCCAGGGTGTGGGCTTACAGACAAGGGTCCGCGGAGAAGACAAATGAACCCACGTGGTGTTGATGAGCCTAAATCAAACTAACGACATACATTAATCATATCAAGCTGCAATAGATGGAGCGCCATTGGTAACTCAACGTATGTTAAACAAGTATTATGCTCGTTTATCGCAGGAAAGTTGCTTAACACCCACACGAACCCATCACCAGTGTGCCGCATAGCCTTTTTTCTCCGTGTGTCGGTGTCCGGGTGGAGCTTTGATTCGGACGGAGACCAAAACGCCGGGATCCTAGACATTGCGTCAGTCTAGGGCGGGATTTGGTGATTGACTTTTGCGTTGGGAAGAGGTGGCATTAAACTATCAACCCCTGTAGAGTGGGTTAACACGGTATGTTGCATTGGTATTAAACGTGGTCACCGGTCTTTAAAGACATGTCCGATAACCATTGCCGATCACTTTCAACCTTCAACGCCTGTGCTACTGCTCAGATTCACTAATTAAAGATGACTGTAGACAAGGGTGTCGAAAGCCCGGTCACGTCCGAGGTAGGCAATGAGGAAGCCGGTGTTCAACATGTCTTTATAGAGAAGGAGATATCAATCGATCCCGAGGACGAAAGGAAACTACTTTGGAAGATTGACCTTCGTGTGATGCCTCTCCTCTTCTTCATGTATTTCTTCAAGTACGCCTCCTCGGAAATACCACTATTCTCTGTGTAGCGATCTAGCATTGTTTCATAGTTCCCTGGATCGGAATAACTTGGGAGCAGCCAAAACCGATGGCATTGACACAGACCTGGGATTTTCCAAGTATCAGTACAACACCTTGGTCTCGGTTTTTTACATCCCTTATTGCGCGTAAGCGAATTACCCCTTGGGAATACTACCTAGACATACGAAAGCTAATACCCATCCCAGATTGACAGTTCCGGCCAACATCCTGACCCGTAAGCTCTCTGCACGATGGACTCTGCCATCCTACCTCCTCTTCTGGGGTGCCACCGTCATCCTGTCTCCCGCATGCCACAACTTTGGCGGACTTGCTGCCCTTCGAATTCTCCTAGGAGTGGCCGAGGCCGGATTTGGTGTTGGCGGAGTTTTCTACCTCACCCAGTTCTACAAGCGTGATGAGCTGGCCAAGAGAATCGCGCTCTTCTACGGCAGTCAAACCGTTTCAGGCGCCTTCTCTGGCTTGATTGCCTTTGTTGTCTTCCAAATCAAGGGCAGCCTGTATGGATGGCAATACCTCTACCTGGTTGAGGGAGCTCTGACTATTTTGATTGGCGCCATTGCTCTGTGAGCGTTCTTCCACCTATCGAGGGTCATCTTGTCTTGTGCTGACGTGGGAAAAATGTCTTCCTGCCACAACCTCCTCACGCCGCAAAGTTCCTCAATGAGCGAGAGAGAGAAATTTGCCGCCTGCGATCACTCAAGGATGCATCGCAAGCCGTCGGTTCCAAGTTCGAACTTCGCGACTTCTTCGCGCCGCTCAGAGATTGGAAACTCTGGGTTTGGGTCTTCATCGCCTTCTGCTTTGGCGTCACCAACTCTTCTGTCGGAAGTTTCACTCCGCTGATCGTTGCCAAGCTGGTACGTAAAGCTGAATCCTTAATTATGGCTTGATCATACCACTAATCAGACTGCCTTTAGGGATACAATGCTGTCAAAACCAACTTGTACACTGTTGCCCCTTACTTGGTTTCGGCTGTCATTCTTTTTCCGACAGCTGTCAGTTCAGATCATTTCCGTGAACGCACATACCATCTCATCTCTGCCTTCACCATGGTAAGTGTCAAACTGGGGAAATGTTGCTCTTGAAATATGCTGACTATTTCAGTCTTGTGTTGGCTTTATCACCATCGCATCTATTGATGTGGAGAGGAACATCGGCGTCGCCTATTTTGCAGTCTTCCTCATCGTAGGCGGTTGCTTCACACAATCTATCATCTTCCATTCCTGGCATCAGAACAACGTGCTATCCGAAAACAGAGGAGCTTTGTTAGTACCCACCTCCTCTGACATGCATCATCTAGCTTCATTCTAACCTTTTACTTTCAGCAACATTGTCTTCATCACATTCTTCGGCAACGCCGCTGGTCTTGTCTCAAGCAACGTCTTTACTCCGGATAGCGCCCCCAAGTATATTCCAGCTCTTGTCACCAACTACCCCTTCCTTGCTGCTGCCATTTTGGCCACCCTTTCTATGAGACTCTGGATGCAGCGTCAAAACGCTCTGCGAAACAAGGCCAAAGGTGTCAAGTGGACAAGTGCAGATGTGTTAACGCATCTGTTGATTGCTAGTTCGACTGAGAACCCTCATCAAAACCCCAACTTCCGCTTCGTTATTCAGACGGGAAAGGCCTAATGAGTCTAGTATCTCCTAGGAAGTCGAAGATCCTGTTTACTAGCACTACCCATAGACAATCATCAAGAGTAGCCTCGCTTATATACCCCAGCACTACATAGATCAAACATCAAGCAGCTTACTCATGCTGTAGTTAAAATGATGGCTCGGTCTGACTTGTTAGGGATATGCTAGGATAACACGCCCTCGGGCATCAACAGACCTATTCATCCAACCATAGCATTGTGATACTTGAAGTTAGTGCTGGCCCATTGTTACCGAACGATAGAGCGTGCATAGAGCCAGCTGGTGCTGAGTTCAAGACGAAAACCATATCCGCTATAGCAACGCCCCTACCAGTGCCATCTCCAGATGAAATCTATTTCTGCTTCCTCCTTAATTACTCATCGTGTGTTATTTAGCGCGGCAGCAGCCGGCGCACAGGCGTACAGATTGTGTTCAACTACGAAAACAGATATAATGGCAATCTCAATCTGATTGTTACTATATAATCTTTGTACAGGGAGGACAATTGGTGGAGACGAAGGATTTTCATCCGGCTTTGCCGAAGACTGGGGAGCAAGCAGAGGCCATTTGGGCTTAGTATCAGTTCATATTAGAGAGCCTGTTTGCACTCATGCTTATGGCACTGAGGAAAACGCTGATTGAATGCTTATGTATTTATCATTTCTCTTCTTTCTTTCGTTAAAAGTGCTACTTGGATGGTTCCAAAAAGTGAACATGAGATATTCTTCCGGGGCCGAGGCTCAACACAGCCAACCCAGTCCAGTTATGCGAAGAAAAAGGATAATGGCCTACCTAGCTTACTATACATTGCCCTAGCCTTTGCCTTCACCATCAATCCCACTGGTGAGTTGAGTCTAGAAGAGGATCCGCTAATCACTTCCTCCTTTGGGGGGATATTCGCGATCCTTGCCGGCTTAAAAGTGCCGGCTGAGGGGGCTGCAAGGATAGTGAATTCTACCAACCCACATACCGGTATCAGGGGTTTTCATCAGCAGGGTTGCCCCAGCACGGGAGTTCAGACCAGACTAACGCCTCTTTCTCTTGTGACTTGCCTCGCGAGGAGAAACGAAATTGCCTTGGTCCGAGCTTCGTGCTCTACCATCGCGCTTTAGTTGCAATTACACTCTGCACTCATCAGGCATCCCCACGGACAAGTACCTCTCCAACTTTTTAGCAGCGATAACTGGGCAACCATCTATGCAGGATGACTGCTTGTAGGTTAGCTTCGTCTATCCTGATAACACAATTAACTCTGTGATTGTTCACCACCAATGCCAGAGTTGATATCCCCATTCCGACCAGCAGTTCCATTAAACCGCATGCCACCATGTTAGCACTTTAGGTATACATCAACGTGAAAATCAAATCAGAGAAGAGACTGCAAATCAAAGTAATAGTGTTTTATATTTGGGATCTTGATAATGCATATCCCTATCCAAACACCACTTTGTGTTTTTTATATCCAATAACCAAATTCCACCCTAACCACTCCCGACAACGTTCCAAAGCCTATTGCAGCGAATGCTCGTGTTATTGACAAGGCAGGGGCTCGCCGAATAGAGACATTGCCCAGAGTAGTTCCAAACAGATAAGCCAAAATCTTTAGACGGTATCGTACAAGCAGGTATTATCAAGGAATGACCTTCCTTTTCGCAGTCCTGCTCCCCCAAAATCACTGTAGAACCTTCACCCCGACACTTTACAGGCTGCGGCGGCCGCGGCTGCGAGAGTTGCGCTGAGGGCTGGGAGGCGTGATGACGATAGGAGGAGGAGTGGGGGGAGGAGTAGGAGGGGGCGTGTTCCTCCTCTTCTCGATATCTCCAAGGCTTCGGCGACCACGGCTGCGAGAGTTGCGCTGGGGGCTGGGAGGAGTGATAACGATAGGAGGAGGAGTGGGAGGAGGGGTAGGAGGGGGAGTATTTCTCCTCGGGCTAAGATCTCCAAGACTGCGACGGCCACGGCTGCGAGAGTTGCGCTGGGGGCTAGGAGGTGTAATGATGATAGGAGGAGGAGTAGGAGGTGGAGTGGGAGGGGGAGTGTTTCTCCTCGGGCTGAGATCTCCAAGACTGCGACGGCCACGGCTGCGAGAGTTGCGCTGGGGGCTGGGAGGCGTGATGATAATAGGCGGAGGAGTAGGAGGGGGAGTAGGAGGGGGAGTGTTCCTCCTCGGGCTGAGACCTCCGTCAAGGCTTCGGCGACCACGGCTGCGAGAGTTGCGCTGGGGGCTGGGAGGAGTGATGATGATCGGGGGAGGCGTAGGAGGAGGAGTAGGAGGAGGAGTGTTCCTTCTCTTGCTGAGACCTCCGTCCAGGCTTCGACGGCCACGGCTGCGAGAGTTGCGCTGCGGGCTAGGAGGCGTGATAATGATCGGTGGAGGAGTAGGAGGGGGAGTGGGAGGTGGAGTGTTCCTCCTCTTCCCGAGACTTCGGCGGCCACGGCTGCGAGAGTTACGCTGAGGGCTGGGAGGCGTGATAATGATCGGGGGAGGCGTAGGAGGGGGAGTAGGAGGGGGAGTGTTCCTCCTCTTCCCGAGACCTCCGTTGACGCCTCGTCGTCCCAGGCCACGGCGGTGGCGCTGTCGAGCATTACGTTGAGGGCTGGGAGGCGTGATAACGATGGGAGGTGGAGTTGGTGGAGGAGTAGGAGGAGGAGTGTTCCTCCTCACCTCCAGATCACCTCCCTCGACGTCGCGGGCCTCGAGATCCTCGTCGTCACGGATTTCGAGCTCCTCCTCAACGATGTCGCGGGTGTCAAGTTCATCCTCGAGGACATCGCGTGCCTCGAAGAGGTAGCCGCCATCAGAGACATCGTTCTCACCACGGGCGACAAGCTCATTGTCCTCCAAAGAGTCTGCGACCACCTGTTGGCCGAGGCCAAAAAGGAGGGTCGAGATAACGGAAACTTGCTTGATGGAAACCATCATGAATGAAAGAATGCTGTTGACCAGCTAACAGAAAACTTTACAAAGGAAATGATGAGATGAGAAAAAAAACGGAAAGAAAAGTGTATAAAAAGGAAGTTGATATGAATGAAGAGTTCCTTTCCGTCAACTGCACGAAAAGCTCATCTTATATAGTTCCTGTTGATCGATCCAGAGGTTCCTTCTCCCGTAGTCCAGAGAGCATGGCCGACCAGGGTGAAGTAAAAATAACTGTGCCTGAATCCTGCATCTCACCCTCGATCCTTTAGTCAATACATTCCCGTTGCAGGATTAGCGGCAGTCGCTAACTTGCCTCCTTCCCCCAGCAATCGATCCCAAAGAAGCACGGTAAGTGTTTTAGCGAGAGTACTGCGACCGCTCAAATTACACCCCTTTCCTAGGGAAACAGACACAAGATATTTTGCTCACTTTGCCAATTTACTGTAAGGTTCGCCGAGAAGCGTTCAGTGGCTCTAGGTTTTTGGATCTGCCCTAAGCTCTGTGTTTCAGAGAGGCCAACATTGCTACCAGTATCCACAGGCATGTATGCCGTTTGCCGTCCCAGTAGCCTATGAACCTATGAATAGCATCTGGGAACTAGCAAACTAGTGCCTCGGGCTATGCGACCCAAGTCGGTTCAATGCTGAACCCACAAGAGTGGACCAGTCACCAGTCCAGCCAAAGAACGTCCCGCGAGAACGGACAAGAATGGCCGCCCCAACAAGCACGCGACAGTTGAAGCGGAGTCACATCTGGATTGGAAATTAACCCAACTAGCTGGAAACAGACCTGTTCCTCAATCCGGCAGCCATATCGCTAAGCAAGGTTGTCCAGGTAGGCAATCCACTTGCCGTCCTGGACCTCATGCAAGCCCCCAGGCAATAGCCAGGAATAGTGGACGAAGCTGACGCCTCGGCCGCCTCGCTAAATGGCAGCCCTCCAAAGTGGCATTAGAGCATGGGGAGGTTTGTATCCAGCAAGCTTCAAGAAGTGTTTCCCTCTCAACATTTTGCCCCTTTCTTCTCAGGCACAGTCTGCCAATCAACTCTGAAAGTGGAAGCTCCAGCTCGTACAAACATGTACTGGCTCCTACGCCTGCGAACCAAGCCGTAACTGCCGTGTCCATAAGAGGAGGAATATGCCGATGATGATCCTAATCATCCTCCCCTGCATTCCCCGCCCCTTGACCATGCCAAACAGCTAGTCCCGAACCCCCTGGCTTCATCGCGAACCGCTTCGTGGTGGCCCACAAAATGATGACTAGAGCTGACGGGATTCATTCTTTCGGGCATCGCGTGTTCCAAAGTCGCATGTCTGTCCCTGAGGAGATTAGCTTCTGACGTGATACAAATGTACCGGGTCTCGACGTGTTTCTCAGGGCCGAACACGCCAAACGCGTGCGTACATGGAAAATGAGATAGCGTCTGTACGACACTGACCGTACTGTGTAAGCGGCCTGGAGGATTCGACGCGGAGCGCGAACCTGCGAACCCTGAAGCGAACCCTGCTCAGCCCGGGTCAGGCGATCCTAGCTCTGGTGGGTGACTAGTATGATCAGCAAGCCGCTCTTAACGAGAATAGTATTGGAAGGCTGAGGCTGGGGTCAAAGACCAGAAGAGTTCAGCCCATGCCGATGCTTGCTATCTGCACTACCCTGTATACACATTTCGCATTGTTCGAAATCCCTCTTAGACAGTTCTACAATCAATGGCAGACGATTAACATACGTATGATTTCAATCTCTCCGCGAGGACTTTTATTTGGAAATTAATCGTAATAGCTCAGAGTTCAGAATACATGTTGTGTTCAAAACGGGGAATAACGTGTGGTCCACGATATTCGCTTGTTGCTGACGATTAGTTCACAAACAAATGTATGAACATGGAGCTTCACCGAGTCTTAGACAGGCATAGGATCATAATATTAGAAACGATAAATTCAAGTAACATTTCTCATTGCTTTCGTCTTGAACCGCACATTTTACGCAATTAGGTCTAGTCATTCGTGCTCCTCTTCAGCGACACACGTCCTTGTTGAGCGATTATGCGGAGAATTAATAATATATTTAAATTACCTATCGGCTCGGTACGTAAAAATGCGTTCTACCGGTACATGAGGTACTTTCGTAAATTTCTGCCTCCGCCTGAGGTGAAAGTCGATAACCAAATCACGTGAGCTAACACCTGGAATGGCATAAACTAGGCTGTACCCTGGTTATCTTTGGCTCTCCATTTCCTGCTAGATTTTCATGAGGATAAGCAGCCCCAAACATACCCCGGCAATACATCACACGAGCCATCCTTCAAGTTCCCATCTAAGGCTGACTGGGCATCCCCTGTGTAAGAGAGATTTAATTTTAATGGTATGGTCGGTCTGTTCGGAAAAAATGAACCTGCCGAGAGACTGACCAGCTTCTGAAGGAGGTTCATCCTTTCAGCCAGGAAGGCTTTGATGGCGCCACTGTAGAGGAAGAGGCAGGCGCAATTTTGGGCGTTGGTCAAGTGATACATTGGAAAGACTGTGATCGCGCATACCAGAGGAAGCAGACTGGGGGGGTTTGGTTCGGCATGCCGAAGGATGGGGGCTGGGTCAAGGTCACGACAGGCTACTCTGTTTACTTCGAAAGGGGAGCACACGGGCTGGTCAAAAGGGGGGATTCCTGACAGACCGCCGAACCGCGCGCGATAGCCGACGGGGGTTCTACACCTCTTTCCTAGGAACGGAGAATTCTGAATTTCGCTGCCTATTCTCATCCCTTTGTGGCAAAATTCGTGCCAGCGGACCTTGCACACGCCTTTGTCCTAAATCCGCGCCGATCATGACTGAACACACATCATAAGCCAAAATGATTGGCAATTTCCAGTAATGGCTAAGTATCTACACGAGCTATTGAGTTGAAGACACGGTTCAGGGCTCTATGAGCCTTCTCTTCTAACTGGGGAGATGTTGTGGCAAAAAAAAAATCACATAGACATCTCACCACTCTAGTGAGCACACTCATTTGTAACATACGGTATCCTCCAATTTCCGCTGCCAAGCAAGGCAACTTCTTGCGACACCGCTTAATATTGGAAATGATCATGGCGTGACGCCTGGTTTGGACTTGTTGAACTGTCGATCATCCCGATATCTCAACGTTCGTGTCGATAGCCTGATTTCAATCACGAGCCTGCTTGCAATTGGCATCAGCTTGAGCTGTCTTTGGTTGGAATGCCAAGGCTTCCGATACTTGATACAAGAGTTGCAACAGACTTAATCTGGCTGGGGCCGAAAGATTCAACTGTTTAGGGACTTGAATCGCAAAGGATCCGTCACCTGACAATGCTACGTAGGATGTAGGAACCTAGCTATTGTGGAGCATTCTCCTTAATCGCCTCGAGAGCTCCATGTGCGACTGTTCTCAATTCCCACCATATAGATTCTCTCGGAAAACTTGGTATTCTTACACCACCCTGGAAGCAGACAAATCTTTTGAACAACTCGATAAGATGAATGAATGAAGCTAGCGGTCGAGAGCTTACCACATAATAGGCATATATAAATGAACTCTCCCCCTTTCCACTTAGGTAGGGATAAAAGGCCCGGGTTTTCGCAGGTCATGCCGTCTAACAGTTAGATAAAAGGAGCCGTTTTTCGCGGCCTAGGCAGAAAACCCAAGCTGTTTCCTCGTGACTGACGAGCGATTTGACTGACTATTCGCATTGCCTCTGTTCATTGATGCCGGCTGTGACCTCAAGAGGCGCTGCGACGAGGGTTTCAAATGCTTCCTTCGCAAGAAATTCCTCTCTTCTCAATCCGTTCAATCTCTCGAGACGAGGAAGGTGCACAATGAATCACAATGCGGGTGATGAACCTGTCAATGAACGCGATAACCGCTGTGTGCCACATGCCTTTGTTGTTGTGGTTGCGGTTGTGGGTGTTGTGTGTGTGTACAGCTTCCTCCCGCTTCTCCCTTCCCGCTTCACCACACGGGGGAAGCACCCGGGCATGCCTTCTATATAGAGCCAAAGTACAAGGTAGGTTACAAAAATTTATCCATGGCCACATTGGGACGATCAGGCTCGGTTTGGCACCATGGCACATCCGGCAAGGGTTGAAATAGCTGAGACGTAGGAAGAGCAATTACTTGCTTGGACGAGCAAGGAAGTCGTTTGAATTGCTTGTACACGCATAGGAAGCTAAACACGATGAATAATGGCTTAAATTTGCGACTGAAGTGTAGTATCTTCGACATTGGCAAGTATGAGAGCTAGATTATCACCAGATGAAGTATCAAGGCATGGCCCCTTGCGATATGATGGCGCCATAGCTAACAGTATATGAGTCAGCCGCGTAGTTCTTGACCAAGAAGCCTCTTATGGCTTGATTCTTAATTGATTGACTGAGCAGGATATTGAATTACTCATTTTTGAGAGGGGATAGCATGGCTAGGTTTTGCATCTGGTTACCACCATTCATATTTATCAAGATGAATGCCTGCGCGTTATTCACGGCACTTCGCCCTATCAGATCAGATCTTTCAAGTGTTGTGAACTGCTCAGATCTATAGCACTATAGCCAATGTTTGGTAGACCTGGCAAGTGACTGAAATAAAACATGGCACACCAAAGCCTCCACACAGCCTCAGATCTTGACACAATATCAAAACAATCAACCCAGTTATTACAATATCAAGCTAAATGATATGCAATAATGTATTATTTACCTCAATCATTTGAGATATTATTAATAACAGAATGAGGTCTCCAGCTTGCACGAAAAGGGCTCTGGTGTGACATATTTATTTCAGCCACTTGCCTGATTGACATAAAGTGAGGGGAATCTTACAGCTCCCTTAGGTGGAGGCAGTGGATGGATGGGTCATTACGCACGGCTCCCTCACCTAAAGTGAGCCCCCTGTTTCCCAGAACTGCCCTTTTATACGAGCTTATGGATACTCTGTTGAGGAGCTAATTTCAGCCGGGGGTTGAGTGTAGGGGTGGCTGTCAGCTTTCCCCCCCGGGAGTTGAGCCACAACCACCTTTTGGCGACCGGGGCCATGATGTTTGACTGGATGGCTGGAATGTCCCTACTTACCTTATATACAAGGGGTGATATTGAACCATTGAGGTCAGTGATGAACGCATTGATAATATCCATCTTGGTGACACCATCTGGCTTCTCTATCAGGATGTTGGTTTAGACATGGATGGCGACAGGGCAACAGATGCCCTTGCCGGCATGCAAAAGGGTTATCGCAAACTTGAACACGGGCAGTGTAGCGTCATAGGGAGGGTTTTTAGCATTCTTTGAAAACGAGTGCCGCAATTGAATGGAAACTTGTCGCCAGGAATTTCAGTAGACCAAGCGCGAGGATGGGTGAAAGTTGAGCTGGGGGTGAAGCCTATCTGCATATGAGTTATACCTGTAATGGCCTCGATCCGGCAGCGCGCTGTTTCTCAGATCTGACCTCGCCATTTCTTGAGCTCGTAAATAATTCGTTGTCCACAAAATCCGTGTTAAATCCTTAATGAAGTCGACAAGCAAGCTGAACGGCCGATGAGACGGAGATGTTGTGATTCCGGAACGCGTGAGGAGGAGAGGGTCGATGGATTGGTGGAAGTGCACATCGCTCTGCGAGTTTCTTTGATTGGGCGATTACTAAAAAATGATTCAAAGTATGCTAATAATCTAACCAAATGCTTCTTGAACATGCTTTACCAAGAGGCTGAAGATGAGCTAGGAGGTGTTCACACTGAGTGCAGGACATATGGCCTACCCTATACTCACGTAATCACGATCTGCGTCAGCGTCAGCGATCTTCCAAAGAACTTCTTCCTCCTTGTCGTCCTCATAGACTGTTTTAGGCAATGAAAGCATGAAACAGCTCAGAATAATGCGCCTGGGGACATAGAAAGACGCGGAGGGGTTGTCGCCGCGAACACAAGGAACCTCGATAATGTGGTTTGGTCGGGCAATGTAAGGGTACAATGAGGACGAGAGAAATAACAGGGGCAACTCCGACTTTGTTTTTTGATGACGACATTGGCCTTTGTCGCACTGAGAAGCTAGTTCCACGGTCAATTTTCTCAATTGACTGCAATCCCATCCAAAAGGTTTGCAAAGATTCCGCCTAGGGCTAGAGAGCAGGGTGCCCTGTGGATTCGTCTCAGGAGGCGCTTACAGCCAATGCCCAGAAATTAATTCGTGCATAACCGCGACAAGCCTTCTTCTGCATCTCGACCCACGAACGATCCTGCGCGCCTTGATTGTCCATTGAACGACAATGGCCAGTACTCAAAAATAGAGTTAATGAGCGAGTGAGGGCGTTGGTGAGTGCCGCTTGGGCTGCCGAAGCGCGAGACCTGCAGCAACGGGGCAGTTCAGGGGCTCCGCCAGTAGGAAACGAGCCCCAAGCGCGGAGCGATTCGCCAAGATACAGCGGTCCAGGTCACTGCACAGCGCCCATTGGCCCCCGCCCTACAGGGGTCGTAGGGCAGATCCTGGCAGCGAAGCACCTGCGCTTAGCACCGTTGCAGCCTCGATGCAACAGGAATTGATGTGCTGCCTCGTCGTTGTCTGTTGGTGATAGACGTGCAGTGGCTTGAAACCGCTGGATGCACTGCTGCATGCCCTGCGGTCTTGGCTTTGGATCTCATTGGTGAATCACAGCTGCATCCCGTCAATCTCGTCAATGCACCTGAGCTGCCAACCAACAACCAACAACCAACAACTCCATGCTTTAGGCAATTGCCTTGCCCGTTGCTTGAGCTCATTCCCATTAAAGGGATCTGCTCCTCCCAACGTTTGCTTTTCTTCTCAATTCAGACCACCAGCCAAATTTTCCACTTTCATACTTCTCTTAATTCTGAGCAAATCCCACCGTTTCCCATCAGCCAACCCTCAGCCGAAACCATGCGTCTCACACACATCCTCCTCTTGGCGCTCCCAGTCATTGCTTCCACTCTGGGAGACTTCGAATGGGACGAAGAAGAAGAGGAGACCGTCACACTTACATTTACCTCCACGAGTACGAAATACGTCTTTGTTTACCGCACGGATGTGATCAACGTACACATGACCGCCTCCTTCACCACCAGCATCGTCCCCAGTCAAACCGCAGCCGCCAGTGACAGCAGTGCCACTTCAGCTTCCCCTTCCAGTGCTCAACCCTCCCTCCCCAAAGAGACTGTCCAAGACATCTATGTCGACTCAGATCAGATCGTTCTCGGTCGACCTTCGAAGCAATAATCGCCACGTCCAGCCTACCTTAATGTGAGGCAACCTCACCTCTCACCTCTTTTCGATTGAATAATTCGGTGGACGCTTCTTGTCAGCTGGCCCTGGCTGCTGCTCTTCTCCACAACTCCCGAGGTGGCGGGCCTCACTTCCCCTCTCAAGCATTGCGTCATCTTGCTCGGTTTGAGTACCGGTGCTTACATCACCATCCTTTCGGTTGCCATCGTTCTTGGCCTGGGCGGCATCCCCAGACACGGCCTGGTGACTCCAGAGGGTGACATTGCTCTGCTTGCCTGCCTCTTGTCCCCCCTTTAATCATCTCTGTATATATACTTCGCCTTGGAAAAAGGCCTGGAGCATTAACTGGTCGCACACCCACTATTTTAGACCTGCTTGGCTGTTGGCAGCCATTTGAAATTTTTAGTCATTCCATCAGATTAAAGAAACCCTCCAAGGGGGATCAATAGAAAGTTACGATGTAATTCAATGTCATCCAATCACGCATTGCCCAAATCAGATTGTGTCACAGTTAGTGTGTTGAGAAGGCGTGTTGTGAATGCTGGTCGTTTGCTTAAATACGGGACTCCCACTAGCTACTTCCAGTTCGTGAGAGAAGCCAGAAAAATGCGTGACCGACAACCTTTATTCCATATGATATTATAACCTTAATTAGACACAAGCAGTTTTAAGTTTCAAACCCATAATTCCAAAGCTTTTTCGTGGGCCCTCCCTTTTCCGAGCTTCCGCGAACCCCGACATGCTGGAACACGCTCGGCTCCATCGCCCACCTCTTGAGGTTCAGCTCGTCGGCGACAATCTCGATGAAGGAATCGCCGGCGGCATGGTGTGGTGGCGCCCTCAGTTTATCCTCCAGCATATCCAGCTGATGTGCCGGAAAAGCAAGGCCCTGTGCGCAGCAGCCGTAGTTGTTCATCTCTCGGATTCCCTCGGACCGTGGTATGACTGTTACGCGACCGGCCATGAAGAACAGCGCCGTGAATGCTATAAACCAAATGTGGAATCGCACTATGGAAGTCGTATGGTATGGAGATTGCTTCTTGGTGTGTCGGCCCCAGAGCGCTCGGCCGAGTAGGATGATGCCAGCGACCATGGCGTAGAAGAGAAAGACCCGGGGGAGGTATATATGCCACTCCTCTGCGTTCCACCCAAGATAGAGTTCAGTATAGAAGAGTCGAAGGTAAAGCCAATCATCGGGGGTGGGGGAAGCCTCTAGTAGGTGAAGCGCACTATTCAATCTCGAAAACCAATCTCGAGAGGCGATGATGTCGTCTTCTACTAGCAGAAAGTAGTCTGTCCCTTCCTTCCGGCACGTTTCCATCAATGTGGCATAGTCCATCTGCACATGTTCATTTCGCTCGGCGCTCTCGCTAGGCTTGCTCTCGTTGATGTATCTATAGGTATCGGGGCTGAGGTATTTCGGAACGGGCGAGTAGAGGAGGACCTCGTCGGCCATGTTTGAGAGCCATGACTGGCCAAAGGCGGGGTTTGCTTTGGGGTTCTCTTCGGTGATGAGAATGGTGATATGGAGTGACTTCCGTTCGTCTGGGGACAGAGTATCGACAAGGGACGCGATGGTTCGTGGCAGGAACTGTTCTTTCTCTCGTCCTTTCGTGGGTATTCCTACACAGATCCGCGTGGCACTGTAGTTGTCTAGGTGGGCGTAGTTCGGATGTGTTTCGTGTTGGAGGTCAGGCTGTTGGGACGTTGCTGATGCCGTTAGTGCCTTCTGAATGAATTCATCAGCTTCAGACTCCCTAATGGCTGAATACTGTGGCTTAGAAGCCTTCTCGTAGTCGAAAAAGAAGGAGCCGGGATCTCTCCAGGAGTAAAGAGCGGCGAGTTGGAACAGTATGAGCCATAAAGCCGCAAGGGCAACATCCACCAACGGTGGCCTAACACTTGATAGTCTTTTGAGAGTGGAAAGGAGGGCCATTTTAAGGAACATTGGGAAAGGACCAAGTGTCTTTCCACGTGTGAGGGGAGAATTGCTTTACATGCTAATCGTCGCGCTCCCTTCCAGATCTGAACATAACTGAAGTACCCAGGGCCATTGTGTTGATGATTCTATTTTAGTATCAGGGCTGACGATCACTGTGTTACAATTTGGTTTACAATATGCCCGGACTCATTTCTCGGAACATAAGTACCCATTATCAATGGGACATAGGTAGGGAACGGTACCCGCTTGGGACTTTTGGTCCCGATATCGAGGTTAATTCTGGGCATATTTCCAGATCTGACAATTTTATTCACAGCAGAATTTGCTCAAAAGCGGACAAATTGACCTACTGGCTCGGCATGGAAGGCTAGCGAGGAAGCCATGGTGTTAGTCTGCTCAAGAGGTAGGCGGTGTATAGGTAGATCATGGCAGTGCATGTTTCGGGTGTTTCAATCGAGTGAACACGAGCCCTCAAGCCAGATACTTAGTTCCAAAGGTGAATTCCCTCATTTGTGTTGTGCTGGACTTCCACGAGCTGGCTCACGCGCCCATCAACGGGGCTCCTGCACCCACACGAGCTCCATAATCCATCAAAACGTGTCCAAGGCCGAAGGCCCCCACCACGCCGGACGGTCGTTGCCCAATTAACAACGTAGAATGTCCCGATATCCGAGCAGATTTCTTGGCTGGGATCTTTTGCGGTAAGTAGTCGGCGATCGCGGGAGGCAGGGCATGCATGTATCCCACCGGCAAAGGCTGATATCCCCACGGTGTTTCAGCATCCTTCGTCATGGCATGCGCATTGAAAGGTCCTTTGCGGGAGCTAAACTATATGTTGAAGTTAAATAATTGCTTACACTCTACAAAACGGGTGAAAAAACTGCACCAGAGGCTGCAGAAACCGAAGTATCAAAGGAGGAGGAAGCGGAAAGATATCCCGTTGGGTAGAACCTGTGAGCGTCTAGCACAGTTGAGTAGAACCTTAGTTGCTCACAGCTAGGGAAATTGGATTGACTAGATTGAGTCATTGACACGGTCCACGGTCAATCACTCTCATGGACTTTATGCAGCCACTGTAACGGGCAACCGCCGAAGCCCATTGAGTAGGCATTCCGCTTTCATCCGGTGAAATATCTTGGGTGATTCGTATACTGAAGATAGAAATAACTTTCAAGCACTTTCAGTCTTAATATTCATCTCCTCACGGCCTCGCTGCTCCTACGTAGTCAATCCTGCTGGGTTGGGGCTGTGCTGTGTTTCCAGTTCCGAGGTAGGAAATCAGCCGTTCTCGAATGAATCCTCCCGACGCGTCGTGGTCGTCTCAGCAATTACATAAAAGCCTAGTTGTGGGGGGGATCTTCAGTCTAAGCTACTTGAAACTCTTACCAAGCCATCACCAACACTGGCATGCCCAATAGCTGTGAAATGGCACCTCGTGAAGTCTGGCAGTGGGGACCTCACTCACGAGAATACAATGGGGCCATTGTGGCAGTGGCATGCCAACATGCTTTAATCTGGAATCGCGATGGAGAAGGCTATTTGGCTTGATTGGGCCTCAAGTGCAGGGTTCGTCATCCTCTTCATCCCTGTAGCAAGCCCGAAACCCGACAGACAATCATCCTATACGCCGGGGCTGTGCAACGGCGGCGAAACCGCCTTTGGTACAGTAGTTACTACCTAAATTTCCAACGTTCTAACATACTTATATAGCCGGGAATAAGGTTGGCCTGGTTATTACACCAAGTTGTAAAAATTGTGAACATGTGAGCATTTGCGTGGTCCCAGTTCTAAACAAATAATTCAAGTGCTCTTTGTACGTCTATGATACTGATTTGCTGACCTTAACAAGCCTGTCAAATGGCTCGGGATAAGATTTCATGTCGGGGCCAGACTGCTAAAGTCGACCAACAATCGCACGTGTGGTACCTGCACTCGAGTTTATATAAACTGGCCTGAGGTATCCCGCGTTTATCCGTGCTGTCGCATTCCCCAGCGGCAGGCACCCCTCAATGTTCGATTGTGAGGGCGTAATGCCTGTTATGATTTCGACCTTGGTAATTAGTGAACGGATCGCTTGATGGCCGTAAGAGTATGCTGTATAACCCCCCTGACGCGCATAGGTATGTCGAGGTCACTTTGCAGTCCTTGTTTTTCTGACAGCCACTTGTTTATATCACTGCCACCCTCAGTGACCATTGACTTTTAACAATGCATTAAATGGCTTATGGACGCCATTCATCGATCTTCTGCCCCAATCGCCACCTCCTGGAGTTTTGATGATGAATTGGTCCCCAGCCTTCAACTTCACGAGGCCACGGGGCCCGAGAACTCTCTGATTTCCATCATTAAGCTTGCGCGCATGATGAGGTTTTCTCCAGAGCTTCCATTCTCGCCGCCGTTCAAGCCCTATGGTTGCGTCGCTCGACGGTCTGATATCCTGGAGAAGTGTAAATGGGTCCCTGCATTCGATGATTCGTTTGACGCCTTCACCTCCCTTGTACTGGCGTTGGCCACCCGATTTACCACGTACTGAAAATTCCCGTAGGATGATGGGGTAGCGCTTCTCCAGGATCTCAACGTCTGAGATGTGAGTATTTGTCATGTGGCAATGCACAGCGCTGAGGTATGTTAGCCGTTTCTTCAAGCAGAGTTGCATTGTTTCCCTTGATTCGCTTCAACTTGCTCTGCACCATTCTAGTTTGGATCAGCTCCAGATCCCCCGTAAATGGTCTCACCATATGCGAATTTGTAACCATCACCTGGCTTCACGTTTCGGCCACCATAGACACCCACACTATTCATGTAGCCATGACCAGCAGCACAAGCCTGCATCAAATCTAGTTAGCCGCATCGCCTTCTTTCTCAACTGATCTAATTTCAATTTACTTCGAATGCCTTCAAAATCACGTCAACAATTCGCTGGCTGGTTTGTGTGTTTCCTGCATAGGCTACAGCATGTTCGGAGGGGTTGATAATGCTTCCTTCAGGATTGATGACCTCGATAGAAGACAGGCAGCCCTGATTATGAGGTATCTCCTCGTTGATGAGACATAGGAGAGAATAAATAATCGCGGAGAGGCAGATGTTCTTGGGCACATTGTTGTTCCCGACAACCTCAGGGCCAATGCCTGTGAAGTCAAACGCGGCGCTTCCATCCTTGTTTATGCGAATCTCGAGTTGGATACGGCTTCCATTGTCGAGACAGTCAAAATCCTTCAATGTAAGGCCACCCAGCTTATTTGAGGTGTCTTGGAAAAACTTAGGTACCGCAATTTCGGCGTTGGCTTGGATCTTGTCCATTAGCACTGAACGACCTCTCTGGGATGCCCTTCGAACATGGCCTGGATCAGGGCCGCGCCCTTGGCATTGGCTGCACCCTGAGCGCGCAGATCCCACAGGTTGTCATAGATGCTAGATATGCCCAGACAGCCGGGGTACGGAGCAGGGTCATCAATCAAGATCCTCCGCATGCCTTCCTCGTCGAAATTGTCGTTGGAAACAAGTTTGAAACTGATGATACTGGCACCCTCCTGGAAAGTTTCTCTCGCGTTTGCGTTGCCCGATATACCCTGGTATCCGCCAATGTCTCTATGATGACCCCATGATGCGGTGTAGAAGATGATATCCTTGCCTGCAGCGTAGAGCACGGGGGTTACCACGGTGATGTCGAGGAGATGAGTGCCTCCAGCAATGGGAAGCTGTGAAGATGAGTTCAAATTGGATATGTCAGGGTGTGCCTCATAGTTCTGAGGCTTGCAAAATATCTTTCCAACTTGTAACAAGTTGGGAAAGAGACTCCATGTCGAATTTACAGCTACTTGTAAAGTTGAGTTCGTGAGGATGGATGAGCATACTTGTGCCCAGCAGCTTCACCCACCTCCACTACTTTGCTCGCCCTCTCAGATTCATATCCTTGCATTCGCTGTCGAGGAGATGTGGAACTGTACCTAGGTCTGCAGTTGATCAAATCAAATCAAATCAAGCCAAACGCTAGCTTGTTAGGAGACTATGAGCGATGATGTCCGCTTTGGATATATAGAGCGGTCCGAGGCCCCCATGTACGAGCGAGAGCCATCCGGGGCGCTTTTGGTGCAATTTTCAACGATTTGGAAGCAACTGTTAATCAAGTCTTAGGAACCACTGGTTTATTTGTTTTTGTACTTCGTTCTTGGTTGAGTTGCTCCGGTGCTGTTCGGAACGAAAAGAGGTGCCCACTAACTAGGGCGACTCTCCCTAAGAGGTTTAAATTGCTGTGCAAAATCTGAATAGCTGCTTCGGGCAATGCTTATAATACTGTCGTTAACTCGTTATATCCTTGAAGTCACTGTTGCTTCATAACTTGCATCCACATCGTCAATAACCTACTACTTTAGAGGCTTTCAGCAAGACGGAAAGCTCTGCCGATTTTCGTTTTTCCTCCACTTCGCCGGACAGCCTACCTTTGTAAAAGAACTCCAAACCCGCTAGACTAGCTCCATTACAGAGCGAATGGACTATTCGACATATACATCCGTGGAAGTAAACAAAATTTGCACCGTCCAGTTCTAAGCAATAATAGCTACGGAGTGCGATTGATATCGAGGTATGGACAGCCAACCATACAATCCATTTATCCCATACTCCCAAGCTCAAGAAGACTTCCCATAATACCGAGTCCGAGGAATGTGGTAAAGGGGTAAGTTTGAGGGAACCCAGGACCACCAAACTCGATATCAAGCCCGTTCGACCCTGGGAAATATTTGGCTGCGAAACCAGCAACCCAGTAAACACTCCCACAAACCAATGCCGCCTGAAAATAGGACTTTCTCAAAGCGGGAGTTGCTGCTGGGCGCCAGGTAAAGAAAAGCATCGCTAGGCCAAGCAGGACTGACAGTGAGATCGTTTGGGCATTGTGAAACCTGTGCGAATGATAAGTCTTTGCATAAGACATTGGAAGTATCCTGGCGAGCGGGACATTTGCCCAACTCGCTATTGACAGGCTAATGCTCCGGGGAGTAATACTTAGCATGTGGCGTCCACCGAGGATAAAACACATGACGGCTTTGTCGAAGAATGCGCGGTTAAATTCAGCCGATACGATGACGACCGTCTCGTGACTCTAGGCAGCTACCGTTGTAGATATTGGTGATTTATCGGTTTTCTGGAGGCAAGATTGTTCAGGGTGACAGTGACGCCGCAAGACGGAAGATCAAGTCAAATCACAAGGTACGGAGTAGGTGATCGCAGAAATAACAAGGGCCCCAAAATTTATAGCCTGAATGCTCCGTCGGCTTCTTGAGCCCTCTGCTACTTCCAGCCCCTATATTCCATTTACGACAGGCCTGTTAAAGGTCGGATTCTTCAAGTGCCCATTGCCTCGTCCGTGCGGCCACCCCGTAGAAGCGTACTCCGAGCTTCTCTGGATAAACGTCAAAGGCTCGTGCTCGTTCGCACCCATCTACAACATATCCTCTCTACTCGGCTTGTTCTAGAAAATCCGCATGGCTCTAGAGCAATCTATAGCGGGATCATTTGGATAGGTCTATGGCTGACTGCCCATAGGCATGAGGGGGCCCGGCAAACCGGCTCTCCTGTTGCTATCTCCGAACGCGGGCTGGGCAACCTGGACCTTCGGCCGAGGAGTGGAGCGCAACAACTGAACCATAAATCCGGCAGGGTGAGAAGTGCTCGGGTCACCGGCCGATAACTACATGGCGGGGATGCCGTGGCATGTTAAGGGTTAAGCCACAATACTTTTATTGGAAGAGCTGCATTATTGGAGAGCTTCTAGGGTCATTTTGTTGTGTCACTTGATGGTCAAGGTTCGGTGTCGTCGGCTGATCTTTTCTACCCGTTCGCGACTGTTTTGGCATATATTCACCATACAAGTTGCCCTGGTATTCTTGACTCCATTCCGGTTCTTAGTCCTTGATCGCTCTCACATCAGTCACAATGTCTCGAGAGATTCTAGTCATAGGTGCAACCGGAAAACAGGGTTGCGCCGTCATAGACAACCTGCTGCAAGGCGACGGCGACTTCACCATTCTCGCCGTCTCTCGCAACACGGCATCACCAAGCGCGCAGAAGCTGGCCCAGAAGTCTCCCAAGATCAAGCTCGTGCAGGGCGACCTTGACAATCCTGCTCTTCTATTCGAGAACACCAAGACGCTCAAGTCTAACCCAGTATGGGGCGTTTATTTTGTGCAGGTTTGTCCTGCTCCCCCAAAGCAATGTCCTCGAACCACACTGATCAGGGCCCCAGAACCCAATCACCAACCAGCAGACCCCTGAGAAAGAAGTACAACAAGCCAAGGTTTTCATTGACGAGTGTATCAAAAACAAAGTGAGCTACTTTGTGTACGGCTCCGTCGACCGTGGCGGTGACAAGTCATTCGACAACCGTACACCTGTCCCGCACTTTGCCAGCAAATATGATATAGAGCACTATCTTACCGAGAAGTGCTCGAGTGCAAGCATGGACTGGACTTTCCTTCGGCCCGTCGGATTTATGGATAACTACAAGCCGGGTTTCCAGGCCAAGATTTTCTTGACGTGCTGGAAGGTTGCGACGGGTGACAGACCTTCCCAGCTCGTTGCCGTTTCTGATATTGGATACTTCGCCGCTCAAGCCTTTATGGATCCACAGAGATACAAGGGTCAGGCTATTTCCCTGGCTGGTGATGAGTTGACCTTTGACCAAGCCGCTCGCATCTTCAAGCAAAAGACTGGCCGGGAGATTCCGACAACCTTTGGGTTCGTTGCCTCAATTGTCCTTTTCTTCGTGAGTGGAGTCGGCGCCATGTTCAAATGGATGAAGGAGGAAGGTTTTGGGGCGGATGTCACGGCGCTCAAAAAGGTACATCCAGGGATTATGGATTTTGGAACCTACCTCGAGACACAGAGCGGTTTCGTGTCAAAGAGGGGGAATTAATTTCCTCCCCCAGTGTAGCTCTCATGTATACTCTGTTAATCCTTAATCGTCTATTTTTACTCTATTCCCGGTATCAACTGTAAGCCTTTGCAAAGTTTAGATACAAAAAACTCTACATAAAACGTAGTCCATAATAAAGAACGATTTGTTCCTGGAATACGGTCCTGCTTGTGAAGGAATCTTCAAAAAAAAAAAAAACCCGAAAAAAAACTCCAGTTTGTAAAGCCTTGCAACAGAACGGAAAACTAGGACTTGATATAGTGTTCATTTTATTAAGAGACCTCTTTGTACTGTCTTGCCTTGCTATAGAACGAAGTCGGTGACGTGGCAGTTGGCCCAATCTGGCCTGTAAACATATACCAAAGGCCATAAAATGACTGTTACTGGTTGTTGGAGCTCCCATGAAAGTGATGAAAGTGCAGGAATTTATTGGTGAGAGCCTCTGAAAACTGCAAGGGGCTGCTTGGACAATAGTCTCGGAAACGTTTACCAGATCACAGGAATCTCTTGAACCATTCCACAGCCTGAATAGCAGCCTCATTCGCCGCGGTATCCTCATGTGTCCTTCTGCGATCTGCTCTAATTGCAAAGCCATGTTTGCAGCCCTCATACATCTTGAGTTCGAACGCATATTCCCCATCACCATCACCAAATCTTTGTCGCATCGCCGCCTCAAGCTCAACCATGCGCTCGGGAGTCACGGCGAAGTCACCGTCGCCAGATGCCAAACTAAGGGGGACGTTATACTTTCCCACGGACTGAACAAGATCGTCAGGAAGCTTGAGTGAGGACGGGTGGGCCGTATAGTGTGCATCAATAAGCCTGTCGCTTCCCCCTTCAGTCGCTGGTTCCTGTGACAATTTTGTGCTCTGCAGGCCGCCCCAGCAATACCCTGCAACGCCGAGTTTCGCACCAACAGCCAGGTCGGCTTTGACAGCGCGTGTGTAGTCCAACACACGGGGGTATGCGGCCTTGGTGCCAAGAGCAATAGGGAGAAAGAACCCAAGCATTCGGATAGCACTGAGCACGCGTTTGATGTGGCCGAATACGTCCCACCACTTAACAGGTGTGACAACGCAGTCCATGACTGGAAAACAAGTAGGATGTATGCCTCTCGAAGGAACAAGATCAGGGACTAACACGGTGTATCCCGTTTCTGATGCAAAGTAGTCTGCTACTAGCTTGTTGTTAACTAGGTTGAGGCCAAAAACATCCGTGAATATGATGATGGTGGAAGACGAGGCTTGCTGCTCTTGGGAGCCGGCACAGTACGTCCGAACGCCATAAAGCAACCGTTCAGAACCGGTTGGCTCTGCGTAATTATGAATGAAACCCCGGAAACAGTCTGGACAGGACATTCTTGGTGTTTGATCCTGACTGCAATTGCTTCAGCGTTGGTGGGGGAGGTGCTGCTAGAACGCACCAAGTGAATATGAGAAAGCGATGTAAAGATATAATCCAGTGGGCATATTAATTTAGGGGTAAGCTGCTATTATGGTACCCTGTGAGATGAATTTTTTGCGGTAGTAGGTCGACCATCGGTGGTCGATGTTTCAACTGCCGAATGTTCGGTGTGCCGCGTGTGTGGGGAGAGGGTGTCTCGATAGGTTCTAAATCCGATGCCTCCGGCTGTTGACTCGGCAAGTCAACTAAATCCGTCGTGTTATGTTTACCGCGACCTCAATCACAAACCTAATGGAAGCTGCAGAGAGGTTCTAACGCCGATTATGTGCTCTTGCATTGTCCCAAGAACTGCAGATTTCACGACAGGTTTCCTGCTACCAAGTCCAATAAGGCTTATGTATAAATAGAGACAGCCAGCCATCCTCATTAACTTTTGAGAATTCACTCGACTTCATCAGTCAGCTATCAACACTTCTAATTACGATCAACATTTCTACTACAGCCATTCAATAGCTCTACACTTTGAAATTTCACCATGTCTAACAAGATTGTCATCATTTCCGGCGCCTCTACGGGGTTTGGTGCCCTCGCCGCACGCCTGGTAGCTCAAAACGGTCATACCGTCTACGCCGGCGTGCGCCAGCACGAGACAGAGCAAATATCAGCCGCCAAAGCATTTGCAGACGAGCACAAAGTTGACCTACGTACCCTCGTCCTCGACGTAACTGATAACAATAGTGTCGAGGGCGCAATCGAGCGTGTGATTAGTGAATGTGGGCGTATCGACGTACTTCATCACAACGCAGGGGTATCCCTAATGGGTCCGGCCGAAGCATTCACACCTGAGGAGATCATGAAGTACTTTGATGTGAATGTTCTCGGTGCCCAAAGAATCAACCGTGCCGCACTGCCGCATATGCGCAAGGCGCGCACCGGGCTCATCTTGTGGACATCATCATCGAGCGTCAAAGGTGGCGTGACCCCTTTTGTTGGCCCTTACTTTGCGACAAAGGCGGCCATGGACTCGTTGGCTGTTTCGTACGCAGGGGAGCTGTCACGCTGGGGGATCGAGACCAGTATCGTTGTGCCGGGCGTTTTCCCGAAGGGCACCAACATGTTCCAAATTCTCGGCCGACCTGATGACAAAGAGCGCGAAGCGGCATACATGGAGGGCCCTTACAAGGGTTTTGTTGAACAGTTTATGAAGGGCGTCGCGAGGATATTACCGCAGGACACCGATGCATCCGAGGTGGCCGAGTTGATGGCGAGGATCGTTGAGTTGCCGCATGGACAAAGGCCCTTCAGGGTTCACCTTGATCCCAGTAATGACGGATCCGAAGTGGTGAGCGCCATGGCAGACAGAGTGCGAGCCGAAATGATGCGTAATCTAGGGTTCGAGGACATGCTGAAGCCTGCCGCGCCTCAGGCTTAAAAGCACACCCCTCAGGCATGTCAAAGGACGCAGCAGTATAACCCCCATAAGCGCGAATATTATTAGGTAGCTGATATTAGTAGCAATTTTTCACACTATCATATCTAGTAAATGGCACCTTTATGATCTTGAATAAGAGAAATACTATTTATACTCCTAGCATACTTAGTTATGAAAGGGTTACATAAGGCTATAGTAGGAACGCCAACGTCTTATAGGAGGATTTTAATTTATTACATCGCCAAGTTGCTACAGTAATAGCAAGGAGTCAAATATGCTTGAGTAATCCCGATAAGGTCTTGGGAATAGAGATACCTAAACATTCAGTCATAGAGCTCAGGTGGTCAGGTATGGAGTACCTCTTGCTGCGTCCTTTGAGATGCCTGAGGGGCGTAAAGAACCAAGCATCACTCATGGGAGGAATCCATGTCAATGTCCACTTTTCAAATTCGGGTACTTGACTAGTAGAGAGCTGGAGGCACAGAACGTACCGGAGATATTCGGCCGAGATAGTGGCTTTAACTTCCATGGCGCGCATGAACTTTCATTGGGTCGCTGCGAATGGAATCGGGATTAACGGCCGAGAACTTGTGGAGACAGAGTAAACCTACAACTTCCGAGGAGCTACAGAGATGGAGGATGTCAATGACGAATGGATTTTGATTCCATTCAAGTATGCTTGCTATTGCTATTTAAAAAGCATCCTACCACTTTGGATATTAGAATACATCATTGTAAAGAGCAAAAGGTCCAAAAATGGCAGACAGAAAAGTTGTACTTGTGACAGGTGCCAATACCGGTCTTGGCTACCAGATTGTCAGAGCCATCTGTGCTTCCGAGACTCTCTATGAGGCTGTGGTCGGCGGCAGATCACTCGCCAAGGCTCCGCGTTCGAGCAGGTAAAGCAGAAGTACGGAAGCTCGATGCACTTATCAACAACGCAGGTACGTGAGCAGTTTCTCCTCCAAGCTGTCGGCTCTACACCAGTAATAATAACATTATTTGGGGGTGAAAGGGCCCAGTTCGATCAACAGCTGGCAGCTGGCACGATAATGGCACGCCAAATCTGGAACCATACGTACAACGTCAACGTTACTGGGGCGCATATCATGACCGAGACGTTTGTGCCTTTGTTACTCGAATCTAGCGATCCCCGCCTTCTATTCATCGCTAGCGGTACATCGTCCCTGACTACAACGGAGAGCACCGCTTTCCCGGTCAACAAGCCTCTACCCAAAGGCTGGCCGAAGTCTTTTGCTAATACCGATGTCCCGGCATACCGTAGTAGCAAGACCGCAATGAATATGATGATGAGGTATGTTTTACCATACTCGAGTATTAAAGATGATAGATCCTACTCAGGAACTGAATCTAACTTGAAATTAGAGAGTGGCACCGGTTTCTCCAAGAGGATGGCGTCAAAGTGTGGGGAATTAGCCCTGGATATCTAGCGACTGGGCTTGGTCCTGGTCAAGAGGTCAACAAGAAACAGGGTGCCATCGACCCTGCCATTGGAGCCAATTTCGTCAGGGATGTATTAGAAGGCACGAGAGACGCCGATTTAGGGTGAGTTGTATCTAGGCAAGGGGTGCAGCCATGGTAGGGTCCCAGTGAGCTAGTTGAAACGGATTACCCAAAGTTCAGAAGATCAAATATTAGACCACTAATAGAGTATATGCGGTTTCTTTTAACAAGTTTTGTGCTTGCGAGTTATGTATCAACGCAAAACGTTTATAGAATTTGAACCTTACAGCTACTATAACCAACACAAAAAGCTTACTCTGGGATCAGAAATCATCTACATTTCTACACACCCATCTTCTACTAGTGTATTGCTGCGGGTTTATGTTATATCCTGTAGCTATAAACACTCGAGTATCACTCTAGATAAGCCCAGGAGGTATCATTGTGCGCGTTGGTCTCGCTCCTAGTCCAGCACCAATCCTCCTGTTGAGATGCCTGTTCGACGTTGATTGACGGAAAAGTAGGCAAGCCAGCCACTAGTGATGTAGTTTCATTGTTATCCTGTCTCCCGATGTGTGAAATCGTGGCATTGACAAGGGACAAAACTCTCGTGCTATCCTTTTTATTACCTTTTGCTTGCTCGGCATTGATCACTCCTCTAGCTTCTTCCAACAGAGCCAATGCCCCAGGCTCATCAATCCGATATTCTCCGGCTTTTTGGCTCGTTGTGCAGAGCACAAGACAGAGAGTAGTAGCGCCGAGCAGCAAGTCGCACCAGGTGATGCTCTTCATGAACCACTCCTCGGTATCGAATTGGCCTCCGGGTCTACACTCTGCGTATAAATACGTGATATCCCGTATGAGAGCAACTGATGCCGTGTAGCACTCTTGTATACTGTTCAACCGAAGGCTCGTAACATGCGGGCGGTGCAAGGCGCAGATACACTTGTAATACATGAACGAAATGCAAAGACGAGTAGTGACGAGGCTTGGGGGGTCAACAACAGAGTTGGCAATAGGTTGCGGGCGAAAGATTTCCGGTAAGTTGCGGTAGACATCTTTGAGCTCACCGTCTAAAGAATCTACCTCAGTGTCTGTTGCCCTATGCGTACGAGCCGTCAACACATGGTGGAGGATCTTCTCGAATACTGGTACAAATCTGTGTTTGATGCTGCAAAATGAGACTCCGGTTAACTCATTGTCTGGCCTGGGAACAGGCAGTCGAATACTATCCTCGTCAAAATCGAAGTCGAGAAGATTGCTAGGAATATGTGTGTCCGCAGCCGAGAACCGAGTCTTACACGGAAGGCCCATATGGAAAGATACCAGGAGATCGAGCTGCACACATACGGACCAGGTCCTTCGGCGCATCTCTTTTGTAAAGGGGCTGCAATTGGCTGTCATGCTCTCTCTGTGATAGCCTGATATAGTTGCGAGATGAATAACGAGGCCAAGAATGGATCCTAGCTCTGGGGGAAGCTCCAGAGAAGTAATATATAGTGACTGGATATAGAGCAAGAGTGCTTCGACAACGAAGGCCTTGGGACGGAAATATTCGCCTAGAATTAGACACTGGGCGGCAGCATCTGAAAATTTACGCCCGGCTCTCTCGGTTTCTCCCTCAGGTTTAGTAATATTAGCAGCGATGTAGAGAATCGAGAAGAGAATCGAAACCCAAAGAGGTGACATTTCGCCAGGATTAGTCCAGAAATCATGGTAGTGACGTAGGAACTGCGAAGAATGTATGAATGGAATGATATAAGACCGGGTCCGGAAGAATGTAGAGACTAGACGGTCCGTGTCTCTTCGTGATGGAAGATGCCTATTCAGGACTTCTCCGACGCTACGAGAGTGTAAGGCGCCAGCGCCGAACATAACGCCTAGTCCAGTCTCTGTTGGAGAAACGCCGGCGGTCTCAGTATCTATAACCTCGCCCGCCGAGGACTGTGGCGTAGGCCCGAGAGTTTGTATGTCCTCCAACACGGCTAACCAATGTGTGGTACCGCTATAAGATAGCTGGGGAACATCCAGAGTCAATGCCGTGCTGCCAGTATTTGCTTCAGCACTTGGCTCTTCCGCTACCATGCCGGGCGGAGTGATTTCTGTTGCTGCAGTAGAGGTATTGTTGGTACGCTGTCCCGCTAGGAGCTCGACGAGCTGCTCCAAGCGTTCAAGGCGTGTCTCTGCATGTGCCTGGTGCTGACGGCTATGCCCCGAATTATCGCCAGGAGGTTCGTACGAGCAGGATGCTGCATCTCTCCGGCGCACACAGGAGCCACAGGGGGTGTTTCGGTCACACTTAAGCTTCCGGTCTCGACATGCTGAGCAAGCCAGCCGCTCCCTGCTTTTCCCTACCTTGACAGCAGGCCTCATCGCCCCGGACAAGGTGGGCATGACATCAACCGACAAGAACTCCGGCTGCCTTAGATGTAGTAGGTGAATTGCAATGTGCGTTTTCCCTTGATGTCCCGCGAACAAGTAACGCAAAGCCGCAAGCGTGTGGAGAGGGGAAAACCCCCTGAAGCCCCCTTCTAGACACACCGTCGGGTCTCCCCGCAACCGGTTTAGCGCGCCAATGCCACTCGGTAATTGGGGCTCAAGCAGCTCGAAGGCATTCACTGGCAATTATGAGGGCATGTGGTTGGTTGCTGTACGTAGCAAGAGCATTCCATATGGCTACGCATCTCATGTAGGGCGGGAATTTAGCTTGCTCGGCTTGTCCGGCTACTAGCAAAGCGGCGGAAAAAACATATGTAGTCCATCTGACTTCCTTCCCTGCTTTCTACTAGTATTCGTACAACTGTAAATAATAGCGTGATTTGCGGGGACTCTTAAAGACTGTCGGCGCTATTCTTCCAGTATATATATAGACGTAAAACACTAAACAATCATTTAGCTTTCTTCGAATAATATTAGACCAAAGGGGGAATGACTGGACGCGACGGAAGCGCCTCGGATAGGACGTTCCGGTCGGTTGGTCCTGGACCGCCGGCCATCGGACATAACGAAAGACGAGGTGTGCCCATGGTGAGGTTAGAAGAAATGGCACAGCAGGCCGGGCTTCTTAAGCCCGAGGAAGACTGGACCGGCATCAGCGATCCCAAAATGAGACGGAGATTACAAAATCGGATCAACTACCGGGCTTGGAGTAAGCAAGTTCACAGTGCCTGTATTTACGACTCTTTGACTGATGATGAACCAGAGAGGAGGGAGAACATGAGGCTCTTTGGATATGGTTCCACCAATACAAGACCAGTGAATGAGACGACCAGTATATCTCTCATAAGTATGACAGACAAACTTATTTCCACACTCTGCTCTTCATCTCTGGTTATTATTGAGGCTCGAATGGCCGACTTCGAACGTGCCGCCGTCTACGCCTATACATCCGAGTCCCCTAGAATAGATCTTCTTTTCAACTTGACACAATTCAACGTGATGAGAGGGCTGTTCATAAACATGGCAGCTCTTGTGTACAGCCCAAGTCTGTTCACAGACGCTTCTGGGACCGTCTCGGATACCATCATCTCTCCTCTTGCTATTCCAGCAGCCACGCTGGCATTCTCATCAATGGCAAGCCACCTGCGGCCGACCTCGCTGCAGCTTACAGTGAAGCATCACCCTTGGATTGACCTGTGGCCATTTCCAAGAATGCGCGATAATATACTGAATCGGGGAGAGGAATATGACGACACCGAGCTCTGCCTTGATCTCGTGGAAAACTACTGTGGCCCCAGCGAGATGTCTGGATTTAGAGTCTGGGGTGACCCGTGGAACCCGGAGAACTGGGAAATCAGTGAAGAATTCTTGACAAAATGGGGCTGGGTTGTCGCTGGATGCAGTGAACTGTTGATTGCTACGGACTACTGGAGGGAGTGGCGAGGAGACAAGGCACTATTCCATCTATCTACACTATGACCAGCTTGACATGATCACTTCATTCGTTGACCAAGACATACCGATATCTTGGCTTTCCAGCATCCATCTTGAGAAGCGCATCGTTGATGTTCTTCATGGGAAACTCCTCAATCCATGGCTTGATATCGTTTTCAGCCGCCAACTGTAGCATTTCCCTCGTCTCTGTCGGAGATCCGATGAACGATCCAGTCATTTTGACCCTTCTCATGATCATATGAGCCTGTGGGTTGAAAGTGACGGAGAGACTCTCGGGCACGCCGACCTGGACCAATGTTCCATCATTGCGCACGAGTCCCAAGTAATCCTGTAAAGGCACCTATTTTGTTCAGTACAGCCGCCGCTTCGGGGAAAGAGAACATGATCTTACCTTAGAAGAAGGGGTAGTGGACAGGAGAATGTCAAAGGATCGAGCGTGGTCCGAAGCCCAAGTCGCCTCCTCGTCAGTCGCAATGAAGCCACCAGCACCCATAGCGATGGCATCAGCCCTTTTAGCGGAAGTACGCGAGATGACCGTCACTTTATCAGCACCGAGAGCTTTCGCCCAAAGAACGCCAAAGTGGCCCAGTCCTCCCATGCCCACGATGCCCACGCTTTTCCCGGGGCCGCAACCGTGGTGCCGCAATGGCGAGTAAGTAGTGATGCCGCCGCACATCATCGTGGCCGCGTCGGCAGAGGAAACACCCTCTGGGATTTTAATAACAAAATGCGAAGGGCAGCGATGATGGAGTGCGAAGCCTCCATAAGCAACACCGCCATTGAAATGATGACCGCCAAAGGTACTGACTTGCTTGGTGCAGTACTGGTCGTCACCAGAGTCACAATACTCGCAGTCCCCGAAACTGCTGAGGCACGCATCAGCCTGGGAACCAACAGCAACGCGGTCGCCGACTTTAATATCACCGGTGGCGCTGGTGCCCACACGCACGGCCATACCAGCAATCTCATGTCCAGCAATGCATGGGTAGACAATGGGGCCCTGGAATAAACCGATGACAGTTAGAATCACTTGTTTGGCAGAGCTGGTGTAAGATATCGGAAACTAACCCAGTGACTCCTCATCATGGACAAGTCGCTTGCGCAGATACCACAGTGAGTTACTTGGATATCGATATCAGTCTCTTCCCAAGGCTTGGGCTCAAACTCGGCCCAACTGTGGGTTGACTAACAGCTGTAAAGCAAGAAGCAAACGATCGTTTGAAGCAATTGATTATATTATTAATAAAGAAGGGAAAAAGCTATCTCTTATATAGTCCGACAGAAGGTTTATCTTAGTAGATAACTGACTTATTAACTTATTAATAAGTTAATAAGTCGGGATAATATATCTATACAGGTAACTTTTTATTTTTATCAGACTAATAACTAGTTATATATAGTTATAAAAGCAGATAGTTATATAAAGCAGGTAATTATAAACTTATAAAACTATATATTTATAGATCTATTAAATCTATCTAAAACCTAGTAAATATATTATAATATTATATATATTTATCTATTATTAGTCTTATATAACCTATCCTTCCTTATATATAATAATTATATTTCTATTAATAAACTATTCTAATAAACAGTTTAGTTCAGCTTTAGTAAAACAGTCAGCTAGGTTATTATTACTATTAATCTAACAGATCTCTATTAACTTATACTACTTATAAGATTATCTTAATATTATAATATTAATTATCAGATATTTTTCCTTAGTTATACTAAGCTTAACCAGATACTTATATAGTAAGTATAAATTAGTATAAATAACTATCAGGATAGTTAGAAAGAATAGTTTATTAGTTATCTATTAGAGGGTTATTAAGATTATATAAGTAATATTAACTCCTACTACTATTCTATAGACTTCTAATACTAATATACTCTATATAACTTATTTATATTTTATTAAACTAAAATAGATAATATTCCTAGTTAGATAGAATAAACTATTATTAATATTATATTTATTTCCTAGTATAATAATAAAGCTAAGTTATAATATCAGATTAATATTATTAGTAAAGGATCTATTAATAAAAATAAATAGTTTAATAGATTAGAGATTAAGAGGTATAAAAGATAGTCTATAGTTAAGATAATCTATCTACTACTTAATTCTTTAGTTAAGTAACTTAAACTACTCTATTATCAGGTCTTAGTATTAAGCAGTAGTTAAAAGATTAAAACAGGCCTCCAGTTAGTAGATAGATATAATATATATACTATAGGTATACTATTTAATATATTTATATTTAGCTATTTTATTATTATAATTAATTATCTATAGCTTCTTCCCTTATTCTTTCTACTTCAGATAGATAGTACTATTCTTATTAATCTATATAATTCTACTATTAAAGATAATTAGTCTATTAGTAAGATATTACTTTAGTTTTATAGTAAATTAGATATTAGCTAATTACTCTTCCTTATAGTAGTTAAATACTTTATCTAACAGGCTAATTATATTATTAGTTTATATTCTAATAATACTGAATATTTTATTATCTACTATTATAACTAGTAGATAGAGATTATATATAGATAATTCTATCTAGAGCTTCTTTTTATAGTATATATTATATATATTCTACTAGTAGGTACCTACTTCTATAATATTATATAATAGTTTTCTAATAATTATTATAGAATCAGGTAGATATAAATATTAAATCAGTATAAGTAGCTATATAAGAATAGTTTAATTTAATCTAGTTATTAATTAGATATATATCTAGATTATATTATATAACTATAGATATATCTAACTATTATTATATAGGAGTAATAGTATAAGACTAAAGATTAAATATTAGTTTATATATTAGATTATTAGAGCTTAGATTAGAATTAACTATTTTCTATTATTAGTATATCTTTAGATAACTAGTTTTAACTTCTTATATAGTATATCTATTTCTTTATCTTTAATTTTATTAACTATCTGTAAACTAAATATATATATCCCAGTATACTATCTCTTATTAAATAGGATAATCTTAAAGATATCTCAGTTTATTAGTATATTAATTTTATATTAGTTTAATTCCTCGAATAGTTTACTAGATAATTAAATCTTACTCTTCTTTTAAAGGGTAATAAAAAGTTCTAAATCAGTCTTCTCTTTAGCAGATAGGAAAATATCTTAGCAGATAGATATAATAAAGTATACTCTATCTGATTAGTTATTAATTATTATATTATTATTAGTATATTTATTAACTTTAGTTATAAAGATTACCTGATTATATTAATAGTATAACTGCAGGTTATATCTATCTTATAGTATTTTAACTATAATAGTATCTAATATTTTATCTTCCCTATAACTTATTAATTAACTATTCTTAGTATTATTAGATTATATATCCTTATTATTATCAGGTTCAGTTAATAGTATTTTATTAGATTAGTTATTAATATAGAACAGTTTAATAATAGTAGATTAAAATACCTAAGGACCTTATAGTATCTAGATAATATATTTCTTATCCTTAATTAATAGAAGTTTATATAGATCTTATTATAATTTAAAGACTTCTCTCTAGATATAGATATCTAACTATAATAGTAGGCTTAATATTAATATAATATTTAGATTATTTCTTATAGCTAATACTTTATTAACTATTTATTTAGCTATATAATATCTAACTTCTTTAGTAACCTTATATAATATAACAGCCTGTTTAATAATAGAAGGGGATAGTATACAGTTATTAGTAACTCGAGGATATATACTAAAGATAAGAAGTATTAGTATAAGTCCGTTCAGACTAGCTATATTATTAATAGCTTTAATAGATATCTAAAGTATAGATTCCAGTATAATAGATAAATCCTTTAATTAAATAATATTATAAGCCTATCTAATAAGAAAATAGTATCTTTTAACCTTCCTAATACTATTATAGGCTTTAATTAGTACTTCTTTAATTAATATAGCTATTATCTATACCTCTTAATAGAACTTAGCTACTTAGAAACTTATTCTAGTATCTATTATAATCTAATCAGGTAATCCCTAATATATATTAATCTAGTAAAGTTAAAGGGTCTACTAGACTGACTTTACTAATATATTAGGTAGGAAATAGATAGCCTAGAATAATATACTAGAATTAATAATATATAAAACCAGTTTCCTATCTATATATATAATATTAATTATAATCTTATAATTAAACTTATAGTTATCCTTTAGTTTAAACTTAAATTATTATAGCTAATCAGTATATAGTTAATAATACTTATATATCTTTTTAATTATAGTAAGGATCTATCTATTAACCTTATAGCTAGCTTGTTCTAATACTTATCTTAACTAATTAATTAATAGGTATTTAAACTATCTGTAAATATAATAAAGTTCTATTTTAGTTAGAAAATAAGCAGCTATCTTATTATTATTTAGTAATATCTACAGATAACCCTATTTATATATAATCAGTATAATAATATTCCCCTATTATAGTATATTTATAAGGTTATTATACTGGATATCTAACTGGTCTATATCTTATAGATATATAAGAAATAGGGTATTAATTAGAATAATATAAAATTTAATATTCCTAATAGGTATTTTAATATTTATACTTCCTAGTATATAAATAGATAGACTAGAACTAAAACAAACAGGTTCTATATCTAATAGTAGTAATTTAATAGTTAGTACTCAGTATTACAGGGCTTTAAATTATTTATAACTACCTATTAAGATATTTACTGCTTTAGTATCAGATAGAAACCTATAGAATAATATATTATTATATTAGTTACTTATAAAAGTATAGCTTCTGTCTTTAGATTAGTTATATATTTCAAACTAGTTATTATATATATCTTCTTTTATTAATATATAATAGGTTAACTGATCTATTAGGATTATAGTAAGATTAGGACTATATTCTATTAGGAATATATTATAATTATATTCAGTCTTATTACTCCCTAACTCCTATTAATATTATATAAATATATCTCTCTATTTATTAGGTTCCTCCTAATCTTTATACTAGATAAGGAACTAATAGTATATATCAGGTAAATAATTAGACTTAGATATATAAAATATATCCTTATAGTAATAGTATATAGCTTTCTATTTATTATTAGTATACTTTATTAACTAGTATCTAATTTTACTATAGATATAGTACTTCTTAATATATTTATATAGCTTATAATTATAATTATTTAACTTCCTATTTAATAGCTTATTATAGCTATACTATTATTATTTATTATATCTTTAATTATAACTATTACCTTAGTATATATAATCTATAAGGTAATTATTATATTTATTATTAATATCTATTTATTAGCAGTTATTATAATATTAATAATATATCTCTTATATCCTTAGATTTAATATCCTGATAGTAAGATATAGATTATTATATATAGCTTTAAATATACTTAATAGTTTAAAGATACTTATACTATATTTAGGGATATCTTAGCAGTAGTTAATTAATTAATTATATAATATATTATCAGATTAATAGTTATATAGAAGTATATATTATAGTTTAATAAGTCTATCTATAAGCTAGTTAAGTACTTTAGCCTTTAACTAGATCAGATTAGTATTTATTATACTTCTTAGTATAATTATTTACTACTCAGATAGATATAACTATTAGTATTACTTAGTTTTAAAGTAATCTTTTATCTGTTTAATAAGTATATTATAATTAAGCCCTTAATTATACAGTTAGTTATAGTAGAATTCCTCTACTTAATCTTTTAATATAATATTAAATATACTAATATACTTAAGATAGGATATATTAATCTTCCGGTATTAATTAGTAAAGATAAGTAGTTTTATATCTAATATATTAAGTATATTACTACTATACTTTATATTATCTATATATAGCTTCTATAAATCAGTTAACTACTTTACTCCTATAATTAGTAGTAAAATAAAGCTACTGATCAGACTACCGGTTAGAGAAGGTAGTAGTTAATTAGAAGGAGGTATTCTTCTACTGAGAATAGGATAAGCTATTAGTTATATCAGATTACTATTTATTATAAAGCTAGTAAAGCTATTTATTAGATTACTACCCTATCTATTAGTAGTATTTAGGGTAAATTATTATAAACTACTCCTTTAATAGTAATATAATAGATAGGAATAGTTCGATATACTATTACTAGGCCCTAATAGATTAATACTGTTTGGATTTATTAATATACTATTTACTAGGTTTACTAGTAGAATAACTAGTTAGATCTGGGTCAGATTAATAACTAGTATATTCTATAGTATAGCAGGATATATTACTAGATCTTATAGTATAGTAGTTTAATATTATTATTTAAGTTAATATTAATATTAGTTCTCTTTATTAGTAGCTTTATCTATTAAGTTATCTAATATATAGTTTTATATAATCTTATTAAGAAAGTCTTTATTAGCTTTTATTAGTTTACAGAATTTACTATACTTATTATAAGTCTCTATAACTTCTATCTTAGTTTATAAGCAGAACTTACTATTAAGTACTTATTTAATATATTAACTAACTCTACTACTGCTTTAATTAATATATATACTATTTATTAATAATATCTTATAAAATTTATTAGTTAGTAGTTTTTAATAGTTAATAAAGTAATCTTTAGTCTAATCCTTAAATATATTAGAAGCAGCTTTATAAAGTAACTATCTATAGTATTTTATTTATTCCTAAACGAGGATTATATATATCAGATAGATAGCTAGTTATTTATAATTAGCTATTACTAGATTAAAGTTATTTAAATTACCCTATAATAGTTAGTTAATATATAACTGGAGGTAAGTTAGAATTAATATATTATTTAATAATAAAGCAGTTAATAATAATAAAGCTATTATCTAACTAGCTATTTCCTATTAGATCTAGCTTTTAGATATAGATTTATCTAGTAATAATCCAGATAGTAATCTTACTATCTGTTTAGATAGTTATATTATAGAAATCTATTAATAAATAAACTAATTTATTAGTTTAATAAGGAAGTAATCAGATAGAGTAATTTAATAATAGATAGTAGTTAATTAATAGGAAACTATTAATAGTAGATAGAGTAATAATATTAATAACTTATTAAAATAATAAGTTAAGAAAGGAACTAATAATAGTTTATTAGAAAACTTATATAATTATATATATTACTATTTTTCTTAATAATAGAAGGAGTAAGGAGAATAGTAAATAAATAAGTAAGGGGTAAATAAATAATAGATAATCAGATTAAATAAGTAACTATATAAATAAGTAACTGAATAAAGTATAAATAGTTATTATAATATTAAAGATATTATTAAAATAGATAGGGAGATTATTAATTCCCAGGTTAATAAAAGTAATACTATCTGTAATATATAGAAGTAAATAAAAGAATAATTTTAATAATTCTTTATCTTTCTATAGTTATATAAATCCCTTTACAGAATATAGTATATTAACTTTCTAGCTAGAAGAAAGTATCTAATCTGTAGGAAGATATTAAATAGTTAATCTAATCTATTATAGTCTTTTTACAGACTGATCAGTATAGGTTAACTAACAGCTATAAAGTAAGAAGTAAATAATTATTTAAAGCAATTAATTATATTATTAATAAAGAAGGGAAAAAGCTATCTCTTGTATAATCCGACGGAAGGTTCATCTTAGTAGACGACCGACTTATCAACTTATCGATAAGTTGATAAGTCGGGATGACGTATCCACACCAACGAAGGTTCCCATCAGCTGAGGCAGGGCTGTCGCCCACCCAGCCTTCGAACTTGTAATCTTTTTGAACCATTGTTGCGCTTAAGGAAAATCTTTATATTGGGCGTTGTGTCGAGTTGCTTTTCAGTTGCTCTTGAGTTGGCTTAAGGGGATGCGAGTTGATAGACATAACCTCTCCTTTTATACTTGATAAGAATTTGATCTAACTCCGATTATGTCCGCTTAACTGCCTTCCCATGACCATTTCATTCTCACTTCCTCTATGATTCTTTTCGTTTGGTCCTCATGAGATATCTATCCTTGGACTCTTGTGAAAGCTACGGCATGGGTATAATCTGACCTCCCCACTTGGCGCTAAGCAGGTTGCATATTGCGGGGGAAGGTCCGGAGTATCGGGCATGTGTACGGAACATGCCGATAACTATCAAGTATTCTTGCCCTTCTTCCCATTAGAATCTAGCTGCATGGTAAGCTCTGGTCTAACACTTTCTACTATCACGAATTCTCGATTAACGTGGTGCGAGCAGTTCGTTAATTTTCACTACTTGTGCTTCATCTTCTACCTCCTCTAATCTCTCTGTATCCCGACATCACATTTAGAGCTCATCGCGTCCCCCTTCGTCCGTATTCTTTCCCTGAGCAAGAATGATCTCCTGTGCCAGATTTGTCCAGAAAGCACACGCAGGCTTCGTGTTCTGGTCGTCCGTGATGAACGTGAACGCCGCTTGACCACTCGGCATCTGCACCGACAAAACATCCTTGAGATCATCACCCGAACCGTCAGCCTTGGGCCAAGTTGGCGATGGAACGCCGTAAACACCCGGGTGGCCCAGCTTATTCGGGTCACCCGAGATGGCAAAGGACGCGAGGTACGTCTGGTATGCCTCGGAGATACCCGAGTTTACGAGTCGATCGGCGTAGATGCCTGCAAAAAATTCATTGATCTGATCCGTGCTCTTGAGAAGCAAGGTCTTGGCCTCGGTCTGCGAGTTGGCAAAGAGCGCAATCAGGTCGCTGGCGTGGACGGCGACTTCCTTGAGAGGGAAGGCGTAGCGTAGCATGTAAGATTTGCCAGAGTAGGAGGAGAAGAGGTCGCGGGTGTTGCAGGTGAAGGAGGCATCGCGAATCACAACGCCTATACATCTCTTCCAATTGCCTTCGTAGTCCTTCCGGCAGTCGTATTGAGTACGGATCTTCTGTCTCTGGATGGCAAGGTCGTCTCCAGGGAGGAAGAGGCCGAGGAATGTGTTGAAGGTTTCTTCGCTGTTGACGTATTTGGGAGTGAAGCTGTACTGCTCATTCCACGTGTGGGAGATGATGGCAGAGCTGACCTTCTTGGAGTAGTGTCCTGTACGCCGACGCTGATTAGTTCTCATTCTCCTCGATAAAATATCCAGGGCAATAGCTTCTAACCTTTGGAAAAGGCGATAGTTGGTATGGTCTTGACCCATTTCCCATCCACAGAAGGCCCCACAGGGAAGAGACCTGTTTGCCTGACATTTGCAAACAAGGCTTGATTTGCCGCGGTGAGATTTTTCGATTTCCTGAGGCAGCCGATGTCAAACGTCTCGCCACAGCCAGCAAGTGCAGAGAACGTCTTGTAGGTCTTGTCCAGCTTGCCGCCGCCCCTGTTATCCCACGCCCACTCAAATGCAGGGCTCTGTACGGCGATTCTGCTGAAGACGGGGTCCTTCTTACCGTCCTCTCGGATGACATGGTGCAGGATGGAGCTGGCTCCTGCTGACTCGCCAAAGGCAGAGATCTGGGACCTGTCCCCGTTGACCTTGCCAATGTGCTCCTGCACCCAGTCAAAGAGCAGCGCCTGGTCGTAGAGGCCGGCATTCGGCTGCGCAGCCTTCTGCACGTAGTCGCCTGCTAGCCAGCCGAATGCTCCAAGTCGATAGTTCCCCGCGACAAAGATGGTCTGGTATTTGCTCTTTGACAGGATCGCCCGACCCGTGTACAGTGGCCCAAGCTGGTTCTTGCTACCATATGCAAAGGCGCCTCCGTAGAGCCAGACGACGACGGGAGCTGGTGCGTCACTGGAACTCCTGGCCAGGACCTGCTTAGGGACGTACAAGTCGAGGAAGAGGCAGTCCTCGCCCACCTTGTCACTGGCATCACCCGGGTCGGTGATGGGTGTTTCACCACCGACAGGGCTCTCGAGGCGCTTGGGGTCGATCGGGATGCAGTTACGCCCGAGAGAAGGGGGCTGGACGGATGAGTTGGTCCATGATGGGGTTTGTGGTGCGCTAAAGCGTTCGGGGATGCTGCCGAAGCGGACATTCTCGAAGAGGTAGATCTTGAGGCCCAGTCAGCGAGGTAACTTGGGGGCATGTAATCCTAGCTACTTACATTGCTATCATCGGCGAACGGTCGTCCTTCGTAGGTTCCCCATGGCAGCTTCAGTGTCGGGATGTCTGCCGCACCAGCTGAGTTGGCAAGCCTCAGGACGGAGAGCATCAACGATCCAAAGTGAAGGGCACGCATATTGCAGACGTGCTCTGGGAGAAGAATTACGTTTAGAAGCGAAGTAAGAATCTCCTGTATTCAGTCAGATCGGACGGTGTATAACCGGCCATTTTGAATTAAGTCCTCGACCATGCTCAGCACTCATCGAATCATCACGGCCTCATGAGGCCATGGATCTCGATTCCCTCCACAGGCTATGCCGGTAGGGCTAAAGCAACTATCCGGCTTACTATTGAAAATAAACTCGGCTATTCCAAACTCATGAGATGTGACAAGTGATCTCATGCTGGGCGCCCTTTTAGGTAGAGCGTCGTTCACAAGCGTTGTAGAGCCGAGCTGAGAATTAAGCGCCTGGGCTAGTTGCCAGCCACCGTCGGGGTCTGACATCACGACAATGTCGGACAAGTCTTCGGTTAGATGATATCCCCTATCTTCCGGGTAAGGATTGACATCCATAGGGGAGCTGATCGCAGATCGACAGAGTTAAAAGGAGCTTGCTGCAGGTGTGAGCGGTTCGGCGGCGGCGCGTGCCGCATCTTGGCACGGCTAACTACGGTGGAGTGTTTCTGCAGGCTATCCAGACTAACGGTAGAGTATTGGGCACGGAAGCTGTAAACGTGCTAGGAGTAGGGAGTGTATGCTATGTACATGTGGCATAAACCGTTCACAAAGCGTGGGGCTGAGTTCAAGGTGGGTGCCCTGTGCGTGTATTCTAGGCTCTTAGACATATCGAAACTACCGAAGTGAATACCTACTCCGGGTGCCTGACCCTCTCATGTCCCACTCTTGTGCATTAGCCAAAGGCAATCCAGTCGGCGGAGACGGCATATAGTTGACTATCTAGCCACGTATCCCCATGCCACACGAATCCATCCTGGCTGAGGCTATCCGCATACGTCTTGACGCGCAGGTTAGCGGAGGAATCCATGTCGATCTCGCTGATGCCGACAAACAGCTTGGGCACCTTGTCGAAGAACTTGGCGGGGAAAGTGACCTCCTTGTGGTTCTCGGGGATGGCAGGGAACCATGTTCTCACGTCAAGGGTGCTGACCCTGCCCGACACCGCGCTGTCGCTGTTCTTGGGGTAAGCCACCCATGATGCAGTAGCGCTGTAGAGGATGGTGTCAAGCCAGGACTCAATGTCGAGATCGAAGCCGGTCGCCGTACAGTTTCTGGCGAGGGCTCGGACGCGGTAGTTGCGGGACTTGTCGATGTCCAGGGCACTGAGCCAGACCACGACGTTGGGTGGTTCACTGTACGTGCCGCTGGAGAAGCTGAAGTGCTTCCTGTACCTGCGCACCTCATTCTCGTCTGGCTGTGGCGGCTGGGAACTTCGCGTGTTGAACTCGCCCACTAGTTGGGCTGTTAGTACACTGCCAAACGAGACTGTTATGAGAACATCAGGAGAGAGAGGTGAAAACACTGGGAATACTCACCCTGATAATCCGAGTCCTCGGGGCCGAACTCGATCCACGTCGCCGTGGCATTGAAAAGTTGCGTGTCCATCCAGGTGTCTACATTCACGACGAACTCATCCTCCGTAACCTCTACAGCCTGTGCGCGGATACGGATATGGCCCGAGTTCCCAATGTCGAGTGACTTCAAGCCAACGGCGATGCGGGGGACGTCGTGATAGGGCGGCACGAACGAGACGGCCTTGGAATTGAGGGCCGTCAAGGGATACCCCGTACGAATCTCAGGGTCAATGCTCAACTCCCCTTGGTCGCGCGTCTGGAACGGGTAGATCCTCCCAATGAAGCTCCTATCCGTAGCCGAGAGCTTCAAGTTTGTAGGGGCAGAGGTGTGATCATTGGTCCACTCGGCAGGGTAGTAGTAGCACATGATGGAGTTGGCGTCAAAGTCGGACCGCTCGAGGGAATTGATGCTCTCCCATGTGTTAATGATCTGCTTCTGCGTCGTGCCCTTGTCCCATCCGTACCGGGCCAGGCAGTCTGACTCGACGCGGGGCACGTTCCAGTCAATCTTCCAGGCCTGGTGCTCGTGGACGCATCCGATGGCGTGCCCAAACTCGTGGACTATGCTGCGGCAGAACTCAGACTCCCTGCTGTCGTCGGTGAGGCTGCCGTAATTCATGGTCGGTTGGCTCTGGTCAGGAACAGCGACCTGTGCGCGCTTACCGACCTGAGACCAGGTACCAAGGTCAAGCGCCTTGGGATACAGAGGATTCGGCCTGTCGCCAGATGTGAGTAAGGACTCTCAGTTCTAACGCAGGCCAGGGAGGGACAGTGTGGGGAGACGCACCATTTGAAGGAGACACGAATATCTGCGTCGCCATCCTCGACGAAGCGAAAGTCGATATTGGCATACCTCTCCCAGATCTGAGAGTAATCCCTAACTTTCTGCTTGAGCTTTGGAGTGCCATTGAGGAAGCGGACCTTGAGCTTCTTGCCCTTGGGCCACCAGAGGTTGCTGTCAGCAGCCAAAAAGCTCGGCTCCCCTTCTCGGGAGACCAAGTTGCCGCCAGGCAGGGAGACAGACTCTGCCAGTTTGGCATCGGCCGAGCAGTAGGGAAAGTCAGGGAGCGATTCAGTAGTCATGTTGATTGATCGTTGAAGGTTTGTGCAATTGCGAAGATATTGGTTTTCTTTTGAACATATGCCACGAGACGAGACAGAATATGGCCAACTAGGCGAAGTGTGACCGTCAAGATACTGATATAGAGTTTTAATACATGTGTTAAATCGACTTATGGGTATGGGTGTATAGAGCCCCTATGTGCCTTGGTGCACTTAGCATCATTCGGTATCTTTACCTGCCATGGTACTTCACCTACGGCTTATTGAATCCCAATGCGTAGAACTACACAATACGCCGGGACCGCCCTCAGCGATGTCCCCAACATTTGGCGATTGTCACAAAATAGTGCAGCCGTTGTGGCGTACATAGGGCAACCTTTCCTCCCTCGCGATGAATTCCAGATACAGGTATACGTGCATAAGATGAACTTGGATATCACAGTACAGCAACACAAACGGAAACGAGCAACAACATGACCGGTCACCTTGAGCTGACATTAAGCGTGTTCAATAGCGACATGTAGGGCGGCGGGGATTGGCGGGCTCAGCCTTCTCTAGCCGCGTCCGTCTCTTGCGGCCCGACGCCAACGCTAACGCTAACGCAAGAGGCCTCTGGATGTCACAATCACAATAGCGTAGACAATTCGAGACTGATTGGGAAACGATCCGTAGCGCCCCAATAGCTGAAATGTGCGTATATGGGGTGACAACCTAAGTTGGGAAAGGAACGAGCCCAGACTCCTAGCTGAAGAGAGGTCATTGACGTCAATAGGATTACGCTTCAACACATCATGCCTTAGAATGGGCAGCTACAGACTGCCGAGATGCAGCTCGTGGGGCAAGGAGTTCACCGGGATGGTAGGATGCCGAGAGTAGCGTTGTTGTCCAGGGCCTAGGTAAGGTGCGCCATCCGAACGTCTCACGCCCCTGGTTCATTACGCCATTCACGGTGGTCGAGATCGTGATCTTGCCTAGGTTGGACCTCAGGAACTTGAAGCTCAAGCACCTCTCTGCAGACTAGCGGAGCTACCACCGCCTTTCATTCGCCACGTCTGCAGATAGGTTATGGCCTCAGTCGAAAAACGAGAAGAGTAATGTAAGCGGGGCATAACGCAAGAACAATGGTGGGAACAGTGCTGCACCAGTGACGGCAAGCTTGATCATTGTCAAAGAAGTGCTTGAGGGACTCTCCGTGCAAGTACAAAAGGAGCTTCTTTTCCCTTCAAGTCCTAACAACTCTCATCAGCAAAGCATCCAACTTACTACCTTCTCCTCAATATCATCATCCAGCTTTCTTCTCTAGTCACTGATTTCCAGTCTTCACCATGGCTCAGCAGACTGTCGGTAAGTAGAGAAACATTGGAATTCACTACACAAGACTCCAAGACTTGAATATTAATACGGAGTTTTCAAGGTGCTATCATCAGCCTCAAGGCCCCCGAGGAAGGCGACAACATCTGGGAGGCCCAGCAGGTTGACCAGGTCCTCAACCTGCCTCCTGGTGATGGTCAAGGCCGAGTAACCATCGACTGGAGTTTTGGTCCTGTCAAGGTGTGTAAAGGACTTTTTCTCCAACTCTGAGCATGCGGCATCCTGACGATGCGAGTGTATAGATCACTGGCTACGTTGACACCAACACTTTCGAGATTGGCGTTAGCGTGAGCATCCTCGGTATTAACATTGGCAATATCTTCGGAAACCTGAAGGATGGTGTTGGCGTCAACATCGACCTATTCCTTGCCAAGGGCTCCATCAAAATTTACCTCAAGAATGGCAACGAGGTCTGGGTCCACCTTGACGTCAAGGTTAAGTTTGATGGAAGCTTCGAGGGTGACTACAAGATCATCACCATCTAGGCAGTCATGGGCACATCTTGTCGCCATGAGCCAGGGAGGAAGTAGTATTAAGATTGAATGATAGTTGAAATAGTAAATCTAATAAGAACAGGGCTTACTGACTACTCCTTGTTTCCCCAGCTAAGATTTTAGTGAATGTTAAGTTAATTACTCTTTTTTTTTCTCCCTGAAAATAGTATTACTCCTGGAGTATAACATAGCGATCCTATCTGCTCTGTGTATATTAAACTAGGAAGAGGCGGATCAGTGTTTCAGTCGGTTATAACCAGCGAATACAGTCGATTATAACCAGCGAATACCAGCTGTTATTTGTGTTTTTCTATTTTTCTGCTATAGATAGCAAGGCCGCAACTTCCTCAATTGTTCGGGGCGGGATCACTGGAGGTGACGTGACCGTATTTCAATTATGACCGGATTTTGGTTTGTGACTAGACTCAATGGGCTGGGCATGATCTTCGGTAGCTTGCCTCCGGTGCTTGTCCCTACTGAAAAAAAAAAAAAAAAAAAAAAAAGGAAAGAAAAAGAAACTTGTTGCGAGAACTCTTCAGGTAACGCGTGACAAAATATGTTAATTCCAGCAATTCGGTTATTATAGCTCAAGTCTCAGTCCCTGGTTTCTATTGTTGTCAGTCCCATGTGGAAAGCGGCTTATGTAATGCAGTGAGCCAAAACTTCCATTAGTCATCCGCTGCATTTGCCTTCCCCTCCACTCCGATGTTCACCGCACGCGATCCATGATGCGACATCCTTCATTCCACAGGGTCAAGCCCCGGATCTTGCTCACCTGCTATTGACAAAGAGCTTGCAGACTTCACTTCGGCTTCCGGTATGGCAGGAGACTAGCACGACCGGAACAACGCGACTGGAGCAAGAGCTAGAAGGCTTAAAGGGCCCTTCCTACGTCCACCAGCATACCCCCGGCTTCAACATCTCCCGACGCGTCCACGTACGAACGATCGAAGCGAAGTGAATAAGGCATTGCATGGGATCTTTCTCTGGGATACCTGGCGTCTTCAAGACAACACGCGCAGCGGTACACTCGCGCATGCCGTGGGTGGCAGTGTGTGGATGATCTTGGAGCAAGATTTAGAACAGGGCCCGGCCTAGCTTGGCCTTGTCATGGGAATACACTGCTGAGACGCCTCTTGTGCGTCTGTTATCTCGTTCGAGGAACCCGCAAGGCGCCAGAATCGCGGAACAGATACGATGGGGTCCGCCGCTCCAGGTATTTCCATTACCAATACTATCTTGAGAAGGAGCAGGATTCCGCCCGATGATGTCCAGCTGTCGGTACTACGTAGCGCATATTCCGTTCACCAGGCGTAGGGTCTTCTAGAGCAGGTCAAACTGCAGGGAGGGTTGGCCGATGCCGGGCAAGTAAGTAGTGGTCTCGAGTGGCCTCGTTGTAAATCCTCGGGTCCTCTCTCCTCGGCCATCACCAATCACAGCCTTTCTCTGATGTCGAGTCCCGGAGGATACATAAAATGCTCCGCAGGTCATGTATAACTTCCCTTCAAGTGGTGGGTTCTGCCGGGGTAGCCCATTGTGATAGTCGTCCATATCAACCCGCCATGAAGAGGCATCGGGAACTTGACCGCATATCAGCCTCTCGGGGTTACAGAGGTTATCTGTTAGCGGCACACCCAATTAATCCCATACTCGAACACTCCTGATAATGTCCTCAGTGCTTCATGCAAAATAAAAGCCAGCTCGTCATTGGGCCCTCCCCCAAGCTCCAAAAGGACCATCCGAACTGATGTAATGCTGTGTGTGGACAGCCGCGTGACCCTGTGCCGCGCTTGCACCATCGCCATTGTGAGTTTCCTCTCACCTAATTCCTTCCCGGCGCCCATTCAAGCTTGTTTTTTACATTGGTAATCCGCCCATCCACCACGTCCACTCAGTCAGCTTCAGCCCTTCTCGGCCAGGCGATCTTGTGTGCTCACCGAAGCCCCGGGGTCAGCCTGTCCTCGATTACGCCGAGAGAGCCCCGCCTTGCCATGCCTTTCGCGCCCTACGAACAATGGGATCCAGCCTTTTGCATTATGCCTTGCATGGGCTCTTTGTCCGTTATCCTGGATTTGGCGGATCTCCGAGGCAGTCCCTTATCTCGGTCGTTTGGGAGAGCACCCACCTTGCGCGTCATTTAGTGATATCTGGACGGACGTCGGGCTGGGGTCGTCCTGGACGAATGGCGAGGAGTGATCTGGCGGGGAAAAAAGTCTGGAGACGACCGGCAGTGTTGTATTGGATGCTGGTGCTGTCATGTTCGGATCCACTGCCTTGGGAAGAGAGATAGCGAATATTGCGGAGAATGGAGGGACGAGCCGGCATCTGGACAAAGACACGGCCTCGTCGACATCATTGTCCATCCGTTCGGCCCGGCTTTACCTCCCTCAGGCGAGGTCGAGCCACTCCGGGAGCACATTCAGTCAACCCTGATCAGGTCAGGTAACAGAAGCAGGGTTTGATGCCTGGTATGGTCAGATGAGGCTTTGCTGAGGAGAGATTGTTGGATGCAACTCTGCTCTTTCTCAACCCCACACCTTATCTGTATCGTTGGACGAACCCCGTCGTCATGCATTTCCCACGACCTGGTGGGTGGTCTTGTCTGGCAGAGACGGGTTAAGTGTTTCTCTCGACTTGCAGCAATGCGTTATCATGGACATGTCGATAATAAATTAGGTAACAGATATCCAGCATAAAATCTTCTGCCCATCTCCGACTACAATCTCGTCTGTGATGGATTCATGGGCCGTGAATGGGGAAGGGGCCATGTCGACTAGGCAGACTTTGCTGTGCCGCCATGGTATTCCTCGTACTTTCACCGCACAGTCATGATAAGGTCTATTGGTAATGATGGGGGGTGACGGTCGCTAGGCGAGAGAATTGTACGAGCCGGGGTACGAGAGGCTGTGATTCTGGGAGTATAAAGAAGCCGTTCTCAGCGTGGCATCTGGCCGTCACTCGATGGACAAGCTCACTCACCTCATCAGTGACGGCTCATACAGACAGTCTTGAGATTCGCCATCATGGCTCCTCGCAGATATACTTCCATCTTTGCCGCAGCGGCGGCAATGCTTGCCTTGGGCCACGCTGAGTCTTTGCCATCTCGTCATGCCGTGTCCTTCAGGGGCCCTTTCGAGATTGAAATGGGCGGCGTACACAACATCAATGTCGAGTACACTGATGAAGTGGATGGCGAGCTTGCTCTTGTCTACGGTTCCTGTGGCATCTCCTCCATTTCCGAGGCGCACCACCAGGTTGGTCGCACTCACATTGGCAGCCACCCTCTCGCCAAGCGTCATCTTGACTGGGAGAGCCAACGTCCTACCAAATTTGTCTGGATCATTCCCTCCGAGGTTTCCTCGGGATGCCTTCATGCATTCTCCGATGGCATTCTCGTAGGGCGGTCGGAGACTATCGAGGTTACCCCGGCGAAGCTTCGCCGCCGTGGCACCTTCGCCGACGTCACTGATGCCATGGGCCCTTGGTTTGATGGTGTCGCATACCTGGACCAGAAGCAGCCAGACGAGGCTTTCGTTGCCAGTGTCAAGAACAAGACATTTGGTATCTTGGGTGCCGGAATCTCTGGATTGATGACATCAGTAAGTCCTCCGCAGCCGTGTCCCCATAGTGCATCCTATTCATTGCGTGTTCCGATTTACTAACGATATCAATGATAGCTGATTCTCGACTCAGTTGGCATCAAGAAATGGAAGATCATTGAATCCTCCGAAAGGCTCGGTGGAAGAATCAGAACGCACTACCTCAACAATACCACGCCCGAGGAGGGCCAGTATCACGAGCTAGGCCCCATGCGCTTCCCTTACACCCTGACGAACAGCGACACCAACGAGACCTACCCGTTCATGGACTCGCAGCTAGTCTTCCAGCTCGCCGAGAAGCTCAACAAGCTGAACGGCGGCGACAAGGACCTCGCCGTCGATTTCATCCCCTGGATCCAAAATGCGGACAACACTCCCATCACGACCAAGTTCCGCCGCCCGGACGGCACCTGGCCCGGCAAGAACGAGATCGCGGCAAACCCCAACTGGGCTACTAACACAACCTATTCCGACCCTGCCGAAGCCGAGGAGGCCAAGGAGGCCCTCGAAGCCTTCAAGGGCCTGACGGACGAGAAGATCAAGGAGTACGCCACCAACGTGTTCCGGGCTCACAAGCAGGCCGTCGAGGAAGGGCTCTTCGACTTCTCCGAGATCCAGTACCTCCGCCAGGTCGTCGGAACCAGCCTCAACGTCTCCGACGAGGTCGCCTCGTCCGCCGCCACGGGCCCCATGTGGGAGTACGACACGGGCTACTTCCTCGCCACCGAGTGGAAGACCATCAGGGGCGGGCTGAATCACCTGCCCAACGCCTTCAGGAACATCGTCAAGGACCGCATCAGCTACAACTCCAAGGTCCACAGCCTCAAGTACGACAGCGGCTCCAACACCGTCAGCGTCTCCCACCGCCCGGCCAAGGGCAACCCCCTCGACGCCGCGTCCACGACCGAGACGTTCGACTACGTCCTCAACAGCGTCCCCTTCAACCTCCAGCGCTTCTGGGACCTGCCCCCTTACTCGAGCCTCCTGTCCCGCGCCATCGACCGCCTCGAGTTCACCACCGCCGCCAAGGTCGCCATCCAGTACGACACCCGCTTCTGGGAGCACCTCGACCACCCCATCTTCGGCGGCTGCGGACGCGTCAGCGCGCCGCGCATCGGCCAGATCTGCTTCCCCGCCTGGCAGCTCAACAGCACCGGCCCGGGCGTCCTCCTCGCTTCCTACATCTCGGGCTCCGACGCCACGGCCGCCTGCGCCATGACCGAGGAGCAGCACGTCGCGTACGTCCAGCGGGCCGTGGTCGACATCTTCGGCAAGGTCGCCGAGGATAACTGGACGGGCAACTACGCGCGGCAGTGCTGGGCGCACGACGAGAACCACGGCGGGTCGTGGGCGTCGCCTGTGGGCTCGCAGCAGCCGCTGTACCTCCCCGCCTACTGGCAGACGGAGCTCAACACCGTCCTCATCGGGGAGCACACGAGCTTCACGCACGCCTGGATCTTCAGCGCGTTGGAGAGCGCGGTGCGGGGCACCGTGCAGCTGCTGCTTGATCTCGGGCTCGTCGACGAGGCCAAGGAGATTACCAAGACGTGGATGGCCCGGTGGATCAGGGTCTAGTTTCTGTGACCGTGCGACGGGAGTGTATATGGGTGAAAATGATGAGGGTACAGAACCATGCCCACGGTGACATATGGATAAGACATCTCTAATGCAAATAGTTAGCCAACACCAATCAATCTAACCAGAGGCAAAGCCAAAATGCAAAGCCCCTGAAGCCGTAATCATCTGATCCGTGCGTCGTCAAATGGGATTCGCCCGTACATATCACATTGACGAATCCACCGTAGTGAAAACGCACCCAGATGCAAAACGCCCAACTGGGCAGTAGGACGACTCTCATCATTGGCTCAAGCATGCATCGTCTCCAGGCGATGAACTGACCTTCCCTGCACCTACAGGCAGTGGCACCAACAGCTGCTGCACTGCAGTCATTCATTCACGTAGCTAATACTGTAAACACCGAGCTGCCAATCGTGCTTCCCTCCCGCGAGCTGCTTCCCCCCCTCATATTCGAGTCAGCATTCTCATGCCGTAACAGAGCGCTTGTTAGTTATAAAGGCATGCTTCGCCTGGGAAATAATTCCACGTGGAGTTGACGTCAAAGATCAGCAGCTACCGTTCCATCGGAACGTAGCTAAATGATCCCCAATGCTAACCCATCGAAGGGGGATGCGCTCCGACAGGTTGGTATTGGGGGCCGGAGGATTTTGACAGCGGATGTGATTGTGAGACCATCTCATGCAGACCAAAGCATGCGAGACTCAGACAGGCGCCGTCGCATCATTTGCCAACAGCCCCCAATATTACTCCCCGACCGTGTTGGTCGGTGTTGGCTGTTGGTTGCTCGCGCACTGAAATAAAAATAACCCACTCACCTCCTCCCAATCCCCTCATCTCTCTCTCCTCTCTCCTCTCCTCAAGTTCTTCGCGCACGGGCAGCTGGCCCCTCCTTCTAAGCGCGCAAGAACGCTCACTTTTCCCCATTAGATCACCGAAACGCACACCCAATCTCGTATCACAGGCTCACTGGAGGCTTACTTGAAACTCATTCATATATTCATTTATAGGCGGGGGTCGCAACTCTACCCAATGCCCAGCATTAGCTCCAGGCTACCGCCCATTCTTTCTGTCTGTCCGTCCGTCCGTCCGGTATGCCACATATGTGTCAAAGTCGCTATGGACCTGACCTTTTTTTTCATGGCACATCATAGCAAGGTAAGAATGCCAAGTGCGAAGCAAAAAAAAAAAATGAAGCATAAAACAAGGCAAAAGGGAAAAGAAAAACGCGAGTTTTCGTCAAAATAACCATGTAACCGTCAAATGCTAATGAACACCGCTGTTCGAAATATCACGTCTGTCGTCTAACCATTGTTTCACAGGAGAACAAAAAGAAAAAGGCTAAGAAAAAAACGCCGAGGTGAAAGATATGCGAGAGGAAGAAGCAAGCAAGCAAAAAGCAAAGGCCGCCCTTCAGCTTCTGGGTCCTTCCAGCTTCTCGAGTTTCACATAGCACTGTTTCGGCTTATGCGTCAGTGCCTCGATAGCTCCGTACCCCGAAAGCTCCGAGCTGCATTGGCCCATCTTGAATTCCCATACAAGGAGCGTCACCATGATGCGCAGCTCCATGTAGCCAAGACGGCGGCCGAAGCATCCGCGGGTGCCCAGACCAAATGGCAGAGATGGCCCGGAAGTCGAGTCAAATGTCAGACTGCCATCCGGCTCCGTCCTCAGCCAACGCTCTGGCATGAATTTATCCATGCCATCGGGACTCCACTGGCGCAGGCCAACGGGGGACTTCGAAGTTTGGCATGATGCACTGCGCAGGCGCTCATCCACCTGGAAGCCTGGCTCGGTAAAGGATGGCCCACGATTCAGCATCAAGAGAATCGTATCCTTTGGGATGTGGTGGCCGAAAAGAGTCGTGTCGGTGTTGGTCTGGCGATCAAGAATGGGCAGCGTGTTTGCCAGCCGAAGTATCTCTTCGATGACGGCGTTGAGGTACGGGATGTGTGTGCTCGTGATTTCATGGGCTGTTGGAATACGACCTTCAGCAGCGGCTGCCCAGTGCGCCTGATGGAGCGCGGCTCGCAGCCTGTCCTGGGCGAGCTGATTGTCTGAGAGAAACTTGAGGCCCCAAAGCATTGTTGTGCTTGAGGTATCATGACCTGCAACAACGAACCCGATGATCTGCCTTCGAGTTAGTACGGATTGCGTATGATTGGTTATTTGACGGTGCTGTCTTACCTCGTCTCGGATCGCCGGGGACCAGTAGACTGGCTGGCGGCCTTCCTTTTGTGCAGAGATCCTCTCCCTCATCATCATGAGATCTACAGCTGACTTCACCCAGCGCTCGTCGTGCAGATTGGTCTCCATGTTGAGGCGTTCCTGCGCCATGTCCACCTGCTCCTTGAGAAACGCGTTGCGAATGCGGATATGCCTTGCCTCGGAAGGCATCTTACTCTTGAACCACCAATGGAGCCGGGGACACGGGCTGTCCATCAACTCGCCAGTGGTGTTGGAAGCATGCAGAGTGGCCTGGATGGTCTCGTGCAATGGCCCGCGTACAAACTCGACGACGCCCTGTTCCGTGGTCGATGCCGTTGTCGATGCGACATCATAAGCCGTCATCGTCTCCACTTGCCGTAGCTGTGGCGGCACAGCGCGGTGTGGGAATGCTTGTCCGAAGCTGAATTCCAATACCGAGTCCAGCGCGGCATAGAAGATATCATTCTCGGCAGAAAAAGGTCGTCCGCGGGCGAGGCGCTCCTTGTTGGACCACAGCCGTACAAGGTTGAGCGTGCTTGCGTAGATGTTGGGAGCGGCCACGTCCTTGAGGAAGCCAGGCAGCATGAGATCCTGCAACAGGCGGCGGTGGGCCTTCCACACGGGACCGGTCTTTTGATTGATATGATGACCCGGAGCCTGTCCGCTGAAGATCTCGATGGTGTAATCGGAACGGTCCCATTCCTTACGACGCAGCATGATGTCCTGGGCCTCCCGATAGTCCGAGATGAGGACAAAGGGCTTGGAGAAAGGCCGCAGGAATACTTGGCAGATGGGTCCCGAATGGCGCCGACTTTGATCAAGTATCCAATCCATAGGACCGTTCTCATCTCGCAGCATGGCAGGAAGGTCTCCAAGAAGGGAGGAGGCGGCTTCTGGATTATACGGAATTCCAGGCAGAGGTTTCGGGAGGAGGGAGAGATAGAGAGAGTACAACAAGCCTGCCGCGAGAGCGACGATGCCCACCGCCACCAGCGGCTCCGAGAGCAGCAGAGCAGCTAGAGACGCCATGGCATGGCCTTAGGTGTGGAAAGTCTTAAGGAAAATGCCGGAGTGAGAATCTTCCCTGAGCAGTGGTTCAAATGTGAAACAGGTATGGCCCAGGCAATTGGAACAGTGCAAGGGGGAGATCGGGCAAGACAATGGGGCGCTTTTGGGTATATTGATGTGAGTTGATGCTGGGACTGGAAATGAATATGGCGGAACAATCGTGCGGGCAAGCCAAAGATATATGGATGAAGAAGCCGCCCAAAAAGAAACGGGGTAACGTCTATTCAATGACTTGATCATTGAAGGGGATAGGAGAGAGAAGGGGGGGTGTGAGCTATGATGAATCCGGCCGGTGTGTGCTCTTGACCCAAGACGGACTGGACTGGGCGACTTCCCTTCACACCGCGACACTGGTTCGCTTCACTCATTCGAGAAATGGGAGAGTGGAGTAGGCCCTCTTCATCTCGCCCACGAAGAACGTGCCAGACGAAAATAAAGGAAATAGGTTGGAGGGGGTGGCCTGATGGATTTGCTGGACCGAGTTGCAGGAAAACCAAGCAAGGCGACTTGGGTGAGCAAACAGACAAGTCACAACAATGCCCTCAACCTGCAAGAAAAAAATCCCAGGGCCATGTCTCGGGAAGGAGGTGACATGGGGAGGGAGTGAGAAGGAAAAAGAATGGTCGAATCAAGTCCATTGAACGTAGGCTGTGTGATTTGTTCACACTGGCTGTCGCCAATCCACGGCTATCCGCACATCCACCCTTGCTGTGTGTTGCATCAAGTCCATCTGCTGCTGTCGTAGTAGATTCACAAGCCAAGCAGCCATCCGATATCAGACGCCGCTAATAGCAGGGAGCGGAGACGACCGAGAATGGGCTCGGTTGGGATGGGATGGATGGTGGCAGTGAATGGGTCGTCGCATCGTCGCATGCCATCTGGCCGCCTCTGCTGCTGGTTACCACATCAGCGGGGCCGGGGGCCGATGCAGTATCTGGTTGCCCCTGTCAATCCGTTTCTTTTCATGTTGTACGTCAAACATCGACCTGGAATTTTTTTTTTCACAAGCACATGACGGTGAAATCCGGCCTCTCATGATCTTTGTAGCTCTCGCACGTTGTTGTGCATGGGGAAGGCGCTAAAAGTCCGCATTCCCCTTCAGTTAGTGGAAGGGATCTTTGTCTTGCGCGCAAATGGGGACTGTAGGGGAGGTGAGAGTGGAAGGGTGATGCTCAAAGGAAAAAGCAAAGACTGCAGAAGAAGGAAAAAACGAGCCCAACCCCGGGCCACAGCATCTTACTGGATCCCGTCCCTTGCTATGTTTTCCCCGATGGCCCCCTTCACCATGCGTGTCTCCGTTTTGCCAGTATCACATTGTGCTGTTTACTTTTTCCCATTCTTCTGCTTCTCAAACCGGTCTGTCTCGTCTCTTCTGCAAGGGCCCGTGCCTGACCCCGTGTGGAACTGTTCTGGAAATAGCAGCCTGTCTTGTCTTGCCTTGTACTGGTCGAGCCATGCGACACTCCCCCTCCAGTGTCCCCAAAGCCTAGCTCGCTTTAGGGTTGGGATAGCAGAACTCGAAGCACTTGGGCGCCTAGCATGCTGTTCAGGTGCAAAGTTGATAGTAGGAAGACGCTAGCAAGGCCACTTGGGTTGGCAAAGCTAGTGCCAAAGTGTCATGGTTGATAGGTGCAGGGCCCATGAACGATTGATGGGCACTATCCCGCTGTCAGGCGCGTATTGTGTACCGCTTATTCGGGGGCCTGGAAGATGGGAGGGGCGCCACCTGGCTCGGTACGGAGCAATAAGACAGGTAGCTATTTCATCATCGCCTGCCACACAGGACCTGCAGTGACAGCACCCAATAGCCCAATCGCCCGTGGCTTCGGTTACTCTAACACTGCCGGCGCACGTCCGGGGTGGTCAATGTCGTATTGGTGGGGGCCGAATACCCATCCCCTGGCTCCCCTCCATCTGGTAGTCAGATTTCACCTACTGTGTGCTGACCGGGATGGCCTGCCATGGGCGTCATCGAATCGTAGACCAGAGATGGCTGTTTCCAATTGAGTCACTCGGATTTTCAGTTTTCTCCCTTCTTTTCCCACTCCTCTTCTCGCCTGACCGAGGCTTAGCTGGAAAAGCGAGAAAATTGTCATCGTATGATAGGTGCAGAGGGAAAAGAGGGGGTAAAACACGGTGATGAGTTGTCGTCAACGGCATGGTGCATCATGCTGCCTCGGTGGAGGGTTTTGATTTTGTGGTTTGTATGGGTGTTCGGTCGGCAGGGCATTGAGCCACGCCAATCCAAAACAACGTCAACGTCGTATTACCGCGCTTCAGATGCATCTCATCTTGTGCGCCCCCAGTGAAGTGCTTGGTATGCGAAATTGTCTACGGAATTCCACCGGGGGTGCTGCAAGATGGATGCGCATAGAGTGAGGAGTGGAGTTGGCGGTTGAATTTTCCCTATCCTTGTGCCTGCGCTTTTCTTTTTCTCCCCTTGCCTTTCTCCCGTTTCCTGTTGGAGAGTGTGTTCCGCCCTCGGAGCTGGCGCAAAGCGGTAAATAGGGCAGGGCACTCTCCTCGTGACGTGCGAGATATAGCCCCTTCTCATGCAGCGGTGGAGGAGCGAGCAATGGGTGAGGCGCCGTCCGTCGGGTCACGCTTCGACACTGCAAGCAAGCAGGCGGTCACGATAGCGCCAGTGGGCCAGGCCATTGCCGGCACTGGCATGGCGCTCGCACGCCCAGATACGTTGAACTAGTAAATCGAGAATGCGAACACTTCTTTAAGGTGCAATTCAGGACTAAGAACCAACAAATTGTGGGGTGATCAGCAGCGACTTGGGTAGCCATGTACGTGCGTGCGTAGGTGCCACCTGGTGGGAAATACGACGCCAGATGAGACCCCTCCCCGCGCGTGGCATTGTACCAACGTGATCCAGGTCCTCTCGTCTGGGTTATTAATCAGGCAGAGGCCAACGGTCCATAGACAAGGCAGAGCGCCTACCTAGGTCCTTCATGATATCAGCACAACCTTCTGCAATCTGGCCATGAATGTCACCCCGTTCGACTCGGCACTTGACGGCGCGGGCCAACAACTGCCGACTTGGATCCGTAGTGAAAGTCTAAAGATGACGCACGGCCGTTCAGTGCTTTTGGTCATGGCACATGGCGCCGAGACTGGTTCTGGACAATTTAGAGTTGGAGTAGGTGCTGTAAAGGGTGGGTGGTGGATGTAGTAGGCGCGCGAGCCGCAGAGAAGAATGCGCCTGTCTCGGCCGATCGCTGTACTGTTGTGACGGATCATCCGATGGCGTAGCTCTGACCGCTGTTCTGTGTGATGGCGCAGATGGTGATTCCAATGGTTATGGTTTCTGTCGCGTCTTGAACTTGGATGATGAGAAAAGGACTGTCGGTTCGGCTGCCATTGCTGTTGGACATGATGGGAAGGTGCTAGCCTGTTCTAGAGGGATTGGAAGGCACGCCTCCTCGAGATTTAGGGGACCGCAGCCTACAACTACAGCACGTCTTGCCCTGAAGGATGGCTCCATTGGTTTCAAGATAAACAGAAATTCCTCCCATTTTGGAAGGCGGCGACCTCCTGCAACGTTGACATTTGGCCAACATCAGGCAGTCTGTCTTCCAGGGTAGGCAGAGCTGGTGCTCGATTGACTTAGACCTCGCGAGACAACTCCCAACATCAACCAATCCATCACCATACCACCACTTCAATACCATTATAGTCCGACCTGACCTGGTTCCAGACTCGGCCACCGCCCGCAAGCCACTTATCTCGACAACGCCCGACTTCTCGCAGCGATGCCTGACACGGATCTGGCCCCTTGCCCGTCCCTAAACCCCGATCTTGGCTCCTTAGCTCCTTGCCCGCCTAGCCCGAAGCTTCACAACCTTCTTCCTCTCGGCAGATGGCATCCCTCGGCAGCCCAGAGATGATCTATCTGGCACTTCTAGCTGCTAGTCTCGGCATACGTTAGGCCCTCGAGGCCCTTTAGCCACTCGCCAACCCCACACCACGTCCAACCTTATTCTTTGCATCATCGTTGGGCCTCCACAATCTCGTTGGCACTTCCCCGCAAACTTGATTGTTTGCATACCAGTAGCGACCCCATCCACGACCACCTGAGCACCCATTTCTACATCAGATGATGCCTTTGAGTTGCAATGGCCAGCGTCTTGCCAGATGCGGAAACCCGCGGTTGCCTATCTACCCGCAAGTCGCGGATAAAGTTGGGTAGCTGATGGAGCCGCAACACCCATCTGCCGAGTCGGCCCTCCTATCACGACTGTGGTAATCAGCTTGTCGCCAACGACCAGCAGTAACCCCCCTCTCAAGCTATGATGCATGAAACCGGGCCATCGTCGAGATAGGCCCGCATGCCAGATGATGGAATTGCCGTCGCTGGTGAATAGCCTCCTCCTCACCTGGCGATACACCACACCCACTGGCCACCCGTGTGCTTCCCTAGGCATGAACCACGACCTATTCTCGGCGCAATTGATTACTGACGCCTCCATGGCCAGCAAACTTACTTTGATATACTTTGGATGCCGCTCTGTCATGGCCATGTATCGCCTCTCACTGCCTATCCTGGCCTACCCTCGAGATCGTCACATGAGTGACCTCAGCCAATTGTTTTGACATGGCTACCCGTCTGAAGACCGGTCGCAGCATCTACGAGGCTGCATCATTCCACCAACAGCCCCCATGATAGGCACCGGCCAAAGGGGTTTATTTTGCCGCGGCCTTTGGGAACAATCGATCCCAGCAATCCTGCCTTCGGGTGCGGGGCATCCTACCATCCACTGGCGTAGCTGTTGGCAGCCTGAAGTCGTTTCCAAGAGTTACTTTGTTGTTACTGAATACTATTACCTTGGCGCCTCCAAAATGAGGTACTTCATGTCGGATGGTGCCTCATAGGTAGCGCTTCGAGGTCTCCAGTGTCGCATCCTTTAGCGACGCAATCAATGTTGCTCTTTGGCTGACGTTGTGCAAGACTTGCTCCTGTCCTTGCGGAAGAGAGGGAAATCCATCCGGCCCCTCCCACTCGAGCCAACCTTTGTTGATCCAGATTCATTCTAGCCCCGAAACAAAAGATCCCATAGGTGCTTTAGATCGGATCACACACTGACGCCGTCGTTGGTTGCTCGACCCATTCTCTTTTCGGCCTCAACCATCATCAGAGAGCTTACTTGACGGGTCTTCTCCCATATGGCCGGCCGCGGAAGTCTGCCTATAATCACTCCGCCTTCTGCACATTCTACAAGGCGGTTCTGACATCATCTCAGATAGCTACGCTGACGAGTAACCCAACAGATTACCATCCCTCATCTCTGGATCTTATGACCCTGTCTGTACTGTCTCGCCAATAATCAATACCTGTTTAGCCCTGTATCAGGTGAATGGATCCTAGTCGGTCTGATGAAGAGGCGTGGGGAGCGAGCGAGTTGCGAGCGGTTTCGGTTGGTTCGTCGCGGACCGCGGCCTACCTCGGAACCCTGGCGTCAACTTTTGGCTCGGCCATACATTGTTGACGGAGATATCACGCCCGCACACTAAATTTCCCGGTAGCTCCATGGAAGGGAAAGCTTGTCAGGGTGCAATTTCCAACGAAATGTGTGCGGATTGAGGGAGCATACCTGCGATACCATGAAACTGACCCTGCGATAATCCGAAACGAGGTAAACCAGTTGGCAGCGATATGCTTTCCCTAGAGCAAACAAGCGTTAGGCAGGGACGCCTGGCCTGTTCCGGCTTGGGAAGCGGATGCTTCAGAATATCAGTGTGTGACGAAAATTGTTGGCAGTTGACGTGAGAACAAAGTGAGGGAAACAGCTCTGTTTGTTCCAATTATTCACTGTCACAATCAGTATGTGTTTCAGAGAGACATCAAAAGGGGAAAATTCATTGTTTGCCCTCGCTCGAAATTCCAGATTGTCGCTATGAATACTCATGAGAACAATGGATCTAATGCTTCTTGTGCTGCTGAGCACCTCGCAAGCGAGTTTCCAACAATGCAGGGTGAAACTTCTGCATCGGCTGAACTCATAGAACGCATCGGCACAATTTCTTCAAATTGAATAAACGTGTTTTTTATCTCGCGCATCCCAGACCGTTGGCTTCCTTGTTTTCACCATTCAATCGAGGCTAAAATTGAAGGGATCTCGAAGGGTCCAACACTCACCGATACCAACCAAACTTGTCACGCAGAATCCCTCCCATCCCTCGAAACATAATTCAACAAATTGCATCAATCACGCGCGATGGTCGCTGGAACAAAGAGGAAAAGGCTGCCTACGGGAGATGGCTCCAGCCCTCCCAGAAGCAGAGCCAAGCGAGCTCGACGGAGCAAGATACAGACAACTAAACAAGAAGAGTCGCCATCCCCCGGAACATCCACGTCTAGGTCGTCTCGATCACCCTCCCCGTCTTTCGAGTTCTATGCGCCTCGTCGCCCTAAGCTCGCACAATGGCGGTGTTGCGGCTGTCGGCGGCTTTGGCTCCTCGCCGTCCGGCAGTGCCTAAACTGTGCACATGAGAGGGATCATAAATGCAAAGATTTCATCGACTACAGTGGGTGGATCGAATGGAGGGAGTGGGAATGCTGGCTACTCTTCGTCAAGAACTTACGGGCGTCGGGCGACTACGATTACGGGATGAGGATCACCCCGACATCCATCTTCGTACCAGAACGACGACTCGAGGAAGTCAGCCAGCAGCTGGAGAGCATGGAGAGGGAGAGGCTTCTGCTGCTGAGGGACGGACGGCACAACTGCTTCACGGATTGCTACGTGCCGTGGCAATGCAAAGAGGTTCAGCGTAAATTCGCCAGGCGCAGCTCGTCCCTGTCCAACAAGGAGAGGAGCCAGTCGCCGAGGCCTGCCATGCCCGATTCTCCCAAATCGCCGCCGCCCTCGGATGACGAGGATGGCGAGGATGTTGGGTGGATTGATGTTGGAGATGATATAGATGCGGGTTCGCCAGGAACAAAAGATGAGGATGCCGACTTGGGACGCCCTCGTCGGCGCTTGCCCTCTCCGCTCTTACCATCAGATGGGGCACCTGAAATCTACGAGGACGAAGACGCTGCAGACGGGCCTGGGCTTGGATCAGATGAGGAGGTTACAATAGAATGAGGAAGTGGAAGGGTCGAGATGGGTTGGGCTAACGATGATGGCGGTTCTCGCTGCTGGAACAGCTTAGCTGGGGCTGGCTCCCAGCATGGAAAGAGGCAGTCAGGATGAGTCACGATGAAAAGGAAGGAGATTTGGGAGGAAAACTGAAATATTATTTATTCCACACGCAACTTGCGCACCATTTGACTCGAAAACATTTGATTTTAACATTGTCGTCTACCGGATTCGCCAGGCCCACCAGCCGGTCTAGATATTAGGTAGCTCCAGGTCAAGACCATCCCATAAGTACTACACGGCTCGTGATGCTGGAAGCAGAGGGGACCCGCATCCTGTGAACCTGTCCTCACCGCATCTTGCAATGCAGATCTCCCGGCATCTGAACCTATCCAAAGATCCTTGGCGACTTCGACAGACCACCCGCGGTCTCCGCATGGAGCCTTTCATAGGGCGGTCATCAATAAAAAAGAAACGAGGGGGGTAAAATAAAAGACACACAAACAGCCCAGCAACCCATCAATCCCTAATTTCGTGACCCTGCAACCTCTGACCCTGAGAGAAAAGAAAGTTGAAAAGCAAAAAAGAACAAACACCAGTCTCAAGTAGGTCTCATTTCGTTTTTATTGTTTTTCAACCCTCCAGGGCCTTGGCCTTCTTCTTCTGCTCAACCTTGAGGAGCAGGGCGCGGTTGATGTGTGGCAGAACACCACCGAAAGCGATTGTGGCACGGATGAGGGTGTCGAGTTCCTCGTCGCCACGGATGGCCAGTTGGAGGTGGCGGGGTGTGATACGCTTGACCTTGAGATCCTTGGCGGCGTTCTGAGGGGGAGGGTTAGCATGATAAACAAAGAACAATGAGGGGTCGGAGAGGAACTTACGCCAGCCAGCTCCAGAACTTCGGCGGTAAGGTATTCGAGAACGGCGGTAACGTAGACGGCAGCCTTGGCGCCGACGCGCATCTTGCTCTGTGTCCTGTTCTTGAGGAATCGCTTCACACGACCGCAAGGAAACTGTGAAATGGTTAGTGCCAAGGTCGAGGGTAAATTGGCGCACGGGCTTCTTCTCGTCATCGCGGAGGGGTCAGGAGATCAAGGGCGCAAAATCGTATGTCGCGAGGCTGTAGCTCCATCAAGCGTCCTGGTCGAGCGCCCGTCGTTAAAAGATTCCATGTCGCGCAAGCTGGGACGCGAGAATGCTGATTAGTTCTGATAGTGGTGTGGTCGTCGTGAGGGGTGATGGCTGGGCGTCGAGCCAACGCGTCGAAAAATCGGTCGGACAGGAGACATCGCGGGGGTTCTTGTCGTTGGGTGACGAAAGGCGCGCAAGCTCCCTCAGCCTGATGCGCAAGACGAGAATGAAGCTAGAAAATCGAGAAAAAAATCAAATAAAAGAAATCAAAGTCACCGTACCTGAAGACCAGCGCGTCCGGAATGGCTCATCTGCTTCTTGGGACCCTCAGCAGCGCTTGTCTTGCCGCCGGAGCTCTTGCCCCCAGATGACTTGCCCTTGCCTCCGGCCATTGCGACGAGAATTCGACGAGAGTGGGATAGAGCACGTGTAGCGTCGAGTAGCGAAGATGAAATTCGCTACGAGGTTGAGCGATTCGGAAATAGCTTGCGGCGGTGTGCGATGTTCGTGGGCGTGAAAGTGGTGCGTGCACGTTGTTCGGTGAAGTGGAGAGGTTGCGGCTGGCGGTGGTGGTGAATGTGGGAGAATTTTATCAGCATACGTGACTTGGGCGTCGAGTTGTTGTTGTTGTTGTGCAGTGGTGCTGTTTTCGGGTCTTCGATGCCTGGAGGCTGGCGAGGTGACACGCCCACGGCTCCCTCTGCAACGCTGAAAACTTGGGCGCAGGTCGCTGTTAGCTGGCATTTTAGGCAGACAGAGCAAGGCAGCTCTTCGGCTGGCCCGAGGAAACTCCGGTGGCGCTTCCTGGGGCTGATTAGGTAAGACGCATGCGGAGGTCAGACGAGGCTGTCTGAAGAGGAGGTCCAGGAAGCCTTGGGCCAAGCCAGCCGTTCTGCCTTTGCCGCTGGTCCCTAGATGGCTGCTTTTGAAAGGAGGGCTGGTCCAGAAAGTAGTTTCCAAATCCTCCCACGCCGTCGCATCCGAGAACTTGCTTGGCGAGGTCGGAGGGAATGGCAAAACCTACCTTGGGAGTTGAGGTAACAAAATGGTCTCAGCCGCAAGGGCACCACGGGCCTGCTCATCCCGCATGTTCGGCCAGGTGTATACCTGTATGTTAGCTTTTAGATGGTGTGTTTGAATAGCACGGTTGGCCAAGCTTGTCGTGCCAACAAATTGCTCGTCCCTGTGAAGGAGAATTTCGAGCCATGATTTTGAAGTAGGCGCTAGTAATGACCATGAGAGATGCCGTGACGCAGATGCCACAAAGCCACCAGCCACAATACTTGGCTCCTCATTACGTAATTCAAAATGTGGCTGCACTTTGCGCGCCAAACCGATCTCACACAAATACAATAGACTCCAACGTTTCATTCTCTTATTTTCTCTTGAGAATGAGTACAAAATATGTTTAAACGAAATAGTTTGAATCTGCTTGTTTTTTTCTGTGATTTTTTTTGGACTTTTCTGAATTTTTGAATTCCATGCATCTTCCAGATCCCCGAGCTCTTCTTCTCTTTACGACTTCGGCTTACCCTACATCGGGCCCTTGTAGGTACCTACCTCTGTGAAATTAAATTCATCCGAAGCTGGCCGTCCATACATATCGAAGGGCTCATATATTGGTTCTAAAGGTACTTGTGTAGCCTTCATTTTCATATCTTTTATTTACTCAGAAGAGGAGTTTGCTTTGTCGTCGCTTTTGTCTTTGAGAATGTCGGAACAGAACCGATTTCCGCACGTTGAGACACTCTCTTGCTTTCATTTAACTTGGGTATTATTATTCGAGCTTTCTAAGTAAATATTATCTCCTAGAAAACCCCGGATATATCTACGCGGAGATGTAAGATACGAGATAGTATAAAAAGAACAAATGGTGTACCTTCACTTCCAATTTAGCTACCTTGGTTCATAAGTAACTAAAGATCTATTTTCCACACTTTATTATTTCGTTAGAAGAAACTGCAGTTTACTCCTTGTTTTTTCGTTCCATCTCAACTCCCTTGAACTTTTGTGTGATACTCGTGATGGCTTCCTCCACCGGTAGCCGCTCCATAGAGCTCGCCCCATAGAAACCATGAATGCCCGTTGTCCGACTGAGGACGTACTCGGCGTCTTCGGGGTTTGCAATCGGCCCTCCGTGGCATAGAATGATGATATCCGGATTGATGCCCAGGGCCGTGTCGCGGATCTGCTGAATCAACTCGACGGACTCATCCAGCGTCTTGGTCGTAGCTGCGCCAATAGACCCGCTGCTCGTCAATCCCATGTGCGCGACTAGGATATCCGCCCCCGCGCGAGCCATCTTCTCCGTCTCCTGGGTGTTGAAAACGTACGGGGTTGTCAGCAGGTCGAGGTCATGGGCGCAGCGGATAGCGTCGACCTCGAGATCATACGACATGCCCGTCTCTTCCAGGTTGGCTCGGAACTGTCCGTCAATCAGCCCGACGGTGGGGAAGTTCTGGATTCCCGCAAACCCAAGGTCTTTGAGCTGCTGTAGGAAGCGAGGGATATCACGGAAGGGGTCAGTTCCACAGACGCCGGCAATGACGGGTGTGTGCTTGACGACGGGAAGGACCTCTTTTGCCTGGTCATACCCAAGTTAGCGCTACTCGCTCATTGTGTCTAACCTCCTGGTATAATTCTTACCATGTCAACAACAATATCATTTGCGTTGCCGTAGGGCATCAGCCCAGAGAGAGACCCCCTTCCGGCCATCCGGAAGCGACCGCTGTTGTAAATGATGATGAGGTCGCCCCCGCCGGCCTCGATGAACTTGGCGGAGAGGCCAATACCGGCTCCGGCACCGACGATGGGCTTTCCATCGGCGATCTGAGCCCTGAGCCTCTTGAGAATTTCTTGCCTGTTTGTTGGGGGCGCCATATTTTTGTATCCGACACACTGTTACGGCCAAAGATGAAGGAGCTGGGCCAGGTAGAGGTGAGGGGAATGACGTGTAAGTATGTGTTAGCTGTGGGGTTCCATTGTAATCTCATGGCAACGGCAACATCTTCGCCTGTTATCTCCATAAATCTTCTGTCTACATAGTTGAATGGTGACGAGTACCACAGATCGCTCAAATACTACAACCATTTCTTTAAAAAATTATCATCTTGCACAAAGTATCACGCTGGCGCCAAGATCCCTTGCTGTGGGTACAATGAATCGTAAGAAACAAGGCAAGTCTGATCAACCCATTCCCTAGAAGCTTTCGGCATGTTGGCAATCAAGCGAAGTATCATATCTATATTTCCTGAAATGCTGGGCTCATTCGCAATTCTCATTGATTGAATGACACGAGATGGTCAGCTCAGACGAATTGCTGCATGGTGACGTGATGCGACACTAGCTGGCACTCTTTGGTAATAACAAGATGGTGTATAAAGAGGGGATAAATTGCATTCAACCTTTTCACCCATTCCGCCTGTCACCACGACTTACAAGCCATACTGCCATTACAGCATACGAGCCGGCCAATTCCGAAATGACTGCCGTGGTCGTCTTCGGGACATGCGACACCAAGTTTGAAGAGCTTGTCTTTCTCAAGAACGCTATCCGAGAACGCAACAGGGGTGGCACGACTCGTTTAGTTGATGTCGGATGGCGGGATTGCGAGCATGAAGAGATTGATTTCTCTCGTTCGAACTTGATAAAGAAGTATGGCAACAGGGCCGATACCTCTCAAATGCCACGTTCTGAGCTGATTTCATACATGGCTCAGTGCGCAGCTGGCCTTCTGGAAGAACTCTACAAGGAACAATCACTTCATGGGGTCGTTGCCGCGGGCGGCTCGGGAGGCACGGTGTTGGCCTCCAAGGCGTTCAGAAGTGCCTTGCCAATTGGGTTCCCCAAGCTCATTGTGTCTACGGTAGCCAGCGGAGATACCAGCGTCCTTGTTGGTGAGTCGGATGTGACGCTCATGTACTCGGTGGTGGATGTTGCCGGAATGAATCGCCTGTTGGCTGGGATCCTAGCGAACGCTGCGGGAAGCATCTCGGGAATGGCGGCGGCGTATAAAGCCCGCAGCGAACTACTACCGCAATCTGAATCCAGTCTCAAAAAGCGTGTTGGTATCACCATGTTTGGCGTCACGACTCCAGCGGTGAACGCCATCAAGAAGCATTTGGACTCATCCCAGCAAATCGAGACCTACATCTTTCATGCCACGGGTCATGGGGGTAAATCGATGGAAAGGCTAGTCACCGAAGGCCAGCTTGATGCAGTCCTGGATCTCACGACTACTGAGGTGTGTGACCTGGTGACAGGAGGCATCATGGCTGCAGCCCCTGAGCGCTTTGATGCAGCAATCCAAGCCGAGATACCCACGATCATATCCCTAGGGGCCTTGGATATGTCCAACTTTGGGCCGAAAGCTGATATTCCCGAAAAATACCGTGAGCGTAATTTGTATGAACACAACAGTCTAACAACCCTTATGCGTACATCGGAGGAAGAGAGTGCGGAAATAGGCAGCTTCATAGCCAAGAAGCTAACGGGCACCAAGACACCTGAGAAGACCCAGGTTTGGATTCCTCTGGGGGGAGTCAGCATGCTTTCCACCCCTGGCGGGGTTTTCGAAGACCGCCACGCTGATCAGATATTATTTAATACGATCAAGGAAGAACTTCGAGATAGCGGGATCAAGACCGTGGAAGATCAACGAGATATCAACGATCCGGGGTTTGCAAAAGATATCGCGAACGCTCTCATATCATTGCTGCAACTGAATTGAGATAATCTCTTACTTTGGCTCAAATTTTTAAGACGTTTTACTCGAATTGGTGAAACAAATGACCTTCGACTGTCCACTCCATAAGAACATGATCTCGATTAATGGCGTACTACACCTGCCTTCTAGATCTTATGTATGAATCTACAGTCTAAAGGTAATTCAACCGCAAAAGCTTCTTTGAATAAGACCCGAAATATGAAGTCAAACCTTTCCGGATTTTACACACCCATATATCTATTCAATATGTTCTACTTCAATTGTACGGTGTTTGGCAAGTCATGAGATCACCGTCAAGTGGCTATCTTTTTCGGAGATATGATCCACCCTATAACCCATCTGGACCCGAGTCAACTGAGGTACTGATGTGGCTCCATGAAGTGAAACGGCAAGAAAATGTTGAGTGAACGAATCAGAGATAGAAGGGCAGAAGATGGATCCGTGGGGGTCCGACCCAAGCTGCGGAAGATTGACGACGGGATGACATTTCGTCAGCATTTGCTTCTCCTTCGAAAGGCGGGGCAGAGCCCCTCTACGTGCTTCATTTCTGAGACATTTTGATCGAGGAAATGTTCTACCGCTCTTCGTAAGCAGGCGGCGCCCGACCTAAGCCCAAGCTAAGCCTAATGATGGGTGCCATCTTGGCAAAGTAGGCGCTCATTTGTCACCGTCGCGGCCGGTCTCGCTGGGGGCGAAGTGCGGCTGGGATAGCCACTGGCAAATTCCGTGTTCAAGGTTGGTCGACATATCAGAAATCCGAGGGAATTGTCAAACCAGGGGCTGTTGACAAGGCTGCCGCGTGTCGGAACACCATGTAATAATAAGTAAGCCTCCTCACACCGTCCGTCCACGCCGCTCTAACCGGGGCTGGAGGTGGCGCCTTTAGAATTCAGTGGTCGGAAGCCCGTCCTGAAGTTTCTTCTCTGGTTCGGTCCTACTGAAGAAGCCCAGAGGTTTCCAGACGCTGGATGAAGGCCCGTGGATGAAGAGGCAGAGTGTTGTTCCAGCTGTCTCGAGCGGCGGCGATAAGGTATAAGAGATTTCACTCCCTGTCGAGACACGTCTCCCCACCGCAACGTCATTCCCTCTCTATTCCCTCAGGACTGACAGCGGCTAGCGCTGGAAATGACTCGGGTTTGAACCGCTGGGTGGAAAAGACCCCTGATTCTGGGGCCGATTCGGCTGCAGACCCTCTCGTGGCACCGTCCGTGTAATGTGGTAGGCTACCAGCGAAATTACCTACGTAATCTTGCGTGAAGGATGGGCTGGGCATGCAATTAAACCCTTGCCTTAGTGCAACCCTACCATCTGACCAAAAGTGCAGCCTCCGCCGCCATCCCAAGCCGCCTCGCCTCTGTGCATTTCCACGCAAAGACAGATGTTCAACCTTCTCTGAGCTGTGAGCGCCGCCGCCGATGCGTCGCTGAGTGCTCGCCATGTTGCCGGCCACCCTACTGCCGCTGCTGCTCGTCCCCTCGGCGCGGGCATGGACCGTCCCGGCCTACATGGACCTCGCCAGTCCGCCGCGCTGGACGACGGACATCGGCGATCAGTACCTGGTCAAGAATGGCGAGTTCCAGAAGGGGTTCGTCAACGCGGAGGCGTCCTGCATGCATAAGCCGGTCCCGACTAATGTGACGCGCTCCTACTTCCCCATCACCGGGGGCTCGATCCGCTTCGACTTTGTCAACTTGACTACCGTTTCGACCGGGGATGCTTTTCTCATCGACATGTACTTCAACGACGACCCGTGGGGGGAGAATCCGGACTTCAAGTCGGGCTCGTTGAAGCGGATGCAGTGGTGGAGGGGCTTTGGCAACGGCATGAGCTGCCATGTCCCAGTGGATATGACTGAGCGATTGACGGATCCTACGAATCAGACGGCAATTGCGAGTTTAGAGGGGCTCAACGTGACCTTTGCCCTTCAGATCCAGGACTATAGAAACAACAGCGGCGTATTCGAGCAGGTCGATCAAGTAAGTACTGGTCCGCTTGGGCAAGGACACTCTTCGTGATGAACTTAAGTACTGACCAGCGGTAGTGCGCATACGTGACGTTGACATCAAATACGACGTTGATACCAAACGACACCCTCTCATCGAGGGAATTAACTGAAGAGGAGATGTGTGGCAGAGTGAACCTAGACAAGCTGGGAACCACAACCACTGTAGCGGCTACTCCCTCCGCCACCTCCAAGACTGAGTCCAAAGCGGCCAGACAACTTCCCATATCACTTACTGCATTGTGTGGATTATCGACAATTCTTGTATATCTAACGTTTTGAATGAGTCACGAAGGGCGTCATTTGTTCATATGAGGGAAATAGCATTGCATAACTTGTTAGTTCGACATTTTTGGATTGGAAAGGATTCCAAAGGGAAAATACCATAGACCAGCAGAAGAAACACTTCTGACAGACGGTCTGATCGTTCTGGAGGAGCATAGCATGGAGAAACAATCCATGCCCTGAATATCTCAGGTTGTATAGACATGGTGGATGACGGAGTTAAATAGAGTATCATAGTATCAAGTCACATAGACACAGGCGTCTGTCCTAGTATATAGAATAGCAGTACATTCATCGATATATATTGAGTCGGGTTCCACCCGTGCGGTAGTTTAGCCTCGCGGGGATCGACATTTAGACAGATTGTTGGTGCTAGTTGCAGTTCAGAAGTGGAATTAGCCCGCACCTTTAAACGATTCTTGATTCTTCCTTCCTTCTAGCTAGATGGCTGACATTTTTCTGATCGTCCTCCGCCTTTCAATAGTTGCATAGGCCGTTTTCACGTAAAAACATGGATTCGCATGTTACGTTACATACTGGTTGACAAGCATACACATACATTCTCTCTTGGTGTTTTGTGACTGGCTGCTCCAACTCCGTATTCCCAATTCGGACGGGCTATGATAATGATAAGCAGATCTCTTCTTTATATTAGAAGGGAAGGAGTAGATCTTGACTCCTTTTGTGACTTCACATTGGGGATACCAGACTGAAATAGCTCTAAACTTGCCGACATCCCGATCCCAAATATTTAGCTGAGTCATTTTTGCATCTGTTTTGTCGCTAATTTTCCACCTATTGTTTTTTAGTGTCCCTGAAGTGGTTTTTAGGACCAAGAGGAGAGAGAGTTTGGAAAATTTTAAAGGAGTTAAATTCCGAAACTCCGGTTTCTGTTACTCACAGGATTAGAACGAGTGGAGAACTGAATCTGCTGCCCCTGCCACGGAACCCACGCTTGCAGTGACTGTTGCTGCTGTGGCGATATCAGATCTCTTCCTCATTGCTTGCTTCTCCAATAAGTACTCAGTTTTGTCTAGTGATCAAATTTTTGGCTTGTTGCAAACACAATTGGGTATACTAGCTTGTGATTTATTAGATGCTTCCTTCTATATGCAAAAGTAACCACCAAAAGCAAGGCAAAAGATCTGAATACTTGAAAGAAGTAGACACTCATTTTGGAGGTATTTGGCAGACCTCAGTTTGTGTTGATGGCTTCGCGAATCAATGCTGGTTCCTTTAAAGAGTTCAGGGACCGCACAAATACACCCCTTTCTCCCCGGCCCGAATATAATCTCTGGGGGATCCCTCCAAGGTACAATTCTCCACCGACTTGTTTGTAGCAGACTACAAGACTAACGAAGTAGATTGCCAGGACCTCGGAATGGTGCCTCCACTGTCCTGTAGTGAGGCTAAAGATGCCCCCACTGACATGACTCGCTCGGTGTGTTTGAGGAATCACCTCCAGCCAATGGTGTGAGCTTGCGAGTGGTGTCGTGTGCCCTACTTGGACCGGTGGCCTCGGCTCGTGGCCGGCTTTTCGCCAGCCGCCACCCCCCTATCATGAGTTTACCAGTGACAACCACGCAGTCAGTGATTGCCAATCGCAATAAGATCTTCCAGCTTGGAGGCCAAAAATCCCCGCAAGAGCTTCCTAGTTTGAAGACATGATCCAAAACGTGGCGTGCTCGGCCCTCGTTCAGCCAGCCGTCCTATCAGGCCCGCCAACACGTGGTAAAACGTGGTGTGATGGATCATTAGAGTTGGTGGAGGTAGAATGCGTGAAGTGCCGGGGACTGGGCATTTGAGACCCGCTGGATCTCTACCTAGATGCATTCCCGGAGTTGAGATTACGGGTGCACGCAGTATTATTGAAGCTGTAAGCTTAGGGCGGACAACTTCATCTCGCCAAAGGTCCCAGCCCAGACATCAAGATGCGACCCAATCATCTGGATTGAAACCACTGCTCGGTAAAATAACCCTTATTTCTTTACGGTTTCCAATCTCGCTGGCGATCTGGAGATTCGATCGGCAGCCGGGGTGGCATTAGCATCCCGGTCTTTTATCCCCATCAAGACAGATCTAGATCCGTATTGGAATCGCGAAGAGCCCATCGCCCAAAACGACGCTCCGTAACTCCTTGATCTACAAGCGAGAAGCATCTTGGCAGCATAATCTCCACACGAGTTCGTCCCTGAAAGATTGAACCTGGATCTTGAACCAAACCAAGTGGAGGGAGTCGTGAAACCACGCCGGAACACTAGGCCATTTGAGAGCCTAGACGACGAATTTCTCTAGCTACCTACCACTAGCACCATCTCCTTGAGATGCCCTCCCGGAGCTTTGCCCGTCCTGGTCAATGGATCGCAGTTTTCACGGCAGTAATTGCGGTAGTGGCCAAACGAGCGCAGCCACTGAATGTCATTCTCGCTCCGCTTGCTCCAACTAGGACCATCTGCCTCGGTTTCATTCTCACGCCCTCATAAGGCGGGCCTGCCTCCCTTGTATTCGTGGCTCTGCTTCTTGATAATCCGTCTATTTTGCTTTCCTCCACATATATATATATATCATATTTGATTTTGCGAGCTGTCTCATTCTTTCACAAATCAAAAACGTGACCCCAGCTCAGCTGCATCATCATGGCCCCCGAAAGCCGCGGAGATCAGATTACGGGTGTTGCCATTTTCTTTCTATCTCTTACGACTTTTGCTTCTATACTTCGCGTGTACTGCCGAGGATGGGTCATAAAAGCCTTTTCTGTAGACGACTGGCTTGCAGTCGCTGCCCAAGTCCGCCTCCCCCTGCCTCAACACTCTATATCAACTTCCATTAACAGCGAACGTTTAGATTCTCTTCATAATCTTCAGCGTATATGAAATTACCGGTGTCCACTATGGCACCGGCCAGCACAACTCAAATCTCTCCACTGAAGACTTCTCTAAAGCGATGCAGGTGAGGACCGGCAGGCATCTGACGCATCGTACATGAACTAACATACTGGCACATAGATGTGGTGGACCTGCGAGCCGCTTTACGTATTGACCAACATGTTCATCAAAGCCAGCATCGCCATCTTTCTATTACGGATATGTGTTGAGCGGGTACATGTCATCGCCATTTGGATCGTGACGGGAATTACAGAAGTCTACAGTTTGTTCTTCTTCTTGCTATTTATTCTGCAGTGCCGACCTACCTCGTTATTCTGGCTTCGATACACTGCCGACCCTCCTGCGGGGAGCTGCTTGGACGCCATGATCGTTCCCGGCGCGTTCTACGGATACTCTATAATCAGCTGTATCACAGATTGGACCCTGAGCATTCTCCCCGTGTTCATGGTATGGAATCTCCAAATGAACACTAGAGTCAAGATCTCTGTCATTATGATTTTGGCAGCTGGTGCCATGTGAGAACTCCTACAACTCCCTTTTTATCTCGCATTCTCTTGAATGAGATGGTCTACCTTTTCAAGTACACCACGGGCTAACTTGCGTAAACAGTGCATCGAGTGCTACTATTGTCCGGCTTCCCTATCTCCATACACTGACCGATATCGACGACTTCCTCTACTCCACCTCGGACGTCGCCATCTGGTCAACCGTCGAAACGGGCCTCGGCATTAGTGCAGCAGGTTTTGCCACTCTCCGACCACTGCTTCGCGTCTTCTTGGGCGGGGGATCCTCTGCCCAGGCAGGCGACACGTCCGGCCGACAGTGGCATCGGACCGGCAGCGGCAAAAACGCAACCACCGACATATTTGAGTTGGGAGATCGCTCCGACAAGCGCATGGGAAACACGACGGTCATAGAGCACGACGACGGCGAGGACACCAATGACAGTAAACTCGATCTTGAGGGCCAAAAGGCGAAGGACAATCGATCCGAGATTTCAGATGTGCGTGTGGACGACTGGAACAGCAGCCAGTCTGATCTTGCCGCAACTAGGCCTCCACCATCAGCGAATCCGTGGAGTATCACAGTTAAGAAGTCGGTAGTTCAGACGAGGGACGGGTGAGAACTGCCGGAAACGAGTATATATACGAGACGGATGAGAACTACCGGCCGGAAGGGCACCAAGTCAAAGCCGGATGTAACCCACCGGAAGCAGCCGAAGCAGATCGCGGATGAGGGCCCTCGGGAGGGCTTGATGGATGAAACGGATGAAATCTGTCAACGAAGTATATGGAATAACAGCACTTATACATAATAATAATACCATGGAGTAGCATACTGAAATAAACCAGTAAACATGCTTGGAATGCTCATCTTGACCAGTGTCCATGATCTCACCGTCTTGTTGCCTCGTCCACTCTTCCAGGTACGCCCGGTCCCTTCCATGAATATCTCCACTCGGCAAAAGGTGGGATGCCCGATAAAACGGTGGATGGTTTGTCATACTGCCCATAGCTGGCGCCGCCTAAAACGCATGATGGGCAGAGCATGTGGCCGGGTCGCCGTGGATCCCAGCCCCGTTTATTCAAGAAAAGACGGGTGCTCCAGCGGCACTGTGGAGCCGTGGTCTGACTGGTATTCTATGCGAGAAGGCTAATGCTGGAAACTCAGACTGCACGTAACTGAGTACACTTCCGTATTCCCGGCATACGGGAGATATCCGTCCTGTCGGGAAGTATAAATAGCGGTTGCCTTCTTGAAGATGAAGGGAGGGCTGGCTATGTATTCAACATTGTATATTCTTGATATATTATCACCTTATTACGTCTCTTTGTATTATACTATATTACACTCACAATGACCAAGTTTGTCCTCACAGGCATTGACGGAAATCTGGGCAGTGTTGCAGCCCAGTATGCTGTGGAGGTCCTCAAGCCCGGGGATGAGCTCGTGCTCACATCCTATAAGCTATCCATCCTAGATCCTAAGACCGTTGAGGAATGGCGAGCAAAGGGCATCAAGGTCCTCGAGGCTAGCTATGACGACCTCGAAAGCCTCAAGGTAGCATTCGACGGCGCGGAAGCAGTAGCTTTCATCTCCACCTGGTTGTTTGGCGAAGGCCGCCGTCAACAAGCCCGGAACATTGTTAATGTGGCCAAGGAGATGGGCGTGAAACGGGTCTGCTACACCTCCTTTGTTGGAGCAGGCATCCAGGCCGAGAAAGAGGAGGATATTCCCTTTCTGCCCCGTGACCACCATGCTATCGAGCAAATCATATACGCCTCTGGTCTGGACTACAATATCCAGAGAAACTACCTCTACGCCGATAACATCCCCACACTGTTTGCTCCCTCTTGGAAGTTCAGCGGTGACCGGTGGCTCACAAACACCCACGGCGTTGCCGGCGCCTACGTTGCCCGAGAGGACTGCAGCCGCGTGTTCGCCGCTCTACTCCTCGGAAAGGGCGAGCCTAACAAGGTATACGACGTGACTGGTCCCGAGGCCGTGACGAACGAGACCGTCTTCAACTGGATCTGCTCCCAGACCGGCTACAAGGCTACTTTTGTCGACTTGCCGGATGAGGAGCTGAAGCAGTGGTGGCATGAGAAAGGTCTGCCGGATGATTTCACGGGCGACTTCTCCAAGCTTCCTATGAAGCTCTGCATGGGAGACTTATTGTGCTGTGGTGAGATGGTGGCTCGTGGGTTTATGAGCGAGACGAGCGATACGGTTGAGAAGTTGACAGGTCGAAAGCCTGTGCCGTTTCAGGAGGCTTTGCTCAAGTATAAGGGCCTTTTCCCTCAACCGTAATATCATGCAATGATAAATGTATTATTATGAATGACAATTGTAACCTTCTATTTCCTATCCGCAATGAGATATTGTAGTAGTTCCTTCTTGGATCGAGTTAGATGATCATGCTTGCATGCTATGGGCGTCTATACAAAATAGGCCCCATCATTCTACATTTATACGATCTAGAGTGTCTAAACCAGCAGTTTACTCGTCAGCGTGAACGCTCTGGGCACCGGCATCAATCTTGGCCCAAGCATCCACCAACCAATCCTCAGGCCGAGAAAGCTCAATATCCGGGAGTAACTCGTTCCATGCATTATTAGGAGCCTTCCAACAACCATTGTGGATACCCGATAAAATGCCCGTAAGGAGAGCTCCGGCAGCACTCTCACGCTGCTCCACAGGGATAGCTGGATGGGTAACTTTGGGAAGCCAAGAGGCCTTGACGACCCCGGCTTTAAGGTCATCCAGATTGAGTTTTTCAACTTCGAAAGGACCACCTAGATGGAATATCGGTTAGCCAAGATAGACGCGAATAGGATGAGAACTGACGTACGAATTTTCTCCCCAAGGGCTATGAGCTGGGAAATGGTGATGTTGGAGCCAACAATGCCACCAAAGACTGGCCATTCTCCTTCATAGTCAATAGCCCGCGCAACCACTTTGGCCATATCTTGGGTAGTTGTGAGGGTAATCGTGTCATCTTCGTGGCCCTCCAGAGTTAGTATCCGACGGCGATAGAAGTCGATTGGCATTTCGAAAAGCTCGACGTGCTTGGAGGATGGGAAAGGGAAAGTGAGATAATTGGTGAAAAGTCCTGGAATGAATAGCGAATACTCAATGACCTGCCGAAGAGGGCGTGCGATCATGTCAGTGAAAACCCGAAACACATAAGGATAACTGCTGACCAACCTTCTTATCTTTGTTGAGTTCGGCAAGGTAGTTCCTAGTATCGTTTTTGAAAGAGTACCAATGCATGCCTTCAAAGTGAGACCTGACCAGCAAAGGTATGAGCGAAGGGCACATGGCAATAATGCCAACGAGCACAATACTTACGTAGCCCACTCACTGGGAGCAAAGCGCCTTACGCCGGCTTTGATAGAAGCATCGATTAGGATTCGCTGAATCGAGGGCTTGGCGGAACCTGGGTTGTAGGGCTCAGCGATGAAGGATAGTACAGTGTCTATTCCATCCAAGGCCCGTGTCAACTCATCAATGTTGTCATATGACACTTGGGCCCATTTGACTCCAGGCGCGATTGGAGTTGCTGGGGCCTCCTGAAAAATCATGTCAGAAGATGGGATATGGGGATGAAGCTGGAAGAGAGGTTGACGGACTTTTCGAGACAGAATTAGGATGTCATGCTTTTTTATAGCAAGCAAAGCGTCGATGATCTCTCGACCAACATCTAAATTTGTTAATAAAAGATGAGAATAGCAAGGGGATAGATCCACTATATCTGATAAAACATACTGCCTGCCCCGCCAGCAATTGCGATGCGAACCATGATGATTGACTTCGAGTATTGTGGAAGGTAGATTCGATGAAAGGTTATCTAATGAACTCGAGACGTAGATCAAATCAATCGAAGGCGGAGATGGTGATTGATTGTTGATAGCTTCCTTCACAATGGATCCTACAGTTTGGCCATTGACCTTATTTATACTCTAATTATACATGATGGATTACATGGATTTAAGTCCCGGTGTTAGGAATCCTACTTTCGTCTTGAAGAGAATAATAAGGGCTTCCACCGATCAGCCGGGTGTATAGGGAAGAATATTCTGGTTGTTCCAATACCCATGAGTGGTGGCTGAGACAATTAGTAATACCTCCGTCTCACCGGCGGAGGAAATGTCCAACCTCCACATCCACACACACAACCACACACACAGAACTTGGAATCGGAGCCGAGACTGCGGGGGTCTCTTCGCAATTAATCTTGGCAATGGAACAGGCAGCTTCGTTGAACCCAGACAGCTCATTGGCTCCGGTACCGAAGCGCCGGAAGCTCCGCAAGGGCACCTCGAGCTGTTGGGAGTGCAAACGCCGTAAGGCTCGGTGCTCCTTTTCCACAGCCGATGGAGCAGTAGACGGCGTCTGTCATGGATGCAAGCTGCGTGGCTCACCCTGCATTCCCCAGGATCTTCCAGACCAACCGGCGCCGGGTGGGAGCAATCGCCATCTTGTGGACAGACTGGCCCAAGTCGAAGCCCTGGTTGGTCGTCTTGTCCAGGCCGCTGACCAGAACCAACATGGAGATTCATCACCATCCAAGAGGCCGCATGAAACCCCTCTACCTGCGGTTATCGGCGACAATATCCCATCATTCTTGAGCGATTATCCTTTTCTGTTTTCGTCTGACTATTCTGGGATAGAAACTTCATTTGTATGTCTTGTGGCTCCGAAGCATCGAGTATTTTGTGAAATGCGTGTATCAAAATGCAGCTAACATCCGGAGTTTTTAGAACACTTCTAGGGAAGGGCAAAGCCATGATCATATAGCAAGGCCAGGAATTACTCAAACAACTATAGCAGTATCAGCCAAAGAAGACGTCCCTTCGACGGAAAATTCTGTGACTTCACCAGGAAAATATGATTCCGTGTGCCGGGAGCTTCTCTCTGTATGGCCAGCGGCACGAGACATGGAAATCATCCTGGGCGCCCCAGTCCACACTTCTGCCATGATGCGTGGTGCAAGCCTCACCCGGCCTGTCAATCTCCCCGAGATGGAACTGCCGTCACCAGAGACCTTGCTTGAGCTCCCGTCGCCTTCGTCTCATCCGGTGTTGATCGCCCGGAAACTCCTCCTCCTAGCCACGTTCCTTCAAGGCATACCGCCAGCATCCCGGGGGGATCTTGAAAATCTCACGGTCAGCCGCCAGGACCTCATGGCCGGTGCCGTTTCCAAGGCCCACCACCTCGTAACCTCCAACGACGAGCTGGTCGCATCGATAGAGGGCATCGAATGTCTCATGCTCGAGGGCCTCTACGAATCCTATTCTGGCAGCCTCCGACCATCATGGCTTGCGACACGCCGTGCTGTGACCATTGCCCAGATGATGGGCCTTCACCGAGGTGTCAGACCGATGTCCTTGACGAGGGCGACCTTCAAGCCTGATCACGTCTGGTTCCGGCTGGTTCAGCTGGACCGCTACCTCTCCATCATGCTCGGGTTACCGCCCATATCTGTTGACGACAGTTTCGCCAAGCCAGACATTTTGAACACTTGCACACCCGAGGAGCGAATGCAGCGTCTAAATTGCGCTGCAGCAGGACACCTCCTACGCCGCGCGCCCACAGATGCGGTAGACCCAGTCAAGACGAAGGAGATTGATAAAATGCTCCAAGATTCGTCGGCATCATTGCCGCCTCAATGGTGGCTCACGCCTACATTGTCCTCATGCCACGGCCAGATGGACACGATCCGCGATACCCTGCGCTTCAACGGCCACTTCATGCACTATCATATGCTCGTTCACTTGCACCTCCCGTACCTCTTGCCCTTGGAAAACTCACGCGACTACGAGTACAGTCGCATGGCAGCCATTTCGGCTAGCCGCGAGATCCTGTCCAGAATTGCCAGCTTTCGCACTTTTCGACCGACTGGGTACTACTGCCGCGGCGTGGATCTTCTCGCCTTTCTTGCCTGCACGGCACTTGGGCTTGCTCACATATGTGATCATAGCCGGAGGAGGACTGGTGATGGGGAGTTCCCTTTCCTCGTTCACCAGCGATTGAGTGATCGCGGTTTGCTAGAACACACAATGCAATACATGTCAGACATGGCACGCGTGAATGATGATGCAATTGGATCAATGGTGGCCACCTTGCTCGAGCATCTCCTAGCCATCGAGGAGGACGCAGCAGCCGGATCGAGCTATACGGTAACTTCGTGCATGGAATCTGATATAGAGAGCGAGGAAGAGACCGGTGGTAGTCATTTTAAACTGAGTGCAGATGGTTCCGTACTAACCATTCATCTTCCCCATATCTGGGTCGTGAAGATCGAGCGCGGCCCTGGCCAAAGCGGACGGCTCCCAACCAAAGCAAGTCGTAATTCCAACTCGACATCTGAGCCCGCGGAATCCACGACTCAATGTCGACCAGTCTCAAATCAAGCCCGGGAAGCGCAGAAATCCCAAATATTTGACAGCCCCATCTTGCAAAACCCGTCTTTGGCGCAGCTCATGCCCTTTGTCACGCGTGGTCATCTTGCAATGGCATCTCAGGTCACGGAAAATGGAAGCTTGGACTTTCTATTGCCGATCCAGGAGCTGAATGAGGACGAAAATGTGGCTGAAGATATTGACATATCGTTCTTTAATAGCTTGATTCAGGAAATGCCAGTCTAGAATGTAGAAGGCTATGATGCATCACGAGCTCAAATAAGAGCGCTCTCCCCTTGAAACGGTATCTGTGATGTTTCCTAGTTTCAACTAGATTGTAGAAACTAGTTTGACTGAGCTCTTGTTACTTGAACGAAATGCTAGAGGAACTATTTCATGGCGCTCTCATAGACGAGGTAAATCAGCCCATTCATCGAGGGCTTGTGATTTCCACCGCCTCCATGGACGTCCGTTATGTATGCCGAATCAAATTTAAGGATCGATATCAATTCGACGAAGAGCTTCAAACAGCCGCTGACATGTCTGTGTCGGCCGACAAAGACGCAAGAATTCCGTCCGGTCTGATCCCTCTAGTTGCGGATAACTGACTTTATTGAGGATGGTTCGGAAGACGAGGTCTAAAGTATGACGGTGACAACTTGCATGTGCTAGTCCTCGCCATACTACATGTAGGCAAATATTACGCTAATAATGTCATGTTTCTCTGTGCAATGGGAATATATGTTGATTGAAAAATGTTGAATTTCCAGCAAAGCAGCTGAGGGCATCGCGTGATCGTGTGTATACGAGGATAAAAGACGCTATATCTTTTGCGCCGCCTCTGCAATAAATTCCGTGGCTCGCCTGCAACAAATTCTCATATTGAGCTGGTGCAATGTTTGTGAACCGTGTCTCTGAAATGCACATGATTGGGGAGCTTACAACAAATAACAGTCGGCATGAGTTGTATTCATCAATTAAAAAATAAGCTGGCCACTTCAGAAGGGAGCCAAGGCAATTTAAGCGAACACGAGATATTGCAGACTAGCCAATCCCGAATTTCCTGAACGGGTTCGCTCGCGCTGACAAAATAATGACTGACTGTTATGAGTCTTAACACAAGCCGCCAACGTTTCCGCCGTTTCTCATCCTGTATTTATCCCTCGCGGCTGCATCACAACCTGAACCCAGCCAAAGCTCTCGAGAGCGCCCTTCCTTTACTCACTCACTCCTTCATTCACTCACTCGCAATGGCTCTCTCCCCCCTCCAGCGCAAAATCACCCGCCACGCCCTCGCGGCAGTCGCCGTCCTCTGCCTCGTCTTCGCCTCGGCCTCCCTCCTCCTCACCCTCGAGGCCGGCACCCTCCAGCTCGACGGCGACTACCCAACCGGCCCCGCGCGCCTCATCCTCTCCCGCCTCGCCCTCGTCCGCTTCAAGGGCATCATCGCCGGCGGCAACGGTGACGACGACCCCTCCGCCAGCTACCAGGTCACCCTCCTCTGGTTCCTCAACGCCTTCGGCTGGGAGTGGCCCTCGGCGTCGTGGGACCTCTCCTGCGGCATCGTCCACAACATCAACGGCCTCCTCCCCGGCGCCGCCCTCACCCTCCCCGAGGACCTGGGCCAGACAGCAGCGAGGATGCAGCTGCCCCAGAGCGACTGGCAGTGCCTCAGCAACCGCGCAAAGGGCAACGGCATCTGCCACAACCCCTTCCTCGCCGCCTGGGACGCCGAGAACCTGCCCCCCGTCTCATTCTCCACCGCGCCCGCCCTCTGGCTCTTCTACTTCACGGGCGTCGTCCTCCTCGCCATCCTCCTCCAGGAGATCGGCATCCGCTGGCTCCCCGCCATGACCAGGTGCTACTGCCCCAGTTTCATGAGCAGGAACGGCCTGTGCCCGTGCCTCAAGAGCTACGAGAAGTTGACCCCGGACGTCCGCACCCGTATGCGCACGTGGTATCTGGTCCTCTTGGCCATCAGCTACACCGCAGCCTCGACTCTCCTGACGCTTAAAGGTCTAGCGCTTGTTCAGTTCCTCAAGGGGCTGGACTCCAAGATCGGAGGGATGGATCCTCAGCTGGGGACGACGTATGTCAAGCTGAGCGCCTTCACATTAATTGCCATTCTACTGTCGGTGCTGTGCCTGAGAGTGAGGCAGTACTTGGAGCAGAACAAGTCGTGGATGGAACAGCAGGGTGTTGATGCCACTACTCTAACCGAGCCTGGGGCCAAACCAACTGATGAAGAAGCAACGCAAGACTTGCTGATTTAAGAGTAGCTTTTTATGTCATTTCATTTTCATTTCCAATTGAAGACTGTGTAGACAAGTTCAAATTAACTGATGTATTCACTTCGCGATCGTTGAATAGTGGGACAAGATGAATATATAGGTGATGAGAGTGATGTATTGTTTGTCTAGCCTGCTATAGGAATGAGTTTCAACACTGGAGTCGCCACAGGAGCAAGTATACTAGGTCAGGAGACGGGCATGGGGCAACATGTATTCCTTTATACGTGAGTATTCAGGATCAGAGTGCATTGCACCAACTGCTCGATTTGGGAGCATTCTTGCTGTCGCCACCGTCACTGCCACCAACGCCGACCTCCAACCAAGCGTTTCTCACTTTATCGGCAGCAGGCTTACCGAACGCCTCCTCTGCTACCTCGATGGTGACAGTAGCAAACTGCTTGAAACTGCATTTGGGTGGAATCTTGCCACTGGTCATGGTCTTCCACCAGATCTGCCCAGCTTTCTCCCAGGAATACCCGTCAAACGCAACCGAGGCGAGATAAAAGGCTTTGTTCGGAATCCCAGAATAGATGTGGACGCCGCCATTGTCCTCGTACATGGTCTTGTACTGATCCATGTGGTCTACCTGAGGGTCTTTGCCCTACAGTTGGTACATCGTAAGTACACTACCATTGTTACATGCATTTCGTCATAGGGCGCTGGTTCAAGACATACAAGTTTTGGGTCGTCATAGGCGCTTCCAGGCGCCTTCATGCTTCGCAGAGCTGTACCCTTGACGCCTGGCAAGATGCAGTCCTCGCCAATGAGCCAGTCTGCGTTCTTGGCGTTTTCGTTTTGGACCTGTTGTTTGACCATGATTCCTACGACATCGGAGATGTGCTCATTCAGAGCGCCCGGCATGCCAAAGTAGTCAAGAGGGCTCGTGTGTTCCGTGACTGCGTGGGTGAGTTCGTGCCCAATGACGTCGATGCATGAAGTGAAGTTGTTTAAAAACTCTCCACCATCACCGAAGACCATTTGTACCTTCTCTGGATCCCAGACTTGACCGCGACATTAGTGACTTGAAGATGATTTGGAAGGCACGGCAGCCCAGGAAGCTTTGGACCTACAGGCGTTTTCATAATTTTCACCGAAATGAACGGTGCTAATGACATCCATGTTCTTGTTGTCAATGGAATGCCAGTTGAAGTGCTCCTTGTAAAAATCGAAGACCACTCCAATGTTGCCGAATACTTGGTTTACTGCTTTATCCTTGACATCGGGCTCGCCCTCGGATCGGATAAGTTGTCCAGGAAGCTCGTTCTCGTCAAAGTTGTGCTTGGCATCGTGGACCGCTCGGTAGTAGCTTTCTTTGGGATCTTTACCCTTGCCTTCGTCGCCGTTGGAGGCAGGTTTCTGCTCGGTTGCTGCAGCGGCCGAGGACGAGTTAGCAGGACGCTCATCATCTTCAGCAATCACGAAGGAGTTCAAACAACCTAGACCTGCTTGGGAGATCCTCACGCGGCCAAGAACTTGCTGGAGGTGCTCAAGGTCGCGGCGAGCTCGAGAACGGGTGGTTTCATCCGCCTTGTCTGAGTCGGCGACATGTCGTAGCAGCGCGTCGGGCACAATTCGACGCCGATCTGGGGCCTTGGAAGTGTAAAAGTATCCACGAGGGGTGGTGAGATGGGTGAAGAGTTCCTTTCGGGCAGTTGTAACGCGCTCTCTAGAGGCGAGTGAGTGCGCAGCGGCATGGCGAATGTGATCGGGATTGCTGGCGGAATCAGCAATGCCCCTGAGAAGATGTGGAGGGACGATGTAGCAACGGCAGCGAGACATGGTGAATATGGATGAAGTGTCGTAAAGATGTTCTAATATGGATTTCTGAGAGCGAGTGACTGATGTTTAGAGATGATATGGATCAATAGCCAGAAGAAGGGGTAAGATATGAAGTGTCGCGAGCAAAACACTCCAATGTTGAAGCGTGGTGAGAAAACAAAAACAAGAGAACCCTGGAACAACAATCATGGAGGAGACACCATACCATGAGCACTTTCCAAATCAAACCTTCCTGCGTAGTGCCAAACATGTGGACGTTACTCGTTATCTCTTTCCATATAGAAAAATATTCGCTGTTCCTTCCTGCCTGCTGATATTCAACTTCATCAACAATGCGTCATTTTCATGCATCCGCTGGATGGCTTCGATTGCTATTTGGTCACCAATTGACTAGGTTCTTTCTAATAGGTATATCAGATTATCGCTGTACAGTTGAAACTACACTGCATCATCCTCGGCCACAAATGTGCCGCTGGTGTATTTGTTATTCTGAACTGAAACCTGACCACTGAGGGCTGCATGGATACGCGCTCGGCTTATTTAAATGTCTGAATAGTAGAATATGAGAGGAAGGAAGAAAACTTCTGCCGTTTCAGTCAACTTTACTCATAGGAGGAGGCTAGAGAGTGCAGCCGGTACGCATTTTTGTTGATAGGTTGTTACCAGTTGACTATTGGCAAATCTTTCATAATCATATAGGAAGGAGTAAGTACTACTGCAACAATTTTTTTTTATTTAATCTCAGGCTCCATTGGTGCATTATCCTATCCATCAATGCATCATCCTACACGAGTTGTAATATTTAGTTCTCCATCCTTATAACAGGTAGGGTCCCTATTCCCGCGAACGACGAAATCATGGTGCAGCTGCCATCGACTTTAGATTAGGCAACAAGACTTGTTAAATTCGTTTGTATTTAGAGCCGCGTAAAATAAGGATTGTTTGTAGGAGTGGAAACCAAATATTCCCGACTGAAGAGGTGGGACACCCTTTGATTTCCCTGCCAAAGGTAATAATGACATTTTGGTATCGCACAATCAAATCAGAATGTCCAAAACAAAGTCACTACACTAGGCCAAAATACGAGCCCCCTATCCGTATGATTTGCTCGACTTCATTCAATGATAGATATCCGGCATTCTGGCTCGGAACCCTAACCGAAGAGCCACTTGGAATATGCATTCCTTCCAAAGCCGGATAGGAAAAAGAAATCATGCGAGATTGTTCCATTTGTTCTATTATTTTAAATTACCATGTTCAAACAACAAAGATCGCAGTTGTGCAGGGAGCTATAGGTAGCCGTGCTCTGGCGAGATCTGATGGCCATAGCGCCTATTCGGATAACTGCGTATGAGAGACAGCTCTTAGACTTGGAACGTCTGTCTCAGATAGCCAGTGCTCCGTAAAGTCGTGGAATGGGTCGATCCCCAGTCCCAGTTACGTTACAGAAGAGGCAATATCCGACCGCACACTCTCGATGACATTCAGCCCAATTTTCAGAGCCCATTCGCACTGGCAAGGAACGCCTCCCCTGCTCTGGACAGCTGTCAGTATGTCATTCTTGCCATTTTCTTGTTAGCTCGCAGACCCGCTCCAGATCAAAAAGTGCCAGCGGGGCTTTGTTCACCAGGTTGCCAGGGCCCTAGTCCCGCCTGCGATGCCCTGGTGATCTTGGGTGGCTGGCTTGTGATTATTGCTGGAACTGGGTTTCCTCATGTTTACAGACCCGACGGAGCGGCGAAGACCTCAATCGTCTGTCTGAGGGAAGGCTGTTCCAATTCCTTGGCACCTTTGCCAGCCCACATGTGTGGAGGGAGGTAGCTATAAGTATGACAATTGTGGGAGCTGACGATCAATTGACGAATTTGGTGATTACTTTCACACTCATGATCGAATTCCATGACAGGTGGAGAACAATGACACCTCGTGAGATAACCCTTGTAGCTGCGTACTACTGCCATCCTTTCCTGTACTATTGGGCCGCAACGGGAAAATACCATCATCCCCTGTCACTGTATAGAGTGTTATAGTAATAGAAAAGTTATAGAAGACAGCTGGCAACCTCTCTAATACCGATCCGATGGTTGATAACTTTGACTTTCGCTTTCTGATTATTCGTTTCCGTGGCATTGTGCTTCATTGATAACATATCCGTTGAGTGGCCCTTCCCTGTGGTTTGTGTCGAAGAGAATTCAATTTAATATTTGAGCCGATCTATCTTAATCATTTACTGCCCAGCCGCCAAGGTATAGCCACCATCAACAGCAACAGTCTGTCCATTCAGATATTGATTCATAGCAAAGAAAAGAACGGTGCTAGCCATGTCCTCATCTTTGCCCGGGCGACCGGCAGGGACCTTCTCCTTGTACTTCTCAGTAGGGATGTGGCTCTTTTGATGCTCATCACTGCCCTCAGTGGTCATCTCGCTGGGAAACACACCAGGCGCGATACTATTGACGCGGATCCTGAGCTTGTTCGCGGCAATCTCAGCAGCCAGAAGGCGGTTCAAGTGGATCGCCGCCCCCTTGGAGACGTTGTACGCAAAGTGATGCTGCGCCGACTTGATAAGTCCAGAAATGGAAGAGATGTTGATGACGGTCGAAGACCAGCCCTGGTGCTTTTCTGAGCTCTTCTCTAAGAGGGGGAGGAATGCAAGTGTGGTGAAATAGACACCAGTGACGTTAGTGTTGTAGGTGTTGTTCCAATCCTCAAAGGTGCTCTTCTCCGTATTGAACAGATCCTCCTTCATCTCAGTAGCCGACTCGCTCTCGGTTTCGAAAGAAGCGCTTGAGATACCAGCATTGTTGACAAGAATACAGAGGCAGTCCTCATGTTTGGAGAAGTCGTCATGCAGCTTACGAACTCCCTCCTTGTTGCCAACATCGGCGGGCAGTGCATGGATAGAGCCCGGGATGTCCTTATTGTAGGTAGACACAACGGTGTCAAGCTTGGACTTGGTCCGGCCCGTGATGTAGACTTTGGCACCGTTGGCAGCCAGGGCTTGAGTCGCCATGAGGCCGATGCCAGATCCGCCGCCTGTGTACATTGTTAGGCCACATGTCCATGACGGGCATCTTCTTCATGTTAAGAATATTGAAGGGATCAAAAACCCACCTGTGACGAGAGCGACCTTGCCCTTGAGGTCAAAGAGGTTGTCTCGGGCAAAGATCTTATTATCCTTCTTGTTGATGGAAGACATATTGCGCTGCTGGATTTGGACTGATAATTTCAATTGATCACTAGCAATTCGAGGTCGTTGATGAGATAGCTGGCTGGAAAATAAGCGAAGTGCGACTCGTTTATGTAGGGTCGGTTTGGTTCGGAATGCATTAAATGTGGTGCAGCGCCGCGACACAAAAGACATCACGATGATGAATCGATGATCTAATTAATCAAGGTTGCGGATAGTGACAGAAAAACGGTCAAGTAGCAGCGGATGAGGAGCCGGTCAGATGGATGGATCATAGCTGCAATTAATAGAGGGCTTTTAACCTCGCAAATGGCATGTTCTGCCTGGTTTCATCATGATGATTATTAGACTGGACCAATCATCTGAGATTTCCGGACAAAACATTCCTGCCATGACGAGTACATGATGATAATTATAAGAACAAAGGAGATGGTGAGGTCAAAGACTCTGTCAGACGGGTAAATCGCTAGTGTCTCATTAGCGGACGGCTTCATCGACGCTGAATCGGACAGCGGGGTAGATTTGGAGAGATTGGGGGCATTTAAGCTGCTCGTTCGAGTCAGTGACATGGGCCAGGGTCGGGGCTTTGTCGATAGAGAGAAGCTGGCTGGATATATTAAGACACCAGGCCACCAGGTCACCGAGGCAAGGGGATCTATCTGATGAAACGAGTGTCAAGACTGGCTGGGCTGGAGGATGCGCGGTCGGCCAAATGGCGGAAAGCCTGGTACGAGGCCTGTCGCGATCGTTCAGCTGCCAGGATCATGCAGCGACGATCTCTCCCAGCCATGCTTTTCCTCTGTTCCCGGCACTTGTTCTTATCTCAGTCTGGGGCCTATGCCTCCCAGCCTCATCAACATACTCGTTTGACGCATCCCTACCAGAGCCAAGAGGTCTAGAGTGAGATCCCAAAGCCAGCCATGACACAAGCTCAAGGCCCTCCGCTTTGTGACTTTCTTTCCCGGGATCAGGCCTGAGTCGGACTCCGCCGTGGACCAATTCCGCAGGTCTCTGTGACGTGAAATCCCGCAGACTTGGCTAAGGTGCCAGGGTATCGTGGAACCCGCGCGCAAGGGTGCTCCTGAAGGATTCAACATTTGACTAATGCAGCTATTGCAAGCAAGAGGGGAGGGATGATGAAGCAGCGCTTCTTGCTTACCGACGTCGGCTGCAACCCTCGGCACTTGGCTCAGCTGCTGTCGGTCACACATATTAGGCGCGGGGACCCTGCACACGGCTCACGATCTTGCATACTGCTTATTCCCATGCTGTTTTCCCTCCTGCACGATACCTCGTGAAGGTGTCGCACGGGCTCAAGATGAGTGATCTGGTATCGGGACTCCAGACGAACCCGGTCTTGATGGCCGGGTTCATCGTCGTCTTGGTCTTCTTCCCCTTGAGCTTCCTCGTCACCGGCATGCGGTTCTGGGCGACCAAATTGGCCAAGAGGAGTCTCGCCGCCGAGGATTGGTTCGCTCTGGGAGCGCTGATCGCCTTTATTCTCTGGGTCATCTTCCTTGCTATGAGTACGTCTTCTCGCCTGCGCCTTACTCTCACATAGACCGTCCTTCTCACAGTACAACAGTGGCCATGAACGTGAAACCAGACCCTACATACGAAGATAATGCTGCATCTAACAGGGTACGTTGCTGTTCGGGTTGGGTATCGCCATGATCACATCTGACCTGCGCATGCAGATGCTTTGGGCCTCGACTCTCACGTTCCCCATCAATCAATTGTGCTCCAAACTGAGCATTCTCCTCCTCTACCAACGTATTTTCGGCATCAATCCGACATACTCTCTGTGGATCAAGATCATCGCTGTCATTCAAATCCTGCACACGATCGAGAATATTTTCGTCGACATCTTCACCTGCGTCCCCGTCCAAAAGTTCTGGCGGCCCGATCTCGAAGGCCGATGCATAGAATACGTTCCCTTCCTGGCCGTCAACGAATCTGTCAACTCTCTCATCGATTTCGTCATGGCAATCCAGGCTGTCGTTATGCTGCGCAGCCTTAAAACAGCTCGTAGAACCAAGTGGCAACTATCCGTAATCTTTGCGATTGGAGGCTTGTAAGTTACCCCCTTGGGTCACGATCCGATGCTGCCTGAAGTCGCATTTAAGCTGATATCTCTCAACCAGGGCGGGTGTGATTGGGTTCGTCAAGATCGGCGTTTCTGTCGCGAATGGCGTCGCCGTCGGTACGTGCAATGTTTATCCTTGACTACACTACAAAGATACACAGATCTAACTAAATTGCCAGAAAATCAATATCTCATGGGCGTGTGGGCGACAGTCCAGATGGCATTGTCCATTTTCTGCTGCTGCGTCGTCACCTTCAGGCCAATCACGCTCAAATTCGGCCAGATGACCCGGAAGCTCACCTCCAAAGCAACCTCCACCAATCTCACTACCAAGAAGAGCATGGGAACAGGTCAATTATCGACAAGCGCAACGCGGACCAATCAGTCAGACGCATGGATCAACTTGGAGAGCGGCCGAGGGGGAGCTACGCACCATCCCCCCTACTACAACCGCGAGGACAATTCGGACGACTTCCCCCACCACATTAAGAATTATCAATTTGGGTGGCCTAAACCAGAAAATGGTAGATGATAGAGGAAATGGCGCAGCGCATAAACAGGGCGTTTGCTTTGGCGTTACTCTTCTTGTTTGATATGATACCCATGATGCGAATAGAGATGCAAATAGAAACACAAACTCGGCACATATTCTAATACAAAATGTCAAAATGCTCTGTATGATCTCTCAAGTGCTTTTGCCAATCAATTTGACCCATCCTACAACAAGATACTACAAAGAATAGTGAATCAATGCCAAAATTTGAAGCTATATCACAAATAAAATCCCAACGACCTGAAAGAAATTGTCAGGTACATCAAAATAAATTACACTAAGGTGCTATAAATGATTTTAACATAAAACATTATATATTACTGCTTGTTTGTCGCGACATCCTCAAAGTAGGCCGCGCACAAAGCAATGTCCATTGTCGTCGTTTGTCTGCGCTCTTCACCTTGTTCTCGCTTCATTGTCCACGCTTGATGTATTTAGAACTGCTATTTCGTCCTTTCTAACAATGACCATCCAGAGCGCAAAGAAATCCTCTCTGAATGAATCCCACAATGGGATCATGTACAAATACGTGCCATGTCATCCCAATTTAGATCATGTACTTCTCAAAACATTGGCCTTGATGCTATTCAAACTCGCTCCCCGATGATATTCAATCTTTTCAGCAAGTTAACAGCATTTCTATCAAGCGGCGAGGTTGACCCTCTCAATATCACTGAGAATATGAACTCCCTGCCATCGTCTCTCGATTCCACACCCTTGGCGTCCCATCAGCAAGTTCCAGGCCAGGGGCAGACTCCCCCGGCCGCACATCCAGAAGGGGACAATGCACAAGAAGCAGCTCTACCGGAGCCACGTATATCAATCAAGGGGACCGTTCAACTCCAGGGAAGGCATCCAAACCATCTCTTCCCTGGAGAAATCGTGCGACCTGGAAGGAGTGGAGCTCCAGATAATGCGCTCTTTGTTGCCCGAAAGCGACCGTTAGACCATGAGAATGAGACAATGAGGCGACTAAAGACGGGTGAGCAGATAGAGGAATTTGGGGAACCTCTGTGTGAAGAACCCCTCTCTGAAGAGTCTAGAGAACGGTTAGAGCAGACATACGGACGGCTCGAAAAGTTGCAGATACAATACATGTCTCCCGACGAGCTGCAGAACAGCGAATGGCACGACGACGAAGCATGGTTGGAGCATATCAAGGTTATGCATAACCTGCTGTACAAGATGATCCAGAACTCTGCCAATAGGGAGGCATGGCTGGAAGGCATCGAAATTGACCACTTGTTGAAGATAGTCACATATGGAATGGAACAAGACGTAGCAGTTCTAGATCCCTTTACAAATTTCTACGACACCGAGAAGGGTTTGATGAAAAACGAGTTCAAAGAGTTTGGTGATAAATGTTACAAACTCTACAGTTCAATGCCGCCATTCTACCAGTTCGGGGACGACGAGCCTCTAGTCCTCTTGGAAATCGAAAAAGTAAAGGCAGAGATCAAAGGCAAGAGGTGGCTGGTCGCGCCAGTCAACTGGCAGACGACAACTTTCGCTTACCACTGGAGCATGACCATCTTTGACCGGCTGACCGGGCAGTTATACATCTTTGATTCCTTGGAGAATAAATACAATGACACGGCCCGGGTCAATGCGACAGCAACTGGCTGGGCCCGGTTCTGGGACAAGATGGGACTCCCCTACGACTTCCAGTTCTTCGCCCCCGTCGTGACCCCCCAGTGTGAATCCTGGGAGTGCGGCTATCTGAGTGCAGTCTGGGCCCTTCTCACGCTCCGACTTCCCTTTAATCCCGCAGAAAACACAACCGGTCAGCTATTGAGTATTAATTTAAGCGCGGTGGACTGGGACCGGCACATTACTTCATCGCCATCAATGCTCATCGCCGACTGGACGGGCTGGGAACCGAACACCCAGAACACCCAGGATGCGCTGAAGGAGGCTTACAATTTTCTATTCGCAATTGTTTGCAACGAGCTGGGCATTCCGGAGCGCTATGACCAGGCCGACGGCATCACACAACTGCTTTCTTGCCAACACACGGACCGGTCATGGGTCCCTCGCGATGAACATCAGTCATGCGATGCCAGAGTTCATCAAGAGGGGGTCGAATTGCTTGTGAATACCTATAAAGTCAAGGATCGGAGGATCAACGCGGTTCCAGATGCGAGTCAACGCATCTTGCTTGGCCCAGAGGTACAGCGTCTGATATGTTCAGCTCGAGCTGGTCATCAACCATGCAGAGAGGCTGAGGGTCAAACTACAGCCGCTCCAAGTCTGAACACACAGCACCTTTACGAGCAGGAGCTTGGCAGCGGCGACAAGAACGCCAATGATGACGAGGGCGAAGATGGTGAGAATCCCACCACCGGCCGAGCCTCAAAACCCAAGACCAAACCCAAGGCTCAGCCCAAAAGTCGGGCTAAAACCGCCTCCAGCAAGAAAGCGGAAGCGCCTCCAGCTCCAGCCCAAGCAGCCGTAAGGACAAGATCCGGCCGCAAGGTCAAAGCACCAGATCGATTCGAGCCCGAACCTGAACCCGAGCCAGCCGCGCCCAAGCCTAAGGCGGCACCAAAGGCATCGGAGGCAAAGCCTGCAAAGAAGAAGAATGCAGCATCAAAGCCAGAACCAAGCCGAGGTGGCGCGAAGCGCGCTACCGTGAAGGAGACGAAGCCCGCCGGTGCCAAGTCCAAGAAGCGTACTCTGGATGAGACTGAACCTAAAGCTGGTAAAAATGCTTCCTCGGAGATGCCCAAGTCGAAGAAGAGGAAAGTTGCTGAGCCTCCCGCCGCCAGCAAACCGGCCAAGAAGCAAAAGAAGGATGCACGCGCCAAGCGCTAAACCAGCTGAGCATATGCCTTTCATAGGCTTAAACGGGGGAGGTCTATCATTTTAAGAGTTTTTTTTAGTTTTTTTTGAATAGATGGTGGTCGTTGTGGTGGCCATCGTGGTAGACTGGGAGTGACTTCAGGGGCAGGCTGCTCAAGCTGTGTGTGCTGTACACTTATGAATATTTGATTCTTCATGTTTTCTGTTTGTTTTTGCATCCAATGGATTTTTACCTTGCTCATTTATATTTCATCTACTTATATTATCACGTTATTAGTACGGATTGTCAAGTTATTAGAGCACGATGTCGATTGATGGCTTTAGCTGTGGGGTTGAGACTTTGGTGTCATGAATGTCCAACTCCTTCCCAACTGCCCTAAACTATTTTTTTAATTTCCAATCTGATTTGAAATTCTCCAATTTTCTCTGGATCTTTGTATCATTTATGAATAGCATCATGATCGATTGGCTCAGTGACGACCTTCAATCCTGAAATCTTGATAGTGTGATGCGCCGGGTATGTGCTTGAGGACGATGGTCCAACCAGTCTGTAACAGGCGGGAGGTATATGGAACACGACTAGTTCCCCAAAATTGGAGATTCAGGATATGTATCTGCTCAATTGTCCATGTTGCTGTGGCAGACGAGTTCTACCTCTGTCTAGCACCTAGTAATGATGTACACACTCTCTAAGTTACCATGGGAGATAGAATTTATCCTCGATCGCTGTCTCAAAAGTGTCTAAAACCACCTAAGATCCAATGAATTCAAAAAGCTATAGTAATCTACCAAGTTTATGGGTCTAGGCCCAGGGAGACTGAGGGAAACGCACAATGTTCCTGGCTGACGTTGCCCTAAGTCTCCAGCTAGAGCAATTCCGAATGCGGCCCCTCGGATTTCTATTTAGTTTCATTTTATTTGACTTGGAAGATGCGCTCGTTTTCTGGCCGCGACTCTTTGAAGTGGTATCTTATGTCTCTCTCAAGTCAACATACTCAGCTCCTACGCGCTCGCTACTCGAGAGCCACGGTCATCGAGCTACCTAGTCTAAGGCAATGCAGCAACACAGGCCCTCAACAAGAGGTTTGTACCCTTCATCATGAGACCCCCACGGCAGTCAAACTGATGTGGCCAGAGCCCGGTTTCCTGGGATGCAACTTCACTGCATGTCTTCGTTCCCCTACTCCGCGTTCCTGACCAGTCCGTAGCCTCAGCCACCCACCCATACCCAACCAGTCTCTAAGTTGGTTGGCTCATACCTGGCTGCATGAACAGCATTTCAAGTTTATGTGGAAGATGCTAAATGGCTCTCATCCCAGGAAGCGGTGAAACACCCACGGGGCCGTTGCAGGGATCCCAGCATTTGAACGCGGCCCCTCAGCCACCTCACTGTCAGCGTGCTCGCCCAGACGACCGTGGTTCTTGAGCGGCCGGGCTGACAACATCACCATGTCTGCGGACCTCCCTACATTGCCTAAAATCCGTCCCTCGTCATGATCATCTCCGAGATCGCGAGGGATGACGTAGCTGAGCCACCAACTTCACAATCCCGGCTCTCGCGCGCCCCCCACCTCGCGAGCGATAGATGTCGACTCGGTGCTTTGCGAAGCTTGTATCCTGTTAAGGGCCGGAAGGTAGGCAATGGCGTAACGCGAGGGTGGATTTACAATATGTAGCATCTCCACGGGGAGCCATGTCAATCACGGCCCTCAATCCCCATCTGTGGGGGGGCGGTCAATGGCGTTTGTAGCGGTCAAACCTTGTGGGAAACTGCCAGACAACTAACAAGGAGCTTCAGGAGTGGTCTCCGAAGAACTCCAATGAAGACGGGTCACATGGTGCGTCTCTCGCTTACAGCGACGAGTGTCTATCGGCGAAGCGAGGGCGTCATGCAGAGAAGCGTTAGATGCAGTACATAGGAGATCTTTCCCTCGTCTTGGCAGTACACATGGAATACAGAGAGCCAATACGACAATGACGGAGCGAGGCATCCATCGATGGACCTTGCGATATGGTGTAATGGTATAGTTATGTAAGAGTAGTTAGGATAGAGAACACTCATGCAACCTACGATGGAAAGAAAAAGGTCGAGGAGTGGGGTGAGACATCAAACAATCACACAGAAGCCCTCTTCTGAGCCCGAAGAGACGCCGTGTGCCATCATCCCCGTAGCAGCTAAAGCTTCTCGAGATCCCTAGATCTTCTAGAATAATTGTCGACCTGAAATAGGACTAGAAATCGTTGGCTCAGGGCTACCCCTGGCCAAGACAAGGCCGAGAACTTACAACCACCCCCGAAAAAAACAGGCTCCCCAAAAACGAGAGAATCTCAGAATAGGAGGGAGTAGAAAGGTGACGGCCATGTAAGAATCTCGTCGGAAGATTGAGGCACAGACCCGGGAATGACCCGGAACGTGGGCTTTGAACCTGTGAATAACATCCGACTTTATCATAAAGACAGATGAATTCGCATCTGGCACAGCAGAGTCACAAGAATGGCAGGGATACTCTCGGGATGTGTTATGCAGACATGAGCCAGGACCATCGGGATCCTACCTCTGTTGAACGCGAACAGGCCAAGAGACAACGAGAGTTATCCAGGGGAGCCCCCAGTAAACCCCCACGCCGATACGAAAGCATCTCGCATCAAATCGTTGGGCGGATGGTTGAGAGAGAAGGCACGGTGGTCGTCGCATAGGCATCACCGAGAGCTTCAGTTTACGTCTTGAGTCTCACATGTCCTTACATCAGTCATTTTGCATGATTCGACCATCTTCCAGGCCCCCAAGTACATAATATCGTAGCATATTTGTGTCAGAAGTTGAATCATGCCGGTCTACATCATTCACAGCTATGATAACTTGATTTCAGCTTAGATATGTGTAGTTTGATTGTCTTGTCACCACTACGCGTGACTTTTGACACTTTGCACGGCATAATCAAGGTTGGGTTCAGTCCTGCCGTGCGCCTTCGCTACTTAGACCCCGGGCGGAATTGTGCGAGCAAAGTTTGAGAGTGTCCTACCAAGGGAACCTACTGGATGGGAGATTCTGTGGCGTGGGCACGTTCTCGCCCGGGCGGACTGCACTTGAGAGTAGGTAGACTGCATGCTCTGTACCACACGATCGAGCTGTGTGTGGCACAAGATGGGCCAGTATACCCCTCAGCAGGATCAGATCGATCGAAGATGACGAGAGGTGGCTTGCTCAATGTGTTGGGCTAAGCTCAACCACACTTTCCGCACATTTGGATGGCAAGGCGGCGCAGGGTACACGTCTCACTCTCCAGCGGCCACTTAGAATGGGCGAAAAGTAAAGGGTATTGGTGATGTCGGCAGGTCACAAGATGGCTGGGTGTTGGTCAGGTGCAACCCAGAGAGATGCCTGGAGTCAACTAACTCATGGTCACATTCACCGAGATACAACCACAACTGTGTTTTCGCCTTGCTTATGGATCGGGAAGGTGCAGGAAATCCAAGGCAAAGACCGAAGAGTGTTGCAGAGAGCCAACAGAGACAAACAGGAGGGAGCCGGCATGTGTTAGGGAAAGTTGTATCAACCGAGAAGAGCTTCATGCATGGACTGACTGTGTGCATGTCCAAAGCTCGGTTTTCCCAGTTAAGTTTCACGACGTTGATCGAGGCAACGCCGATGTTTGCCTCCCCCTGAAAGAAAGACGATGCTGGGAAAGTGATTCGTATACTAGGGAAATTTCCGAACGGGGAGTTTAATCATCGAAGCATCCTGCTTGGGCATCCATTGGTAGCGTCCCCGGTCAAGTTGCTGAGATCAGATGCCGGACGGTGCTGATGCGTATGCTGAGGACCAGGGGCGCGAGCCACACCAATTTCTGCAGTGAGCCAGTTGGTCTTGGCCAGCCACTCGACCAGCAGCCTGGAATCCCGACCAGCAGGGGTAGATGCAGCACAGACATCATGTATCCGTACTCGCTACCTTGAGCCCCATTTTAGACAGCCCCGTCGATTCGTAGAAGGCGAGTGATAGATCAAAGATTGTTGCTGGACCCTCGTGATGGAAGCAGCCTATCGAGGTTGGATCCCTGTCGCGGCCACGAGTATTGCACGCCACACGCCAACACTGGAAGCCGATTGGCCCAGGCTTAACCCACAAAAGCCTCGCGGGGTTGGTTGCGATGGTCTGTTCCCGTCCATAGCCTTTTTACAATTGTACTTCATCAGGTGCTGAAGCCCAGACTAGGGGAGAGGAGGGCGACGGGGAGCTCTGAATGGGCGGCGGAAAGAGGGTCCGATCGTAGCATTGCCTTGCAGCTGAGAAGCGATCACCTGGTCATGAAGGAGGGGGGCGAGAGGCAACGGGCTGTTAGCCGCGAGATGAGGGGGGGGCATTTGGGTGTAGACCCTACACCTTGGTGGATGATCTGCCCACCTGCTTCGAGAGCAACGGAACATGAACATGTGGGAAGGAGGGGAAGTGGAAGTGAGGTAGGCAAGTAGGTACTAGATGTTCTCTGTGATCTGCACAGCTTCGAATGTACAGCTACCTTCTTCACAGGGTCTGGACTGGCTCCAACACGTGACCCCCCTGAAAGACTTGACCGTCATCCATTTGCCGATCCTATAGTTGATCCAACAGCGAGCAGGCCCCCCAAGGCAAATTGCTCTGGTTTGATGGGGTGCTGATTTAGCTGCAAACCGGACGTTCCGGGCCGCTGGTGTACCTGGTATCGACACGATATTAATAGGCTAGTAGAATGATTGCCTACCCACAGGCTACAGGCGACTAGTATAAACTATTCACATGTTTTCTTTTCGATTTCTATGGTACTGGAAAAACAGCATCGTACCTGCTATCAGTGACCCGGAAACGTGCGCTCCTGATATTCCTGGTCGACCTCGCATTCTCGCATTCTCGCGGTCTCGGGGATAATGAGCAAGGAGGTAGGGAGGAGACGGCGGTAATGAAGTAGTGAGATGTTCCAGTGGGTGCCGATATTATTAGCAACTCTGGCTGGATATCGTGGAGCAAAAGAATGCGGACTGTAATTGTGATAATTAGCGTTCCCCTATTTTTCTCCTCGGCGAAGAAAATTAGAGCTCGCCAACCCTGACCAACCCAAGAAGACGGTCATCGACAAGCGGCGAGACTGTGGCTGTGTCGACGGTGAGAAATTCGAGGTGGATCGAGTGTACGTATCACCAAGGGCTTGGTGCGTGCCAGTAAAATCAAGCGAAGTGTCCGTCAGAGGAGCGATTGTGCATCCACATAGAGCGATTAACATCGACGCACGGCATAGTCTGTAAATGGTGGCACCTGTGGAGCATTCGAGCCAATTTGACAGGTAGAGAAGTTAGGCTCAGGGACACATAAGGTCCTTATTCGATATCATACGCAGTCGATGTCTTGTCCTCTCTTGCCTTGGAACTCTACGCGAGGCAGCATGCCCTCTGATTCGCCCCTCGCCGACGAATGAAGCGAGGCCGACTGGAATGATGGCAGCCAGAGGAGAGGACAGAGACAAGGATGCCCAGATCCATCTGCCATGGGCGAGGATGTCCATCTTCATTTTTGCTGTTTGATTTGCTGTTGCTGTTGGGTGTTGATGGTGTTGCTGCAGATGCTGACTTGGTCTGTGATCGAATAGATAGGCCGACAGCACGTATAATGCAAGTAAGACCCTGACTGCCGCGATGTCCCCTGTCTCACCGCAAGCACAGGACCAGGTCGCCTCATTATCTGGGGCTCATCATCTCGGTGTTGTTCCAGGCAACACGACTCGTCTCTTATTAATTAGTGCGTGCTTGGTTAAGAGATGCATGAGGCCGCAAACGGATAGCCAACGCCAGAGATGACTTGCTGCTTGGCTGGCGGTGTTGCACGACCAGGAATTGGTTGAGCTGTCGTCACCCATCCACTGTCGATGAATGACCGAGACTGAAGGGTGTTCTCTGTAACAACCAGAGGTTAATTTCACGCTCTGACCTACCTTAGCTACGGCTTCCCCATGTGAGACCCATCTTCATTACAGCGCGGAAGCCATGGGCGCGCCTCAGGTGTGGCGTGAATGCGCGAGACGTCCAGAAGCGACGGGGAACGGCTGGGGTTGCTTCTTGAGGAACGATCCAAGCAAAGCGGGAACAGCTGATGCGACCTGTCATGCGGCCATGTTACCAAATTGTGAAGGATAGGCCACGGCTGCACGTGAGATGAGACGGGTTGGTGGCATCGCGCATCCAGTGCCTTGCATTTCCGGCTGGCTGGCGATGGATGAACACCACCCTCACACCGGGCTGAGGCAAGCCTAATCAAACGGTGCGTGTGGCAGCCATCCAGCAGGCAGCATAATTAGCATCAGGTTGGGATGCAAAACAAGCGGGAAACGTCTTGCAGACAGGGACACCCCACCACAGGCGGTCGGCGACAGGGGCCAGCTGGTGGGAATCTGTACATCCTTTCTTTGCTTTTTCTGTCCCGCCCTCTTCGTCGCCTCCTCATCGCTCGTTGGTCGTCCAATCCATTTAGTGTGCCAATTGCAGCGCCAGGAAACTGCGCTGTCTCTGGCCGACGAAGAAGACGGCACAGCTCAGATGAGGCGTCTTGGAAGGTAGAGAGAAGCAGAAGGAAGCGAAGGCGCAGAAAAAGAAAAGAAACAGAAGGTTCACTGCCCCACCAATCGCTCCTGGGCTAAGATGCCTGCTCAGCGCCGGGTTGCCAGGATCGCTGCCCGCCCACCACAGGCTGCATCAGGCCTGCAGGGGACGAGCGTCGCTGGTACGCCAGTTGAGCACGACTGAGTAATGCCGGCGAGGGCCAACAGGAAACAGCAGCAGCGAGAGCGAGACACGAGTTGGCGGCCAGGGCTGCAAGACAGAGTGGATTGGCTGGTCGGTCTGGCCTCGCAATTCTGCTGCTGGGAATGCAAGGTGAAGGTACGTGCCATCTCTCCCTGCCGTTGCGCATGTTCCAGATGGCGGTTCATGTCTCAATGCTGCTACCTTCCTGTACCTGCACCCGCTGTAATGGAACAAGACCTCTAACACCAACCCTCCAGCGCCTCTGCCCAGTCCGGCAGTTCAGTCAGCGCAACGCAATCCAGGAGGCATCACATAAGGTAATGAGGTACATGTACCTGCGTAATCTCAGACTGGTTGTGGCCATAATTTCCTGCCTCCGCCCACCACCCACTCATAGAGAGACCGCTCTACTTTGTAGATACATGCCAACTGCAGGCAAGATTGCGAGCACACCATGTACCTGCTCGTACCCGGCGGTGTCGGCCCCCATCGCAAACGACGGGTGGGCAGGTACGTTCCCAGGGCAGGTACTCCCCTACCACCTGCCGACCGCCTGGAGTCCCTCCCACCATGAGCCCTTTGCATGGATCGAAGGCCACAAGAATTTTGCACGGGACGCTGTTCTGCGCCTGTCCAGCCCGCTGTAATTGGGCCGCCGGCCACCTGGAGACTCCCGCCAGCGCCCCTAAGTCGGTCAGTAAACGGGTGCTGCAGGGCAAGAAGACGCTGCAAGGTAAATGGATGGACCTAACAGCAGAGCAGGGCACCGGCCGGACTTTCGTGGAGCCGCTGGTCCTTGGTCGTCGCTGTGCCATCCCCTTTTCCCTCCACACACCAAATTGAACCTGCTCAATCTTGCACTCCCGCCAGCCCACACACCCCCCTTCCAGACCCTATTTTCTTGTTCCCATGATACCTTGACCTTCTTGCTTCTTTCGCCCGTCTCCCCCCCTCTCTTCCATCTCTGCCTCAATCCCCGTTCCTCACCACGCGGCGGAAACGTTTGACGACTTAGAAACGACGGCCACGACAACGACGCACGATAATTAGACTTTTTACCCCGTCATTTGCGATCGCTCTTTTCCTCCGCGCCCGCAGCGAGTCATAGCGTTGCAGTCAGCTTGTCAGGCTCCTCCAACCACAACAACCTGCCCCAGCGCCACCCGAGACGACGCGAACCTCGACCCTGCTCGCTGCCACCGAGATACTGCATCTTCGGACGTCGGTCAAATCATCTTGCTCGCATTTGCGCTCCTTTCCAGCTACTTTCTGGCGACTTGACGAGACGTCACTGTTGGTGGAGCTCTTGGCCGTCACTGGAAACCCCCCAGCTCGGGAAAAAATTTGTTCGACCAGACCGACCCCTTGAGCTTTGCGTCGGTACGCATTTGCTCAACTGCGCACTCTCTACCGAGGCGAACCAGTGAAGAACGTCTTCACCGATCACTCGGACTCTGGGCGGACTGCCTTTTATTTTATTAACTCCCAAACTCAGCGTTGGCGACGTCTTGATTGACTGCTGCCGCCTCCTGAAAACTGGGTATAGTCCCTGCGACTACTTCCTGATGCACTGAGTCGACCTCCCCTCTTCTCTCTCTCTCAACCTCCCCCTCTCGATCGCCTATCCGATCAGAATACTTCATATCGGCGTCGAAGCTTGGCCATTCGCTTCCTCTTTCCCCAAAACCTTCTCACCCAGAACGTGGGTTCCCGCGACCATCATTATTCCACATCACCGAGCCACATCCAGCCATGGCCCAACCACCGCAAGATCTTAGCTACCTTGACTATGGCGCGCCGCCAAACCGGTCCCCTGGCTCCAGACCTAGCTACACGGGCGCTTTCGGAGGCGGTCTCTCGCTCCCTCGACAGACTCAACGACCCTTCGATCCCCCTATGGGGTCCACCGCTCTTTACCCATCCGACAGGCACGGCGGCTACCACCCGCGAGGCATGGACAACATGAACAATGGCGGCGGGATGCCCAGCTACTTACTCGACAACAACCACCAGCACTGGTCTCAGGGAGGCAGTGGTGTTGCAACCGTTAATGGGGCCGTCAATGGACCCAGCAGGCAAAGAAGTGTCGGCCGCCGTGCAGCCCTCCCCCAGGTAGGAAATACCCGCTGTGGACTTGACCGCCAGAACGTAGGTGTGAGGCTAACAAATTTGACAGAACTGGACAGATCACGGAGGCATGGGCTTGTCCTCCAACATGCAGGGCTTCCCAAGTGGCCTCAATGGCCTCGGCAACGGAGGCCTTCGCGTCGAACATCCCGGCACCCACGCTTCTCCTTCCGACCTCCGCTCGACCGCTTCAGACGGTGACCAACTGATCCCGACCGCCATCGTTATCAAGAACATTCCGTTCGCTGTTCGAAAAGAAACGCTGGCTTCCATCATGCTCGAACTCCACCTTCCCCAGCCCTATGCCTTCAACTACCATTTCGACAATGGCGTTTTCCGAGGTCTTGCATTTGCCAACTTCCAGTCGGCCGAGGACACTAGAATTGTCATTGAGGCCATGAACGGCATGGATGTCCACGGCAGGAAGCTGCGCGTCGAGTACAAGAAGATGCTACCGGAGGCTGAGCGAGAGCGCATCGAGCGTGAGAAGCGTGAAAGGCGCGGGCAGTTGGAGGAGCAGCACCGAGCACCGCTCCTCCATCAGCAAAGCTCTATCCAGTCACTTGGAAGCATGGCCCAGGCCCAGGCAAGGGGCACCCCGAGTCATTCAGGTAAGTCTTCCCAGTCCCAAATAATTATAACAACTTGTGCTAACATATGCAACTTACCAGTCGATGCAGGCGACATTGACCTCAACGACCCCCAGACCCTCGAATTCTACACTGAGCTGGCCATGTTCAAGAGGGACGAGTCGCGCGAGATCCTCATCTTCCCTGCCGGAATCGCACCCGAGCATCGACGTTCCATTCATATCCTCGCGCATCACATGGGGTTGGAACATCAATCCATTGGTGAAGCTGATTCCCGCCAGCTTACTGTGCTGAAGCGACAGCCTTCCCCCAAGGCCAACAACGCCCCTGCTCCTTCCTCTTCCTTGGACATGCACAAGAGGGGACTGAGCCGAGCTGCCACGTTTGACTTTGCTGCTGATCGCGAGTCTCGGGGAGGTAACAGCAACCTCACACACGTCATGGGACGACAGGGCCCTACCCTTGAGCTTCCTGGGAGCCCCGACGGCAACGCGATTCCCAACAACCTGCGCGCTGCCAAGAGTTTCGCCGACCTTCGCTCCTTCACTCCCAGCCCTTCGCAGGCTTCCTCCAGCTACCTTGCCCCTGGCGGTGGAATGGGTGGACAGTCCGCAGCACGATATGGCGATTATATTAGCAGCCATCCCGGCAGCTCCGGGACACCTGGCCCCAAGGACAACGGGCTCATCAGTGGTCTAAGCAACTTGTCGCTTGGTGCTTTTGACTCCAACACCCTTCAAACCCAGTCGCGCAGCACCCCTGGAGCTATTGGCAGCCAGCGTCCCGGCGCCAACGGTAACTCCAAGGGCGCACCCGAGAGGCAGCCTCGGGGCCCTGAGTGGGAAACATCCACCGGTTTTGGTGGACGCGGTCGATCTAACGGTCATGTGCCTCGCGGTAGTGGTACGTATTACAAACTTTAAAACCACCATGGTGGTGATCTAAACCATGTGCTAACTCATCGTGGGCGTAGATTCTTCAGACAACGGAGCTCGTGTCGCAACGAGTTCGTCCGGCGTCTCGAGGTTTCACTAAGATTGAGGGCTCAAGTACGCCCGGCATCACTGACTCTTCTCTCGACATGGCCGCCGAGTCAGCAGCCGGGCTCACGAGAAACGCCTTATGTCCTTGATGATTATTGCATCTGTACACTGACTTCTCCTCAGGGCCATTTTTTGCTGCCCTGGGGCATGACAATGATTGCTGAATATGGGCGTCAGTCCATCCTTGGCGCCTCTGTATTGTTTTGATGATGATGATGCCACCTGGATGAAGCCGACGGAATAAGGATCTGGATAAAGGGACTCTTCGGCACATGGGCAACCATGCATGGAAGTCCATGAAACTGCCAGACTGGCGGACTACTACTACTACTGATTGATATACCCGCATCTTGGGAGATGTTTATTTTACACTTGGGAAGGATTCTACAACCATTTGACGATAATGACGACGCTTTCACGACTTTACGTCTAGACAGCAGCGGCGGCACTGGCTTTTGTGTCTCTTCTCTGATACTGATTGCCAAGGCAGGTCAGCCAGTTGCGAGTGGTTGTTTCGGCGACGAAAACGAGACGACTCCACGTACTTTTAATATTTTCCGACTGCCGTCGCAGATACGACTATGACGAGTTGCAAGAGGTCTTCCTGTTTATTTTTCATGATTCATACACTTTGCAAGTTGCTTGTCGTACTTTTTGAAAGGGTGTACGTGCGCGTACCGTTTTTTCTTGGATCGACGAACATGATATGGGAGATGATGTGATCAGACTGAGGACGATGAAGACGGAGGAAGAGAGGAAGATGAAAGAACTTACAAAAAAGAAAGAAGAAAGAGTGTGCATTTTCTGTTTGTTTCGCTGGTTATTTTTCCTTTCTTGGTTCAGAGTGTCTGTGGAGGGGTGGCTGTTTTGCTTTTTTGGACCCGACTTCCTCTATATTCTTCACTTTTCCCCTCCATTTTGCATCTTGTTTTTGGCCTCGGAAGATCGGATGACCTCCAATCCTTCCCGCGTGGGCTTTACTCGTCTTCCGAATACACTGGAGAGGGGGGAACAAAAATGGGGCGACGATTTTGGTCTGGGCCCAGCTGGAACCTGGGAGGGAGGTGGGCGGGTGTGGCGTTTGAACGGATAGCATATTTTTTGTGTTTGGATTGGTACATGCTCCCGCCCGAGTTCGATGTCGTTCTACTGTTTGTTGTCGGCTGCTGGTCGTGTCTTGGTCAGACGCGTGGCCTGGCAGTGTGAGAGCTCTGGCCGATGAGGGGGACGATGGTGTGGATTGGCAACGTGGAGAGAGTTCACAGTAGCGATATCTGAGCGCGTATGTGTGTGGGAGCGTCATATACTTAGCATGGCATAGTAATTAATCACGTTGTTTTCCTGTTGGCTGTTACAAGATGGACACATTTGAGTGTTGACCCTTTGTCTGTGCACGTATATTAGCTGAGAGTGCCAGCCCGGCTGAAATTACCCAACGATATTGATTGACCATTGACCTAATCCTTGTCCACTAACTGCCTGGCTCAAACCGGTCGTCTGTCAATGTTGACTGGACTGCTTCTCGTGATATTGAACCTGGCCGCCTGCCATCACTACCAACCTCGCCTATCATGGGAACTTAGTAGTCGCCCATTGTGATAATAACTTTGTAAGTCTGGACCAAGATGTCTGTCGTCAAGACAAGGTGAGCCAACTTGATTTGTCATCGACGTCATGGTTTATTTGTAAGAAGTAATCTAGGAGTCGGCTATCGAGAGTGTCAATGAGGAAGCCGGCAGCCAAGTCTTCTACTGTGACAGTCAATTTAAAGAGAAGCCGAACTGGCTGTCGGCTATTGAAGCAGATCTAGCAGCTACATTGCGAGTCAGGTCATTTTAATGGTGGTTAATTGGCTCGCACTGTCTTTTGTCTCCAGAGTATATGCTCATCTGCAGAGTCAATTCTTTGGAAAACCTTCTCCCCTCACCCAAAGATACTTCATCCATATTCAAGCCATGAACATTCCAGCCGCCGAGCAACCTTTTCGGCCCTGGAGCTAGCCATGTGCCATCATCACCAGGCTCCATCAAAAACGGCTGAGATCTTTCCATGACGGGCATTAATAATAATGACAGCCCAACCCCACTTAACGTTTGGGCTGCATCATCATCGCTGATCTCTCCATCTCGGTGTCTTCCGTTTCATTAACTCTTATCAGATTCTACCCCAACCTTATTTGACTCCATCTCATTGTACGTACCTACATATAAATATTGTTCTCGACACTTGAGTCCACCACTGTCTATCCGCGACAAGCAACCAGATTTACACCAATTTCATTACACAGAGACGCAGTAAAGCCCAATCACCACCATGACAGCCAAGAACAGGCAGTGGACAACCAAGCAAGATGGGCTGGACAACCTCGAGCTCGGCGAGACAGACATCCCCGAGCCCAAAGACGGCGAGGTCCTCGTCAAAATCAAAGCCGTGAGCCTCAACTACCGCGACACAGAAGGTAAATCCCCCTCCATCTCCTCCATCCTCCTATATCCAGACCCATCCAGACCCAGACCACCAACTGACCCGTCCACCAGTCTGCCAGGGAGAATACACCCACCACAGCTCCCTCGACAACGGCCAGCCCCTCGTCCCCTGCTCAGACATGGCCGGCGAGATCGTCGCCTCCAAGTCCCCCCGCTGGGAGAAGACGGGCGCCCGCGTCCTCTCCATCTTCAACCAGACCCACCTCACCGGCCAGATCAAGGAGTCCGACCTCGCATCGGGACTCGGCTTCCCCCTCCCGGGAGTCCTCGCCCAGTACCGCGTCTTCCCGGACTACGCCCTCGTGCCCATCCCGGACTACCTGTCCGACGAGGAGGCCTGCACCCTCCCCATCGCCGCCGTCACCGCCTGGACCAGCATCAACGGCTTCCGGCCCCTCGGCCAGTACCTCGACCTCACAGGATCCCAAGCCAAGGACGAGAAGAAACCGCCGCCCGTCCTCCTCGCCCAGGGCACAGGCGGCGTCTCCGTCGCCGCCCTCCAGATCGCCCACGCCGCCGGCCTCGCCACCATCGTCACCTCCTCCTCGGACGACAAGCTCGACCGCGCCCGGAAGGAGCTGGGCGCCGACACGGGCATCAACTACCGCACCCACTGGGAGTGGCACGAGTTCGTCCTCGAGGCCACCGCGGGGACCGGGGCCGACTACATCCTCGAGACGGGGGGGGCCGACACCCTCCGCCGCAGCTTCGCCTGCGTCGCCTTTGGCGGCACCATCGCCTGCATCGGCTATTTATCCGGGAAAGACGACGGCGAGAGCGATGGCGGCCTGAACCGGCTCAATGTCAACGTGCTCGCGCTGCGGCGCAACGTCACCCTGAAGGGGATACTCAACGGGCCCAGGGACAGGTTCGAAGAGATGCTCGGGTTCTACGAGAAGAAGGAGATCCGGCCCGTGGTGGACAAGGTGTTCAAGTTTGAGGAGGCCAAGGAGGCGTTCAAGTATCTCGCCAAGGGGGCGCACTTTGGCAAGGTGGTGATCAAGGTGGCAGATTAGAGAACGGAATTCAATTTCGATAAAAAAACGGATGAAGACACTACAAACCAACAATTCACACTAATCAATGTGACATGTGCCCATTGAAGGCTTGCGAAGATAAAGCTTACAGTTCTTATGACCATTAGAACCAAAACATGATCTAGTTTTTATCCAGCCAAGCACTCATTCAGCTTCAATTCGAGAGTTCGAGATGTATAGGGTAAGTGGAGGATTTAGCTACGCAATCAAACAAGGCACGAACAGACACAAACAAGCAAGTAGTGATTACGAATGAATTGGTCCGGAATCGGTTCTTTTGATACAGATCTCCTATAATTCGAGACAAATATCGTTACATTAAAATCAAAATGGCAAACAAACCAGCAAGCCCATCGCCCAATCCATCCGAGAGTTGTCATGATTGAAGAGCCCAGTTTCTGAGACCAAATCAACCGTCCTCCCACTAAATGCTTGGAACAAATCCACGTTTCCATGTTGTCCCATCACAAAGCGCCTCCCTCAGATGAATTTCTCAACCCAGAAACACGTCACTCCTGCCAAATAACTCAGGTATCAAATGCTAGAATAGCAAAACCCCACACGGGTCCTTGCGTTTAAGCTTTGCTGTTGTTTGTTTGCGAGATGTACATCGTTCAATCATCAGTTGTTGCGGGCTATAATTAAGATAAAATGAGAAAGAAAGAAAAACCCCTTCATACACGACATGATTGGGCCTCGGAACACGCGCGCAACTCCTCAAAAAGGCGAGGAAACATTTTAAGAGTAAGAGGCACCGAGAAAAATCAGGGTGATCTACCAATGTCGAAAATGCCATGAAAAAACCACGAGGCCCTCCGGGACGCCAAGCTCGAAACAGGATCTGGAAATGCAATCATCGTCTAAGCAAATTCGGTCCCTTTAACAAAAACTGCACTAGTCATAGTGCCTGATACCGCTAAAGGATTGCGCAATGTGTTCAGATGTGCGGACAATCCACTCAAGCTTCGATCGTTCAAGGTTCGCCAGGAAAGGATCAGTGGGGTAACCGTCCTGGATCCCGTCAATGAAAGGTCGCACCTTGTTGACCAAGAGCTGGAGTGTCTGCAGGGCGCTCTGAATGACTTCACGGAAACCTTGTTGCTCCCACTCCTGTTCAGACAATGTTAGCAAGGGGACAATTGAGAGATGATTTATGAATGCGAGGGCATCACTTACATAGCTAGGAATATTTTCACCAAAGGTTCGAACGGCCATCTCGATCCATTCAATCTCCTCCTTGAGACGCGGGTTGGGCTTCAGATCCTTGGAAATCGTTGCAATCACGACGAGAAGCATCAAAGGAGGCAGGCTGTCAAACCTGCTTGGAGAGTAGCGACAAAGGCAGCGTTGGAAGATCTCGGTTTCGCGACCGCTCTGGATCCATTGGATCATGGCTTCTTGGAGACGGCCCTCCTGGATAGCCTGTTCGATGATGCGGATTCGTTGTTGAAGTTCATGATCAACCTCGGCCTCACTCTTGTTCCTTTGGTTGGCGAAAGCTCCTGCAAGGGTGCTGACGGCAGGCACGGGGACCTGCTCAGATGGAGCAACCGAGCCTTGAGGGCTTGAGACGAGCTGTGAGTTGGGGCCGCCGCCTCGCACGTAATGAGGGCTACCCATGTGGTTGTTGTGGTAGGGTTGACCGTGGCTAGCAGCCTGACTAGCAGGATAGCCAGTGGAGGATGGTTTGTTGGAGATGCTGTGACCGCCGTAGCTCTGGTGCCCCATTGACGGAGCACCGCCCACATGGCTTTGAGGACCGGGCACGCCTGGGAGCTCATGAACAGGAGGCTGCTGTCTAAGCTTCAGGAACTCAGCTTGAAGAGACTGTTGGGTCGAAGCAACAGTTGACACAACATCCGTCAGCTGTCTAACCTGGGCCATGAGCTGGTCAATCTTGGCCGAGTCCGCAACCCGCTGGGCCTGCATGGCCTCAAACTGCTCCGCGTATTGCTGGTGGATTTCGCCGACCACGTGCTGGGTCGATTGGTTGGCAATGGTAGAGAAGGTGGACGAGAGGCGCGACGTGAGAGTGCCCACCACTTCCTTCTGAATTGTAGAGCTCATGGAGGCGCTGACACGGTCGGAAATACTGTTGATGAACTCGCCGGATCGAAGGGACCGGTTCAATGCATGAGGGAGAGCGTTCTGAATTTCCTTCTGAACAGAGTTCGCCACGTTGGGCTGTAGCTTGTTGTTGAGTAGCTCGCTAACAGCTCGTCCGGCCTTATCACCTATCGCAGGAATGACCAGCTCGGTGAACTTCTGGTGAACAAGGGCTTCCAACACCTTCTGAGTGTTTTCGTTCAGAACCTCAGACACCATGTCCAAAAGTTTAACTTGGTGATTATTGAATTCCTCGTCGCGTGTACGGATACCCTCGTCGATCTTGACATGAAGGTTCTTGAGAGAGGATTTCAGGTTCTCGTTGAGGTTGGTGCTCAAGCGGCGCTCTAGACCGGCGACAGCGGTGTCAAAGGCCTCAGATGTCACACCGTTCGGCATAGGAACAAGCCCCTTGGGTGCCTCCTTTTGGCCGTGAGGACCACTGACTCCATTCGTTGTTGCCTCGAGCTGATTGGCATTGCCCTTCTTCTTACGTGGCTTGCGCTCAGGTTTATCGGCCTGGTTCTCTTTCTCCTTGGAGGGCACGGGGGTCTCGGCTTCCTTTGGTTCGTTCTTGTTCTTGACTGGCGTGACCGCTTCGGAGCCGCGAGCGACTGGGTCATTCTGGGGCTGGGTCGCGTGATTGTTGCTGGTGGCAGGTTGAGGGGTCTCCTTGGTGGCTCCTCGGGTACCGTTGCGGGCGTGAGAGGAACTGTCTGGCGAGGTCTCGATCGGCTGAGGTGACTTGAGCTTCGACACCGAAACGATGCCCTCATCCACTGCTTCGACGGGGTAGAGGACCTTGTTGTCCTTCGACCAGCCGAGTTCCTGCTGCTTGATGAGCAGGCAGGCAACACCCTTGGAGTGCATGGCGTACAGCTCGAAGAGGGTTGGTTCGTCCGTGTCTTGGACCATGGCGGGGTTAGCGAGGATATCAAGACTTCGAAGGTTGCCCCGGTTCTCGAAAGAGTATTCGCGAACGCCGCTAATTACAGCGGTACTATCCGGCTGCGGAATAGACGAGTCCTGTGCGACAAGGCGCTGAATGTACTCTGCCTGAGTAACGCTCTTCAGGTTATACTTGGGAGCTGACAAATGGGCAAAGTAGATCGAGTTGCGCGTAGGATGACCAATCACGATCATACCCGAGGCAGGATGGTACATGACGCTGCAGACGGCATCAGACTCCTTGCTGTGAGGGAGGTTGAACTCTTGGACAGGCTTGCCCAGAGCAAGATCCCAGAGCTGGAGGGTATGGTTCTGCTTCATTCCAACAATCATGTATCGGAGAGCACATCTCTTCTGGTAGGGGCGTTGCTTGTCGAGAAGAAGAACAGATGTTGGCCAGGCTTTCTCTCCTTCTGGGGTACTGGCAAGGGTCATCAAAGGTTCCTTGACCTCAAGAGAAGTGTGCTCAGGAATAGGGTTGCGAGGATCGCAGCCCTCCTTGGTAGCCGTCAGGTCTCGGACATCCCAGAACTTGACCCGACCGGACTTATCAAGGGAGACGACGACGGTGTCGTCCTGACTGAAGGTAAAGTCCTTGCCAGCCTTGCCAGTGTTGATCTTGAGAGAGCAATTTTGGGACAGGGTGTCCGTGTCCACAACTCGATCATGGCCAGGCTTGAGGAGGTTGTTCTGGAGAATGTAGGAAGGCCATATGAAGTTGATAGACTTGCCACGTCCAACAGCAAAGAACTCCGGGTGGATGGTTGAGGCACGCGCGCGTGTCTTGAGTACACCGCCGGGAGTATCACCTTCCGACGAGTTCATCGGGGGGAGAGCAAAGCCATACTGCTCGAGATGGGCATCCTCGATATGGTCTTTCTCGCCATCCCGAATCTGGACCCAGTAGACAGTGCCGCTGATGCCAGTACCAATGATGGCCTCTTTATGGGTGCCATTGTGGTCAGAAGGAGTGACGGACATGGCCACATTGAAGATACGATCCTTGGTATCTGTAAAAACCTTGGCGTCCTTGCCGTCATCCTGGCGAATAACGCGAAGTCCTCCCTGCTTGGACATACCATAGGTCATGTAGTTGGCTGAGGCAGTATATAAATTTCGGTCGATCTGGTCAAATTCCTTCTTGAGCCGAGCGATGTCCATCGTAGCCTCGTCACGGAACTCGGGTCTGGGATCGGTTGTGCCCTCATTGAGGGTGATGGAGATCCAGGGCTTCATGGGGAAGTTGAAGACCTTGACAGGTGTGGGTTCCTTCTCCTCAATGACAACAATTTCATCTTGGTCGGCACTCTCCCAGCTGTCTGCAACATTCTCAGCTGCGGCCTCATGAATGACGCTACGAACTGCCTCGACCTCCTCAACAGGTAGGATTTCCTCAAGGACGCCTTCATTGTCGCTGCGATCAAGCTCCTTTTCCAGAGCTTCAGCAACAACTTGGGCTCGCTGGTGGAATTCTTGGTCTGAGTCAGCATCGAGCATCTTGTCGAGTTCGCTGGCGATATCCTCGTGTGCCTGTTCATGCTCTTCATCTGTTCGGTCCAGGCTCTCATAAGAGCTTCTGTCGCCCTTGTGTACTTTATCGTGAATCGGCTCGGAGACAAGTTCCTTGTGGTGCTCAGGAGCGACATAGCGCTCGAAGTCGGTCGAGTTGGGTGTAGGCTTGGACGCAGAGTGATGCGACGCCATGGACTGGGCCCGGACCGACTTGCGTCTGGTGAGGTCATTGGGGCTCGTCACTCCACTGTGCAAGCTGCCGCGGTGGGAGCCATGCTGGGATCCGTGGTGAGACCCTCCATGATATTGAGATCCAGCGTGGTGGGAGCCGGCATGCTGGGAGCCTGGTGACGCATGCTCCTTAAGTATGTGGAACGCAGGACCGGCATTAGCGGACTGAGCAGCATTGCTCTGAGGGGATGCGTTGCTCAAGCTACCCATGAGATGTTGATAGAGAGCAGAAGCTTCGGCGGGATCCTGCTGGGAGGAAGAATAGTGCACCGGCTCGCCAGACTGGGACTGGTGATGGCCACCACTCTCGCCGTACATCTTTGACTGTTGGTATTGCTTTGCCGCAGCATAGGGATCCTGCGACTGCTTATACTGAGCAAGAATCTGACTCTGGTCGATCTCGGACGAGGACTGGGGCGTGTGATTATTCGAGCGAGACGATTCGGTAAGCAACGGCTGCTGCTCGTTCTGGAGTGGTTTCGGTCGGTTCAACAAATTGAGCAGGAAGGATCTCGTATCAGCAGAGGGCGACTCGTTGCTAAAAGCGCTGGGTGGCTGCTGGTGAGCCAGCTGCTGAGGAGGAGGAGGTGCAGGGGACGACTGATCCTTGGTGGACTCATTGTCTCCGTCTTGGGCACCACGCATTAGCGCGGCAAGCAGACCGGTTGGGTCTGCGGCAGCGGGCGCAGGCTGGTGAATCCGCGTGGGGAACTGAGGCTGCTGTTGCTGCAAACCAATCGAATGGTGGTTGCCGTGGTACGAGCTGTCAGCGTGATGGTGAGCAAGGCTCTGGTGATGGTTCTGTTGATGTTCAGGCTGCGGCGGTGAGTGCAACTGCTGGGGAGGAGGCGATTGCTGCTCATCAACTATCGATTGATGATGTTGCTGCTGCTGCGGCGGCTGTGACTGTCTCTGTTGGGCGACGGTGTTTCCAGAGCCGCCAAACTTGAGAAGGCTCAACAGATTCGAGGTGCGGTCTTGGTTAGAACCCATGTTGCCGTTGTTCACTGGCGGCGTAGGGGCCGCAGGCAAATGGTCCATGACAAGAGCCGCTCAGGAAGGGGAGGGTGCGAGAATAGCGACTTCTCTACGATCAGAGACGGGCTCGCGATTCGGGTTGATGCGGTTTAATGCGATGGGAGGAGAAAAAGAAAGGGTGCAGGGTGTTGACCCGGGAGGAGAAGTTACAGAATGAGAGGGCAGGAAGGATGGGAGAGGTTGGAACACCCATGTAAAAAAAAACACCAAAAGCGTGGCAGCCCAACCGCAGAGGAGGCGAAAAGTGGGACCACTTCGGGTGCGTGGTGCAGTAGCAACAGCACTGGTGGTAGCGCAGAGGGAGTGGTAGCGGCAGTGCGCTGAGTGAGCGGCCAGCAGGCATCAATTGCGGTGATCACACAATACAGCGATCATCGACGTGGGATGCGGTTTGCAGGTGGTGGGTGAGGTGGCACCTCTACAGCCACTGGAAGTCTGTTCTTGTGGGGCCGCTCCAGCGCATCTCAGCGGCTGGACCACTGGCCCACTGCGACTCTGCTGTTTCAACGACCCGCTTTAGCTTGGGGATCCGTATCCATTCATCGCAGCCAAAACCAACCATCCGGTCCGCCCTGCAAAGCTAGAACAAGCAGTCTGGTGTCTGTCGCGGTCGCGCGTCCGCGAAAGATCAATCACCCCAATGGCCGCAGTGATCACATAATCATCAAAGCGTCAGATGCGCGAGCGAGAAAAACTACCCTGCACCTCTTTGCGAACAAACCACCAAGGGAAAGAGCAACGCTGTGCGAGAATTACCCTGCCTTATTTATGCATGTTGTGCCCAACTCACTCCTCCAGAGATACCTTAGAATAGAAGCAATGATCTGGTTGGAACACCCGATTGTGGAGGTTGAACATTTCCGCATACCTTACTTGGCTGATTGCGATAACGGTTGACCCAATCCGGCAGGCGGTGAGGTTCCCGCTCCCCCCTGGCACGACAGCTGGATTGATCTAGCTTCGTTTTGGCTGACAGAGCATCATCACACGCTGCGACACCACTGAGGGCTCCCACTCAAGTTTGTGACTGTAGAGGCCATCACAACTTCCAGGCCAACTACGTAAGCTGGACCATCTCGTTCGAGAACAGCTGTCGCCAAGCCCTATCCGGAGACTCTTTTAGACCCCATCGACCCGCAGTCTCCGCCGGCGCACTCGGTCTTTTTGGTCGCGCATGTTGCTTACTCGCTGCACAGGATTATTGCACATGTCGCACTGAAGCCACAATATCCACTCCCCGAGTATCCTTATATCGTCGTTTGACTCGACTACCACCGCCACAATGTTCTGTCTACGGAGGTAACTATCGCCCTACGGCCCCCAATCTTCAGTTTTCTGTCCAGACTGACTAACAAATCAATAGCTGGCTCCCGCTCCTCTTCATCCCCACCAACGCCTCGCCCTCCTTCATATTCCTCTTCTTCGTGTGCACCTACTTCCTCAACAAGCCGTGCATCTACTGCTCGATACTCCTCCTCATCCTCTTCTTCACGTCGTGCAACTGGTCCGATCGATGCTTCTTCGACTTCAGTAGCGACTGGTTCCGCCCGCGCCCCGAGACCACACCCGACGATGGGTCCCTCGTGATCGTCGAGATGTTCAACACCACCGTCAAGGCCATTGCCGGCGTCGCCGCCGACGAGCTGCGTGCGAAGAGGGCCGAGTGGACTGGCCTCGGAATGGAGTGGCTCCGGAGCCTGCTCGGGAGACGGGAGTGGGCGATCGACTGTATGGACATCAAGATCCGTCTGTAAGAGTACGGCATGTTTCTTGGAGGGCAGAGCGGTCAAATCTAGAATAACGCACAAAGGTGACCGGATGATGGATGTATATTATGATTCACGAGACGAGCCCGCGCTCTTGGGTAGCTACATGGGAGAAAAAGATAGGGATACTTCACAGGCGGCGTACCTGGTTTTCTGGGAAAGATATCAGGCTACGACGGGATCTCTAGCGTGCTAGGGGTTGTACAAGTGCTAGCGTACTTCTTTAAATGTCATTCATACCCAATTATCATTCCTATATCATTCTATATACATCGTCCATTTCCATCAACCTCTTCCACATTGAAGACTTGCAACTCATAAGACAGACAAAAGTAAAAGAAGAAAAGAGTTGCTTGCAACTCATCACACTCCTCGTCATATGCTCAAATGGAGAAAAAAGGCTGCAAGAACTCGCTAGAACACAGTCGCGAACCTCATAGTTCCCGTTCTACTTCCTTCACTGACTCCTCCGCCTCCTGGGCAACCTCGAGAACCACTTCCAGATCCTCCTCAGCGGCTCCCAGAGTCTCACCATCCTCGAGGTCAACCTCCTTCTCAGCGACTTCTGGGATCTCCTCCGCCTTCTCTAGAACATCATCCTCGAGGACAACCTCCTCCTCGACAGCAGTCTCCAGAGCACCATCTTCAAGATTGACTTCATCTTCAATGGCCTTCTCCAGTACAACATCCTCGAGGGTAACCTCAGTAGCTCCCAGGGTCTCGCCGTCCTCGAGGTTGACGGCATTCTCTGTGGCTCCTACAGTCTCCTCCACCTTCTCCAGGACACCATCCTCGAGAGTAACCTCCTCGACAACCTTCTCGTCGACGGTCTCCTCTTGAGCTTGGGTATCTTGCTCAATTGGAGCAAGCGTTTCAGCGGTCGCCTCAGGCGCCGTCACCGTCGCCGTCTCAACCATCACAGAAACCTCAGTAACAGTCTCAACAACCCGAATAATCTTTTCCGCTGCTGTCGTCTCACGCTCCTTCTCGCCATCGGGGTCGGCATTCTCAGAGACAACGTCGGCCACAGAAGGGGCAGCCACCGAAGCAGAAGACACGCTCTCAACCCTCGGCACAGCACTGGTCGTTTGCTGCTCGGCCGCCCGCTCCGTGACAGTGACAGTCGGTGCCTCCATGACAGGCTGGAACATCATCGCATCCCGGTGCGCATCCCTAGCTGCCCCAACACGCAGCGCAAGCACAAAAACCATGACGCCCATGATTGCAATCATGACGTTCTTCTTATCCTGCATCATGACCTTGAACGCCTCGAGGAGCAGCCCCGGAAGAGAGTCCGTCTTAGGGGCCTGCTGGCGCCTCTCCTCCCTCCGGGCGTACGCCTCAGCTGATGGGGAAGCCGGCGTCTCCCTGTGCGTATACTCTGAGGAAGGCATGGTATTCTCCGCCGTGCCGCTATGCTCAGCATGGCCCGAGGGCGTGTGTCCGTAAATCTCCCGCAGCCTCTGCTCATCTCTCCACCGGCGCTCGTCCTCGTGCATCCCGGGAGGAGGGGCCGACGGCGGTGCAGACATCACTCGAGTCTCAGGAGGAGGCGGCGAGGAGGGAGCATTGTAGATGACGCTGGATTCCTGTTCTAGGAACGAGGCGTTTGGGTCTTCTGGAAGCTCTCCCCCTTCCTCGTCGGCCTGGTGCAGCTCCATCGCCTTCTCCTGCTCCAAGGCGTGACGAGAAATCTCATCCTGGACGGCTGGCTCGACGATGGGCTCGAGCTCCACGTCCACGCGCTCCATCTCCTTCCAGCAGGCCTCCCATGCTCCGGCCTTCATAAGACCGTTGCTAGCATAGATCTTGATCCGGAACACCTTGCCGGGCCCGAGAGCATCATACCGGATCTCAGACTGGCAGGTCCCGCACCAGTGCGTCTGCCTCTCCAAAGCGGCGGATCTCAAGTGTCTCAGGCTCTCTGGGTACTCATCCTCGGTATCAGACTCCTCCTCCAGCGTCATCTCATTGGACGGGCCAAGATAGTGACCACATTCCAAGATACGCGCTCTGCGTCTCAGAGGCAGCTCCAACGCCTCTAATAGCCTCTCCTCCAGAATCTCAAAGTCCTCCTGGGGATGTGGGAGGAGAATACCGCGTTCGCAGGTCGTGTCGCCCATGCGATCTTGGAGCTGGCGCCACGTGTCTCTAACATTCTTCGCTCCTTGGCTGAGATCATCCGGGTGCGCATTCTCAAGCACATGTCCCCAGGGCCACTGCAGAGGCAGAAGGGTCACATGCAGCAGCACAAGAGGCGGCGTGTTTCTCTTGAACCGGGGTGGAGTCTTCTTGGGCGAGTACTGCATCCCCGACATGGGGGAGCCCAGTCGCGACACGGTGGGAAGGGGAGTGCGCTTGCTGGATCGGGGGGATCCGATGACTGAGGGCGGCGGAGACGACATTTGGAGTGCTCGCACGGAGGAGGGAGATCTGAAGGGTGGCCGAGGCGTCCCCCGGACGGTTGGGATAAAGTCTTCTTCCTCATCCTGGTCGTCCTCGAGACGCGAAAAATCCGACATCCTTGATGATCGGGTGGACCTATGGCGGTGCGTCACCGTATCCTCTAATTTCCTGTGCTCCGCTTCAGACATGGAGCCGACAGAACTCCTGGGGCTGTGGTCGCTGAAGACATCGTCGTCGTGCTCATTTTGTGAGCTGTTATTATCCTCGGCTTCATCGGCAGCGCCATTGTGGCCAAGTTCCTCTTCCTCGTCCTCGACAGTGGCTTGGAAGTCGTCTGGGATGGGAGTATGCATGTCGGATGGACGGGCACTTGGAGGCCGGGACCCCGAGATATTGCTTCGGTAGTCTTTCATTGACTCGTGGTCTTCTGAAGCTCGGGCATTTGTCATTCTCGAACTTGAGCGGGTGCTGTGATTGTCCTTGACTGAGTGGATATCTGATGCTCGGGCGTCCGACATCCTGGAATCCGAGCGTACGCTCTGGCTACCCTTGACAGAGGCATGGGCATCTGATTGTCGTGTGCTGGAAGCCCTTGATTCCGAGCGAGTGCTTTGGCGACCATCAACCGACTCAGGTTTGGGGGAGAGGCGGCCCTTTTGCTTTTCAATCTCAGTGATGATATCTCTGGCAGCTTTTTGAATCAAGGCCTCGGTTCTCCCCGAGCTTCGGCGGTCAGTACTGTAGGATACGCCGGACACGGCAGACTCTCGCCTTGAAGCAGAGGCGTCTGAGCCGTGGTCCCGAGAGACGGCCGAGTATGCAGACTCTCGGCGGGATGCCGAGGCCTCTGTGTATTGATCATGTGTACTTCCTGACATTGCTGACTCTCTTCGAGACTCAGATCTCTCAGTGTACTGATCGTGTGTGATGCCCGACGCTGTTGATTCTCTGCGGGAGTCGGAAACGTCCGTTTGTCGGTCGTGCGTGCTGTGAGAAGTAGCCGATACCGTAGACTCTCGGCGAGAAGCTGTATCTTCCGTGGCTGCGTCTTCATGCAGACTCGTCTCAGCAAACGAAGCTTCGCCTTCCTCAGCATGCTCAGTATAGTGCCCGGAGTAGTCAGATGAGTGCTCGGAGGTCAAGGATATAGCAGACTCAGACACCCGTCGTGAGTCTGAGGCATCGGTGCCAGATCTGCGTGAGGTGGAAGAAATGCCCGATTCGCGGCGAGACTCTGAAGTCTCATGGCCAGAACGATGGGATGATGTAGACATGATGGACTCTCGACGAGACTCGCTGGCTGCGGTGCCAGACTTGTGTGATGAAGTAGCAGAAATGCCAGACTCCCTGCGGGAGGCAGATGCATCTTCCTCCTCCAAGCTGTGTGTACTGGAGGATTCCCGACGAGACGCCGAATCTTCTAGCTCTGAGTCCATCATAGCCTTCTCGTCTGGCTCCATCTCGCCTCCAAAAGTCTCGTCCTCCTCAATTCTATCGTTGGGGTCCGGAGCGGCAGCCGCAGCCAGCTTCTCCTTCTCAGCCTGGAGATCGTCCATTATAGAGCTGATTGTGTGGTTGGCCTCGTCTTCGTCGCCCGTCTCGTTGACCAGCGTGCTCGATTTAGTCAGGTTTGAATCGGTCGTACCATTAAAGAATCTTGGTGTGTGGTAGTCGTAGCCGTCGTTGCTAAAGCGCCGGGCGTGCAGTGCAGAAGCAAAGTCCCTAGCCTCGGTCTCATCCACTTCGCTCGTGGAGGGCGGGTCTTCGTGTATTTCAAAGTCTAGGTCCCGTTGGTTTTGTTGTCTTCTGTTACGCCGGGGCATTTGATGGACCGGTCTGGCGTTCATGCAACGGCCAGAGTTTGGGTTATTAAGAGGGTGGTGGTATAAACAATGCGGAAAAGGGGGGCGGGTTTTGCGTCACACAGTACGACGAGAGAGAAAAACAAATACGGAACTGGGACTGGACGAGTCACAAAACAAGCGTTGCTTTTGCTGTACAGGGAAGATGGTTGCTCTCTGGCAGCGGTTGTGGCGGAAGATGGTTGGTCCAATTCGAGGTGGGCAGGGTCTTTGTTTACGCCCGTTGCCACGGCGATGGAACCGCCGATCTGCATCACCGACCCAATGCGCATCACCTCACATGTCGCTGCTCGACATAGCACCACGTTGGCCGCCGCTACTGGCTGCTCTGGATCGATCTCTGCATAGCCGGACCATCAAGCACGAAGTTTATCATCATACATAGTAAGCCCTGGTGGCGGTGAGGGCGATCTTTTGGCTGGTATGCGGTCAGCGGCAAGTCCCTCAGCTGTGGTTTCACTTCTCCGCACGCACCTCCAACGGTGGGCGTCTGCTATTGGGCCACGGAGTGGGATCCATTCGTCCATAATAAACGAGATGTTGTGCTACAGATAAATATTGGAAAAGGTGGGAAGTAATACATGAAGAGAGGGGAAATGGTATCCAATCGCCCAACCAAACCAGTTCAATCGCAATGAAATACATCTAATCTTCATCACACCTCCGACCCTTCTTGCTACCGGGTAGCTACCGGTAGGCTGTTTCTAAGCTGTCCAGGTCCAGCCATGGAGAGCATACGTATCCCGCAGGAAAGCGACAGCGCGGTTCCAAGCTCGCTCCTTGATCTCGGGCTTGACAATCATGTCCGGCACTGTTCAAAACTTGATTAGTTCATTTGCAACAGAGTAGTCACCAGGTCGAGACAGCTTACACTCGAGATATGCATGGTTCTGGTCCTCCAAAAACACCTCCACCCTCCCCGGCTCACCCGCATTCCGATCTTCCTCGTTGATCCTTTCCGCAAATGTCATCTGCTCTTCCAACAGAATGTCTACCCCCGGAACACACAGCAGGATTCGTGGCGGCAGCGTCTCCCTGGCCGCCAACATGGGACTCAGCCTTGGGTCGTCAAAGTGCTTCTTCCTCGCCTGCTCCGGATACGCATCAAACAGCGGCATCAGCACGGCCACCGGGTCCTTGTCCGGCATCCCCTCTGGCCTGGGCTTCTGCCATGGACTCAGCCTCAGCTCGAGCACCCCGCAGAAGAGCACGCAGCCCTTGAACGCCGTGCGCGACGATCCGTGACGAGCGGGCTGCTGTGTAGATGCAAGCGCCATGTTGCCCCCCGCAGAGAACCCCCCGACCGTCAAAAGCTCCGGGTTGGCGCCCCATCGTTCCTCGGCATGTTCAGTGATGTATTGTATCACGGCGTCCACCTCGTCAATGGCGGCGGGGAAGACATTCTCGGGTGCAAACGGGTACGTCAGACCAAGGACCACGGCGCCGGTCTCTCTGGCCACACGCTCGTCGATTGGCGCTGTGCTCTCTGACTGGCCGCCGATGAAGGCACCGCCGTGGATGTCGACATGGATGGGACGTAGTTGACGGCTTGTGCCGATAGCTGTGCTGCCTGTGCTGCCTGTGCTGCCTGTGTGCTTGTAGACAAGAACCCGGGCCGTCTTGCCCGGCGCAAACGGAAGCCATTCGACAGTGAACGGCCGTGAGAAAAGGTACGGCACTGAGCTAACCGCGTAGGTGATGAGTGAAAGGGGCTGCAGGAGTAGGAGGCGCCATCGCAAGTCCCAGGCGATGGTTGGCTTGAACAAAGCGACCAGACTAGGACGCAGCCAGTGATGCAGCGTGTAAAGGATCCTTGAGACCATGACGTGTCACTCCATAAAGGAGACCCAATGAGATGAAAGGGATGATTATAATTGTTTTGAGCGAGTGATGTTTACCTATTGATGCACAGAAAGCTCCTGGCTTGATGTCAAGAGCTAGCAACCATCATCTCCATCTTACATAGGTACTTGGCCTCGCAACCGTCGTATTGGTACTTGCCTTGGCGAGTAAAGGTAAGCAGCTTAGGTACATGAGCGAGGTCGGAGTTTCATATGAGAGGCTGAGTGAGCAGCTGACACCGACACACTGATTCGTGGTATCTCTGCCCGACGAACCCAATGCTGAATTGAAGGCGACTTTGTCCATCCCCAGCCGATTCGGATGCATAGGCTCGTACAAGCTCGGTGACTGCGCAAGTTAATCAGACGATGAGCATTGGAGACACTTTCGACTTGAGCCGCCGCTTTTATCTGGGAACGAAACGACTGACACTTGCCTGAGGTCAAAGATCTCTTTCGCCTTTCCATCGAGCTTCTCACCTACTGGCTGCCTCGCAGCCACGTTTCGGCTTCTGGTTCTCAATAAATGAGCTGAGAGAAATACATATCAGCTTACGGTGAACCACGCTGTGATTTCTCCAGCTATTGAATTACAACAATTGCGCAAAGGTACTCCGCTTTCCTCCCATTATCACAGCGCGGACTGCAGAATGGAAGGGTCGTGGGTTGTAGAGCATGAAGCGGCAGCTCAAGCTATTTCCCTTGTCGGCACATTCTTATCTATATCAGAAAAATCCTTCCGAGATGTCTCCCAATTCATCGACTACGTTTCAAGTTTGATCAGGAGCAAAGGGGCGGACGCATCAATAACAAGAAGTTTAGACGAACTAGAAGCATCTGTCGAGCTTCTCAAATACGCACTGAACGCTCTGCCTCAGACCTACCCGAACAAGGACATGATGCTAGAGTCCCTTGCTCAGTTTTACTTCAGATTGTATCGCAAGAAAGCAATAAGGAACGATCTTGAAGAGTGTGCGATCTTTGCTAGGCGAGTTCTTGATTCAACCTCTGGGGACAGCTTGGCCTGGGCGGACCGACTGTCATTTCTGGGAACGGTTCTATCTGAGGCCGCTATACAAAAGTGGGATGCTACTCTTGAGGGTGCAATAATAGCCAACCAGGATTGGTTGGCATTGCAAACAGAGAAAGAATCAGACCGACACGCGACTGGATTGGATATTGAATATCATGAATATGAAACTAGTAAATTTGAGCTATCGCAGCTTGAATTGAGTATTCTGTCACATCGCGGCGCAACAATGTGTCGTTCTGTAATCGACCAGGAGAGAGAAGGAAAGCTAAGCAAACATTTACGCTGGTTGGAGCTTCTGTATCGTGAAAGATATCAGCGAAAGCCCATGGTGTCTTTTGGACTTGAGACCGCCATCTGCACCATGCGGAAAAGCTTAAGATTAAATTACGAGAGTGTGTACGATTACGTTTACGGATTGGAACTTCAAGCTGAGCTATTGATGAATCATTACCTTCAGACAAGGACAGCATCTTTTCTCGAGGAAGCAATCGATACCTTGAAAAAAATGTGTCGAATTCCTCCACGAGAGTATTATAGCGACCCAGTTGGAAGAAAGATCCTTGTGTCATGCTTCTGTCTTCTTGCTCAACAGCAGTCGCCACAAGGTTGCGGTGCCAATATGGAAGATTACTACGACGAATCCATATCCATAGCAAGGGACGCATTCGAATTCGAACCACTTCCACCAGCTTGGTGGGAACAGAGTGCTTTTTTGACGTATCGAGCAAGTCTTTTTGAGGAGCGATACTGGGCCTCTCATGACTTGAGGGACCTTGATAGAGCGATAAATCTGGGAAAAAAAGCATTGGACCTCACCCCTAAAGCTCACTCTTCACGCTTAGTTCGCTTGGAGTGGCTCGAAGACTTCCTCGACCAGAAAGTTGCTATGTCTGAAGCCAGTGACGATTTGGAAAATATGATCCAAGTTTCTCGAATGGTTCTCGATGAAGCACCACAAGATGATCAGGAAACATTATCCCTCCGATATCTCAGCCTTGGAGAAAAGCTGGAGCAGGAATATAATAAAAAAGGAACGATAAACAGCTTAAGAGAAGCTATTCAGCTATCCATGAACGCTATACGGCTCACAACAAGTAATGGCACTAAAGCGCTCCACTTCCAATCTCTTGGAACCTGGTACGCAATAATACAACAGAAGACTCAAGATAAGGCAGACCTTAAATCTTCTATATTCTTCTTTCAACGCAATCTGGAAGCTTCATCATCGGAAATAGACAGCATTCCATCAATTTCGTCGTCCAAGCATGACTGGACATTGAAGAACGGCGTTCAAGTTGGTCACCTTAAACAGATCATGCCTCTGATTGAGGGTTATTGCATTGGCCATATGTGGAGAGATGCATATGCAACACTACATGATGGCATTTCTGTCATTTCTAAGATGTCTTTGAGATCATTGTCGGTCTCTCACAGACGATCAGCGATATCGGCTACCGCCGGTATAGCTTCTTTTGCAGCTGGGTTAGCCTTTATAGTAGGAAAGGGCCCCTTGGTTGCATTAGCATTAGTTGAGAAGAGCCGCAATATGTTTGCAAGTAGCCTTGAGGACCTAAGGGTGGAGGTCTCTGGGGAATTGCAACAACTACATCCCGGGCTCGCTGCAAAATTCATGAGTCTTAGGTATCAGGTTAGCAGACCAGGCCTAACACTTCGGCAATTCGAACCTAATGGAGGAAGAGCCATGGTAGCTTGGCAACTTGACCAGGTGATTGAGGAAATTTCATGCAAGCCAGGATTCGAGAATTTTCTGATGTCTCCCAACGAAGAGGATACTCGAGAAGTTTCAAGTTCTGGGCCTGTTGTCGTCATTACTACCTGCCCTATGCGATGCGATGCAATTATCATTCAGCCGCATCAGGTGCGAGGCTTAACACTCTCACATCTAAGCCACGAAGATATACTTGATAAGGTAAAGAGCGGAAACATCAATAACTTGAAGGTGCTTGAATGGCTCTGGGATGTACTTACCAGTCCGATTCTCGACGCCTTGGGATTTACCCAGACACCTGGCAATGGTGAAGCCTGGCCTCGTATCTGGTGGATTCCCATCGGCCCGCTCTCAAAATTCCCTATTCACGCGGCTGGTTATCATAGGTATCGAACAAAAAACACAGTGATGGATAGGGTGGCCTCCTCCTATACTACGTCGATAAAGTCTATGATTCAGACGCGTCGACGAGCTATTCCGGCTCAAAGCAGGCCAGAACGAGCTGTCTTAGTATCTGTTCCCCAAACTACAGGGCTCTCGACACTAAAATTTGTCAAGGAAGAGGCGACCCGAGTCGGGAGCCTTTGTAGAAGCATGGGCTTTGACGTAATCGAACCCCAACCGAGGATGGAGAGCGTGGCGTCACATATGGCTGGCTGCAGAATTTTCCATTTTGCTGGACACGGCAGCGTTAACTCGAGTGACCCGTCACTAAGCCAGCTACTTCTTGAAGACTGGAAGGCACAAGAATTTACTGTAGCTATGATTCAAGAAATGAACTTACGATCTGGATCGCCATTCTTAGCTTACCTTTCAGCCTGTGGGACTGGCCGCATTCGCCAGTCGAGCCAACTTGATGAGAACACTCATCTCATTAGTGCCTTTCGGATCGCTGGGTTCCGGCATGTCATCGGTACACTTTGGGAAGTTAACGATGAATGTTGTGTGAGAGTGGCAGAGAGAACATACGAGGAAATGCTTAAGGAAGGCATTTCTGATGATGCAGTGTGTCTAGGCTTACATAAAGCCACAAGAGAAGCTCGCGATCAATGGGAACAAAGAGCGGAAGCAAACCGCAATAGATTTAGAAAACAGGGGAGGACACATTGTTGGAGTGTAGACAGGGATCGGGATATAGAAGAGTGCGATGTCAATGATGATCTTCAGGTGCCTGAATGGGTACCCTACGTTCACTTTGGTGTCTAGCTGGCTCGAGTTTGGATGCTTGAGGGACAATTGAAGCTTGCTTGATTCTGTTAACTATGCCTGTGATTATTTGACCGAAATCTTAAATCAGTTCATTTCTCTGTCAAGCCAGAAACTGTCCGATGATGTCTAGAGCCTCCTCGACGGTGTACGGAGATTCTTGCTGAGCTTCGAGCGCAATTTCTTATGATCAAGATCTTTTACTAGGCGCATCCTTCCCGTCAGGCGAATTTGGCATTTTCGCCCTTTCCAGTAGTCCAGGGATCACCAAGGCGTGTCGAGATTCCTTTCATGTGCTGTGATACTTCGGATCCAGGTTGGAGCCAACCATGTTGCCATGGAGATGCATGGGATCATACTCTCCTTCTTGCCAACCTTCTTGATTGCCTTTCTTTGCATAATGTGTCTCTCCCCTACCTAGGTGCCGTATTTAAATAACCTCCAGATTAAGACCAAGAGCAGCTAACCCACCACATAGCCAATTGAGAGACACGTTCACTCACACCTTGGATCGCGCCGCGAAGGCAACACACATGGAATCAATCAAGTAATCTGGTTCTTGAGCAAGGGCAGTATGAGATTGTTCTAGAGAGAAATTACATAATAATCCCCAGCCTTTTTCTTTCTTCGTGCCTTTGCATCGTATCCATCGCCACACAGCAGACGCTGAATGTGTTCTCCTCGTAAGTCTGTTCATCATTGTATGTCGCATAAAAAGAAAAATGGAAAAATCCTCCCCAGAACCAATCTCCCAAACACTAAGCGAATAGTGCCGATGCCCACTCAAGAAGCAAAAATGTCAAGTCTGTTTTCGATCCCAGTCATCCCTAACCCAAGCATGGTGATATACACGCCCTTACAGGTCCTCGCAGTAGTCCTGGGTGACGGTGGTCGTGACGGTGCTGGTGGGGGTGGGAGCGGTGGTGACGCCGGCGGTGATGCCCCAGCAGCTGCAGGCAGAGGCGTATCTGGAGCCGTCGCAGGCAGAAGCGTAGGCAGGGACGACGGTAGGGACAGAGGTGACGGCGCGGACGTTGCGGCGGAGCTTGGCGGGAGTGTCGCTGTCGACGGTGACGGTGACAGTTGTGGTACTGTAGTTTGGCGGTTAGTAGGAGAAGGAGGGAAGGTTGGGTTTATAGTCATGGAGATATCAACCCATTCGCTGATGAGTATTGGCTCCAACTCATAGATCTATCGACCCATTTGTTGGCAGTAGAGAAAAGAAGGTACATACACAGCATCGGGAGTAACGGTAGAAGTCTGGAAGCTGGTGCAGTCGGCCTTGCGAGACTCGATGGGAGTAAGACCCTCACGAGTGCCACTATCGATCTTGTTAGTCCACGGCATTGAATATCGAAGGGAAGGGGGTTGACTTGCGTCACTTGGCGGGCACAGTTGTCACCAGCGCAGTTTCGAACCTCGAGGACGCCAGCCATGGCGGCGGCAACGAGGGAGAGGATAACGGCGGCCTTCATCTTGAGAGGTGGGTGTGTGATACAGAGACAGGTAGTCGAGCTTGGGGATGAGTTGAAGATCTGATCTGGGAAACTTGACCGTAAGGAAGGAGAGGCAGGAAAACCAGATGAAGGGTGGCACAATGGCCCTTTATGGACTCTGTCGTGGTTTCCGCAGGCTGGTATCCGATGGGAAGTGGATAGCCAACGAGCTGGGCGGGCATGTCATGGATGGCATCAGCGTTGCAACCACCAAGAAACCATATGCCTATCCCCATGCAAAGGCTCTACTATAGCTCCGCTTTGGAGCTTAACAGGCTGGACGGGGCGTGTGAAGGCATGGGGACCCAAGCTGCCGAGCATCGGCTGGTGGAGGTGTGGGTGACAGCTGCTAAACAGATTGTAGTGTACGTTGGTCAAGTATTGCTCTCACTTGCAGCAATTCAGAGAGGCAGGCCCTCCCATTAGGCTTCAGGAATAAGGAAGAGACCGTTCCTGCGCTACCCCAATGCAGGCGAGGGTGCGAGGAGGTGGGTTCGGCCGAAGCGCCCGTATCCCATCCCACCTATGAGAGGCGCAGGCCACTGCATGAGGGCGTCAAGGATCCCGGGGCTCAGCGGTTTATCAAGGTACATTTGTTTGTGTGTACCGGTGACCGAAAGGGACAACGGCGAGTTCAGCACTACTGAGCGTGCTCGTGTACGGAGAGAGGCGAGGCGGATGGACACTCCGGCACCAGGGCTGGTAGGCAGCCTAAAGCCGGAACGAAAGCGGACAATAAGAATAAGATAGAATGTTCAACGGTTTATGGATCTTTTTAGTGCGCAATTGAGCTTTATTGGAGCGGGAACCAATCTGTAGCCTTTGGAGGTCGTCCGAGTGGTCCGCTAACACCAAGAGGAAAACAGGTAAAATAGTTTCTATAAATTGTGGACTGGCGCCAACGACGAGCCTGTTTTCCAGTTCGTTGTCATAGCGGACGGACAAAGATTCACAGCTACGGCAGGGTTGACCCCATCAAGTGGCTACTGGGTTGGGCGTATCGTAAGCATCGGCCACCGTTGGCACACCCCATGCTCACGGGCCTGTCCTGACCCTTGTCGGATCCTTAGCCTAGAAGCCGACTCGAATTCAGCCTGCGGACCATGTCATGCACGTTGTATTCAGTGACCTGCCCGGAGAGGCTGTTTATCTGCAGGCGAGCGAACCTTTGGTTATCACCACGACCCGGGAGGGAGTCGGTGACTTTCCAGAGAGACTGTGTATCCGGGACCCCGTATCCTGTCGGTAAAATATGGACTACGTATTCGTTCGCACTGTGATTCTTTATCATAAAGCTTGGTGAAGCTTCTTTGCTGGGATGCCACCCCCTCTCCGCCAAGCATGGACTAAGGTGAGCCTGGGTGAACAGGTGAGGAGAAGGGTCGGGAGAAATCCATGCGAGCAAGAGCCCAGAGCGGCGGTTTTAGCCTGCAATTGGAACCGTGAACTCATTTCCTCCAACCATCGCTCTCGGTTATTCTTGAGCAGGTTTCTCGCGGATCTCATAACCCTTGACCAGCATCTCATCTTTCCCGCGGGCCTGGGTGTGGCGATCCAATGCTTTCTTCCGCACCGCGGGGCAACTCCCCAGCTGGCTTCAGGTGAGGGATAAGAAGCAGTAAGCATAGCACCGCCTCAGCAGACATTGAGAGACAGCTGGCTTGGACGTCGAAGATGGGCCATGAGCGCCGAGCCAAGGGTCCATGTCCGGGCAGCCGATCCGAACTAACTCAACTACGTAGTGTAAAAGCTAGCGAGCTCTTGGCAGACCTTATGGGAATGCGCTGATAGCTCTCTTTATCCGCCCCTCTAGAGTAGTTCCTCTCGATTGATACTTGTTCCCAGCGCCACTCCCGTACAACGGTCGGTTTTCTTAGCTTGAAATGGGAAGCTAGCCGATCAAAAGTGCCGTCATTGCGACAGATCACAGGCCGGGAAAGGCAACAGTTGATTTGTTCATTCCGTGGCGGAGGTCAAGACGCTTGAATCGGTCCTAGCAACGCCGTCAATCCTGAGCCGCATATATTGTCTAAACACTGAGAAAAGTGAACGCCAGGGAGCTGCAATTGCTTCTGGTCGAGTAGCCGTGGAATCACAGCCTCTTCAATCCCGAGCTCTCCAGCTCTAGAGCACAATATCATATAATTCTGAATGCACTGCTACCCTGGCCCACCGCATTTTCCCAGCGGCCTGTCCGAATCAGGCAGGCTACAACACCAACATTGGCGTTGCCAATGAGTTAATTGTCGGGCACGTGGTCTGCTAACTAGCAATTGCTGATGCTTTGCCTCTGCTGTCGAAGTCTGACTCCCATGCTGCTGGGCGGCGCAATCGGGAAGCTATGTAGGAACCTTTTCTCGCCCAGTCCCTGATACGAACACCTCCATCTCTGGGCTAAATCGCTCCGGGAAGGACCTTTGGCTGGCCTTGCGATCGCGTCCTCCTCACCGGCCCTTGACCTATCAGACCTTCTGTTTCTGGCCGTTGGTTATCCAGCCCCCGCCACCGGAGAGCACTGGCGACAGGAACCGACGCCGTCTCGCTCTCACCACAAATTAAATTCATATCCATTCCGTCGGACATGCCCTTGGTAAACAAGCTGATAAGCTTACCGAGAGAGAGATGGCTTTTGACAGGGACTAGGCCTGAGTGAGAGCACGAACGGGCTATGCTCATAGCAGGGAAACGGAGCCTTCTTTTCTTTCGTGATTAAAAGATGGAGTTTGCCTGAATAAACCTATGTTGCCTGCAGGTCCAGCGGACGCGTCATTGAAGGTCGCATTGTATCACGACAATTGGCATCAATGAAGGCCCGGCAACGAGTAGGACATGCTTCCTCACGTTAGCCTTATCTCGATCGGCTGGCGTATATCGTAGACTGGAATAAAGGAATTGGCAATCCCAACCGCTGTTCCATGTGCTTGACCGATTGGAAGTATTGCAGACCTGTATCCGTCTTGGCCACCGCTTGAGACGGATGATCTTTCTCCAGAACAGGCTCAGAACCCCCGTGATGTCTTTACCCCACGCCGACCTCATTCGCGGGCCAACTTTCCATATTGCTCTCTGTTTACCCGGCTAAATCTTCCGTCATTGAGGCCGCCATCACACTGTTCATCCACCGTCGTTCAGGCTCGTAGTCCTCGTTCTAAACAGCGCATGCGAGGTGCCAATTGCGACATGAGTGTATGCCCAGTTGCATGGCCGAAACCGGGGATTGAAGGGATTGAAGGGCTGGAATCGCTGCAACACACATGGTAGCACCCAGGGCTCAGGCCAGTGTCTCACCTTGCTCGGTATCGCCCGGATCGTCACAGATTAGAGTAGAGGTCCTACAGTAGAGTGCTACTGCAACTCCACCATCCTATTTGGCTTTGATCAGCGGTCCACGATACCATGTTGCGAGCCTGTACCCATCTGGCCAGAGTGAAATCGTAAAACCAGGCCAAGGGCGAGGTCGTACCTGGGCCAAACGAAGCCGACCTGCTCAGACCCGGTGCATGCGGGCCAATGACGCCGAGTTCGCGTCGCTGGACTTGGGGGCGCATATTAATCTGCGCAGTATGTTATATAAATTATCCGGCCCGGCTTTTCCCTCGGTGCTTTCTCTGGTATCGATGGGCGAGTGGTGCTGAGGCCGGAGACGGAGGAGAACTCCATTGGATTACCAATGTCCTGCACTGGTACCTCAAGATATTATCTCTGGAATCAACGATACGCTTTGCAAATGTTGTCTTCTTTTGATAATGCAGTAAGGAGCTACATTTTACAATGCGACTTGGTCAAATGTGTTTGCTTTACCTTCGCGAAACACCGCGAGATCTACATGAATCGCACTTGGGAAGTCCGATCAGCAGAGAGGGCGAGAATGAATCATCCCACAGGCAACAATGTAGAGAGTATCATCTAACTTGCCACCTCTCCAGCTTCTTCCCATGGTTGATATCCCAATGGTTGCTCCCTCAATCTCCCCCGAACAGCCATCAACGCCCGCCCCAGCAGATTCTCACCCCAGTGATCCCGAAAGTTCATTGCATGCTTCGCGGTATAGCCAATCCCCCATACGCTATCCCTCCCAGCCGCCTCACACAGCATCCTTTCCCCAGTGCTTAGTAGCTTCCCACGAAGGTGCCTGTTTTGCCCAAACTTGGCCATGTTCCCTTCTTCGACTACCTGTCTCTTCACCTGGTCCCAGCTCTCGTCCGTGAACCCTATGGTGCCCTTCCCCAGTGCTTTCTGCTCCTTGGGACTGTCGCTCGCAAGTACGCGATTTTGCCGTTCCAAGTCTCCAAATCGTGCCGCCTTACAATACATCATGAACTGCTCCGCGCAATTAAACCAGATGAGTTCTTCAGAATCGGAATCGGAGGTGGTGCCGTCGGTATGTGAGGAGTGATCTACCAGCTGGGCGATGCGTGTCTTTGAGACGGAGAACCCGGCTTTGTACCACTGGCAGAACTCGCCATACTTCTTGTTCGGCATGTAGAAGAAAAGCGGTTGATCGTCCTCTGTGGGCGCGGAATGTGGCTCGTCATCTCGTTCGTCGTGGGTAGATGCATTCGCCGGCTCGATAGCCTTGCGGCCGGCTCCCTTCTTCGTTTTCGGTCCCATGATTGATTGATCCCGTCTCTAACACGTGTCAGTGCAAGTGCTCTGGCTAAGGGGAGACTGGTACTCGATTGGCTGATATCCGAAAAGTAGGATTGGATAGAGGATGAGTGTACGAAGGAAGCTGTGTGTTGATGCAGAACTCCAGCTTGGGGGATGTCAGAGGCCCAGACAAAGAGAGATCTAACGAGCAGTTCGTCCCGACGGCACGTGAGTCATCAACATGAAGGTTTAAAGAGTTTTGCTTCTGCGGTGTGCATCTTGTCGGTTAGAGTTTTGGGAGTGTACAAAATTAGGTAGTCATCTGTGCCCTCCAAATGACTGCATCATTATGGCTCATCCACACCTCACCTCTCTCCACCAGCTGATAGACTAGCATTGTGAATAATCCACGCTTCGTCTTCACGATATATGTCTTTAAACCCCTAAAAAGCCAAGAAAGAAAAAGACAGGCACACAATAGTAGAGCGGGAGAGGACACCTTTGCCCTTGAATGCAATAAGGTCTATAACATGGTATAAAACAGAAACTCAATGGTATTTATGCTTAGTGTATGATAAAACCCAAAACAAAGTGAGCCAAAAATATAAAACTGCTGAATACCAGCAGCACGTTTAGATATAATCTCATCCTGAAACGCCTTGCTGTGCTCATCATCTGGCACATCATTGTAATTGTGTCCCTTGTAAGCGCCCCCCAAAATAGAAAATCCATCAAGAACTCCTCGCACTCTGCGCAATGGTTGATATCGTTTCTCCATCCCAGAGAAAGGACCGGAAAGGTTGGCACTCAATGACATATTCGAAAGGAAAGGGGCAGTAGGGGATGTGTCATTCCCCCCACGCTGTGGCAAGATAAAAAAGAAACCTAGAAGAGCCTAAAGGCCTTGCTTTATTTTTCCGTTTATCGATGAGGAGGAGGATAGTAATCGTCCCCCTGCGCCCACGACGGTTTCCTCTGCTGGGGCCCCAGCGTGTTATTCGGCGACCCGGACGTCGACGATTCTTCGTTGATGTTGTCCAGCCCGCCTGTCTCGATACCCTTGGCGGTACCGCCGGTCGCGCTCCTCATACGCTGATGGTGGTGGTGACTCTGCGACCTCGAGACGATACTGGAGATGCTGCTCACCACCGAAGACCGACGCTGGTCATCGCCGGCGAAAGTGGACGACCCAGGCGACCCCGGAAGCTCGGGCACAACCGCCCTCGAGTCCAGCTCGGTGACGAGCCCCGGACTGAACGGCTGAGGAACCCCTGGTTGCTGCTGCTGCTGCTGCCCAACCCCGCCGTCCGACCCGTCCGACGCATCGCTGAAGCTCCGCACGTGGGTGTACCCGCCGTACGAGTCGTTGCTGGGCCGGTCAGGCGCGATGCTGTACCCCGTCGACTGCTGGCTCGTCCGCCTCGGCACCTGGACGCCGTGCGGGTTGATGTCGAAGTAGCCGCCGCCGGCGCCAATGTCGGGCGTGCTGGCCGAGACGCTGGGCACGGTGCTGACGGGCTGGTAGTGGCCGGCGAAGCTGGTGGGCGTCTGGCCCGTCGAGCTGGCGATGTCGGAGGCGGCCTTTGTGGTCGGGGGCATCATGAGGGAGTCGACCTCGAACTGGGTGTTCTTCCTCTGGCGCATCTGGGGCTGGGAGCCGCCCGACTTGGAGCTCGCGACGGCGGCGACGACCTTGTTGAGGTGGCGGATGACGACGAAGGCGATGACGATGACGAGAACGAGGAAGGCCACGGCGCCCGTGACGATGCCGGCCAGCTGGGCCTTGGTGAGGCCGCCGCCGCCGCCGCTGTTGTCTGAGGAGCTGGCCTCGGCTGAGGGAGTGGCTTTGGCGAGGGCGGAGGGGAAGTATTTCAGTACGGCGTCTGAGTCGCCGTTGCCGACTGCTCTTGTGGGGGCCACTGGTGTGCTGACCGAGAGGCTGCGTGTCGTGTAGGTGCTGGTTTTGTCGCTCTGAGTGGTGGTGATGACCATCTCGGAGGTCTTGGTCACAGGCGCCGTCGAGTAGCATTGGTTCACGGCGCATCCCATGCCATTGGGGCAGCAGCCATAGCCGAGTGATGACGGGCAGAGGTACTGGCTGGCAGGGCAGCCGAGAGTATATGGTGATCCGGACGGAGGGACACAGTTCCCGGCAGTCTGGCAAAGGTAGCCATCGGGACAGCATCCACCTGTGAGAAGAAAAGAATATGTCAGTAGGTATTCACCTTGGACAAGCGCAATGGGATCGCTCACCTCCGTATTTCGCCTCGCAGGCCCTCCACCCCACGAGCGTCCCGCACGTCGAAGGACCTCTCGTCGTAGCATAGCAGCTCTCTCTTGCGCAGTCGTAGGCATCGGGGCAGCATCCACCGTCGAGACTGGCCGGGCACAGCTTGGACGACGTCCCGCAGACACCGGCGGTCATCCCATCCCGCGCCTCTAGGATCGCACGAGCTGTGATCTGGGCCTTCTCGATTCTGTGGACGCCATCGTACCGCTTCACATCAACGGCGGCGACCTCGCTCACTACCGCGAGGCCGAGCAGGAGCCCCAGCGAGAGGGTCCCTCGAACCATGGTTGCGATCCGAGCCAGACTCGGTGGGATCGACGACGTTCGCTTTATTTTATCGATCGTATCGCACACGGCCAGGACCCGAGCCTAGATGAGTCGGCTTTGCTAGCAAACGGGTCCGTCTGTCGCTTCGGCGCCGGGCTAAGAGGCAAAGCCGGGTGGCGTAGGCGGAAGGTCGGTAAGTGGGAGAAGCTTAAACTCGGACGAGCGACGACGACTCGGGGCAAGCTTCGTATTTGGGCGTTCCTGGGAAGCGTACGAGAAAGGTCGATCAAGTTTTTTCGCAAGTGGCACAAACAGCAGCGGGTTTGGATCCAAGTGGGAGGGCAGGCTGGCGGAGAAATAAGCCAAGATGGGGGCAAGCAGACCAGGACGATTTGAGAAAAGGCTCTTGGGCCGTCAGCATCCAGAAAGGCTTGGCTCAAGAGAGAGTCCCTTGCCAGTGAGACCGCCCATGCATGTGGCTCCGGCGGCGATCAGCTAGTGGGAGAATGGATGGTGTGCGATTGCCTCTGCTCAGCTCTTGCGGGGCGCAGCAGCAGATGCCAAATGCTTGCTGAGAGCTGACGATGGCGGTGGGGTCGAACCAGACCAGGGATTGGGAAAGGCAGCGAGAGGCAGCGAGAGTCAGACAGAGTCAGAGAGAGGGAGGGGCCTACGGACAGCCTACATTGGCTGGCCGTGAGACCAGCGTGGATATATGTACCTGGACCCAGCTGAGTAGGGCTGGACGATGGTGTTGATGATGATCTCAATCCCAAGCTATGAACTGCTTCTCATCGCGGTGCTATTCCCGCATGCATCGTGGCTGGTGATATTGGCTTACTTACGAACCATGTCAACCATGTCATGTCTTACAATCCCACGCTGGCGATGGCAGACGAGCCGAGAGAGGCAGCAGAACGTGCCTCCTCTTCTGCTTGCCGTGTCCACGTAGTCGAGCGAGGTAACGATACCGTAACATAGACCTCTGGGCCGAGACCTCGAGGGGGCCATGCAAATCGACCGGGGTGGGGGCCGAAAAGCTGGAAAACGCCATCTTTCCAAATACCATGCGGCACCATCGATCACCATTCGACCCCCGGGGCCAAGCCAGCCAAGCCTGTGTTGGTGGTAGCCGGGGGTAGGGGGAACGACGAGGGGCTGTTCATGTGCGTGTCCAACAGCAGCACGGACTTGAGGGTCCCCAATGAGAGAATGTGGAAGGACGGCCGCCGCATTGGAAGAGACTGGGCCAATCAACTGCCCCGTCGGGCTGCATCCCGGAGGGGGAGAGAGCAAAGGGACTTGGGTATGCGTGCGTGTGTCTGTGCTGAGAGCAATGCGGTCTCTCGTCCAGCCAACCACCACCCCTGCTCCTACACCACCAGCCAACAGAGTCAACTGCAAGTCTCACCCAGTGCGCGATCTAGCGATAAGGCGGGCCCTCTTGTCTTAGTGTTGGCTGGTGCCCCTCGTCCTGGGCTGCTGAGGCCAAGGGGCAGGCGTAAATTGGAGCCTCATTTGGCACCCTCTCTGCTAGAGAATCGGTGTGCGGCTTCACATTCTGCTACCTGCGGCCAAGGGTCTAGTCTCTCGCCTCCACTCGGGGACTTGTTGGTTGCAGATGGAAGTCTAGCTGCCGGAATGGCGTTGTTTTGGACCAACAGGTGGGTATTGGGCGGGAGCTGACGGGAAGAGGTGACATTTGGGGGCCAAGTCTGCGAAGCAATGGAACTGTCCAAGTAGCAGCTGCCGTTCCCTCGTATGTGCGTATGTATGTACGCGCACAGCATGTGTGTATGTTTGTGTGTATCAATGATGTATGCACATGCGTCTGTCGACGCTGGAGGCTCCTGGTTGGGCAGCCAAGAGGGACACGAGTGGACAGCCAGTGACACGGCCAATGAGAATGCCCTCCGGGAAAGGTGACGGTACCGAACGGACACGATGCGATGTGATGGGATGGAACCTCTGCTCCGAGCCTGGCAGTTGTCATCCCTCCCCATGCCAAATCACCGTCCTCGAGCCTGACTGACCTCGCATAAGCGCCAAGGGTCAGATGGGCCCAGCTCCGTCCCCCCTGCCCTGCTGCCCTACGGGTGGTGCGTCCATGTATGTACGTGTAGCCTACGTAACGTCCGGAGGTGCATATATTAGAGTAGCAGACGTGATCCGTATGGTTCGTATGGAGGGGCCAGGCGGGAAGCTCTCGCGACCGGAGAGAGCATGGCCTCCCCTCCTGACCAAAGAAGAATAGTTTACTGGGCCGCTGCGTGCAGTGTGTTGCATTTCAGCCTGTCGATTGCATGAACAAGCAGTCCGATGTAGCCTCGTCCCAAAGTACCTATTTACTTGCATGAAGACTTGTCCATGAGGTTCAAATGGCAACATATGAGGGGAGCAGCGCGCGCGAGGAGAGAAGACGAATATTTGCTCAGTCGCAGCAGCGGGAAGGTCCCCATACCACGCTGCTCGCATCATGCCATCCATGAATGTTTATTACGAAGTTTGCGACGGCCTCTGTGCTGCCGAGGGGCATCGACCATTTCTGTTGTAGGGATGCTCAGTCTGCCACCAGACGTTGCCTCCCCTGTGGTGTGTCTAATGATCCTACTTCACCGAGAGGCTGGCACGGCCCTGGCTCATATTCCCCTTCTCGGTCAGCTCCCGCGTGCGGGAGGCAAATCCAGGTGAAATGAAGCAATCTGGTGTTTCGCATCGCCCAAAGGAGAATTTGGTCATCTTGGTGTGCCACCAGGGCCAACAAGACTTGGACTGTGCACAAGAAGGCTGGAGAACCGGCGAAGCCACTGTCCTATTTTCTCACGCTCATGCCATTCGCTCAATTCATTCACTGATCGATCTGTATGCTACAGGCCATGTCCTTGCATGCTCTGCCCCGTGATTACTTGATGGGGCTACCTGGCCACATAGCAGCGCCTGTTATACATATGCCGTCACTCGCAATGCTGCTTTATCACGTCGTCGTGTTGCATGTGCTCCCAGAAATAGGTGTTCTTCTAATCCATTCCTTCCATCTGATATGGAAATCGTCATTGACTGGCAAGACGAGGTGGTTTCAGTCACCCGCCGCTAGTTGGGACGGATTTCCCTCACCCAAACCACTGCGCTATTTTTAACCTGATACAAACACCATCGAGATGCTAAGACTCGCATTGCCGTCGTGGAGGGGGGATGGCCTCTTTACTGATTGGTGGGTGAAAGCTTCTACCCGCCCGTGGAAACTTGCCTTTCCCCTCCCTCTAGGCTTCTTCCCGAGGCCATACTCTCTCGATTCTAGGTACTTTTGCCTAATCACTGGCTAGTACATACGTAGTTGGCTCGAAACTCCGCTACATAATATGCAGAACATTCGTGCCGTGAGATGTTGATGTAGCATCCGGAGGTATGGAAATAGAATAAACGCTGAACTAAGCCTTCACCAGAGGGATGGCAGACTTCGCCCTGGTCTCTGCGTGACCCCAAACACCTGTCCTCCGTCCGGAGCCTGGCAAGCTCGGCCGGTCCCGGGGGACTGTAGGGCTGCCGGTGCCGTTTCTATTTTAATCTTCAACTACACCTTCGTAGACTGACAAACGGCCTGTTGACCGATCTCGATGTGTATCTGTGATCCCAGGCAGATCCCGAGAGTGACCCTCGCTTGCCTACGCCTTGTCTAGTTCGAATATGCTGCTACGAATGGACGCAATAGTCATCTAGCTCAGCCGACCAGGAGTATTGTTCAGCTCGTTGAGCTAATTTCATCGACAACCCAGATTGGGGAACGTGTTCCTGGGCGCCCCGACCAATGACTTCATATTGGCTTTAGCGATCTTCCGTAGGCCGCGCCCCTGGGAACAAAGGGAGCCACGAGGGTAGAGGCCTCAGACCATCTATCTTTGACCTCAGATAGCAGTCTTTGTCGGATCTTCAGGAGCGCTAAAGACGGGTGTACAGACACGTGGCATCTTAATTGAAGCTCTACTTGAGATGGGCTACCTGACCATTCATGTCTAGATTTTGAATAAAGAGTGAAGCAAATGACACTACACAAAGGAATGTCCTTAGTATGACGTATCACCCTATATGTAGATACTGGTATTGATCTTCTCGCCCTCGTGACGAAACATCCAAAGTGCAGGTTCAGCCTCAGCGAAGGGTTGAATCTCATACGCTGCGGGAGAACTGGCGGTCAAGGTCTTACCCACCGACCGGTGGGTGAGTCCATATCTCTGGCTCAGCCATCGCTACGCTCTATTTATTCTTGGTGGAATAGATTGCTTATCGCATCGAATGTCGGTCTGGTGTGTCTCAGGACGCGTAGCCGCAGACTCAAACCAGTATCATGAGCATGAGACACCAGTTCAAGGGCGTCCAAAGTGCCGTCATACGGCGACAGGAGAAGAACGTAATGACTTCATGGAATGAGTTCGGGGAAATTTGCTCATGTGTTTGCCTGCTCTTGGAAAAATGGTTCAGTAATACTGCATCGGCGTCTCAGACCTCCCGTCACGCCAGAAGCTCACTCAATAGTTGCGCCGCCATATTTCTTTTTCCTTTACTTTTTCCTTTCTTTTTCCTGTCCCATCAGATGATTGCAATTATTAACTCATCACTTTTACCTATGTCATTTGGTTACATTGGGAAGCTATCACTTTTCTAGCGGAAATGACAAAATTTATACGAGTAGCGAGTTACCACGCAGCCACCAGAACAAGCTGGATCGTTTCACTTGGCAGAAGCGCTTTTCATCTGGTGCCCAGGTTGCATTCAATTGCTCTGGCTCTGGCCACGAAGGAAGTTTACTCTAAATCTAGCCTGCGAAAAATAAAAGAGGACGTTTATCAAATCTTCATCTATTTGCCAGGTGACGGCCGCAATGGTCAGTGAGTGAGTCCCTGAAGAGCAGCTCAAAGCAGCGACTCGGCGCTGGTCGCAAACTCTCATCTTCCTGTCATTTATTTTCTTATTATTTGAACTATTGACGGCATGCTGCAAGGAGTGCTTCGTTTCTAGTGGCTAGAGCATGCGCCACATGGTTGGCTGCCTAACTGGCTGCATGCATGGACTGCTGACAGGGAGTTTCATCACTCTCATCACTCCCATCACGCACAGCACATGGTCAAACCTGGCTATAAATACGCTTCTCTGAGCCCGACGACCCAAGATTATCCATCAAATATCATCCGACAATTGAAGGCGACAGCATCAAGCACCATGCATTTCCAGACGCTCCCTCAAGAGGTGGTGGCCAAGATCATCGATATTGTGCGCCTAATAGAGCCTCACAAGGTCGATTTCTTGAACCAGCGCCTTGTCTGCCGTGGGTTCACACTCTCTCTTCTCTTGCAAGGGCATAGATTGACCTGGAAAAGGGCGCTTTGATGATCAGATCTCCCGTCTCGTCCTGAAACACGTCGAGCCACTGACTCTAGACATCGGCCGCAGGCACAACTGGCGACCGGGCATCGAATGGATGCTCATCACCAAAGCCAGGATCCATGTCAGAGACTTCGTGGGGCCCTTCGCATTCCTCCACGATGCCGCGGCCTATCTGGCGGCGAAGAACTTGATCCCCAGCCTCACACACGACGATGCCCTCGTCGCCGCCTGCCGCGCCGTTGTCTCTGCCCACGAGCCCAGCTGGGTCGTCAACCATCTGGTGACCTGGGAGCTTAGCAGTACTCTGCCAAAGGTCGTCTGGCCGCTGGCAAGCTACACTTCTAAACGATTCAATCCAGCATGGAGGCCTGTTTCTGAGGCTGATACTAACATTCATCTCGGTACGCTCCAGGTGCTGCTCGCCCATGGGAATGCCTTGGCCATCGAGCACTTCATCAGGAGCTGTGGCTTGACCAAGAGGGATCTGGAGGATGTCCACCTTGCTTTCGGCTCTGTCCTCTCTGCCGCTATTGTGTTTTCACGAGACATTGCAATCTTCACGCTCATAGAAGAGTATGGGATTGACACGACCGTCTTGACGGTTGATGGCAAGGTCAAGAATGGCTTGCTGTACGCTTGCGAGATGAACCGGCCAACGGCAGCCTACATGCTCCTGAAAGCCCCGCGCGATGTGCAGGTCAACTTCCAAGATGCGCTCGGGCACTCCGCCCTGAACTGGGCTGCCCGGAGAGGATGGGTAGAGGTCGCCGAAGCACTCCTCGCGAGGGACGACATCGACCTGAATATCGCAACGAAGTGGGGAGAAACCCCGTTGGGCGCAGCAGCAAGGCAGGACCACGAGCATATCGTGCGGCTCCTCCTGGACAAAACAGGCGGCAAGCCTCCGATGGTGTACTCGAGGTACTCCCCCATGTGGCTTGCTTTTGAATGCGGCTCAACCAACGTGGTCCGCCTGTTCCTGGAACGACTTGGGACCGACTTTGAGGTCAATCAAGTCATGCGCAAAGGATTCACACCTCTCACCTTGGCAGCGAGCAAGGGCCATACGTCCATCGTTCGCATGCTTCTCGCCTTTCCCAACATCGACCCCGACAAGCCGATAGACAAACAAACCCTCACGCCCCTTCTGCTGGCTTGTGCAAACGGTCATGCAGAGATCGCCCGCATGTTGCTCGACCGTGGGGCAGATGTTACTCGCAAGGCTTTTGGGAGGCTGCCCTTCCAGATGGCGATGGAGCACGGACATCCCGACGTATTCGCGCTCCTGATTAACGATACGATTGAATCAAACGACGAGGCCCGGACGGCTCTACTCTGGCTTGCTGTGGAAATGCGGCATGAGATAGGGATTATTGAGAGGCTTCTTGCTTCTCCTCAATTTCGCCGGAATCGCGGCGATCAACTGGGGAGAGTTTTGGTTCACTCGGTAGCACATGGCCTCGTCGATATCGTACGGGAGTTGCTGTCCCATGCAGAAGTTGATCCCAACTTCACCAGAGGCTTCCCGTCTGACAAGACACCGTTACTTAGGGCGATATACTGCCCAGCCGCGACAGACCTCATCCCGCTTCTGCTGGCCCGAGAAGACGTGGATGTCAACAAAGTGACAAGTGGAGGAACTGCCTTGGCATCAGCAGCTGTTCGGAACGCATTACCCGCCATAGCCGCTTTGCTGAAGTATCCAGGCATTGATGTCAACTTCTGCCCGACACAATCAAAGGGCGCCAACAGACACCTCCGTCTGAACCAGCCTCGGAACTTCTGCCCTTCAAGGAAACCACCTTTCAAATCTTACTTGAAAGACAACATCTATCGGCAGGAACCCCCCCTCCTGGTTGCAGCCACAGAGAACAATATTGAGGCAGTGATCCTGCTCTGCGAGGACCCTAGGGTTGACCTGGGCATCAAGGACAGTTTCGGCAGAACTGCACTCTGGTGGGCGGTTCGACATGCTAGCCGCAGAATGGCCGTTCTCATTCTGCGATCTCCACGGATGACGGAGGAAATCATCAATGCCCAGGATGAAGATGGCTGGACCGCGCTGCATGTCGCCGCAAACTATGGCCTTCACAGAATTGTCGAGAAGCTGCTCGAGCGGCCGGATATTGACCCCAACCTGCGTGTTTCAAATGGCTGGACGGCCTTGCATATGAGCGCGGGAAACTGCAACAAGAACGTTACGCGAATGTTACTTGGCCACCCCAAGATCGACCCAACCATCAAACTGGATGATGGTTTAACGCCGTTTGGTCTTCACGAGGGATGTGAATGTGGTCTTCAATCAATGGACCCAGAAGGAGTGAAGGAAAATGGTTTGGAACAAGAATTATCGAGTAACGAAGGTCGAGCTGTGAGTGGCGGGGGGGAAGACATGGATATTTCAAATTGAAGAGCAGTCATGAACAGGGCACTTTTTGTATTATGCAGCGATATGGAATGAAATATATTGTCTCTCGAACATTTACCATTGGCTCTGAATAATATGACAATACTATGCAGGCCTTGGAAGTAAGCCAGAAATTTAACAACTTCAATTTCAATCCACCCTGCCGGCGTAGTAGATTTCGGATCAAAAGTTCAACCTGCGTCTTTCCTTCTTTCTTCCAACGCACCTGGTAAGATTATCTTTGGCACAAGTATCGACGCTCTTGATCACCTTGCCTGACATCATGCTACAAGCCCAGAGCCTCCGATGTCGCATGTGAACCCTCAAGAAGAAGCCTCTCGCGACAGGATGTCCGCCAGCTTGAGACCAATCATGTACGTAGGCATAGTAGGCCATGCGCCGGGCGCGCGAGGGAAAACAGACGCATCAACCACACGCAGACCTTCGACACCCTGAACGCGGAACTGGGAGTCGACGCAGGCATCGCGGTCCCCCTTGGGCCCCATGCGACAGGTCCCAGTAGCATGATGGCCAAACGCCTCGTCCTTGAGCGACTGCCGAAGGTCCTCGCCGGGCCCGGGGCTCACTATCGTGATGGGCGCCCAGGTCTCGCTCGTCTGGTTGAAGAGGTTCAACGCCAGCTCGCCGGCCTCCACGAGGGCCTGGAGGTCCCGCTCGCCAGCGTCACCGACAAAGTAGTTGAAGTCAATCACCGGTGTATCGCGCGGGTTGCGGGAACGCAGCGTGACACTCCCCTGGGCATCGCTACCGGGGCCGGGCATTTGCGCCAGGGCCCAGGAGAAGGAAGCAGGAGAAGCTGCCGGTCGGGAGAAGCCAGGATAGAAGCCCGTGACCGCGGCTCCCGGGGCACCGTAGAGCCACAGATCCGGATGCTCGTTGTCGCTCACGCTGGAGCGATATACCAGTGACAGAGGCGCTGCAGCTTCGCCATATGGTCCAGTGCCACTCAATAGCCACTCCTGGTAGCATGGATCACTGGCCACGAATTCGAAGGTGCAATTCTCGGAGTAGTTATCCCAGTCGATAGCTGCATCGCCGATGACGGTCGCTTCATAGTTATCCTGCAAGAAGGCCCCCTAGAGAAGATTAGCCAAGGGTTTGTACGAATGCAGTATTGAGAATAGGCACATACCACGGCGGGAACATCAGCGACAACAGGTATGTCAAACTTCTCGAGTTCTTCACGAGGCCCAACACCACTGAGCTTGAGGATTTGTGGAGTGTTGAAGGAGCCGCCTGACACGATGACCTCCCTTGAGGCGAGCACGGTTTCAACTTCCCCTGTCGTGGAGGAATCGTATCGTTGGTCGGCGGCATAAAGCGCGTCCCCGACCATATACTCAACTCCATATGCCCGGGGAGATTGGCCTTGTTGGTCAAACAATACCCTGGTCGCGAGAGAGCGTGTGCTGAGTGTCAGCGGATATTTTTTACTGCCGTCAGCGTTCTTCGCATTCAGCGTATCCACGACATAAGTGCGCGCGCCAGATCGACGCTTGGTCTCAGTAACAGCCGAAACGAGCATGAAAATACCCTCAGAATACTCCCCGGGAGGGTAGGGATCCCGAAGCAGTAGATCGGCCAAAGCATCAGTGCTATTAGGTTCAATGCCTTCGACTTCTAGGGAAGCCTTTGACAGCTGGTCCACCACACCAGCGGATCCGGTGAGATAAGTAACATTGTTTCGAGAGAGCTGTGTCTATTAGAAATTGGCATCTGGGCAAACTGGGGATAAACATACTGTTATAAATCCGTCAAAACCATGGCCCGGGGTACCTTGAGGGAGATAGTTACAATTCTCGACCTTCATGAAGTATTCCCTCATGGCAGCCGCCTCGAATGAATCATCACCAGTTACTTCGGCGATATAATCCCACTTTAAATGTCGAGTTAGCCTCTTACCATGCTGCGGCCAAGCTGGCCATGTTGAAATAATGTCATGCTATTCCGGGATATCTTTATTGTAATGGAAGTGACAATACTCCAAGGCTGCAATTACTCACCTCGTGGTCAGGCGGGGGGCCAAGATTCATAGCATTCACCTGAGTGCTACCACCCACAGTGGCACCACGCGGGTAAACGATTCCTAGCCTAGAAGCGTTGAGATGAGTACATGGATAAGGACAGTTTAAGTATGGCAACTTACGGTTCCGCGCCCTCAGGCGGGTTTGGGCCGATATGGTAAGAGCCATTACTCATGAGATAGGTGTAGTGCGGATCACGGTACGCCTGCGTTTCGTTGTTTCGGTAGTGGTGAACAAAGAATTGCCATGAAGAGTTCAAACCCTCTGCTGCCTGACCCGAACTACAAGGAGATGAGAGAGTTAGCCCCGCCGGACTTGTGTAATGACGGTAGGAATACATAGGGGATATAACAAACAGCGCTGGAATTTGTTGAGAAAGCTCGTCGCCCTGATCTTCACCTGCTTCAATGAGAAAGACAGAATGACCCTTTCGAGCCAAAGTCGCCCTGTATTAAAGCAAGTTATCAGCTCAAAATTGTTCTCAAGTTGTGAATATTTGAAGTAAAGACTCACGCCACTGCTCCTCCTCCAGCGCCTGAGCCAATGACAACATACTCATACTCAGTTTCGCTCGTGACTTTGGGAGCCACAGCTCCCCAAGCCGTAGCTGCAAGCCCACTCAGAAGATAGATTGATCTCATGTTATCGAAGTCGATGGAATGCTTAGTATTGTTTGGATTGCTGTGAGTTGATACGAACTTGATATGAGATATAGAGGTATTTATACACAAAATCTAAGATATGCTCTCGGCTAACAACACTCCCGGACATCCCGGTGTATATTGTGAAAAGATGTTCAAGATCCTGGAAACGGAGTTACCAGTTGACTTCATGTTAAAGGCCGAACGCTTCATTTCAAGCCACTCTTCGGTAGATGCCACGGCACAAGTGCAACTTCCTGGTACATGTCCTGAAGGGTTTAGATTGTCATCACGTTATTTTTAGCGTAAGAGTACTTTGAGGTACGCCCTGCTCTGGCTCCATGCCCCTTAGAATACGGTAGACTCTGCTTGTCTGCTATATCTTATGGGGTGTGGATCATTACCGCGAACCCTTGGCTGGGCACTAGCTACCTAGGTGTTTCCAGGGGAATAAGCTTACCATGCAACCTGCTCACTTCTCATGCAGCCCGCTCACTGTACTCTGCAGGGAATATCCCTCGGACTTAAGAGTCATCATGAGAACTAGGATTAGGCTACTCTGTTTCAACGTCTTGTTAGTGAAGATGCTAAGGAGCAAATTTGGGTATCGTCAACGTATAAAAGTCAAGAATCTACAAAAATCGTCACTAGAAAGATACTATGAGATACAGCCCAGTCCATCGCTCGAAATGAATCTTGTTGATCTCATGATATAAATGGTTGAGATTCACATCAAGGATACAAAGCCAATAGGAATATCTACAATCTTTCACTAAAATCGCGACTCACGGACTGTTTATTCATGCTAGTATTGCTTTGATAAAGAGGGATATATTATCCAATAGGGGATTATGCTTTGACAGGACACATGTATTAATCTAACCCGGTGACCTTACAGGTCGTTGTGTAGGTAGGTGGTGCATAAAAGGGTTTTCTGTCCTTTGACTCCATTTTTAAACCCTCTCTCTTCACTACGGGTAAAAAATACATCAACTTGCTGTAATGTTTTCCGCCTTGTTCTCAATCTCAACATTTCTCATCCCTCTCCCACCCGACAAACTTTCGGTACCCCGGTAGCGCTTAAGGGGCCTCATGCAGATGGTCTGCGGTTAACTCGTTGCCCGTCATGGGAGGATGCTGGTTAACCTGATTGTATTGAGGTGGCACCGACTTCTGCTGATGTTGGTCGTCCATGATGGGCTTTTCACCTGCACCAGACGCAGACGGATGAGCGTTGGCGCCCCTGTTGGCCGTTTGTATGTGTCTCCAGAAAAAGAAAGCAATTGCAGCAGCCACAAGGACTCCAGAAAGTGTTGCTCCGACCGCTATCCCGGCGATGGCTCCAGCCGAAAGCCCAGGACCGGATACTTGCGAATTTGCAGCGGTGGTTACAGTCGTGGGAGCAGCACTTGTCGATGAGCTCGACCCGGATGTCGTTGTCGTCGTCGTCGTCGTCGTTGTTAGAATTCGAGACACGTTGAAATAGTGAGAGTCCGTAATTTGCTTTTCTTTCGAGGCGTCATACATTACGAGCCAGAAGATGGAGTTCTCGCCCTCAGGAGGCGGCTCGCCTCTCAAAGTCTTAGCCATGTTCCATCGGTGGCTCCTACTGGAAGTGTTTCCTAGTAGGTGATTGTCAGCCTATCTTCTTTGGTTTGCTTTCTTGATGCTGATTGCACGGGTTAAGGATTCTTGTACTCACGAATCACATAGGCGCTGTAGTATTTGTCTGGCGGAGCGGGGTATTCCTGAAAGATGCCAATGTCGACGTATGTAACATCCGACTCCCACAAGAATTCAACCTGCTGGCCCTCCTGGTATGTGGGATTTTCGCTGTAATCACCTGAAAGGCCACCAGAGGGGGGCTTGTTGAAGATGTTTCTCGATAGAACAAAGCTACAAAGCCACAGGAAGCTCGCGGCAAACACGACTGATTGCATGGCTGACTGTTTGTAATGAACTTAAAGACGCGGAAGAAGCTGAGAACTTAGTCGTAGAGGATGGGAGGACATATATGCAAAAAACGAAAAGCTCGAACGGGCGATTTGCCAAAAGGGGGGAATCACAGTCAGCCCCGAATGGTGGCTGGTTCCCGTCGTCCAACCAAGGATGGCACAAGGGCACCTGTGATATCTTGAATGGGGACAGCTTCATGCAGAGATGCACCGTATATTGTCCTATTTAATTGAATAGATGCATATGTGTGCATATGCGCAGCCTATCGGGTCCAAGCAAAAGTGCCACCGGGATGATTGATCGGCATGAGTACTCTTGGTAGTGTGACATGCTTCTTGGAAGTGTTTCAAGTTCTCAGCCCTTTGTGTGACCACTCTGACGAAGACTTTTCATACTCTGCTTCCTTCATCATCTCGAATACTCTCGTCCTTTACGGATTGTTGATAAGCTCACGCGCCGTTTCTCTTCGCAAAGCTTAGCCAGCTTACACTTGTCGTTGGATATATTAAAGGGAGTAGAGTCAGAAGTTATGGCGTACTATGACGCTCTCCTAAGGGTATGCTGGCCTTTTTTTGTGACTCTACTGCCTACGTTATACTGGCACGTGTATTTTCGATGTAGGGGCTGAGAAGAGATTAAGAAAGCTCTGTAGACTTTCTGCAGTTTATTGAATTGGGCTAACCATGCCTACGATGCCATTGAAGCTATTTTAAATAGTATCAAGCACTAATACCCTAGAACCAAACATCTTGACGAAATATCTCCAAGCCTTTACATACTAAATCGACCACAACTAATATCTTTCTTACACATATAAACACTATAGAAAATAATCTTAATTAAAAAAACATTGAAAGTGCGACTGTTTCGATATCCCCCAATTCCGAGCTTTTGTTTGGTCACCATTCTTATTCCCAACCCTCAAAAAATTCCCTACCCGGCTTTATCCATAAGTCTATTTTTTTTTTACGCCCTGACCAAATGTTAAAAACCTCGAATGACAACAGCGCCCAAACTAAATACTATCGACACCCGGTTCTGTTAAAACCAATGGGCTTCCGGCTCCCTTTCTGCCAAAGGCGGTCCCCTCATAACTTGCATCCCAGCCTCAATCTCGATTCTCAAATCAATCCGTGCGAGATCGCTATATGCAGCTTGAATTTCTTCGACTCTGCCCTTGAGCCGCTTCATTGACGAGCCAAATCCAACTTCGTCCTGGCGAACCTCTTCCTGCCTCCCCTTGATCTCTTTCAAAACGGGACACTCTCATTAGCAGGATGTCCGAGGCCATGAGAAGCTGCACCGGGAGGGATCTCTCCAACCGAGACCATGTCAACTCCGTAATTCGACGGTTGGGCTTCCAAGGGACGTAGTCGACCCCTGTGCCGCGGTCTAGGAGGAGAAAGTAGTGATAGTGTAGCTGTGGTAGAGGGACAGCATTTAGGTCAACACCAATGTGCGCCTCATTTGATGCTTCAGCTTCATTGATGCTAGTACTCTCTCTGGTTTGAAATTCCGGCTGCTCATCTGGCTCTCGATATTCGTTGGCTTGAGGGGGGTCTCGTAGGGATTCAGAAACAGGCGGCGCCTGTCCAAGGGTCGCTGGGCTTCCCTAGCTTCACTGGTGTTGTTATCAACATTGGTTCGGGAATTGGACATCTCATCAGGCCCCAGTCTTGAAGCCTCGTTGATGGGAGGGGGTTCAGTGGGGTCATGGTTTTCGTTGAATCCATGTCGACCAGTATCACTACCATGCTGGCCTAAATGCTCATCCCAGATATCAGCGGCGATCTCTTCGATGTTTGGATCATCTGTGGGCATGCCGGCGGTCACTCCAGCTTCTTCGTTCGCCACATTGATCGCTCCTGGTGGTCACTCTTCTACGTTCTCGGTGCCATTGTTCATCTTTTCACATTGCGTGTCTGAATCAGAATCACTTTCTGAAGATGTCGAGGACCATATGTATTCCTCCATTGTCCCTTTCGATATGTGGCCATCATTGCGAGCGCGTCTTCTATTCCTGGAAGGCATGTAGCGTCTTGTAACATTCCCTCACCTGGGAATATTGCTACTCGGTTCGCTTCTTCGATAGATCGGGCCTGGGATTCGCATCGGAAGGGGAGATATTGTCAGCCGTATTCTTGAGCGTTGGTCCATCGGATTGGCCACTCTGGCTCATGTCAGCGTTATTCTCTTGCGATTGTAGAGTTCTTACCTGGTCTTGAGGATTGTCTTGTTGAACAGACGATCTTTTCCCGATGCAATGAGAGGGGGCACTGAAGATATCCCCGGCCCCTCTGTGTCTTCTTCCTTGGCAGCAAAGATAAAATTGGTGAAATCTGCTCTATTCTCGGGACCGGGCGCCTCTCGGGACCGGGGCGCTTCTCCAGGTGCAGGGGCAACAGGTTGTAGGACGGCACCAAAATCCCGGAGGTAGCCGAAATATAGCTCGTTCACTGGGCAAGGATTAGCTGTAGAGTAGCCGTGGCTTCTAAATATATTCTTAGTTGCCGATCTCCTTCTTAATTTTTTTGCTGCATATTTCTTTGCGTTTTTATTCAGCCTCCAGAAAATCTGCTTTAGCAGTTTTCTGATTCTTCTCGTGAATTTTCTGGTAAGCACAAGGATGCAGCGAAGCAGCTTAGGTTCGTCTTTTGAACGAGTCAGCTTGTTAGCGTTTGTTGAGTCCTCGCTGTTTGGGTAGTTGTCTGGCCAGTATCGGGCGCTATTGTTATCATCTAGCATTTGATGGTCTCGTCGAAAGCTTAGAAGATCTGGCCCAGGAGTGCCTTCAGGTAAGACATAGTCTTTCTGAAGGCATGTACACCTTCTACCCACCCGCGAGTGGCTTGTACCCCGGAGGGATAACCCAAGGCTTTTCCAATAGCTCGATGATTGGTTGGCTGGTTTTTGGTCAGTTACTCATCATCTCTCCTACGAGCGGGCATCTTGAATATGTTAACTCAAGAGTATAGCAAGTGAGGCACCTGTGGAGTGTGCTTGATGTTCGCGCATTTCTCAGAGGTGAGGTAAAGCTCGGCTCTCTAAACCATTACTTCTAAGGAACAAAAAGTGAACTTTTCATATGTGGGGTAGGATAACTTCTGAGAGAAAGAGCGCTTAGAAAGAATGAACGGTCAGAGATGGCGCACCGAGTAATACGGAAAAGGGCCGTCGACGTTGCATGATCGCCGTATGGCGAATGGAACATGGTATAGCACCAGAGAACTTTCCTCATCGGGCTCGATTGTGCGAGGGGCCCCGTCTGCGGCTTAAACCCCTATAGGCAAATTTGTCAGTATGGGCAAGGCCCAGCCAACAAATAATCGCAAGACGCGACCCTCCAAAACAACAGAAAGTGGGTGGGAAACACGGTCTTAGAAAGTAGCATTATGAAACAATAAACCCTTGTAAGTTTTATCTTTGTGTTCTCACGACGAAACGACTGATGAAAAGGTTTCCGGGCGATTCTCGCACCAAGAAGGCGTATCGGAAAGCTCCTGTTTACACAATAGTAAAGCTAAATAGTTTGATGTCGAAGGTCCACCATCACCAACACAGTATATGTGTTGTGATTTGACTATGAGCGAGTAAGTGGGATTTTTGACAGTAGTCGGGGATATTGCTCTTGTGTTTTGGTCTTTGTCTAATGGAGGCTTTCCAGAAAGGCCTTCACTTTTTGGGAATACATTAATCAGTAGAAAATGGATTCTAAGGCGAAATAACTGGAAGGGAGGCAAGCCACGTCGCCATGCAACCTCACTTCCCCTTTGTTGTGCATGTTGACGTCAGGTGCTGATGTCACGCTGATTTCATAGCAGATTAGCCCAGCTCAGTCTTGAGCGGTGAACTTGCAAGCTGGTTAACGTGGGGCACACCGGATTGTTCAATTTGTTGTCGAGATGCCGTGAGATACGGATGACCCTTCTGCAGATTTTCTTCAAGTTGTGTCTATTCCGGCTTTCCATCTGGCAACGATATACCAATTTCTCTATATTTGAGCTTAATAAGTCATCGTGTAATCTAAGATGATTTCTGTCGATCCGTATTAGAAATTCACAGCTGGCGAAGAGTATGCCTTGCAAGTACTAATTTTAGGTCTTGGTTATTAGTCGACCTGCAGCCAACAGCCAACAATCAACAGCCCACTCACACAGCGCTTAACTGAGGCTGCTCACTGTTGTGTCCCTAGAAATATTACATGTAACTTTACAGGATATTCGGAAAAGGAAAAGAAAGAGAGAGGAAGAATGAAAAGGGGGAGAAGAATAGTTTTCGTCTTCGTACCCGCGCCGCAAATAGCCAACATAACTGAGCCACTGCCATCACAGATACATTAATTCTTGCAACCACTAATGGAAGTTTTAAATGGTTTTTTTTTATTCAACAACACGGCCTGTCTTAGACAAGAAGCGTGACGTGTCAATATCAATTTTTGGCGTGCTAGATAGAGGCTGAGCAGGGCACCGATTCTCGTGCAGGCAACCTGACGATCAGCGCTTCAGGCCCATGAGATATACTAGCTTCAACTCAGCCCGTGGAATTTCATGGAAAATAGTATCAAGTTAAGAACTAATACGAGGCGAGCCCATGGGGTAAAAGTCAGCCCGTCTTTAATTAGCTTCGAAATAAAACAAACTCGTATCAACCTACAAAAGGTGGGTCCACTGTGCCAAGCATCCTGGTGATAACTTGCACCGAGCCACTCAATACACGTAATACGGGGTGAGATCCTAACGCAACCTTCGAACACAGCTCGTGAAGTACCACCCTGATAAGCAACTGCCCAAATAGGCCATGATAGCTGGTTTGGCTTAACAAATGTACTGTGGCAGTTGAACCATGGCGATTGTGTTATATTGCCGTGGTCTTTCTCCCATCTGAGCAATGACTGATGCTTCATCTTGAGAAACTCCCCTATCGGCTCCAAACTACTCCAGTTACTCATCAACCTCTCTCGCAGTTAACATAGTCTTCGAACAGTGGACTTTCAGCTTCAGCTTCTCTACCATGGGGTCACTACGCAGAGTCTTCATCTTCCTCAACATACTTACTGCTGCTGCAGTCAAGAATGACTCTGTCTCTGAGTACAATTCAGCCCTCAGCGATAGCCTGGCTTCGGAGACAGAAAAACCCTCGCTCGCCACCCTTCACAGCTTGAACCCCACTCTCGTCGAGACCTATTCGTACAAGGAGCTCAGACAAGTCATGAGACAAAATACCGAAAGCGAATTTACGAGTGCTGAGTTCACAACAGCAGATGCGGTTTCAGCTACAGACGTTTCCTCAGAAGTCGCTTCATCAGAAGTTATCTCCTCCCAGGATGCCTCATCTACTGTACCAACGACATCTTCGACTTCCTCGACGTCTGCCTCCACTTCATCTACGGCGTCTGAAAGTATTTCAAGTACTACATCATCTACCACCGAAGCTTCTGTTACGAGTACAACTTCATCGAGTGTATCAACGTCAACTTCCTCTTCATCAACCATATCATCGACCATATCATCGACCTCGACATTTAGACCAGGCAAAGTCAACACAGGGACTGTCTGCTTCACCACCACCATGACTTCTACCTCAGCCTGCGATGTGGTTGCCAGCAACGACCACAGGAGTACGCGAACATGCACGCCCCTAGAGTTTAGTAGGAGCTCATGTTCACCGAATCTTATATGCACAACCACCCTGGACGATGATATTTGCATGGAGACTCAAGGAATTGAAACTGCGGGCATTATTATCGCTATAGTTTTCGCTTCTCTTGCAGTGTTTTCCTTTGGGGGCATTTGTGTTGCAAGCTGGAGGCATTCTCGGAAACAGAAGGCTGCTGCTGCGAAGGAGGAAGCTACAAGTCTTTTGAGAGCAGCGAGTAAGAAGAAGCGTCTAGCTACAGGTATATAGTTATATCTCGTATAGTTTACTTTTGAGCTTGAATTCTCTCTTTTTACATATGTTTGTGATTTCCTACCGGCATTTCGTCCAACACTGAATCAATAAAGCCAAGTATACAAGCTGAAAGAATGCGCAGATATTCCATCACTCAGGGATGCGCCAAATTAGTCCGTCTACCCCTAAAATCAGATCTTATTTGACGTGCACAAAGATCGCTTCTCCCGAGTTTCTTATCGCTGGATGGCCGTAACCTTCACCTGAATTGGCCCCTTGTCCCAAAGGAGAAACGTCTTCTGCTGGTCCCAATTTTTACTGTCGGGCAGCATCTCAAGGTCAAAGGACCATAGAAGGCGCGCCAAGATGAGTCGCATCTCAGCGTAGGCAAGGCTATTGTTTTTTAGGTAGCATGGTCAGCGCCTGTGTCATTGAAACGGTAGTCAAGACGTGACAGAGAGGGCATGGCGGTGCTTACTTTTTGCCAATGCAGTTGTTGGGCCCGTAAGAAAAGGGGTTGAGCACCCCGCGGCTGTCAGACTTGTACTTGGGGTCACCAAGCCATCGTTCCGGGACGAACTTCTCCGCGTCTCGAAAGTTTCGTTCATTGTGGTACGACGAATATTGGGAGACGGAGACACTGGTCTGTTTTGCGAAATTAGCATTAGCTTCCTCCTCGAGCATGTTGCTGGATTCACCTACCTTGCCTGGAATCCAATATCCTTCGATGAATTCGCCCTCGGGTGGGGTGATCCTAGGCAGACCTGTAGGCACAGGTGGGTCTACGCTTGATTAGCTGTTGTGATGGAGGTAGGTGGAGGAGAGTTTCAAGGGAGTGGACTCACACATTCGAAACCCTTCTTCAAAAACGGCATGGATATACTGCAAGTCGTTCACTCTCGTAAGAGTAATCTCGTCTTCTGACTCGAACGTAGATCGTATCTCCTCAGTGAGTTTCTTGTAAATACTAGGGTTGGTCAAAAGATGGTAAGTTGTGCCGCTTAACTGTGTCGCCGTAGTTTCGCTGCCGGCAATAATCAGAAGTGAAGCGTTCTCAACGAGTTCCCCCTTAGTAAGGCCTTTTTCATCATTGTGGCGAAGGATGTATGACATGAAATCTTCTCGGTCAGTGTTACCCAATTCTATGCGTTTCAAGGCGGTCTGTTGGGTGAGCTGATAGTGTTCCTTAGCCTTTTCCCTCACCCATTTAGGAATAATGAGTGAACGAAGTGGAGCAAGGAACGGATATCGCCTTACGACTTGGCCTAAGGACGCTATACGGAGCACATCAAAGATCATAGAGACCCAAGGGTGATAGCCTCCTGCCTCAAGGCAGCCAAAAGGCTCGCCAAAGGCAAGATCGCCAATGAGATCAAACGTAGTGAAGTTATACCATGCCACAATATCGATCGTCTTTCCGCTCTTTGCATTCTCGTGTGTCTTGGAGATAAGTAAGTCGACATACTTCTTCATTATACTCTCTTGACCTCGCAAGGCCTTCTCGGAGAACGCGTGGGATATGAGTCGACGCATCCGCTTATGATCCTCATGAGGCGCAATGATAATGTGAGAGTGGCCGGAAATAGTTTCACGGTAGGCTCGGAGGTCTTTGTGGAATGTTTTGTTTTGGGATGTCTTGTGCCCATAAATCGTTTTCCAGGAATCAGCGGTGGTGAATGAAACGTCTTCGGGTCCAAATCTAACCATTTGGCCATATTTCTCGTGAATTTCTTGCAGTTTTCTAACCCAAGTGCCACGGGAGACATGATAGAGGTATGGTAGATCCGTTATAGCGTAAAGCTTAGGGCCAGGGATTTTTGCAAGAGGATGGAAGCACGCCCGGTATATAGCTATGCTAAGTACCCATAGAACCAACTTTTGGCAAGTTAGTGAGCTATAGGCAGCAATGGGCATTGTGGAATGGCAGTTACTTACACCTCCAGTGGCAGCCAGTGGTAATATGCCTATACTGAGAGGAATCTCCATTGTCAACCGGGAGCACGAACTAAGGAGCCGATAGGATGCAGACGCAAGAATGCAAAATCTTGGAGCTCTGAAGAATCATTGACTAACAAATGGGAGTGGAAGAGTATGGCATTTATAGAAAAATCGCCAAGCCCCAGACGATCTACCCGCTCGGCAATTGATGCCAGCCCCTACATCTTTGCACCTAAAAATCCATGGAATTTCCGCGGAGTTTCTGGTTACATTCCCTTCTTTGGTGAAGCACTTGCAAGGAACAAAATAGCATTAACAACTTATCAAACCCGAATCCCGAATCTCTTGACCATTGACAGCCAGCGGCGTTTGCTGCAGTAGAGGTTTTGCCTCACCACGCTACCCCTATATTCGCCCCGTGACCAACACCTTTCCGCTTGGTAATTCCCGCTAACTGGCGCGGATCGATGTCATCGAGACGGACGTGGGCATGAGGCTTAGTCAAGAAATATTAATTAGGCCAACGGGCCGTGGTCAAACCCGCACATTCCGTCCACACCATCTGCCGAATTTGCACACGAAAAAACTTGGACCACAAAGAGATACTACGAGCCGTCATATCCGTGCCGCTAGAATTTCCGAATCTCAACAAAGGCCTGAGGGACTTCTGAGTTCCCAGCCATGAAGTTACAGCATACTGCAAAGCTTCCTAGCTTCGTTATGCTTGAGTCGTCTTTCATTAGATGCCGGTGTTGTCTGCAGGCACGGTTATAGCAGGGGCAACTGTAGACAAATATGCCAAACTGAATGAAAGAACAAAACGGTGGTTGGTGATCATAAGTAAAGCAAACAAGCTATGTATCAGAATAAAGTAGACTCGGGTTAAGCTTGGAAAATAATAAGAGAAGTCTTTTGCTAAACCTTTGAGAGACATTTCACAATACGTGACTTCCATCTTTGTTCCTTGCTTTATGCTTTGAGAATGTCCAGTGATGCAGAGAGACAGAAGGCTGAGCCGAGCGAAACACACAACGGACAGTCGGTCCGGGGGCTTCGAGGTAGCAGGAAAAATAATGGTTGATGATGTGGGGGGAGATCGGCACTTCATCCCAATGCCGGTCCCACCACATTAATCACGGACTCGTCTCCAGCTGTTGCAATCGCCACTCATAGTACGTTAATGCGGGATTTCAGCACCTTGATATCACAATCCGGTTCAATAAAGCATCTCATATACAGAATATTTAAATTTGTCTTAGTATGGTTATATGAACCTGGAAAGAATTTTTTATATTATTGTTATGGTTGTCTCCATTAATAATGTTCCTTTTTTTCAAGCCAAGTTCAGGCGGCTTTTTATGCTTGTCTTTGAGAGAGTCATGTCAATCTCTGCACCAAACTCAAGGTTATTGATCCGACCTAAACAAAAATTATTGTACAAGAAGATTTCTTCAATTCCCGAGCTGTGTTACAATCTCTTATTTACTTTAAGGTTGGAAGCTGGAGTGGTCATTCTTCAGAAGGGAGTTGGTATAGGGTAGGCATCGTACCAGCGGCTCTGAGTGGTTTCCATACATTGAGTTTTGTATAGGGGGGACCTTTAGACCTATGAGCTATGTTCCAATCCTCATTTATTCCTATTTAATATATGGTCAGCATCAATAAATCAACCTAATTGTGTGAAGAGGTGATTTAATTGAAGACGTAACCCAATTGAGAACACCCGTGATTTCAAGGTACCTACAGTACCAAGGCTCACAAAGAAACTCTATAAACGAGGAGAAAATTCAATCCGAAGCTATGAAGACTACAAGAACCTCGAAAAGGAAGTGTAACGAAAGTACGGCATTTGTAAAGAGAGATTGCCATTCCATAGTCGTACTTGATGCGAAGATTGTTTCCGTAAATTTCACACTGGAGCTTCACTTGTCGCCCTTATGTTGTTGAAGGGAAGGGGCATATACCAAATGAGAGGTAGAAAACCCAGAAAGAAAAGCCAGCTGCTATGATCTTGAGAAGCAGGCTGATCTGCCGGAGGTGCATGGGTGAATGGAAGAATCAATGAGTGTTGTGTTATGGCTGCTGTAAGCAAAGCTGGAAATTGGCATTTATGGGCTTGCTGGTAGGGAAAAATATTGCCTATTATGTAGAGGATTTTTGAAATAGTATGGCCGCATTCAGCTTCATTCCAATTGCAAAATGAGCATTGGTGACGTGTTCTCGACCAGGGGTTGAGCGTGAGACTTCGCTATGAAAGCTCTAAGGTTTATTGCTGTTGGGAGTCATGCTGCCCTTTCCGACCCTTTGAACAAAGCCAACAAGTCCACTGGCGGTTGGATCACTGAGACATCGAGGTGTTTCCTTTTATATACTTCAAACAGTGAGTGTTATCTAGCAACTCGTGGGCGACTAGATTCATTTGGGAAGGCCCACCCTGGCCACATCCTAGTCGACCACTACCGGAGACTAAAATCATGCTCGCTAAGTCGGTCAGCCAATTTCAAATGGTGAGCTGGCGAGTGGAGGAATGGCCTGCTTCGGTCCTCCCTGGTTCCGGATTTTGTTCTTGGAATTTCGCCAGCTCTGCTTACCTTCGCTCCTCTCTCTTTCACTCCAAACACGACTTTGCCGGCCACAATGGCGGCCTACGTAACCTCTGACTCTCTTCCGTACGCCAATCTCTTTGTGCTCGTGCTCCTGCCACTGCTTGTGACGTATGCAGCTACCGCCATCGGCAATTGGGGGTATCGCAATGGAGACGCCTCGAGGGAGCCACCCAGGGTCCCGTACTGGATACCGGTGATCGGCAACACCTTTGGGTTCGCGTACAACACGGAGAAGTTCCTCGCGTCAGTGATGTAAGAGATCAATTTTATTCAACTACCAGTGTGCCTGTCTAACACGCTGCAGATCGAGATTCGAGAAGGTGCCTCTGCGAATTTTCGTGGGCGCCGAGCAAATGTATTACATCCCCCAGGGCAAGCCCATTCTGGAGCTGTTCAAAGCATCTCGCCATCTCACGACGCATTCACTTAATGTGATGACTTTGCGGGATGCATTTGGCGTTCCAATTCCAGATGTCAAGCTCTATATTGGCGACAAGTCCGGCATTACCGCGAAACCAGCGGCTGGATTTGAGGGTGGCGACCCAGCCCACAGATTTCACTTCATCGAGCATCGGGATCTGCAGACTCTTCTCTCTGGAAGTTCATTAAATGTCATGACAAACAATTTTATCAGGCTATATAAAAAGATAATTGAGACCGACGCTCGGTTCGCAAAAGGCGATTGGGTCGAGATCGATAACTTGTACACTTGGATGAGAGACGACATTGCCCATGCCGCGCTGGAATCGTTCTGCGGCGAAAAGTTCCTTGAGCTGTCGCCAACATTCATGGAAGACTTCTGGGCGTTTGATCATGTCCTTCCCAATTTGTTTAAGAGACTTCCCAGGTGGCTTATTCCGAGCTGCTATGAAGCAAGAGACAAGGCATTTGCAAGCGTTCTGAGATTCCACAACTACACGAGGGAGAATCTTTCGATGACGGACGAGGAGACTCTGGCAAAGGAATGGACGCCCGAGTTCGGATCAAAGCTTATTACTGCGAGGCAGAAGCTGCTTCAGACGACCGGGTTCTCGCCGGAAGGTGCGGCAGCTCTTGATCTGGGATTGATCTGGGCGTAAGTGAATGAACCATCCCCACGAAAGATGATGCGGATTTTAACAAACTACAGGCTGAACGCAAACGCGATCCCGGCTGCTCTCTGGATGCTACTCAATATCTTGGTTGACCCTGATCTGAAAGACCGCGTAATAACTGAGATGAGCCCTGCATTCGAGGAAGGATCGCTGTCCCTTGATCTTGAGAAGCTCTGCTCCGGACCACTGCTAAACTCGATATACTGCGAGACCCTCCGCCTCCGAGTGGCAGCACCGGTGGGCCGAACATCGACTATTCCGGACCTCAAGTTTGGCAGGTGGAAACTCAAGGAAGACGTGTGCATGCTGTCCACATCATGGTACGGAGGTCGCGATCCGGACTTTTGGAATACTGGACGTACGTTGCCTGACGGATCAGTCGAACATCCTGTTGATACATTCTGGGCCGAGAGATTCCTTCGATATCCAGACGACCCGGCAAGCGGCCCTGTTCGCAAGCAAGGCGCGAGCGCCACGGCATCTAGAGACTCCGGGAAGCGGACGGCGGATGATGATCGTAAGGCGCGGGCTGTGACGGACGGCACTCAGGGGTATTGGTATCCGTATGGTGGTGGCCTCAACATGTGCCCTGGCCGCCATTTCGCCAAGCAAGAACTGATGGTTTCGGTTGCACTCGTCCTTCGTGCGTATGACTTTGACATTGTCGATCTCCAGTCGGCCGCTAAGGTGAAGCCAAATATGGAGTATTTCCCCTTCGGAACAATACCGCCCAAAGGCAAGATTGCGACCAGAATAAGGCGACGCAAGCTGTAAGCCGGAGGATATTCGTATATCAGAGATTCACTTAAATATAGTGGTCGAGTGTAAAGCGAGTTTCGTCGATGTGGCATGCTGTAGTTAAATAATGCTCTTAAATGATTGATTATTAAGTCTTTGGCTGGATACCTAGGACCTTCGAAGCCGTATAATGGTAGCTACCAAAGATGGATCACATGATTCTGTCTGCAGTTCGTTCGACAATGGTGGTGCTGGTGGTTGAGGATGGTTACGGTGATAATTGCCCGTCGATGGCCGTTACATAGGGACATGGCATCTTCGCAATGGGAGCACCAAAGGGTGCTTTGAAGCCCCCGTGTGGCTTTTTCATATCTTCCACCTTCTCAAAACTGATGCAAGTGTCTACGGAACCTGTCTCTATCTAAGATCCAACTGACTAGCTTCCACGCAGAAGGCATATCAAGTCATGTATGGCCAAGAAGCCTCTGTTTCAGCTCTTTAAAACGGGGACTAGACATGAATGTCTATCAAACCGGGGTGCACTTATGAATGAGGGAACAATACTCGATCAGACATGATTCCGATAAAGAGCCCGCACTTTCGACAGCACATTCTCCGAACACCGCCTAGTCCTTGAATGGCAATACATTGTTGGCAGCCCACTTGCCCTTACCACCGCAGTACTCTTTGTTACCTGAAATTCATATGAGACTGATTATAAAATGATACCGTATCATTGGATGGGAAGTTTTGCCGTCGCTATTTGAGCTTCTGTTCCGAGTGTCGGAGAATACTTGGCGTCATCAGCTTACATCCCTTGCTTTAATCATCCCTACCTGCAACCGAAATCCGATTGGACAGCCTAAAAAGCCGACTGCGAAGCACCGTTTAGCCAATAATATTGCGGTAGTTATTAGTTCCGGCTCTTGTTGTTAGGATGCAACACAACCCTTGTTATCCTCCGCATGTCCACGACGTAAGTTGTGGCTCTGGCTCTGAAAGCCCTCGCCTGGTATCCAGTTTCCATTGGCTAGTGTAAAAACCCGATTGCGATGCAAATTCCAACTAATAAGATCGCTTCTCAATGCGATTTGTGGCCCTGCCCCTGGAATCCGGCAATGCTGGACCCTTGCAGATACTATTGCCATATCGAGGTGTCTTGGAGATGGCACTGCCGCAAGATGAAAGACTTGAATAGACAATATTCGGACTCATATGTGTATAAAGATCATCGAGGACCTCCCGACTTCTCACCATATCTCCAGGACATTCAAACATCTACTCTCTCTTAACTTCTTTGCAATTATAACTTCAACGCGTACTCAAACCCAACCAATTCCACCAATATTGACTTGCTATTCCTCAGAATGTTGCTCGCCGCTCTAATTTTTGCCGGCACGGCCTCAGTAGCCTCTGGCGAACCCCTTGGTGACGGCGGGCCTCCACCTGGTTCAGAGCCTCTTGAATGGGGGTTCTATGCTACTCATGAGCATAAAGACCCAGCCCAGCTTGAGGTCAGAGGCACCATCCCCTCCTGGGTCACGGGTCAGCTTTACCGTACAGGTCCTGGCACCTGGGATGTAGCCAACTTCACTGGCGACCACTGGTTGGATGGCTTCAGTCGCAACCACCAGTTCCACATCGAGAATGGCACTGTTACCTACCGTAACCGCAACAGTACGGATGATTTGCTCGACTTTGTTCGTGAGCACGGGGTCTTCCCGAACGGTGCTTTCGCGACTGACCCAAGCAAGCTCGTGTTTGGCCAGTTTGAGACAACGTTCCGGGACGCTTCGCACTCCCTTGGCGATGCCAGTTCTGCCAACGTCGGTGTCGCTTACGTTGGGAACTGGCCTGGTCTGGACAAAAACGCGACTGAGAACGGTTCCTACTATGATACGCTGGTTGTCACCACGGACAGGGTCGTGATGCAGCAGATCAACCCCGTCACGTTAGAACCGATTGAGCTTTTCACATACGAGGCTGGTGATCCCCTGCTCGTTAACTCAGGCCGCTCTGCAACTCATCCAGCACTGACGAGAGATGGGAACGTGTATAATTACCACCTCGACCTGGATGCCGACCCGCCTGTCTACCGAATCTTCGGCATTGAGAAGCCTGAGGGCAAGACCCGGATCCTGGCTACCATTGATGATGCGCCTGCGGCATACATTCACGCACTTTGGAACACGGACAACCATGTCATTCTCATTGTGGTGCAGGCTGACATAGTCAAGCCATCTAAAGGCACCATCCGATCTACCTTGGGGGATTGGAAGGAAGACCGCCCAGTCCTGTTCTATGTAGTGGACAGACGCAACGGAGGAATTGTCTCCAAGTACTTCATTGACGAGACATTCTTTGCTTTCCACCAAATTAACTCGTTCGAGGACGATAATGGCGACATTCTCATCGATCTTCCCCGCATGGACGACTACTCTTTCCTCGATACCTCCATGCTCGAAACCCTGCGCAGCAAGACGAACACAACTGAAAAGTTCAAAGAGATGGAGGGTGAATTCACTCGCTATCGTCTGCCCTTCGTCGGAAACGGCTCTCACTCATCCAACGGTTCGCTGATCACGCATAAAGCCTCGATTGACTTCTTCCTCCCATTTGACGAGGCTAACCTTGAAATGCCCCGCATCAACGAGGCACTGAATGGGAGGCCGTACCGTTACGCCTATGGCCTTCACACAGTGCACAAGGGAAATATGATGGACTCCATCATCAAGATCGATACCCACGAGAAGACATGGAAAGTCTGGGAGCCAGCTGTCCCCATTCTCCCCTCCGAGCCCATCTTCATTCCAAACCCCGAAAGCACCATCGAGGACGACGGTGTGTTGGCCTTTATCGTTTTGGATTCTGAGAAGAAGACCAGCGCTGTGGTCTTCCTCGACGCCAACAGCATGGAGGAGATTGCGAGGGCCTATGCGCCAATTCCCATGGGCTATGGCTATCACGGAATCTGGGCTGGGCCCCAGGCCAAGATATAAATTGAATTCCTGCCAGGGAATATTCACAATGCAGATAGGAGTGTACCTAGAGAGGCTTTTTTTCGTTTCAACCAACGAATTTGGTCCCTTTGTAACTGAAATATTCTTTTCTCGCCCATCATAGCTAGTTTATGAAAATCACTCGTTCTAGGCCAAAAGAGAAATCTATAACCTAGCTAAGAGGCAACTTATTATATACACTTTGGCATCATTCCTTATCGTGAGCATGGATCAGAGCGCTAATATCACGTTCCTTCAAGAGCCAGAGAAATAACTCGTTTACCGCCCAATCTCCATTAACCAACATAATCACCCGAATTGGTAACTTTATGTTAATGTTATGTGTTCGTGAAACTTTCATTGCTATTGAACTTTATTCTCTTTCTCTTCCGTGTTCGTGAAATCTGATAGTTTCGTTTTCTTCGATGGAGAACCTTCATTTAGCACCGGAGGCTGCCTGATACATAGTGTGGTAATTGTGTAATAGATGGCCAGGGATTCATGTATACAATCTTCCACGGGTAAATGGTCGCCAATTATCCATAACCTTGTAACCCTTGCCACCATCAGTGGAGTGTCCGGGTTCAACTGCTCGCAGCGTGATGTAGCCAACTTCTTTCTCCGGGCGCATATCTGCAAGCTGAGCCCGAGTCCTTCTCAGCAGTCTTGCTCTGTCTGGGCCATCCAAACCTGATCCATCCTCGGGCAGGTTTACGTACGGATTGTCCCTTGTCATTGAGCTCGCAAACCCTAATATATCCGGGCCCTTGACTAGAACTCGTAACATAAGCCCGAGTACTGCGAGCAATTGAAGCAGCAGTGTGGCTGTGAGAGCTAAACCTACCCAGGTTCTGCTGGTTTCGTAAACATTGAAAACAATTGTCGCATTGGCCGGAGTTGTCTGTAATATTGCTCCAGAAGGCGACGGGTCATTCTTCCCACTTTTTGAAAACGAAACATCGGTATGGCCCATTGGATTTATAGAGGCACTCATGTAGGTGTTGAAAAGAGTAGTCAGACGCCTGGAAAAGTTACCCACGTCGACTTCGGACCATTTAATGAGATTGTGTCCAGCGTAAGGCGATAGATGTCCGGCGAGATAACTGTCTATTGGCGATGCTAAGTAGTTTGCTGAAGAACTGTCGGCGTGCTGCCACAACTTCAGGGCCTTCCTCATTTCATTAGAGGGTCCGTAAATTTTCTCCACTCTCTCCCAGCTTTGCAGAAGCCGCTGGCGCTTTGGCGAGCAGTTTGCTGATGAATTGCTAGGGGCACATTGCATTTCTGTTTCAACAGCCAAAACTCGCATAGAACAGATAAAGAGCGCGAAATAAGCATTCGAGTAATGCAAACTCGTAAAGAGAAGACGAGACTCATCATCCTCTCCCAGATTTGCCCGGAAGGAAGATCCATTCAAATCTGGTGACATTTCCAATGATTGTAGGATAGTCTGGTAAGGGTTGGCCTCGAAAGGCATGCCGGTGTTGGCAGAGCAGTTGAGGTCTATATATGGCATAGTTATCAAAAAGTTGTAGACGACATTTGAGGAGGTGACTTCTAAGCCTTGAACTTTTGTCCCTAGCAGAGAAACATAATCTGCTTCGCCATTGACCAGTGCTACAGTATCTATATTGCGAAAGGAAGACTCAGTACTTGCAGCAGTCCATTGTGGAACCTTTGGCAAGTCCCAGAGATCGCTGGGAGACCGCCTTTGCTTCGACGAAGATAGGAGACTGGAAGAGTACAATGCAAATATGTTGTCTCTTGTGGCGCCCTCTATTTCCAAAAGCCCGAACGAGGATTGGTGAGCCCCCGGCTGGAGATACCAAACACTCCCGGTGATCTTCGAGGAGCCTTCACTGGAAGAGACCATTCTCAAGCCGGCTTGCCCCCCAGAGGTGACATCGCCCATATTATTAGGATGATTGCACCGATCTGCACTTGAGTGCGTACAAATAGAAGTCGCTCAAGGGCCCCTGCAAAGCTTTGGCTGCCCAGCACTTGTTCAAGAACAGCAAGACTGACACCATTAGGCCGCTCTATATACCAGCGGGCCAAATTTTTGTAGAATCGACTGGCCAGCGCAGCAAATACTATAGGATAAGCCGTGGGTATAAGACGAGCGATATCCAGCACCACCTGGCCATGATTTGACAGTGGTCGACCATCAAGGAGCAGTGCTAAAATGCAGAGCTGCATATCAGGACCATTATTAGCGTTGGAACATCAGGAGTGCCGTGCTTTGTCATGTTTACCGATGAAGAAAATGGGTAAAAGAGTAAGAAGAATTTCCCATGCCCATTCAAGGTACCAAATACAAGTTCTTGGGTGTAGCTTGTGCGGGCAACTGGGCCAGCTATCAGAGGCAGGGTCAACTATTGTTTCTTCGGTAGGAACAATAACTTGACAAGACTCCGTTTGTTGTTCTACCTTAGTCCTATGAATGGATGTACTATCAAGGGCGTCAAGGAAATATTCTGCTGTGTCTGGAGTTACCTCCCGACTAAGTAGTAATGATATGAGCATCTAAACCTATGCTGATTCGAGAGAGGTAGAAAGTACTAACAGGTCTAATTTTCGCGCCTCCCACATCACCTTTAAGAATATGGTAGGAAGAAGAATCAGGAATAGAACGGCACCGATGGCTAACCCGCCAACGTTGGCGTTGCTCAGGTTTCCTCAGCTGAGCATTGCACTGGTGTTCGGATGTTCCCAGTTGTCCAATTTCAACCCTATATTTCCCGTGTCTTGAACTTTCTTAGTTTCCAAATTGAAAATGATTTTCCGCGATCCTTCATCGAGCGTCATGGCGGCCAGGTTTTGTTGTGCACAGTTGCACGAGCAAGTCCCAGCGTCGATATCGCAAAGGTTGACCGCGCAACATCTAGCAAATGTGGGTTCAGTGGATGTACCCTGACAGGTTTGAAATTCTGCATTCTTGCTTGTTTCCACACATCCTAGAGGAAGATGTCCGAACTGTCTTGTAAGCAGGTAGCTCATTGGCCTTAGGTGATCGTCGGGGCAGATGCCTTCATCACCAGCACACGGATCACTCGCACAGCATCCGATGAACTCTACTTTTGCTCCTTCACAGATGTGCACATGCCCACCAGAAGGGCAACTAAATCCATACTCCCGTATGGCCGTGCTATTTCTGTCTGCCATGATTTCCACTGTGTCCTAAATCGAGGATCGTCGATGAGCGCAGGTAGCGGTCGAGTCTGGATTGTGGTGATGAAGAAAGGAAACAATCCTGCGCAGTCTTGATGGCGGAGGGCTCCTTTAAAATGGACGGCTGGGCTGTGCAGTTGTCTGAAAGTGATGCAGCCACATCTTAATCGCGGTATGATCGACGCTACCTCACAGCGGTAGGATTGGGCTGCTTTTGAGAGGGGAAGGACTAAATCTATTTTATGATACATCATGTAGGTAAGAGTGGCTGGGTCGCAATACTGGTGGCCCCCGAATCCTGCTACCACCATCTCACGAGCTTCATTATTGGTCAACTAGATCACGGATTCTAAATAAAGAGTCTAAAATGCAGTGGCGCAGACCATTTTATTTGAATCTACTTGTAAATTTCCAGACTCTTTTAAAGTATAAGTTTTATCTATCAGTGATCACTCCTAAAACTATTTAGTTTAGTTACATTGCCCACTCTAAATTGGATGGATATATTCACTTCACAACAGAAAAAAACAGCTTAGGATAGTAACAATGCTGCCCCTTGTTTACTAGAGGCGAAACAGATTGAAACCAATTTTATCACTCTAGCGATGTGGGAATTGTCATGAGATAGATCGTCAGATTTAGATGTACAAACGATAGTCATTGCTCTACCTTTGTGTTTAAAAAAATGTACTCGGAGTTAGATAGAGCAATCATATGTCGTTTTACCACTATTCTCTGGTAGATCGGGCGATCATGAGGCCATGCCGGCTTTACATAGCTCTGTATCCTATTCCGCCAACCACGTGATCTTTCATTTGACACGATACCTTTCCCATCATACTCTAGATCTTGGTTGGGTCTTGGTGTTCGGCATTTGCTCTCCGAGCCCTCTCGATACGGGACTCAGGGCCCGCATCATCTTGTGTCGTCGAATGCAAGTTCCGGGTATTCTTTGGCCTGGGATTATCATGTCTCGAGAACATCCCATCAGGAGGTGATCGGTTGTACTCCGCCCGCAGTCTTTGAAGCGAATCTCCAAGACTTTGACGTACCCCTGGAGCCCTCTGAAAACGCCGTGCGGCTGATATACCAATATCGTTATCGATGGAAGACCGCTGACTCCTTAGGGTACCTGCATCACTTCCCCCATATTCAGAAGGAGCTGTGATATCTGTGTCGTAGCCTTGGGAGGTACGGCCTGTCCTGATACTAGCGGAACTTCTGCTCGTGGCGTAGCTGGTAGTACTTCTTCTATTTGATCCACTGCCCCTCGCATTCCTCGCCCTCCATAGAGCTTCGGCTGTAAGAGGTATCGAACTGTCGACATATTCTTGGTAATTCATCGCAGCTGCATATTTGTTTTCGTTTTCAGGTTCCATCGTGCCTGGGTCTCTCGCCCGAGGATAGAGCTGATGATCAATCGGTCTGCTTCCCGAGTACGGGTCATGTCGTGTTCTGATGCCTCTTAGAATATCCATGTGGACAAGAAGGCTATCATCTGGGGTCTTCCTAGCTTGGTAATCTTGCCCATATGATACGTTCCTATCATGAAGTAGCTCTCCTCGAGGCTCACGCAGATTTGGGACAGCTATTGGGGGTCCGTCATAGGAACTAGCCGACGGTGTATAAATACTGTAACGTCCTTCGCTTTGGGCTTCATTACGATTCTCGAAACGAGATTGGTAGAGAGACTCAGGTCTATCACGTCTCCTTGATGGCGAGAAACCCCCGTCGCTGGAATGCCTTTGAGCCAATCTCTGGGCGGTAGGAGGTGACCCGTAATGAGGAGGAGGTGAACTACTATCCCCCCTAGTTCTCACTAGGTCCGTGGTAGTAGCTGTGGGCACAGCACCAGGAGGTGGTATATCTCGATACTTCTTACTTTCCTCAAGACTGCTAACTCGAGAATCCTGAGCTTGCCGGTAATAGGCATCTCTTGGGGAAAGAAGAGATCCCGAAGATGGACGATAGGCAGAAGTATTCGATGAGGCTGAGGATGGCCTAGAAGTTGGAAGATATGAATCATCAAGTTCTGCTATAGAGTGATTCTGAACCCCAAAAACGGTTCTAGTAGGCCCAAAGTTGATAGCAACATGAGGCTCATCCGGATATGGATAAACACGGGTAACTCTAAGATGTGTATCGCCTCCAGAAATGGCTTCAGACTGTGACTCTTCGAAGTTTTCTTCTTCAACCTCTTCTATACTGTCGTACTGAAGCCGTCCAGCCTTGGACTTTGGTGTAGTAGTCCAATGTGGCTGGCTCGACTCACCCAATATGGGTAAGCCCTTGCCCTTTGGCAGCTCTGGCAGTGAATGATAAAGTTCGATGATGTCGTCCGTAGTAGCAGAGGTATTGGTGTTCATTTGAGGGGGCCCCGGTAGTGACAGGCCTTGCCCAGGAAACTTCTGTCGAATCTGCTGCAATACCGAGACGAATGGGCTGATGTATATTTCGCCTAAAGGATTGGACCCAATCACATGACCATAGATGTCGTTCGTCAACGCGTCAATGACAAGCGCTCCAGAATCACCATATGTGAGACCTAGAAGAAAACATCAGCAATGGCGATCGGCTCTGAGTGAGATACTGTAGTTTAAAAAAAAAAAAAAAAACAAGGATGTATAGGGGGTAGTGGTTGCCACGAAACATAGTCGGATCAGTGAACATCAATCGGACGCCTAGAGTCAACAAGACACAAAAAGCTTAGAATCACTCACTCCTCTTCTGATTCAATAAAACAATCCATGCTATGGATGATTGTCTCCCACTTATGCCACCCAGCATGGCAGCGCCAGGCTGTAGCACACCATGCTGTGGCGATTGGCGACTTGTTAGTACCAAAACTGAAGTTTCCTTCACCGGCTGAGATTGGGAAACCTTAGACAGAAGGATGGGACTTGGCAAGCTGGGTGAACCATATGTATTTGGAACCCACATATGCTCATTAGGCTTCTCCCATTTGAGCAAGGCCCAGTCCAAGTCAAGGTCGCCAGATTTGTCGAGATCCTCCGACGTTATGAAGATCACAGGTGCCTCCTCAACCGCCCCGTCTTGGCCTCTTCTATGCGTAGAATTGATCTTATCCCAGTAGCTATCAAGTGCAGTTTGGGTCTCTTCCTCATCCCAGTCGTCTTCCTCGTCGTCTTCGAGGAGGCTTTCATATTCAATATCATCTATTAAATAATCTTCTGCGCCAGCATCAGAAGGATCTGACTCAGAGCCATAAATTCGGTCATCCTCTTTTCCAGGTTCTGTCTCTGGCTTTGTGATAGAAACAACGGATTCCGACTCCCCATCGAAATGTTCCGCTGATGTGGGTGGCCCGAATGCATGTCTAAACGCATGCCTTGATGTGGTCGTGTACCATTCAGAACCAATCTGCAATGTGCAACCAAGGGTCGAAAACTGGATGTCCTTGATGCGAATCTCAACAATGGAGCCACATATCAAAGGCCTTCCTTCTTTCTCAGCGTACGCGTTGATTCGGCTGTCGTGTACTTGAGCGTGGCATTTTCCCCAGAAGAGACTTCTCGGTCTGCCCTGGCGCCAGAAATACAGATTAAACAACGGTTTGTCGCTCGTGGTGCTAGCTGCAGTTTCTTGCCCCAACCACGTTGGCCTCCAAGACGATCGACGAAGACAGTATTGGTATTTGAGCTCCTTATTAGTCAAGAGTCGGTTGAGTGCCTTGAAATCGCCTTTTCGGCAAAAGGCAAGGATAGACGGGCGGGCATCTGCTGGTGAGGTCCCGCATAGCTTCAGTGTATAATCAATGAACCGCATGCTCTCTCGTAGTTTCGGGTCCTCGTATGTGTTTCGTCGGAACAGGTTTACAACCTCCCGGAATCTGTCATGATATGACTCGCGTATGGATGAGCTACTATGGGGATAAACAAACGTTGGCGGCAGACATCCAGGGATCTGTACCGGATTCCGGTACGGGTCATCTCGGCTAACAGGCTGGTTTACTTCATGTGTCTCTAACGAAACACACCCATCGACCTTTACTTCTGGCAAAGGCAACTGCTGAGAGGTTAATTTAGGGCTGGGGCTGGTGCTAGGGGCGGTGCTAAGCTCAGTGCTGTATGAAGCCCCCGATTCACTTTTTTGGAAGTCTGAAGACGTGGACGATGATGAGGCATGGAATGTGTCGGGGTATGTATAGCGTTCGATTGACGATTCAGTACAGTTTCTTGTCATGTCCTGATCTTGGCTCTTTTCGAGCCTCCCTGGTGAGTTGATTGTGAGTGGTCGGGAGTTGGAGGGCTCATTGTCCGCGAGTAAGAACCCTTGGAGCTGACGGTTCCCACCAGTTGATAGCTCGTTTCCAATGCTCAGGCTACGTGAATACGCCCCCGTCATGGCTGGCCTTTTTGGCCGTATTGGAACATCATCGAGTACCATACTCGGTCGTGGAGTAAGGTGTGACGAGCCCAACCTGGACAAATAATTGTGAATATGACGCCAGAGCAGATGTTCAAGTGTACATGTGGATTCACATACCTGGCGGGTAGTGAAGAGGCTTGAACGATAGGTGCTACCGTCGCTGTCTCGCACCAAACCATTACCAGCCGAGCAAATGGTAGGATCAAAACTTGAAAATGGTTAAATGTTGAATGATTTCGAATAGTCGAACGATGTTGGTAGGCGCGAAAGTGAGAGTAACCCCGCTGACAAGGGGCGATGCAGGAGAGGGGCTGTGTGCATGCAGGCAGAAATCGCCTTCCTGCAGCCCATCAGCATGCATGTTCAGCCGTGCAGGGATTCGGGCTTCACCCCTGGCTAGTTGAGGGGAAACTATTCTTAAGAATTCTCAGAGCTTCAGCGCTGAAAATGTTCTCAAGCCTAACGCATCACAATGCGCCTCCCTACAGAAGTTGAGCGCCGTGATCTTATCAAGGTGCTCTTCGGGGATAGCCATGCTGACCATGCCAATACGCAGAGATTCGATGCCTACTTCCAGCATTATTATTCGGCCGTTTGCCCAGCCTCCACGGGAGATGCTGTAATAGAGCTTGACACCCCGGCATTGCGCTCGCATAGCGATATCATCAACTGCGTCAATCTCATCATTCGCAATCCACAGATCTCATTCGATGCTTTCATCCAAAGTGCGGTCGATTCAAAGACGGGAGGATCATCTAGTCAGAGGGAAAAGGAGCATATCGCTAGAGTCACCACTGAGGTGGCATTTGCTATCAGCTGCTCACTCAAAGAATACTATGCCCATGACCTTCTTGATAATTTCTCACGTCACGTCAAGTGGGAAGGCAGTATATCGTTTGTCACCTTTATTCAGGATGCATTTGATTCTGTTTCGCTGCCTTGTAACACACCTCACCAAGACCGGAGCAAGAAACACCTCAAGGCATGGAAGTTATCTAAACGTTTCGGCATCAAGATGAGGAAAACAAACAATCTGCTGGAGCATCTTATATTGGACCCGAAAAACATGACCCTCAAAGTCTTTCACCAAGTATCCTTCCTAAGAGCACATCTTGAGAAGACGAAAAACGAACCATTGGACCTTTCATTCGAAGAGAGTTTGAAAAGGTAACACCAGATAAATATCTTACATCCCAATAGCTTTGCTGATCCTCTCTTAGGGGAACCTTGCCGCCAAAATTGCTACTAGAAACACTACTAACTTTCCACGATGTTCTATATCCAGTCGCCAGCGTTCGCGACAAAAGATCCCGTGCGTCCTTGGATAATATGATTCAGAAACACGGCTTTGATCCAGAGAGCAGATGGATCGAGTTTGTCCGAGCCACCCCTATGGATATGGAATTCGACTACTGGGGCTCTCGCCTTTCAATACTCCAGGGCTTTGTCAAAAAGCCTCCGCCACCAAACGCTCTGGTTGCTTGGTTTGAGAGACACACATCTGAGAGGAATGCACTCACTGTTGCTATCATTGGACTGCTACTAGCGGTAATTTTTGGCGTTCTGTCATTCATCGTCGGTTTACTTCAACTAATCTTGGCGTACATTGCATACAAATACCCTCCTGCAAATGTTTGAACCCAGTCTAGGGCAACTACCCAATTCAAATCCCTTTATTTATTCATTTTATAGTTCTCTAAAAGACTCATATATAGACTATAAAAACGATAATACTGACGTTAAGGGAGTATTACTATTCTCCTCCCTTTGCTTGCCCGACTTGTATTGCTCACTCAGCTCATGCGTGGGTCAAAATGAAACCCACACAAGTTCTGTGAGCACACACCAAGGCCAAGCCGCTTTCTGCCAGGTTCACGCAGCATTTGAGCCAACGATATGCACTCTGCCAAATGGATGGCGCAGGGATGGTCATGTCCCCGGTTGCTGGCCCACTTCTTGTAGGAGAGGTACCAACAGACAGTTGCAGAACTTCCGTGTCTGCCTGCCAGAGGACTTTTGCGCCTCTTAGTGACATTGCGTGTTTTCACCCCCTGCATTCTGGAAATCTCGGCCCTTGGTTAACGGCAACTTGGCGTATGTAAGGTGGTGTGGCTGAGCAACCAACAGACCAGAGCCAATCTTGAGATCATCCAAGTCCCCGCTCACGTTTTGCTCCAATATTTCTTCGAGGTTAGATTTCTCATCTTAAGTCAGACCTCGACTGTTTCACAGAAAGCTTCGAAGCCGGTTCGAAACATCCAAGGGCTCAATTCCGTCGCTATCTCGAGTTGCCCCCCCTCCCCGGCCCCAAACATAAACCTAAAGCATAGCCAGACAACGCCGAATCATTCGGGAAGATTGATGTCGAAAATCTGAAGAGAACACTGAAAGTAGCACTACCCAGGACATGGGTTGATGTGGCGCATGAGTTGATACTGTTTTACTTTCCTTCTATATTGAGCCACGTAGAATGTCAGAGTCAGTGCTATCGGTAGGTACCAAATTTAATGCAAATTTAAGGTCACAAAATCCCCCTTAGAGCTATAGTCTGAAATATTTCCCAACTGAGCCAGCTATATTCCGCCTAGACATGCAAACATTTCTCAAGATCCCCCTCGTACCATATTGATACTCACTACACATCTGCCGTCCATACCATCGCGGAACTCGGAGTCTAAGGGACACTACGCAAAGACGAAGAGCGTCCCGGAAGCTCTACTCTCCTAGTGGGGTTTCGTTTCAATGAGCCCGGGACAGACGTGATCGCAGGCGTTTTCTCAGGCCTTGCCTCCGAGTCGGGGGTTTCTGGCATCGCGAAGCCGGGATGATTTCTGTATCTGTTTCTCCGCCTCATCAAAAACCAAACAAGTAGAATGATGAGTGTAATCCCAGCAAGACCGCCAACAATGGGCCCCGCAATCCATGCAAGGTCTGGCGAGGTCGCTGGCGGCAAGCTTGAAGTTGAAGCGGAAGCAGAAGCGGACGCCGATGCTCTGCTAGATTCTGGCACGGCGGAGCTTGTAACTGTTGGTACAGTAGTTGTTCTATAATGGTACAATGTTCGCGTGCCTGTGACACAGCCGATCATGGTGCGAGCGGCTGTATCTGCTGGGTCATTGAAGAGCCAGTCAGTGCGGCAAGTAGCGGTTGTAGGGCTAGGGGTAAATCATTTAGACCACAACAGATATTAAACAGATTTATGCTAAGGGTGGCAAAGGAGACATACCATATGGCTGTTGTAGTCGGAAAGATCAAGACAGAGCCATCTCGACACCGAGTAGGCAGAGCTGGCTGGTCCGTGTCGATGCAAGCCGCCCAATACCTCGATGAGGTGAATATTCCCTTTTCGCAAATGGCAACCTCATCTAGTACACATGGTTAGCTTCCAGAACAAATACAAAGGTTACTGTTATTGAGAGAGTAGCATTTCAGGTACTGCTTACAGCCTGCTCCTTGCCGAATCCATCCAATGAAATCGGGAGCTTGAGTTATCATGGAGTCGTTGGGCTCGCTGCTCACAAGGAATACAAAACTAAGAAGCAACAGACAAAGGTAGAGCTCCATATTGACTATTATTCACCTAGGTAATGATTTGATATCTGTGGAGCGTAGAAAGCAACGAGCGAGGGCTCAAAGGGGGAGAGTGCCAGCGGTTTTGAGGGACGAATATGCATTTTCTTGGCTCAACTAACGGGAAGACACAGTCACATGAGCAATAGCTTAGTTTCTTTTGCGTAGATTTCATGATTGGAGAATCACATCAACGGCACCAAGTGGCAAGCGCTGAATTGGCTTGGCAGGCAGACACGATATGCACCCCAACAAATGCGCCGAATCATCGGGGCCATCGAGGAGAGAGGCGGCCCAGGATCCGCGCTATTTGCAACTCGCATGCATCCCCGGCGAATGGGATCGTCGAGCTTCAGCCATTGCGCTTTTGCCCAGCATTTACGGTCAGTGCGCAGCTCAGCTCTGGCCTCAGAATGTGACGAGGGAGGCCACCTAAACGTCGTTAGACTATTTCATGCCCAGTGCTTCCTGCTCTCCTCACCTATTGACCTTGAACAAAGAAGCCTTGGTATTTTTTCAGCGGGCTAGACTCATTCAGCCACCAGCCACCTACTTTCAGCTCGCGTGGGGTTCCCAACTCTTTGACTTGATAGACTGCAGGTTCATGTATGGAGGACGGGCATGCAAGCTCAATTGTACAATAAGTATCTCCAGTCATGGCTAGCTGTGTTCTAGAGCGCTACGATATCCCGTGGGGGTGATTTTACCGTATATCGTATGGAGAGTTCGACTGCTTGGATATTAGGTGTATGCGGGGAAGCCATTCCTAGCCTAAATCTACATCACACAGTCTCAGAATACCTTTGAAATCTATGAATCAGTGTTTTTATCACGTTCTAAATATGACTTACTGTTTTAGTTGCCGTTGTCTCCTTTGATCCACTACATTGATCAGCCGGATACAAAAAAAGGCGACTTGCATATTCGTCACATCTTTCACTCTATTATTTCCTCTTGGTCAATAACAAGAAGGGTGTCATGAAGAGGAATTGAGCTAATCTATAAAAACACACTATACAATAAATGTCAAGCCCCTTGTTTAATCTGTATCAGTGCAATAAGAAGTATGACCTGCTGCCCGCCACGAGTTTTACAATTTATATCCAACCTTCACTAAGACTATACTTGTTTGAGTTCCAACTTCCATAACTGCTTTCCAATCATCCCCTGGTAAGGTTCCTTTCCCATATTCTGACGACTCTCACTCCGATTGACGGTCAGAATCAGTCGCCACCTCTATGGCGTCCTTGAGGTGTCTAAATTCTAGCTTCGACTTCTCAAAAAGGGCCATCTGCCGGGCGGATGTAACTGCGTGATGTATCTGCTTTCCGTTAAGTTGATAGCACGATAGAGCAGCGAGGTGCGATTGAATTCCTTGTGCAACGGAACTTGCACTTTCTGCCCGCAGTTGGTCGAGGCACTGTTTCCATACGCTTCGTCTAGCGGATTTGTCCAATGGTGGGAAAGACACGGTGACTTGGCAGCGGGACGTATATCTCTCGTCAATGCGTTGAGCATCGCTGGATGTCAATATGACGATGCCGTCGTGATTTGCTATGTATTCAAAAAACGCTAGGCGCAATTTAGCATCAACTCTGCGTGTGTTGGGGATTTCCCGATGAGAGCTCGAGTATAAAGTAAAAACCAGCAATGCAAGACGCCAGACCAGACATCTCGACACATCGAATCATGCAGGGAAAGTATCTCTCGCTTACCTGACGGGGGACGACTGTCTTTGAGATCCAATCCGGGTCCCTTTTCAATAAATATATCGAGGCCGTCAAATACCACAACTATGAAGATTTAGTGTTCAGTGAGTCACCAAGGTCTCATGGTAGATTGTCCACGCACTGGATTTCCATTTTTGGGCCAAACGAAGAGAGCGGACAATAGCTTCGCCCGTTGCCTCGTAGGTGAGCCCCATCAATCCGCAAGTGACGCGGAAAATTGGCATCTCGGCAATTTCTGCTAGGCTATTTCGATGTTAAGGTGAGCCTTCTGTCCTCACAAAACTTTTGACTTGCTCACCTTTCTATACGAGAAACAGCTTAGCTTAAAAATCGCGACCAAGAGAGGAACCATGGACATGAAGACATACCAGCAGCAAAACTCTTTCCTGTTCCAGGACCGCCGTGGAAATGCATAATCAAGGGCCTTCCGTTTCGTGAGACGAGAAAATTGGCTCTGTCTTGCGGGGTTTCGGTAGAACCAGGCGGCTTGGCTGCCGGTTTCTTCGTCATCACGAGCGCCTTGAGCATGGTTTTCGTCCGTTGTGGGAGTATAAGTCGATTGAATGCATCCTTGTTCCAGGTAACCGGTCGGATCTGGTCCAACGATAGATACACTGCGGAGGTTAGCGCAACGAGCGAGATTCAGCAGACTCCTTTGATGCCAAGTCACTCACTCCACTTCAACTCCTTCAAGTTGTACGCATGGATACCATGTGGGAGTACCATTTGCTGAATCGCGGTTGGCTCAAGGGAGGCCGGAAGATCGTCTCCCCATTTATCATACTCCATCTTGCGAGGCACTTTTGGGTATTTGGCGTACTCATCGCGACCCTCACCTTCGAGCCACAGGTCGTAGTCAATCATCCATCGGGAGTCTGTTGTCTACATGAAGTAAGTAATGACTTTCTAAGGTGCTGAACCCAAGCTCGACTCACATAATATGTCTCCCTATTGTAATCCCACCCTTCATAGGCATGGAATCCCTGGTCCTTCAACTTCAAGAATTTGGCGCCATTCTGTAGCAGGTGTTGGCTTATATCTTCTGGGCCGTATCCGAGTGGGTACATTCCAAGGTCTTCGATTTTCATGCTTGCCCTACTCGTCATTGCCGGGTTCTTCAATCTGAGCATCGTATACATACGAAACAGGTATTGGCCGTTGAATCCCCAGTTCCAGACTGACAGTATCACCCCTCCCCTATCCACACCAACACGATCCACTACATACCCAAGTTTTCGATGATCTTTTTCAACTATGCAAAGACCGTCGATAGGGAAGAGCCAGCACACAGTCTTGGCGGATACCAAATGCTTTGAGAACAAGTTGTCACATTCGGCGTACATGGGGGTAGGGCCACTTTGTAACCACTGAGCTAGAAGCTTGATTGGACTGCCGTCCGGAGACCCAGCCGCCTTGGAGTAGATTTCTCTCCTGTGATGATAGAAGAAATAGTGAGTATAAGATGCAGTTATTATATGCAAATTATCTCTGTGGAAATTGTCTCGCTCTGATTTCGCATTGTTGCCGTCAGGAAGGTCGATGGTGAACTTGGAGAGCCGCTTGATTATGGAAAGGAGGTCCTTGTTGATGATGGAAACCACCTCGTCGGTGTATTCTGAACTCATGTTTTGAGTCATCGTTGCAAACCCGCTGCCGGAGCATTGAAATGAGCGATACAAGGCAAACGGCGGGTTTTCACGCTGCTTCAGGAACTGGTCCACATCTGAAACCGCTTTATCGCCCGTGAGGTGACCTCGATTGTACTTGGGTGAATCAAGATACAAACGTTGGTGGCACTTGGGGTCCAAGTCATCGCAAGTAACTCGGTGAAACATGATGGGCTTTTTATAGGATGCATCAATGGGATGCGTAAAGGCAGCTGGTAGCCCTGGCTGGGTCGCCTGGTTGGCAGTTTTCTTGCCTTTGGACTGAGTGCCGTGAGTGACTCCTGGTGATGGGCGGCGTGCTTTCTTGGGGGGTTTCTGTCCGAAATATTAGCTGAGACAGCAGGGTCTTTCAAATGCAATAGCTTACCATCGAGGAGGGAGAAACGGCATCCAGGCCTGCTGTAAACCCATTGCCCTCAGGTGCTGCGCCTGCTCTCTCAATAGCTTCGTATATCTTTTGTTGAAGAAGTTCTACTTGGCCATGGTATTGGATTGGGTCGTGGAGGTCGTAACTAGAAGCGGCGAGACCTGCCGACGAGCCTATCGCTTGGCCTGCGGGCTCATCAGCTTCCTCGTCGAGGGGACCTGAATAGCTCTCTATAAATTGCCTCAATTCTGCCAAATTCTTTCGTTGCAGCACCATCTGTTCGTCCAAGCTTGCTACAATAGCCGCGTCATCCGGATGCAGAGGTGCACCATCCTCCTCACCTTCGGAGGCACGGCCTTCGTCTGGGGACTGGGAGGCGGGAGCCATGGTGGCCAAATTCAGTGTCTAGGCCCTCACTGCTTCAGCGGTCTGGCTGGTTGCCGGTCTTTCGAGGGCGTAACGAGCAGAACGAGATCTCCTGTGAGATGGGAACGGGAGAAAGGCCGCTGAATGGCGAGACGTAGGTCGAAGGGCGCAGTCCACCAAGAGTAAGAAGGAGAAACCCTCGTGAAAACTCTTGAGCACGAAATGGATGCGAGGAGGGAAAACGCGTCGCCTGATGTGGCACCTGTATGCAACCTTGCGTCACGAGTTTGATTGGACGCCACTGGCGAGCTGAATGCACGCAGGTGAACAACCGCGATTGAACTGAATGACGGTGTAGCTGTCAGACCAAACTGCTTGGCCGGTTGGGTGAGTCGCATTAAGATTTCGCTGGCATTCCAATCCCAACAAGCGGTTGCGTGGCAACCTTTCGGGTGTTGATGTCTCAGGAGCAACGCTTCGATTGTTTCCAGGAAGCTTTTTTTTTTCTTTTTTTTCAAAACAACAAGATGTGCTTGCGGAAAGCACGACGGGTATCTATTTACCCTACATCCATTCTCAGTGAGAAAACTACCGTTTGATTTGGACGGAAATACATTACATGTCGTTGAATATAAACAGAAATTCTCTCATACATCAACAGTCCCGGAACAAGTTCTAGACTACAAGATACTCAAGTAGAATGAGAAGCCACATCTAAACATAGAGTTTTCAGCGTAGAATTCAGGTCTTGAGAGGATCGCGATCATGCAGGTACCTATCGAGTCATAATGATCAATACCTTACATTAAGTCTTTGCTTTTTCCATTTACAGAACTCGGAAGCTTTCTCACCAAGCTTTCCTCACCTAATACCTACGTCTTTTTATCCTCTAGCAAGTATTCCTCGGATGACACCGCCGGCTCGAGAATCAGCCTGCACTAAATCAAGAAGGCTTCCACGGTCCAAGCAACACGCGCGTCAGCAGAACGAAAGAACCTTTTTTTTTTTGTGGCGCACCAAGATCTGTTCCTTAGCCCAATCTTTGTCGCCTTTGTGAGAACCCATTATCCACATTTGGTCGCCACCTTGACTGTATTGCGGATGGATGAGCCAGCTGTATATGAGTTGCCCCGGTGGCCGCCTCACTCAACGCATTGCGAACCGACCTAACCAGCACATGAGCGACGATCTCTGTCTCTTCTTGATTGGAAAACAAAGCAAGTACTGTAACAAGGCGGGCCCTAGATAATTGATTGGCCTCCTTCGCGTTGTGCTTGACATACCTTTAACCGCCACATTCTATTTCAGGCAATCTGGCGCTGATCTCGTGATATATCGCATTAGGAGGATCCTTTGTTGATGGTCCGAAATGCAATTATGGATACAGAAGATTTTAGTGCTTACCTCCGGGGGAGAATAATTATTGGTGCCCGCTTCTTGAGGGCATTTGCACAATCTTGCGGGATAGATGGTGGGATATGTGAACCTACCGCTGAGAATAGATGTACTATGGTATGTCGGCTATAAGCTCATTCGAATCTTCGAATCAGAACGATCTCCTGTTGCATCTATGCTCAATGACGAAAAGCTTCGCGCCGGCTCACTCCCATACTATCTCACTTTCACTTCATCTCGGCAAGTCAATCACCAACACACTGACTTCTTTCTTCCTTGTACTTTATGGCGCATAAGAAGCACCCCATCAATAGAACAAGAACCGCAATACTATGATGACAGGAAGTCAAGAGAAGCAATCAATTAAAAGCGACATCGTGAAGCTCAAAGTATTTGAACTCGATCAACCTTGAGAAGACTTTGTCCTCCAAGCACAACCGACCAAATTTCGCTTCTACCTCGATTCAACTCAGTCTTGGCTCAGACTACACGACTAATGCTTAGTTCTAGCCCTAGAAAACAAAACATTGCAGTGAGGTTGCGTTTTGATGTTGCTAAAACTCAGGTTTTGCATTCTTGGCATACGTACACGAGGCTCTGTTGGAGCTCAGTACCCAGCGCGAATATTTATAGTGTGCCTACAGCTGTTCTTTATATAGCCAATAGCTCTATTCATTAAGTAAGGATTGTAAATGAACAAGAGAATGACCAAAAGCACACAGCAGTGAATAGTTGTTTGTCTCCATCAGCCAACTACTCACACTCCTCAAAAGCTTATGCCAGAGGAGGAAGTGCTTCTCTAGCTCCATCAAATTCTCCTCTTCGGGTGTTAGTTCTATTTCAAATGATCCTATGAATTAAGAGTGACCCCATCTTAGCTAGGCATGCTTGTTGTTGCCTAGCTAGTGACTCAGCTCCGTTCTACGCATTTCATCTCAGCTATATCCACAAGCTACCTAACCCTAGCTATATTATCTTTAATTTCCTTCCCCTCATCCAAAATAATAGGCTATGTACGCTCAAGATCAAAGCAAAGAATAAGACAATCCCCGTGCAATCTTTCAAACACGCTGAAGCAAAATATATATCCTACTCTCGCAGGCAACCATGCCGAACCAGGATGGTGTCTATGGCACGTTCACCGTTACATCAGGATGTGTGTGCTTCGGATCTCTCCATAATATCTGGGGCGGATCTATTGCTCTAGTCCAACCATTCCGTCAGGTCAAACCTCAGCCATCGGGCACAGTTTCGGCCCACCAGTTCAAGCACAACATCGCAGCAGTGAATGGGACCTGGAATGTGTTCCAGCTTAAAGATCTCCGATCAGGACAAACTTCTGGTTGGTTCACATGTCATGTCGATGTCGATCCAGATCGCGAAATTGAGAAAATCCTCACCATCTCGGGGTCACCATACGAAGACAACCACGGCAGCACTATGAATAATGACACGACGTTCGAGAAGGGTGTCTTTGTCATCAACCGGTATGACTGGGGCTACTACGCCCATGAGTTCCTTGAGGAGATCGGCGAAGGAGTTTCAGAAGGCGATGCCGATATGCTTGCGGACTCGAATTCGGCAGGCCTTGCGGACTACGCGCAGGCTCAGACGAAAGTCCAGGAATGGCAACGGTACAAGCCCAGTCAGCGACGTATTTCGGATGGTGGTGTCTGGATGTATTCTCCTGATGCAGAGTACATGTTTGGCCGCTTTGGTTTCAACGAAGCTCGGACTGGGGCGCATTCATTCTTGTTCTTTTCCACAAATACCGAATTTTCTCACACCTTGATGGCTGGCCGCGGAGCGACTCTGCGTCCAGGACATGACTTGAATAGATGAGCGACATGGTCACAACTATATTAGAAGGTTTGCTCAAGTATAGTCTGAACGCCTCCTCATAGGGTCCTTCCAAGCTCATTAATAATTGAATCTATACTTTTCTCCGTACTCTTGAGCTCGAAAACTATCATCCTCCTTTTGGGCACTTTCCTACAATACATCTCTGTCTGAGCCAAGTTTTAAATCTTTTATCTTATTCAGGTTGTCTTTCAGGATCACGACCCATCTGGCTGGATGCCCCAGGGTGGTTCCTGCCATAGAGCTTGCATTTTGATTTCCTCGAGAGTAGTAGGGGCTTAAGAAGAAGCTTCTCTACGGAATTCGTAGAGATCCTCGAACCTGTTTCTTCCATTATCACAAGCATCCTAAGCTCCCCTCGTCCGGCCGCGGCTGGGGTTGTAGCAATTAAAACTAGGCTAACCATCAATATTTAATTATTTCAGGTGGCAGCCGCATACTCCCGTTTACCCGCCATATGGGTAAACGGCGGCGGAAGACTGATCCGCCGGCACCTAGGCAAATTTCGCCGTTTTTGCATGGGATTTTCCTTTGGGAGCTGGAGCTTGATGTTCCTGATGCTGCTTTTGGCAAAGTGGGAGAGCAGCCGGCCTACCAGCCGGATCAGCAATTTGATCTCAGGATCACCAACAAGGTTTCCATAGGCCGGGGCAATCTCAATGCTACACTCTAATATGAGGATGAATTTCAGCGAAGGGCTCGTCACCCCATCACTGCCCCTCTCTTCAGGTGCCAAACAAACCAGCTGACAGTAAACCCATCAATCGCCCCATCTGCTAGCCCACTTGTTTTCTGATTTGGACGAAAGTTCGGATGAACTGAATAGCCGTCACGGATAATTAGAAACGCGTCAATGTATCGTGGGAAGTTCCGTGATAGTCATGAATAATCTATCCTATATATTGTCCCGAAGGCTGTCACCAAGTCTCATCTCTGAAGGCTTGCGTCGTCAGCACGAACAGAGGGCCTAATTTAAGTCAGCATCATGCGTTCAGACATAGTTCTTGCCATATTTGTGGCCTCAAACGCTGTCTCCGCACAGCTTCATACCTTGGCTGTTCGGGCTGGGCTGAAATATTTTGGTACTGCCGTGGATGAGAGCAAGCAGAGTGACTCTCAATACGTCAGTCTCCTTTCCACCACGACTGAATTTGGACAGGTTGTCCCAGAAAACGGTCAGAAATGGGCGTACACGGAACCATCTCAAAACTCGTTTTCGTATACTCAGGGTGATATTGTTCGTTTAGATTGAGTGATACAGGTGCGCAACCATTCTAATAACAAGTTTCTTAGGTTCCCAACATTGCTTCAAAGAACGGCCAAATCCTACGTTGCCACACGCTTACATGGTAAGTATTCAACTAGTTGGTTGACTGAACGGGATCTCACCAAAATACTTTCAGGCACTCACAGCTACCCAACTGGGTCTCGAGCGGCTCTTGGACCAAAGCTACTCTCACTGCTGTCATCCAAACTCATATCTCCAATGTCATGAAGCACTATTTGGGCCAGTGCTACCATTGGGATGTTGTGAACGAGGCTGTCGATGACAGCGCAGTATACCGAAATAGCGTCTTCTATACCGTGCTCGGCACTGATTTCATCCCCATTTCTTTTAATGCTGCACGGGCTGCTGACCCGAACGCGAAGCTGTGAGTACAACATTATGTTGAATAACAATATTACCAAGCAGTATGGTTCTAATACGGGATTTCAAAGATACTACAATGACTATAATCTGGAGTACAACGGAGCCAAGACAGACAAAACCATTGAAATCGTCAACCTTATCAAGGCCGCCGGTGCTCCCATCGACGGTGTAGGTTTCCAAGGGCATCTGATTGTGGGCTCTACCCCATCTCGTAGCAGCTTGTCCACGGCTCTCCGTCGCTTCACGGCCCTGGGTGTGGAGGTGGCTTACACGGAATTGGATATCCGACACTCCAGTTTGCCAGCCTCTTCATCCGCTCTCGTCACCCAAGGAAACGACTACGCCAACGTCGTCGGCTCATGCCTCGACGTGACTGGCTGTGTCGGAGTCACAGTTTGGGGTTTCACAGATAAGTACAGCTGGATCCCTTCGACCTTCAACGGAGCCGGTGATGCTTTGATCTACGACGCCAACTTTAATAAGAAGCCCGCATGGACTTCGGTCTCATCGGTCCTCGCCGCTAAGGCTACTGGCGGTACCTCTACTACTTCTACCGGTGTGACGGTCACGGTTACTTCTACCTCAGCAACAGCCACAGCTACAAACACTCCCGGGCAGGTTCACTGGGGCCAGTGTGGTGGGCAAGGATGGACTGGACCAACTGTCTGTCAGAGCCCATACACGTGCACTTTTGTTAACCAGTGGTATTCTCAGTGTTTGTAAATTATGAAGAGTTTTGAGGTACTTCACAGACCAAGTATGGCTAGGATTTCTTCCTGTGAGATTGAACTTAGTACACTTTCTGAAATTTACAAGCCCTTGCTCTTCCTTGCAATTTTGATAGTGCTTTCGCACTGCGTATTCGTTTGTGAAAGTTTCTGCACACGAAGCCCAGCCAACACAACAGGTGCCCGACACTCCAAGAAGCCTGGTCGATTTTAAAGGGGAGCTTTTCGAATTACTGCTGAAGATTTCTTCTAATACATTCTAAAAACCATTCGAATCATTCCAACAACCTCGCGGCACTTGCAACACTGCCACCAATATAGATGGCAGCTTTAAGCTGTCCCACCACTCAGTGCTCCGCTGAAGAGTTTGTCGAAAGCTGTAGCGCAACCCTCACGCCCTTGCTGAAATTACTGAACTCATTATAGTAACCATTAGGGAAGTGGATGGAAAATCCAATATCAAGTTTATGTGGTACATCGCTGAGGTCAAGAGCCGTGCCTCTCGTGGCAAGGGGGAGAAACTCGCTGCACAGTTTTTCAATGCTGAGGATGCAATGGAACTATTAACTTTCAAAAGTGATCGGGAGGTTTTGGGCCGTGCAGTTAATCTGGTGGAGAGTCAGAGCAAGAAGGCCTAGAACCCCCATCTTTTCAACGCCGGAATTAGCTGAGGCACTGGATGTATCCGTCGATGAAGAGCCACATGCTTAATAAAACTCATCTAATTGTCCCTAGTTTTGAGATTCTCTCTAAGAGTGTAGTAGTTCTTGAATTGCTGAATCACCTGCAGTACGCTGTCGTCTCAGTTATGCTCAGAGGTGCTCAGTTGCTCCCAACTTGGAAAAAATGGGGTCAAGAAGAGTGAAGAGTGTATAGTCCAATAACAATATGATCTGTAGCTAGGTAGATCTTCCCCGAACAGATTCCCACATCACTCATTGTAGATAGACTGTCCAATAACCACCTAAGGGTCCCAGTTCATTCCCCATATCAGCGACCAGATTATTTATTGTTTAGTCAATAAACTTAGGTGTTGCATGTCCCCACATTGCCATCGTTTCAATCACCTTCTGGGTACCTGTCGATCTTTTTGACCCGATGATTCGGGTCGCCATAATTACCCGTTATCTCAACACCCCTTCTGCAGTCATACCATGTGTAATCCACAAAGACGGGCACCCTCTGTTTTAAACGGTGAGATCTCAGCTCATACCAATAGTCTTTTGTGGTTCCTTCTGATCATCTATTCCTTTTCCGCCTCTAATGGAGGCAATTCGTGACAGCAAAGTAAGCAAATGAGCGGTGAAAGATTTGAACCCTTTACTGAATTAAGGTTGATTTAACCAATTTTTTTATTTAATTAGTTTGTATTACTATGAGCTTTTCCACATGAAACGTTATTAGAAGCCCAGGGCCGCAAAATCAACGTTTCAAGCCCTACGTTGTGTATGAAATGATTTCTTTGGCAAGTACCTATTCACTATTACACTCATCTTATGAGACAAATCTGCGTTTCGCAGTGAGGATGTATCAAAATCCATACAATATGGTTCAATTAGCATGTCAGAGTCAGTTTCACCGGTCGATGGAGGTTTCGTCCACTATCAATACCTTAGGTAGTGTTGGGAGCTGAGGTGCTCACGGGCCAAATTTCTCCGACAATTACTAGACCCAATTCTTCCGTTCAAAACTCCACAACATTTTGTATAACTTTACGCCAAGCATAAAAATAACCTTACCAAACTTGTGGGAGTTTCCTTTGCATATGCAGCTCAAGCCGAAAACCAATGAGGACAGACAAGTGATCCCTCTCTCAAGATAGGAGAAGAATGGAATGAGATTCGGGTTTTGAAAGGCTTAAAATGCGATTGAACTTCACTTTAGTATTTATTCATACTTATGCAGATGCAGATGCATGAGGTCATTCTACGGGGTTTCCAGACTCACATTCAGCCTGAGGATGTATCATTTCCCCTCTGTGAACCATATGCAAGTCAAACTTTATTACAAACTCCAAACGCTTGTCTCGTTGAGCGTAGCCTTTGAAATCCTTGAAACATGTGTATTTACGAAGAAGGGATTCCTTCGAATGATGAAAGGGCCTAGTGGGTCAGTGATGTGCGTTATGAATCTTCATACTCGATGGAGAAAGAAAAACAGGCCAGAATAGAGCAGCATAAGTAAAAAGAATGTTCCGTGATTTCTCTTGTTGGTTATACATACAGCTTACTCAGTTGCAAAAATAGATACCTCCAGAACGAGGATGGTGGGCAAGTCGCGTTTGCAGGGCGCCCGGCCACAATTTCAGGGGAGATAAAGCTAGTCATCCCTCTTCAGGTCACGTCCTCTGCGTATTTCCACAGATATCTTTCATGGATTAAAAGGAAGTGTTGTATGGCTTCTATTGTGATGATAAATGCACAGGATATGGGTGAGCACATGCCAGGCCGGGCAAAGCCTGAGCGAGGTCGGTGAAGACCAGGGGAATTACTTTTCCAGAACGGTCCAGGCAGGGGACAAAGACAGGCTGTGTAATTGATCAACATCAGCCATTGACGTCGACAAATTTCAGTCCCGTCTAGATCCAAACGCTGGCCCTCGGAGCAAGTCTCCATTGGGAAAAGACTATATGGCTACTTCCGCCCCCTCCCATCCGAGCTAGCCGTACCCCAATGATCAGGGAGAGATTAAAGGCTTGAGCATACATTTGCTGCTTTTCCATTCTCCTTTCATAAGCAACCAATTTACGGTGAAACAGGGCCAGTCTTTAATGACACGGGATCAAGGACCAGGATTGGTGGAAAAAGCCGTCTTCTCCGTTCCCCTCGAAGTATCCACACCACACCGTCTGTAACTAGCCAACCTCCGTCTGGCCACTTCATCTCCGATTCTTCCAATTACCATCCCACCCTTCTGATTTATTCTTTATTAAGCGGGGGCGAAAAAAGAACAAAGAGGCGACGATCACCCAAAATAAGGGGTCCCGACGGGTACTACATTACCCTGGAGGTCAAGGCGTACACAAGGCCCCTGAATCTGGGGTGAGAAGACGGGTAGCATTGTATCGTAAATTGGATTCAAATCGGAAAGCCCGTGTTGTTGGAAATTTCATGGATCAGATGAAGGCGAACATGCAGAGAGATGGTTCGTGAGCTCGCTTATGCAGTGGAGCGAACAGGAAGCTGGGGAAACCCGACCAGTTTCCCCTAAGCAGAGACAGACAACATGGCCTTGGCTCGGGTGACTATTTCCTGGCCGGAGCCTTCGAGCAGGAAAATCGTACTATCACCGACGGACATGCTAGAACAATCTTGCTCCTCATGGAGAGCCCTGTTCCGTCTGCGGAGGCCCCTAATTTGAACCTCGCCTCACCGTTCCCTCCAGAAGAGTTATACATGATGGGCACCATCCAGCAAGGGGATATTTAACTTTGGGACGAGGGTCGTATGGCATGAAGTGACGACGTATATCCTGTTCGTCGGGCCAAGCTTATTTGAACGCAACAGTCACAAGGGAATGACTTCTCAAGATCCACACCGAGTATCTACGTCCACTCCTGGTTGCATACTCGCTCAAGCACGTTCAGCAGCTTGGGTTGGGCCATAGTATAGAGTCCAAAGAACGACTATAGCCAGCCCCTCCTCTGCGCGTCGATGCAACCTGCCCTACGATGGACATGTAGCCCTCCCGGTGGAGAATGTGGTCGGTCAGTCAGGAGCTGTCCTTGATTTAGCACAGCCGTCGTCCGTCCCCAGAATCGAAGTGCAGATGGAGCTAGGCTGGGTTCGTGATGAGAATCGTATTAGCCGGACAGGGTTTCCAGTTACTTTCCATCCACGAGCCAGGGTGTGTGGAGCTTACGATGTCCGTATGTGTGGTGTGTGCCTGCAACACTCGCATGATGGCCTTGTTCCGCGACTTCTTTCGTAGACGGGCGTGCAGCGACAGCCTGGTCCAAAAGCACAGGTCTTCTTGCGAGTAGACAACTCGTACAGGTCGATCTGGTCACATGGACGAAAGTCAAACGACGGTCTTCCTTTTTGCTGCCTGCTAGCTATCTTGGGGTACAATCTGCCCTGAAAGATGACATGCAGACCCACAGGTGACAACCGCTGTCATGTCGTCACTTGACCGGCAGATGGATTGGGGACTTGGCGCCCGTCGAAAGATTTAGATGCGGGAAAGAGGAGGATAAGAGGGGCCTAAGAGCAGAAATCGGAACTAGCTGCTCGGTCGAAGAGGTCGAGCAGGAAGGAGGTTGAAGAGCGGTGATGGAGGAACTGGACTGAACGATGCTGCCGCCCAACCCCAACTTCCCCGCCCTCTACCTCTCTCGCCTTCTTCCCGGTGCATATTTCTCGCTTCCCTCGATGAGACACGGGCTGACGGGAAATCCACCTTCAACTGACGGCAGCCCGCTCGTCTGGGCGAAAGGCCAGATTCAGCCAAGCAAGGCATCCTCGGCCGTCTTAGCACACCACCACTCGCACCGGGCCCCATCTTACCCCGGATTTGCGTCTACAGGTGGCCAAAATCCCATGTTGGCCTGCCTTGGATCTTCGCTGCCATGCCCACAATCGGAGGGGAGGTGATAGGTGCCATCCCAGGTTTGGGTGTCGTAAGCCAGTCAGAATTCCATTCGGAATCACAGGCAGAGACCAGTACCTGCAGGGGACGGTTGTAGACGAGCCAACTGCCTCGGTCCCCTGATCTGGCATCCCCGGTTCTCGCCACCACGCCTGGCGACGAGGTATGTTCTGCAGGCGAAAGAAGAGTCGAGAAGGATGGAACGTCGTTCGGTTTTGGAGTTGATCGTGTCAGCGGCGGACTGTGATTGGCGCGGCTATAGAGGCGCATGGGCTCTGTAACTAATTCACTAGGGCGCCCCAAAGCCCCCATATCAGGTCTGCACTAACCACTGTATCGTAATAGCTTGTGCGTGCGGAGGGTTAGACTGTCCGAAGAGTAAACGGTTAGCAGCTGTTTAGGCCCCGAACTTTTGCTCAGGTTCTTCGGGGGGGGGGGTTGCATCCATTGATTGATTAAGCTGTCTGTTTTTGCGGGGTTTGGCAAGGGGCCGCTGAGGTGAGGCATTGGCATCCATGTTGCATCTTGTGCGTGTGCTGGTCGCTTCGGTGCAGTAGCTGCATGCTTGGGCCAGGATTGCAATGATTAGAATATGACTGGGAGGACGTCTATCTCTGTTTGTGTTGCATTGGCCGAAGCATTTGGTGGAACCTCGATGCAAGTAGCAAGGCCCTCCGTTTGGCGTAGCAGTGTGGTTAGGTAATAACGGCAGGCTGCTTTCCATCCTTGACACCTTGGGGATAGCCCTCGGTCGGTGTCCGATGCGGGCGTGGGACGGCCGCTCCTTGGGATAGCCCTACAGGGTTGCGGCGACGGCAGTGATGAATTCCCTGTCGTATTCCAGCTGAGCCATCGCAGTAAGTCAATTAGATAGCAACGAGATCTGCCTCCCCAGCTGCCCGCGACTAGTGCACAGCTGGCCCGACCGTGGGGCGATATGGCACGGATGTCGGCTGTCTGCTGGTCTTTTGTGCTTCGTATTTTCTTACCCCATAAGTCAGTAATGGGCATCATAATATGGGGTGGAGCTTTCAGGGTCACGATGGTCAAACTGCTCTCACGGAGTAAGACGGAGGAGTCGAGTCGAAACTGTGAAGCCCGCAGCTCTCGACCCCTTCTCATTTCTCGCTGCCGCCCACCGTCCGACCTCCCTCAGGTCACGATCCTCTGTGGGGAGGGTTGATTGCAGTGGCACACAGAAAGCAACACCTCTTGGCTTTTCCAACTGCACGACGAGACAAAGGAAATGAAGTGAAGTAATGTGAGGCCGTTAGTAAGATGAGGCCAGTAACGGATAGCTATGGGACTTTGCACCGTGGCACCACCGTTAGCAGGATTGCACCAATAGGAAGGCGCAATGCAGCCCCCGACCAGCGGGACAGTGTTCCTTGTTTGATATCGAATGTGATGTGATGTTCTCCTCAATTAACCCTCCCGGACGCCCAGCAGCAACAATCTGCAGTCTCCTCTGCTCGTCGTCTCCATTACAGAGAACGGGCCGACTCGAGTCGCCCGCCGAGGGCTGCGTCTGATGCTGCCAACCCCATCAGCCCAGCCTGATTTGCTCTCCCACAAGCCCCCTCTGTCGCCCCCTCCTCCCCACACGCTGGAGGCCTGGTGCTAGCGCTTGGGCTCGCTGGGTTCTTCCATGCGTTAGCGTGCCCTCCCCGTACTTCGTCCCTTGTGACTGATCGAATGGAGCCCCCAGCGGCCAGCCCCATCTCATCACCGTCTTTTACGCCTGATCGCCCCTGTAACCTCCTGCTGTAGTGGCGCTGGTGCTGGTGCTGGTGCCTGCTGCCCACCAGCCCAACCCTCCTTCTCAGTCCGCGCTCGATCTCCAGAATTCTGTTTGTTCCTCCCATCGTTCAACCACATCTCTGTCTCTCAAAATCGGCCCAAGCTCACCCTCCATCCTTCCTAGACATACCTAGACTAAGGTACCGAGATATCTCGCTGAGCACACTTGCCACCCCCTCTGGAAACCTCCATTCGATCCACCCCTCCCCCGTGCTGCCATCGACTCCAACCCCAACCAACCCCCGGACAACCTTATTCGTTCTCTCAATTCTTCTCTATACATGGCGCCCTTCTCCTTCTCGTCTCCCCTCCTTCACGCAGTCTTCACCCGTGCCCGCTTTTCGGTCTCCGCCTGTGGCCGCGATCAGTTTCCTACCCTTATTTGGATTGGACTGTAGCTCGCCCATATAACTTTTGGCACCGCCAGATCAAGCACACCTCGTCAATCGATTGATTCCCCTTCTTCTGCCAGCACACCAACAGCCTGCTTCCAATAAACTAACGCCCGTCAGATTATTTCCGTTGGGCCTTGTTCTGTTCTCCTCGCTTGGGCGAACCGCCTCTCCCAGCTCCTCGCCATCTCTTCGCTTTCCCCTCTGTGCCATTGAGGCTGAATTATCTTCCCTCCAGTGGGATTTTTCTCTTTTCTCGGACTTTGATTTACGCCGAGGCAGCTTCTAGTTCAGCGCAATCAATCCAGGATGTTGCTGTACACGAGACTCGCACCTCCAAAGGTCCCAAAGACGCGATCACGAGCAGGTAAGACAAAAAAGAAAAAGAACGAGCCTTTTTTTTTCCTCTTTAAAAATTACACTCACAGCGAAATACTCCAATTGCCAATGCCTTATACATCCCCTGCCTAGAATGAACAAGCTAACCAAACGCCCTCATTCTGCTCTCTACAGGATGCAATTATTGGTAAGTATTCCTCCTTCAGACCTCTCCCGCACGGTCGCACAGCAGAGCTAACAAGTGCTTCTCTCCCGCAGTAAAGAAAAGGTACTGTTGATTCCATCCCCAAACACAACCGCTTGCACATGCCGAGGTTATCCTTCCATGTCCCAAATCTCTCGTACTAACCCACAATATAGAAGAAGAAATGCGACGAAGTCCGCCCCAACTGTGCGCGATGCCTCGAGCGACGACAGGAATGTGTCTACGAACCTGTCAAGCCCCGACAACGGCGCAAGCGCGACAGTCTTTCGCTCGATACCACCAAGGCAAATGCTGCACGACCGGACCGGGCCCTGCAGATCCACACACCCCTCTCTGCTGTCTCGATCCAACAGTGGGAGAGCCAGCAGAGCTGGAGGGACGGGATTGATGGGCAAGGCGACGACAGTAGCAGTGACGGGAGCCGAAGGACCGGCGGCATCGAGGCGACCGAGTCGGTCGTGCTGGACGACAGGTTAGGACAGGTGCCCCTGTCAGCGAGCACCGCCCGTAGCGATTTGGAGACGTATTTCACCTCATGGACACCGGCAGATACCACAGCTGTCTTCTCTCCCATCACGACGACCACATTTGACCTTGCGAGCCTCGACGGGTGTTCAGCCCCTCATGACAACGACAGAGATGTGGAGGAAGTCATTCGCCGGGACTCGGCCGCAGTCGCAACCGCCCTCACCCTTACCCACAACCATCACCATCCTCAAGAACCAACACCGTTCCTCGAATTCTGTTCGCCCTCCTTTGCTGAATTCTCCGGTCGGAAGAACCGTCGCTTCCTTGTCGATCACTTCTGCAACGTTCTCTCCCATCTCATCGTCTTTCGAGAAGAGAACGGCAACCCCTTCCAACAGCTTGTCCTTCCGCTTTGCCACCGAAGTCCGGCGGTCATGGATGCCGTCTATGCGCTAGCTAGCGCTCATCTCGAGTTTCGCGGTGTAGATCCAGGCGAGAAAAGTGACATTTTCCATGGCAAGGCAATTCAAGAGCTGGCCGGGCTCATTGAGCGCGGAAGCAAACAAAATCACGAGAATCGGAATGAGCTCCTGGCTGCAATCATGTTGATCGTCTATTATGAAGTGGTATGTTTGCCAATGGCTGTCTTTGAGAGCTCTAGCTCTCCCCCAAGCCTTTATGACAATAAGCTAACGTTGGTTATCTTTACAGTTGGTCCAGCGCGGGCGGTCAAATATTGTGGATGGTCACCTGAAGGGCGCCATGACCCTGATCAACAATTCCGAGGCGAGCAGCGACCCAACAAGTGTCTTTCTAGAACGAGTACGTAGCTACACAAAACCCCTTGCTTCCTGTCCTACTTTGCTGACTATTTGGCCCAGGCCTTCGGTTTCTACGACGTCATTGCTGCATTGTCGTTCGGCACCGCACCGCTCTCCCCTGCCCCTGGCCGAGGACAGCTCTCTCCACTCCCAGCCCTCGACCCACGAGGTGCACCCTCAGCTTCCTCCAGCGTAGACACCCTCCTTGGCATGGCTACGACCCTCTGGCCCATCATCCACCGCCTCTCCACCCTGGTAAGCCTCAAGGCCGAGCTCGAGACTGCCACCGCCCAGGGCCAAGTTTCCAAGGTTGCCGTCCTCCGCACCGAGCTTGAGACGACCACCGCCGCCATCCAAGTCGCGCTTACCCAATGGCAGCCCGTTCTCCCAGCCGAGGACGTCTCGTCATCCTCAGAGCCAGAGACCCTTAAAGAACGCTCACGCCTGCGCAGCATCGTCAACAATGCGCACGCCTACCGCCACTCGGCGTTTGTGTACCTTTACCGCACGATCCGCAAGTACCCGCGGTCGCATGCGCTAGTGCAGCAGCATACTCGCCTGAGCCTACAGCACTGCGTGGGAACGGTGAGCAATGAGGGGCCCATGAGTGCGCTGCTATGGCCGCTATTCGTCGCGGCCTGCGAGGCAACGGACGAGGGGGACAGGGACCTGGCGAGGCAGTCCTTTGTGGCCATCGACAGGCGGCAGGGGATGGCGAACATTGACCGCGCGTGGACGGTTGTGCAGGAGGTGTGGAGGCGGGCGGACGATGAGGAGAAGGAGGAGGAGGCCATGATGGCGGCGATGATGTTGATGCGCGATGTGGCGGGTGATATGGCCTCCAGGAAGCCGGGAGAAGTCCCAGATGGGGCGATGCTGATGGCGGAGAGGAACGGCATGATGATGAGAGGCGCTGGTGTTGACTTATGGCGCAGAGTCAGTCGAGACATGGGACTGACGATTGTTTTTGGATAAAAGGAGAGGGCTTCTTTTGATAATGGTTTCGGAGCATAGCGGTTCTGGTGACGGGGTGGGTTGAGATACAAGGTCGGTCTAACACTGAGAACAAAGCAGATCATGGAGCTATTTGGTTGATTTTGGGCAGCATCTTAGTGCTGGTATACAGAGAAAATCTGGATGTGGGAGGTGTAAGTGGAAATGGTAAAATTGCATTTCTGGTTTTGAAATTGAAATAGGGCGAGTCAATTAATACCCAACAGATATTGAAAATAAAGCACATTGTTTACAACCTGGCCATCTCTCGGCAGCATCGCCTCATCTTCGCTTTCATTTGGTCATCCCGTTTCCTAAGATGTCTCGGAGAAAAGATGATCTGACAATTATGCCCTAGGCGCCTGAACCGCCTCTTCATTGTTAGGAACCGAAACCTGATACTCCAACGGCAGCTTCACAGCCTTGCCGGGCTCCAGATACACCAGCCACTGCACCTGTCCCCCCTTCCTCAAGTGCGCCGACGCCCGCCCCCACGCCTTATCCTCGTCCTTGAAGCTCCTACCGGGCACCCCCGTCGGCTTGCTCTCGCCGTCCATGACCAGGCCCTCGGGCTGCAGCAGGTCGACGCGCAGCCGCTCGTCCTCGGCGACGGGGATCTGGTCGAGCACGAACAGCTTGGTGGCCTGCGCGGTCCAGGTCCGCTTGTTCTCGAGCCGCACGCACCGCTCGTACACCTTCACGTCGTCCTTGGCGAAGAAGCCGCGCGTGGCCTTGCGCACCTCGGGGGGCGGGTAGGCGACGGTGATGGCCGGGTCGACGCCGAGGTTGAGGTTTAGGTGCTCGCCGACGCTGCAGCGGCTCAGGGGCACGCGGCCGAGGAAGCTGCCGTCGAGGGAGACGCCGGCGAGCCCCCGGGTGAGGTTGATCTTGCTGTCGTTCTGGAGCTTGGCGCTCAGGTAGGCGGCCGGGCGGTACTTGGCCACGATGGTGTGGCGGAAGGGGACGTTTGGGAAGGCGATGCGGGCGACGCGCTGGCTGGTCGGGGTGGACCTGGGCGCGAGGGTCTTGAGGCCCGGGAGGTCGTAGGTTGTGGTGAAGCCGGTCTGGTCGATGAGGGACTCCTCGAAGCTGAGGCGGGAGTCGTCGCGGCCGACGGTGCCTGGGTCGGAGAGGGCTGCGTCGTCGAAGGGTGATTGCTGGTCAGGCGCCGGGAAGGCTTGGGGCTGTGGCTGGGGAGGGGTGTTGGAGAAGTTGATGACTCCCTCTCCTGGTTGCGTTGCCTGTATCTGTGCTTGTATCTGCTGCAATGCTTGGTGTTGCGGCTGGAATGCCTGTTGTTGTTGCTGCTGCTGCTGCATCGCTTGCATTTGAGCTTGGCCTTGCGAGCCTTGCACTTGCTGCGACTGGACTGGTCCTGTCCGCGGCATACCTGCTCCCTGCCCGCCCTCCTGTCTCGCCATCATTACGCGCTTCTTGTTCTGCTGCTCCAACAACATAAGCTGCATTTGATAGTCTTGCATCTGCTGGTTAGGCCCGCCCACATATGGCCCAGCTCTCCAAGCCCCCGGGACAGGTGGGTGAGTGTTGGATGAGGGATTGTCGATGCCAAACATTACAGTCCTTGGCTTCATATCCGACCTAGGGTGCTGTGACTCCCAGAATCTTGAGCGCAGCTCGACTTCCTCGCGGCTCTTAACGAGGGGGTCGGGCCCGTAGCCATCACCCTTGGGCTTGAGGATGATATTCCAGGGCTCAAGAGTAGGAGCTGAGTCCACAAGACCTGAGAATGCTGCCTGCGATGTGGAGAGGGTAACCTTGCACCTCTCCCAGGTCTCAGAGGTGGTATTGGTGATTTGCGCATCAAAGCAGAGGATGCCGGTGCAGTTCGTAGTATCGAGCTGGATATCGTAGCTCGGCTGCCAACAAGCTGCACCGGTAATGTACGAGAGGATCAAGTCGCAGCTCTGCAGCGTCACATCCTCTGGGGCCACCGACTCGCCCTTTGGGACATCCTGAGGGATCTCCCAGTCCTTCTCGCCCATGGACACGTCGACGCTAGACGGCGCAGGAGTGGCGATGCCAACCTCAAGCTTGATGTGCACGGCGTAACAGTACTTGGGCCAGAAGCTCTCCCTCTCTCCTCGGATGCGGTTCTTCTCCTTGACACGTTCTTGCTCTCTCAACTCCTTGTTGCGCCGCTCAATACTCTTGCGCTTCCGTATCTTGGCTGTCTCACGGTTGGCGCGGGTCTTCTCTCTCTCATGCCGTTTGATCAGCCGAGCGCGAATGGCCTGCGCCTTCTGCAGCTCTGGCCCGAGCTTGCTCTTGAGCTCTTGAGCTTCGAGGCACTCTTGATGGGCCTTGATGCGCTCGTCCTTGTAGGTGTCCATTGCTTTCTCAATATCGATGTTGTGCTTGGGGTTGAGCGAGTTGTAGTAGCCATTGAGATACCTCTTTCGGAGCTCAGTAGACTTCACGACCTCGTCGGCTATCTCGACCTGGCCGTTGAGCTCTGTCACACGCGCTTTGGCTGCTATGAGCTCTGGGCTCTCGCTGACCTCGACGTCTTCAACGTCCGACTCCTCGTCCGACTTTTCCTCGTCGTCAGAGTCAGGGTAGACGTCAGCAAACAGTTCATGGTTGGGCACGGGCTCAATGCTGATGTCGACGATGGTGGCTGCGCCGTTGCCCTCGACCTTGATCGAGTGCTCGTCGACGGTAGGGGTAAGGCCCAGGATAGTGATCTCATTGGTACCAGGGCGCAATGGCACGTCTCGTATATCACGGGAGACCTGGGCCTTTGTAGGGAACAGAGTCACCGACCTGGTGCTCAGGTCACGAATGTTGTACTCGACTCTGGAGATGGAGTCCATAATGATTGGCTCGGCAAGGGCAGTGGTTGATGCGCCAAGTGTTCCAGCAAACCTAAGTCACAAAGAATAGATGCTGTACGTGTAGGTGAGAGTGACTGAACCAATTGCTTCGATGAGTCAAGGTACAGGAGAGAAGAGATGAAGGAGATGGACGGAACGCCCTCGATAGGATGGAGAGGGGGAGCATGCCGCCCATTTAAACAAAACCATCTTGCCCAAAATCAACTGGCGACAAGGCGCTCCAGGCATCTGGTCTGGTGCTTGGTGAATGCCTCGCGGGTCGCAGCAGATTGCCTGAGAAAGGCGACAAGCATCGTCAGACAGACCAATTGGGAGAGCCGATTCTGAATGTGTTTGACCAGTTTGGTTACCCTATACCACCTGACAGTGGCACCATACCTCATTGGGTAATTTTTCAATCATGAACCCCTGCAACGAACTAAATCGGTATAGGTCGTGTGGGTCTGCGTAGGTCTGATGTCTCTAATTGTTCTGACTCTGTTCCATGATGCGATTAAACAAAGTATGTGTTTTTCAACAATTTGTTGGAATATTTGCTCTCCTCTTAGTGTATTATTGATTACAATGGTACAGCCACCCCTGACTTCGGGTGGACAACATCCCGCAAACTTGGATCGAGCCTTGGCCTCACACCAGCATAGACAATGGTTTGGAAATTCAAATATGATGGAATAGTCAAGAACAAATAGAGTCGTACATCTCCCATCACAGGTCTCCTACCTTACGTTTCTACTTTACTCGTCTAAGTTCAGCTACGAAGAAAGTATAATTAAAGCCACCGCCCAGCAGAGCCCTCGCCCCAGGCAAAAACCAACGGCTATCCTGTTATAGTTCGAGGACTGTTGACTCATATGTTGCACCTTACCAAGTCATTTTCAACACCATGGGAGATATCCGAGTTAATTGGAGGCCAAAATCCTCAAGATGTCAAAGCCACGGAAACCTTGAAGTCTGTTTTTTCGAACCAAAAGAATGAAGAAATATAGTTTCAAGTAACAAAGGCAGGTTTAAAAGAAACATAACACCTCTGATCTTCTGCTCTAGATTCTCACTCACTCTCCCATCATACTCACTGACTGTATTCCTCATCTCTCATTTCAATTTCTTCCGCAATATCATACTGACTATCGAACTACCGTTTGTGGCCATAATCAAAATCAAGCTCGTGATGGAGCGGGTTCACGAACTAGTCAACTCCGCTAGGGACTTCATACATGAACATCGACCTTTTAATGGAGGCACCGATGACGAAACCAAGGAAGAACCCGGCCCCGCGCAATCTGGACTTACCGATCTCTTCCCCTTGGACGAAAATGCTTACCCGGAAAACCCCAAATTTGACAATCGCTTCAATGGAGGTACACTGTACATGACCATGCGCCCAGTGACAGGGCTGGAGAGGCTCGCCACCTGGCAGGCGGAGATGGAATTCTACGTCAAGGACATGGAATCTCTCATGCTGAACGGGCTGCACTGGTCCGAGGCCAACGTGGAGAAAGCGGGCGGGTGCATCATGGTCCCGTCAGACAACATGCCCAACCTACCACGATCCCTGGGTTGGTTGTTCGGCCGCCGCTACCTGCTGAAGGACCTGGGCGACGACCCCAAATGGAGGGCCGCGCTGTGGATCTATGGACGGACTTGTGCCGAGCTGTTGCAGCTGAAGCTCGACGACCTCTCTGTTGAGTTGGTCCGGCGTGCGAAGGCCATTGCCCCGGGTATGGGCGAGGTCTATAAGTTCGACCTGGCTCGAGAGGACGGGTACAATACAAACGAGTTGTATGGGCGCAGGCCGCTGGAAGGGTGGTGGCCATGGCCAAAGGAAAATCAATTGAAACCACTGGAGTTTAACTGTGCAGCTATTATAGACGACAGTTCTTCGAATGTTGCAGCATTGTAAACAAAGAGGCCGGTGATAACTGTCAGATTAGTGGACCCAAGCATAGCGTTATGATTTCATGGATGTGCGATTAGATACATATTCAATATCTGAAATTGATTGAGCCTTAAGATTCAGGTATAATTTGGTGATGTTTACGTTTCAAAGAGCCCAGTTTCATCCATATGAGTACACTTGAAAGGGCTCAAATGGAAACTCCATTCACTCTGGTTAATATCAGTCGAATATATGTTCCAGATTTTTGTGTATTCTCCCCGAATGAAGCGATTCATCTCCTTAATCCGTGGTAGGTTCGAAGCTCGGAGGGAGACTGCTCTTGGCCTGACGGGAACAGATGCTTGGCACTCGGATGCTGGACCGTACCTGCCTCAGTAAATACCAATGGCACTTCCCTCTCCTCCCTCTGTATGACATAATCCGATTGAATATTCTGCTGTCTTTTGCTTGAGACCACCGCCAACAATTCTCCCAACAGCCGACGAACAAACCCTGCCGCCAGAGATCCCGTGCGATATCGATGCAATGTACGACATAGCTCGGTTTCATAGCGGGAGAATGCGGGGCCGTTGCGGCAGCAGAGTGTGGGGATGCGCCGTCTGTCTGGGCTCTACTCGTGTCAAAACTCGCAGGGTTCTGATCCCAGACGGCAAAGTAATTGCGACAGCACGCAATATTGACAGTTAGCCGTGGTGCCATCCCACTCACACCGAGTCATTCAAGCCATGGCTCCTCCTTTCTGCGTCCACCGAAGTAGTAGGCGCCTCGCGAGCTCGCTTCCAGCCTCCTCCACCCACCACCACCGCCCTGCCTTCACCTAAAGTCAACGCTACCCTTCGACGCGGCAATAACCGCGGGAATTCACCAGGTCCAATGCACGGTAGGGCCGCGCGGACATCGAAATCACGACCTGACGGGATAGGGGGGACACACCAAGTTGTTGGCTAGCAAGGCTAGTTGGGCTTGCGAGGGTGTGCTGCCATCGCCACCAGATCTGCGCCGTGGTCTCACTGTGATTGCACTCATCTATTTTCTTTTTTGGCAGCTTACCAACCAATTGAATCGGCGGGTGCTAAGAGCCATCACACCGAGAGCAGCCTGGACAGCGTGCAGAACACGACATTATTGCATGCCGGAGATTTAGAGAAAAGAAAGGGTCTTGCTCCGGGGGGATGGCCATATCATACCCACCAGGCAGGGGAGAAAACAGCCCCGGTTTCCAAGAAAAGAAAGCAAACAGCATTCTAAAGCAGCGACGAGTCGGACCAGCTGCTCCACTCCCATGCTCCGTCTTGATCTTTACCCTTCCGTTTCCTACGACTCTGGGTGGCATCCTGACAGGAAACCAAGGCTGGCCCCGTTTTGCTAGTTCGCAGGTTCGCAACCCTCAACAAAAAAGAAGCTACCTGCTAGTTGCGATTAGTCCAAGCTACTAGAACAGCCGGTCGGCGATTGCTTGCTTCTGTTGTCTAAGCTAGAAAGGAGGTAAGATTGCCGCCGGGACCCCGGGGGGATCAACAGCCCATCCTCCTAAACAGGAGGTGATGGACGGCTGCTCTTAACAGTGAGTGCGTTAATAGAGTGCAGATTGGGTGTTGCGTTGCCCAAACCCATGGTTAGACAGCAAGCATGCTCTGCCGTTGCACACCCGAAAGCACCCTATCGCTGGGTCCTGATTTCGACGACCGTTTTGATTGCTGCCTACTCATGCAAGTGCATCCCAAGACACCCAAGCAGACGGTGCCTATTTGTCTTCTTTGCATGTGGCTTGCTTTAAAAACACATGGTAGGAATGCTCGGATTGCCGCATTAGGCATTCCCTCCAGAGCGGCTAGAGGGAATCATTCAGGTCTAACAGAAAAAATGAGACGATGAATCACGAGGACAGACGAAGCGGCAGCAATGGCGAGAGCAGGTTAAAGGATAATAGGCTAAAAGAGGAGCATTGGTGCGGGAGGACTAGCGACAGGTGCCCTGCCTTGCTTCGTCCAACAGGCTTTCATGCGCCGCTTATTAGTGAAGTGGTGGTTATGCCATGTTTCGTTCGGTTGCCACCACCACCATCAGCAAGCAAGCAAGCAGCCCCGCGCCAGTTCCTTGTCCCCGGAGTCTCAGGGTGATACAGAGTAGAGAGGTGGTCATCAAACGAAGGTTTTTTATGGCGGGGTTGAAAGTGCTGGTCCTACACACACCGTTGTTTGGGAGGAAGGTTTGCTCGGAGGTTGGTTGCGTACGCCTACTGGTACGGCAGCCCCAGCCATCGCGCTAGACTCCAGGTTTCTCCCGCCCAGATGATCATATGATCAAAGATTCCTTCATACATGCTAGCAAGGCCATACTCGGGTAAGATGTCACCCCGGGATCGGATGGCTTTGGCTTGGGTTTGAGAGCGTTGGCCCACCCCAGATTCTGCAGCTTCGAGAAGAAGGGGTCAAGGTGCTCCCATTGAGATGGTTGGGCTGTAAAGCACGATGCGCCCTGCATTCCTTCTCATACTGAGTGCTTGCCAAGTGTCCACTGATAGCTGTACACGATGGTGTACAGCAAGGTTGCTTGACTGCTGTTTCAACAATCCGGTGTTGCAGTCGCTCTTCCGGGTCAATAATAATCGCTACTATATGCGTGCGTTATATTGGCTTCCTGCGCCCGCCCGTGATGTCCCTCGGATGACAAATTATTACCATCAAGTGTGACTTAAGTGTTAAACGAAACTGCTCTACATGGCCGAGTTCGATCTAGCCAAGCTTCTTCCACCGAGATGAGGACTCAATCTATTACTGTTGGACATTACTAAGAGGCGAGCTCCCAGCACATGGCCAGCAAGGGGGGACAGGCATTAGGGCGTGGAGAAGGAGAGAGAGGATCTAACCGGGAGAGTCGGGCACGGCATGGGCAGAGAATGCAAGTTTGGAGGATACATATTGATACTGAGCCAGTTGTTAGCGAGGTGAGCAGTCAGATCGGGCCCTTAGAGCGCCTCCCCAGAAAGTTGGAGACGGCACCCATCTAGCTCAATTCAACGCTAGCTCGAAAGTGTCACCTGGCCCGCGAATCCTGCACCTTGCATTTGCCAACTGCTCTGTAAAAGTGGGCTGGCAGCGAGCTGGGTGACAGGAGGGAGAGGATGAGATGGAGTGATGTGATACCGAGGGCTGGCGCATCTGTCTCGTTCACACTTGATCCTGGTGCTGCTCTAGCTCTGCCCAACTCTGGCACGGTGACACTGCAGCGAAGGGTTGCGCTACAGCTGTCACAGCCCAGGGAGCTGCAGCCGGTGTGCAGCACCCTGTCCAGAAGCCTCCCCGCTGTAACCCAGTGCTAAGCTCCCTGTAGCGTGCCCTGAAGGCCCAAATCCTCCTCCCTGTCGTCCTCGGGCAAGCCACGCTCGTCGCCGCCTCATTCATCCTCCTGCTCTCAATCAAACAGCTCCTCCCATCCATCCGCCAGCTTTCGTCCACACATGCCTTGCCTCTGCCCACCCCTACACCATACCCGACCAGCCAGCCAAACTGCTCGTCGGCCATCCAGCCCGACTCTTGCTGCTACTCGCTCGCTTGTCGGCCCTAGCTGTCGTCGTCGATAAATGAATAATCCGGTCCTCCACCGGGGCGAGCCGCCCATTTTCCACTGACCTTCTCCGCCCCACCAAGCTGTCTTCCATTGCCCATCATCGTGAACACCTCCCTCCCTCGACACACCTCTTTTCTCCCCAATCAAGCATCCCTTCCGCCATGTCGGCGGACGTGATTCTTTGAATTGTCAACCTCTGCAGCTGATCCTGTTGCCCAAGCGCCCGGCTCTAAGCGCCTACCTAATACCAGTGTCTTTTTTTTTTCTTTTCCCCCCGTTCTGTTTCTGGCTGTTCATGACCCGTTTTGATATCCATCTTGTCAACCCTGCTTAATCCATCCATCCGCAAACAAAACCCTCGGTGCGACACAGCCAATCCCATCTCGACTCTAGCTCGACGCTCTTTCTCAGCCAAGGCTCCCCGTCCGCGCACCATGATCGACGAACCATGGCGACAACCTTAATGAACAAGAAGTACGATGCCGACCCTCCTCCGCCACCCAAGCAAATTCGTTTCGTCAACAACCAGGGCCAGCCTCCCTCGAAGCGCCGTCGAATCACTGCTGCGTAGGTCTTCTTCACCTCTCCTTGTCTCACCCGCCACCACATGTTCGAAGACCTTGGCAGTCGTGCACCACCATTGGGCATTGGTCTACCTCATCACATGTCAGGGTTGCCGTCGCTAGTAATAGGGAGGGACGAACAGATCATGAGCTAACCATGCCTCGGCTTTCCTCTCCTGCAGATGTCTAACATGCCGCCGACGAAAAACGAGATGCGCCGGCGAGCGACCCAAGTGCTCTACGTGCACAAAGAACGGGCACAAATGTCTGGGGTACCCGGAAGAGAAGAAAGAGGGAGGTGATACGGGGGACGGCAAAGTCGACTACGAGGAGAGGCCCGACGTCGAGGACAGTATTGAAGAGGACGACAAGAAGCCAAAGAAGCTGGCCAACATCATCACCACGCAACAGTCGCATCGCAGGTCCGGCCCTGCCTCGTCGCCGCAATCAAGTACCCGACCGTTCGCGAACCAACATGGCAACGCAGTGTCTCCGACGGTGCCCAACAAAGCGTCGGCATCACCCACGATGCTAACCGCGCCGACAGCTGCGAGCTCAGCCCAACCCATGCCGGCTCAGTCGATGGCGACGCACAACTCCCTCACATCGGAAGACCCAGGGTCCCCAAGCATGCGCCGGAGCATGAACCACAGCCATCGGGTGCCATACTTCCGTTACTTTGGCCCCACGGCCATCGTTCCGGGATTCAAGCAGATGGTTGTATCTGTTCGGGACCGGCGTCGCTCCACCAATGGCTCACACTCGGGTGCGTCGCCGCTGTCGAACCCCAGCGGCATCATGGGGAGCACCTCGGCCGCCGACAGCGACGTCATTCTAGATGACCCTCCGATATACGACCCGAACGACCCCGGGCCGGTTAATCCCTTCATCCTGAGCCTGGCCAGGACGTTCTTCCTCCATCTCGGGTGCAACTATCCATTCTTACAAGAACGAAACTTCATGCGACTGGTCAGGGAGAAACGGGCCGAACCGATTCTAGTCGACGCCGTGTGCGCGCTGGCAGCACGTTTCTCGGACTCGCCCATCCTCACCGGCGGCAACGAGAAAATGCCCAAGACGGAGCGAGGACAAGCGTATGCCCATCGCGCAAAACGGGCGACCGTCGACACCTTCCCCTGCCCAACTGTCGCTGCTGTTCAGGCATGTTTGCTCATGGCTTACGAAGGATTCGGTGCCAATCAGGATAGTGCCCTGTGGATGTACCTTGGCCTGGCCATACGAATGGCGATAGACTTGGGGTTGCAGAAGCGAGTGGGTGTTCAGTACCAGGGCGAGCATGATCCTTGGAACACCCAGCAGCGCACGCGAAATCTTCTTGGGTACATCACCCCTGACGACTCCAAACCTCAGAGCAATCCGCCCTCTCAGGAGGAACAAAGGGAGCTAGAGCAAGAGCGCATTGATACTTTCTGGACTGTGTTTGTCTTGGATAGATTTATCTCTTCCGGTACCGGTCGTCCAGTAACCCTGCGTGAGGATGATTATGATCTCCAAGTGCCGGAGCTGGGGCTTCTGCCCGGAACTGCGTGGCCGAATCCCTTCCCCGTGTTCCTCGAGATCATCCATCTGTATGGCCGTGTATCAGATGTTCTAAACAATATCCAGGATCTAAGTGATCTCACACGTGAGAAGTGGCAGAAGCTAATCACCATGGAAAGCCGCCTTACGAAGATGTACAAGAGCTGGGACTCACGTCTTCAGTTCAATGTCACCAATTTCAAGACCTACCTAAGCGCCGGTCAGGGCACTACGTTCATCTTGCTACATTTCTGGTTTCATGCTTTGTTCATTGTTCTCCATCAACCAACTTTGTTGACCCCGTTCGGCGAGCTTCGAAGCGAGCTTCAGCTGTTGCCTGACAGCCGTGAGCTCAGCATGAGCAGTGCAAAGACGATATGTGATATCCTCGCTTTTGCAGATCTAATAGACCCCCACAGCTTCATTGGCAATCCGTTTACAAGCCAGCCGATCTACATTGCTGCTTGTGCGTTCTTGATGGAGTCGAGCGCTTCCGCTTCAGAGGACCCGTCCCGAGAAGGTTCACCGCGGCTCAAAGAGCGATCGCTGCCGTCAAACGCCAACCACGTCAACCATGGTAATAATGGAAAGCAAAAGTCGCGACACTCTTTGTTGGCATCGGCGGCAAATCAAAACTACCAGCAATGTTATAGATCATTAGAGCATCTCCAGACGTACTGGGGCGGAGTGAAATATATCCTCACGGCGTTGGATCAGAAATCCAAGGGAATTTGGGACTGCGAAACATTTACTTCAGAAGAATATGAAAGCACAAGGATGGCACGGACTGAGGCCATCAATGGCCACCTCAGATTCGATGCTCCCACATCTTCCCCAACAGTACCAGGTCCCCCCATCGCGTGGAGCCTGGCAGGCACGGCCAATTCACCCAGTTCGAGCTTGACACTGATGTACCAGAAATCGAACACAAACCCTGCTGGCCGTGAGATAATATCCCCACAGCGGCAGAAATCAGGCAACAAACCGATTGGCAATCCAATGGATGCCTCAATGAGGCAGTCGGTCCATGCAGCCACAGGCATGTTCCCGCCCCCGATACTCCAGGCCACCCCGTCGGCGGCCAAGGGCTCCCCTGATCAGCAACAGGCTTCTCACCCCGCAAGGCCGAGCCAACGTGGTCAGACTGTGGTCAAATTCGAAGGCTTGTCAGGCGAGACTGAGGCGGACAATATGTACCCATCACACCACTTCGCAGCCTCGAGTCAAGCACAGCAGTCAAGCAGCATGGAAGCATACAACACCTCACCACCGAACACGATGGCAGATGGAAACCATGCGGCAAATCACGGTAGTACCACCGGCAGCATATACTATAGCCAAGGCATGCCGTATCATCCAGGCTGGGGCACCACTACAGGGAACATGGATGCATTCACATTCGACAGTCAGGACATTGACATCGGTGCCTTGGGCCTTGAACAGCCGGGTCTGATGGGAGCCTGGCTAGACTATATCCCACCAGACGATGTGTTGGGCTTGTTCGAACATCACGATATGGGGCACGGCGGCCAAGGAGGACCACCTCCAGGGGGTCCATAAGCATGCCTCTAATCAGGTGTTCTTCTCTTTTTATTTCCTTTTTTAAACGAATTGTTATTTAATGTTTCCTCAGGGAGGAGGGAACGGTTTGATGTATTGAAGGTAGTAGTTCATGGGAGAACCGGAGGCGTATGAGGATTTGCAACAACAGCACACGACCTGGCGTTATACTATGGCATGATTCGGGAGAAATGATGGGTTTCCTATTTTTTTTCAATTCTTCTAGCTTGGGAATGGCAGGAATTTAGGATACGGCACGCGTGTCGACTATGTTTAGGGAACGACGAAAGACAAAAAAAAGGGCGAAGTTAGTTTGCGATCAGGAGCAGCGATGCTCAAATACCATGCGAGACTCTGGGGCAACACGTCTCCTCCAGTTACGTTTCTCGCCCTTCTTGATTGTTACTTTTGTTTACATCGTGGCTACTTATGATGATCGGCCGGGATATTTACCTGCCTTGTTGGATTTGGGCTTGTATAATGAGCGACTGGATGGGCGGATTTTTTCTTTCAGAGTGGAAGACGACTGGTGCATGGATTGACTGTATGTGGGTTTCTTTTCAGCGAGCATTGCCTGGGTTCTTGTTCCACCAGGCGTTGATTAGGGGAGAGTGTATATGGTGTACGGACTGTTTGATTTAGCGCCGAGGATTCTAGAAGATTGTCTCTATATGGTGTGCGATAGCCAATGTGTCTAATTAGATATCAAATCTGTGCTTGGGCTCTTGTATGATTTATGAGGGGATCTGTGATTTCTGGTACCCCTTCCGAGGGATGGAAGTAGGTGGCGTGGATTTGACAGTGTCATGAACACAAGTCTTTTTAAAAGTGTCAGAGCCTCCAAAGTATAACACAGAGCCAGTCACTAGGCAAACTTAATAAATATCATAGGGAGCTATCTAAAGGTAGTGGTTCGGAAAATGAGGTTGGAGGTGGAGTTGAGGTTGGACGAGAGCATGTGTATAGGGTAGCAGAAAGATCAGGGAAATGACGAGGTTCTCTCCTTTGAAAGCTATGAACAAGCCTACCATAACTGGGATTATTGTTCTAGCCTAGAATTTATGGCCTTCAGCCATGCCGCCAGTTTGCATCATACAACCACCTTGTAGGTGCTATCTGAACACTCTCCGTTCGGCCAGTCTGGGGTAGAACGAGGGCTACTGAGTGGTGGGTCGCTCAGATGGTTTAGGCCTATCAAACACAAACAGACTACACAAGGCTGAGGCACAATTTCAACGACTCAAGAACAGCCTCAACTCGCAAATTTCATCGCCAACTCGCCAATTGACCGAATCAGTCGCTCCAAATCACCTGTACTCAAAAAACAGCTACTCCAGAAGTGAATTGACCCCTCCATTCCCCCCCATGCGGCCCCTCCGTCACCTGGGGCGCCGCTCCATCCTCCTCCCCCCTCCTCATTCCCCCTTCACCACCCCCTTCACATCCTCACGGCCATTCAGCGAATCCGCCGCGGCCAACCCCTCAAACAAGACCCAGATCTACGTCTCCCGCTCCCACGATCCCCTCACAAACCTCTCCCTCGAGCACCGCCTCCTCCAGACCTCCCACCCGGACTCGACCGTCCTCCTCCTCTACACCAACCGCCCTTGCGTCGTCGTCGGCCGCAACCAGAACCCCTGGCTCGAGGTGAATCAGGCCCGTCTGGGCCCCCAATCCCACATCCAGCTCGTTAGGCGGCGCTCGGGCGGCGGGACCGTCTTCCACGACGAGGGCAACGTCAACTTCAGCGTGATATGCCCGCCCAAGGCGTTCCACCGCGACACGCACGCGGAGATGGTGGTGAGGGCCCTGACCGCGCTGGGGGAGGGACGCGCGCGCGTGAATGAGCGGCACGACATCGTCGTCGACAGAGACGAGGGGAAGACGTTCAAGGTGAGCGGGTCGGCGTACAAGCTCACGAGGCTGAGGTCGCTGCACCACGGGACGTGCCTGCTGCGGAGCCCCGGGCTGGCGCGCATCTCGGGCCTGCTGAGGGCGCCCGGGGAGGCGTTCATCAAGGCGCAGGGGGTAGACAGCGTGAGGAGTCCCGTCGCCAACGTGGGCGTCGAGCCGGCGGCGTTTGTGGACGCGGTCGTGGCCGAGTTCAGGAGCATGTACGGCGGGCAGGCGGTGGAGGTGGATGAGTTTGGGGAAGAGGTGCTGGGGGTCGAGAAGGTGAGGGAGGGATATGAGGAGATGAGGGAGAGGGCGTGGGTGTACGGGCAGACACCGCGTTTCGTGCTGTCGACGGAGGCTACGGAGGACGATCCTAGGGAGAGGCCGGCGGTGCCGTTTGAGGTGAGTTTGGGTTTTCAATCTGATAGTCAAGGAGTCTGGACACGGCTTTTCGATTCTTTGAAAGAGAAAGCTGGCTTGAGGATTTCTTCATGGCTTGACTTTGAGGCTATCTACTTTATTTGCTAACAGTTTCGCAGTCCAAGCTCTACATCGAGGCCAAGCGTGGCATCGTCAACAAGCTAACACTCAACGGCACGTCTCTAGACTCCCCGTCCATCGTGGGCGCCTCCATCTGGGAGATCTCGGACTGGGCCACTCGGCTCCGTGACGCCGGCTCCGGGGTCGACGACGTGCGGGAGGTGGGAGCCTGGCTCGACGGCGTCCTCGCAACACAACCATGAGCTGGGAGCGAGAAGCCGACGTGGAACCTACGTAATGTATGTGGAGATATCCAAGCCTCGCAGGACGATGTGGTGTATGTACGCGCTGCAGCGTTACGCGTGTTCCGTCATCCCGCCTGGCCACCCCCTACAATGGATGAACGTGAACGTCAGCTGGACCCCGGGGTACGATGTACAGGTTCAAGGCTCAAGGAGATAGAGGAGCCTCGCAAATACGAACAAGAAGACGGGGGACAATGGACGTTTCATTCAACTGGTTTTGGGTGGCTGCCTAGCGCAGGCAGGAGGAAAGTGATCGTCAATACGAGCGGCCTGTAACATACAGCACCGGCACTGGGCTTCTTTCACTGTCTCACTTCCTCCCCCCGGCGACAGGTGATTTTCTAAAAGCAATATATACGTAAACGGACGTGCGGACAGTGTAGATTTGATGGATGGATGGGCCGGTGGAGCAGCAGAAACCGCATGGATCAATAGGGTTCCATCCGGAGGGGACGTGGGCGAGAATCATGCTCCTCCCTGGGTGGTGTTCGCGCGATATGCAGAACGGGATGTCGCTGCAGGTAAACTCCTCGCCGTCAGGCGGGCTTGGCGATCAAGGGATTCTCGTTGCCCCCCGATTATCAGATGCAAGAAATAGGTTGAGAATCGTAGGGTCCTTCTTGAGGTCGATCACATGGGGTAGCATCCTGTCGTAGCGCTACCCACCATCTTCTTTCTTGTTGCCTCTGTTCTGCTACATTGTTTGTAATGATAGGCAAGCTCTCGGAGATTATGGGACCGCACACTCTCGACCGCGCTCTGTCGGGGGAGGGGTGGTATGTCGAGAGGTCGACGTTGCGCCTTGGGGTGATAGTTATCTCACACAGTGTGGCATTACAAAGCAGGTTTTCCGTACACTTAGCCAAAGAGCGGACATGGTGATCAACTTCATTTTACTTGTCTTACGCATATGAGAGTGGCGGCCCCAACAGCAGCTAGCTCTTACACATAGCAGGAATAGGGGGAGGCCATAACACCCACCATGAAGTCACGATGCAGGGTTCTGTATCCATTCAGGGTAGTTAGAGTAGAAGACGGCGAGGGCCAAGATGGAGAAGGGGGCGGAGACCATTGTTCGAAGACGTGAGATGGTTGCGGAGGAGGGTAGCAGGGCTGTGCCGTGCTTTGTGGATGGATGTAAGCTATGCAAACAGGCTGCGAACTGTTCCCTCCTTTACCCATCCCCGTCGCTGGGCATACGATTGGAGGTGGACCATGTGCACAGCAGATGACGCACAGCCGGATAGGCAGGGAAACACGCTGCGACGCAAGCACTCTTCTCACCTTCTTCTTTCTCGGAGTCAGGAGACGAGTCTTCGGACCCGTGGTAGCCTTGCAGAGTCCCCTGGAGGAGGGCAGGAAGGCTGGCCAACTGCTGCATTCCCCTTCCTTGCACTTGGGGCATCCGACAGGTTGGCACTTGCTTACTAGGCCAGGGGGTCAACGACGACGAGGGGTGGTTAGTTCGGGCTCGGTTGACACTGGCGACGAGGGTCCAGATTGGCCAGCACGAGGCGGGCGCGAGTAAGAGGCACAGCTGGGTGTCTATCTGCAGCGCTAACCGAGAACCGGACGAGAGTGCAGACGTAGTCTGGATGCTTGTTGGCTCTTGGGCCTGGGGTTGATGAAAGGAGTTCGGGGCATGCCGCCGTCTAACTTGGGCTTGGCCGGGTAGCTGCATATCGACGACGGCCGGCCAGTAGCCCCCAAGCTTCTGGACAATCGTGAATCATTCTGGGAGCTTTCATCACATGTTTCTTACTCGACGGGCGGCATCCTCCGCTAGGGCAGAAATCCGGTACACACACCGGAGCAGGTTGTTGAATGAAGACGCCCGCCCTTCGACGATATTCCAATAAACGAGGCAGAAGGAATAAACGCGAAGTAAGCGTCGAGGGATGAGGATCCCTGAATATCCCCAGACTCCAGCCCATCCGGCGATCGGTCGCTTGCGCTGCGCAGATAGCACGTACATACATCAAGCAGGCATCACGCACGCACATCAGTAGCTGCCAGCTGCCGGTACTTCAGTTTACGGTCATTGATCATGGGGAAAACTTAGAGTAGCATCCTTGCTTCGAACTCACCCCTCCTTCTCGCCTTTGCCATCCGGAAGTCGGGGATTGACTGGGAGGGTATTGCGGCTAAGATCGGCCAGAAGCTGGGCCTGCCCCAGAAAAAAACCAAGCCGAAATAGACTGCGCCAACTCTCTTTGGTTATGCCACCAACATGGCCGAACAGGAGAGTTCATACTAACTGTAGGTGGACGGGTGGAGAGGAGCAACTCCTCCGCCATAACTTGGACGATCGTCGATCGCGCTTCAAATACATGGGTAAGCGAGGACTGCGCGATATCTAAGAATCGAGTCACGGAAAAGCAAGAAATGCGAATGCATGACTTAACCACATGAACGGCGAAGCGAAGGCAGGTCAGGATCGTAGGGGCCCTCTTTTCGGTTGGGTTGGGACTCGATCGTGACGTTCAGAAAACTATGCTGCCACCACACCTCGACGCGCATGCACAATTGGGCTGGCTACATGTAGAACGGACGGGGTTCGATGCATGCCAGAAGCGAGCTGCCACAACAAGGCCCGGCGAGCGCCTACGGTTTGCATGTAGCCTCGATCTAAGTACTAAAGAGAGAATTTGAAACACGCTCACTGGGTGCGAGCGCGCAAGCGAGAGGACATCCGTTCTGAGCTGAGCCACCCATGGGGGAAGTGAGAAATGAAGGAATGACGGCATGGAGCGATGGATGGGCGAATACCTGGGGTAAGAACGGTGTGATGCTAATGGACCATGGCCCTTGAGCTCGACGACAGGCGACTAATCATATTCTGGTTGTAATGGTCCCCCGCCCTTCGTCGCAGCCTGGGGTGCATGCCATGTCCTGGACATTTCTGCTCTGCGCATCATGTGTTGGGATTGGCTCCTCCAGGCTTGATTGGCCTGGCGGGTGACAGCCCACAAGGGGACATTGGGGATTTGGGAATGAGGTGGGAGAGGATGCGGGAGCTAACTTTGGTTGAAGCAAGCACCGGGCCGGGCAGCGTCGTATTCAATCACTCGATGAGATGAACGAGTGAGAACCCAGCAGCACACACCCACGGCTGCTGTCACACACTTACACATGGTGTGTGTGCGTGGGTGATTGTTGAGTGACGGGTAGCAGGGACCAGAGGCCATGGGCAGGGCGCAAGGGTAAGGGCCAGGGCCATGTATCATAGCGCGAGAGACAAGATGGGAGGAGAGAGGGAACGAGATGGTGGTTTTGGTGATCTCGTCGCATCGTACGGTCGTGCGGTCTTGGCTCGACGTCGCTAGAGGGCCCAGAGTGGTCTTTTGGTCAGATCTCAGAAATCTGTGCGGGCCGAAGACGCCCGAATCAGACGATGAGAGTACCGGCTAGGGCCTTCCTCATGAGAGCCAACCAGGGGGCGGCAGGGGACTTGACGCTTGCTGCTTCAGGGTTTGGCCAAGAGCCAAGCCCAAGGGCCATCAACGCGAGAGAGATGCTCTCAGGCTATGTAGCAACTAGCAAAACAAGTGTTAGTAGTGCGTCCCGTACATGCAGACGCTCTCGAGAAGGGTGGTCCCCAAGGTCGCCTGGCTCCTCCTCCGGAGCTGGACGAGGGGGTTCACAGCGGACGGGTGGGATCCCGTAGTGTCGATTGGGTTTGCCTGATTGATTGATATTGGGCACGCCACAGCGTTCAGCGGCTGCCACGTCTTTGCCATGCAGGAACTACATAGTATGCACGGATCGCGGTGGTACGTCGGGAGGGGTTGAAGCTAGGAGGCTGGCAGGGTTTTGATTTGTGCCATCTTGCTGAATTCTATTTGCTGCTGGGCGGCCTCCCTATCACTTCTCTCTTCTCCCATCACACGATGTACGTGTCGCCATGTTAGTCGAAGGAGGAGCCGTCCAGTTGCCCAAATGTATTGTGATAGGGCTAGGGGGGTAGCCGATGGATGCGAACAGGATGGAATAGCCATAGAGGCAAAGCAGAGGCCGGCAAATATTTGAGTCTTACCCATGCTCTTTGTTGCAGGGCGATCACCCGTTGTCGCTTGCAACGCTACCTCCCTAGCCCAGCGCACAGTCATGGCTAACTGAGGGAGACCCATGAAGTGCTCGGAAGGAGGATTACCTAGGCGTCGTAGCGCAGTGGGACTGTTCCCTTCCCTCCCTAGTGTGAGTCGAGGGAGCTGGGGAGGTGGATGCGATGTGGGTGGTTGAAGTTGGTCCGTGTCGAGTGCCCACACACAGGGCCTGCATCATGATTCGGGCCAATGTGGTTCTTGGCATTAAATTGTTTGCATGAGGAGGCTAACTGGAGAGGGAGACGAACGTGGATAGATCAGCCATGATCCAGCTCTTTTCTGGGGTGAGCTCATTACTCGATGAGGCGTGCAGCTGAACTGCTACCAGAAACGGACACACGCCAAGGAAGATAAGAAATATTCATCCATCCATTCCTATGACAGCCAGCTGCGGCTGGTTGGCTGACTGGCTTGAATAGTCTGTCTTCTTGTCTCGTCTTAGCCTATCTCATTTCTAGACAAACGTCAATTGGTGCGTGTGTATGAGGAACAAACAACGATAAGACCGGCACTGCTGCCGGTGGTCAACTTGCTCCATATCATATCATACCTATCATATTATCCAACAGTCTTACTATACCTACATGTGTACACAGGCCGCGTGCCGTGGCTTTGAGGGTGTCTGTCGCAAAAGTAGATAATGGCGCAGGTGTGAAACATATTTGATCTGTCATCAGGTTAGTTTGCCTCTATTGTCCACATTATTAACTTCGTATCCATTTGAGCGCTAACGGCGCATAAGAGAAAGAGGCGATACGAAAGAGTGAGACAATCATATGTCATTCCTGGCTGTTCCAGGCCAACTTCTGTTGGGCTTCGATCCGATAGAGTGCGATGTGAGGTAGCATAGGGAAAGGGACTTGTTGACAACCGAGGAATAACACCCCTGAGCAACCCTAATTGACCGTCGACGGGCAAATGTCGTTGACGTATACGGGGATCATGGGTGTTGTGCAATAATAGCACATCCATGCCTGCTGCCCTGCTCTGCTACCAGGCTGCGCACGCACACATCTTGCTCAGCACCCATATTACGTGCATACAGCTGCCGGTGTACCATCACCTAGGTACCATGTATCATGGCTGAAGAGACTGCCGTTGCAGGCGACTCTGCCGAGGGAGTATCTTCATCCTGTTACATTTCGCCCTTGTACATACGGGCTGCATCCCCAACTGGCCGATCCACCTGATGATGGTGAGTGTATTTGCAGGACGCGGCTTCCATGCTCTGGCTCTGGCGCTTCCCGTCGCTTCGGACCAGCCCCCGTCGAAGCATGCAAGAAATCTCGAACCACATGCATGTAGTACAGGAGGCTTCGACACGCCGGCGGGCAGCCGTTGATGGCCCAGCCCGCACGTCCTGAGGGAGGTACATACATGGTCTAGTCATGTACATGCGTACTTACGTATGCCCCTAAAATGACTACTGCATACAGGTAGTAGAAATGCAACTTGGGGCTGGGCTCATGCAAGGAGCTGAAAGAGACCCTGAGACAGACCTCACAGCGGGCGGAACTGGCGTCGCGTGCGCCCGCAAACGAAGGGTGGCGCGACGCCGAGGCTCTGGGACGAGACATAACACCATCTGGTCTTTTCGGTGTTGTTTTATCTCCTTGTCATCATTGAGCGGTTGTTTTCTCCTTTGATTACACCAGGATCTCGATCCGGAGGATTCCGCCCCTTGTCTTGCCATAGCGAGGCGTGCCTCCGATCCGAATCAGGGCATTGATAAGAGACTGTGGCTGCAGCAAGACAACGCCGTGGCGGCGCCTTTTGGGCGAACGGTCGTATTATTGCCAGGTATACTCTTGCGCACTGCCGTTCCCCATTGACGCGTGTGTGCGAAGTACCCTTGAGCCGTACTAGAGGAATATTGTCTGGGGTTGTCCCCATGATTGCACCACGAGGAGAGCACAGGCACAAACAGTTAAGACCCAGAGTCTGGCATTTCTTGTGTCTCGTAGTCCAGGGTGGTTGAGGTTTGCGGAGGAGCGAGGGGGGGGGCTTGGCAGCATTGGGCATCGTGCAGCCGCCAACCTGTGCGTCTGTCCGCGAAGGGTATAAACCGGACTCCAGACCGTGATGTGGTGCGATGCGACGCGATGCGGTGCGCTGGATTCGACTTGGAATAATCTTACCTGTTGTCCTCTCATGCTGGGCCAGGTGGAACTATGGGGTAATCGAAATGTACCTACATCAATAGCGTGTCTGTCTGTATGTCTGGTGTTGGTGCTGCTACTGTGGTGATGTGATGGATCACATATGCCAATCCGCTTCCACACTCTTCCCCGTCCAGTGTAGCTTTGGAATGCGACGGGACTGGGGCCAGAGTAGGGTCCGCCCGCTAGCTAGCAATGACGCCAGTCTGTGATACTACGTATTAACTATGTGCCCCTCTTAGCTTGGTGATTGCCAGGAGGATGGAAGGGTGAATGGATGTGTGCGGAGGGAACACTTACCACCATCTCCGCGGACGCTGCTGCGAGAGAAAAAACAAACCCAAGACCTTCCTTGGCTTATTAGGGTGTGTGAGACATAGGACCTGTCATATTCGCAGCTGGTCGTTTTTGTCGTCCCAGCCAGCCACCAACGCTTCTCCCCAAAGACAGGACTATCGGATCCCAGTCAACAATTGCTGCCCAATCAGGAGTACCGGCGTGGGCTGCCATTCTTGGCAAGAGGCATGTTTTCTCATTCAGCGGGTTGCATGCCGTAAAGTTGCATTTCTGCCTGCACCATGCCGCCCGTGCATGGGGATTGATTAAAATGTACAAGAAAGATCTCTGCGGCACAGCGACGGACACAGCAAGGGGGAGCCTGGAGAGCAGCTCAGGTACCTCAAGTCGTTCCTGCCAACTGAGGAATTGATGCACTCAAATATTGTCCTGCTTGTTCCCGAGTCTGTACTGTTAACAAAAATCAGCAGCTGATACATTGTTCACCACCAATTGATGTTATTCTTGTATTGCCGTATTTATCTCTCTATTGCAGAAAGTGCTCTGCCCACAGCCGCTCTTCAATGTGGTGTTTCATTTCTTCTGTCCCCCAGCTCCCAGGGCGTGTCCTGCAGCTTGAAGGTATGTACATGTGTACTTCGGTACAGGGCTCGCTTATCTTTTTGGGACGTGCCTTATCTGAGTCTTGACCACTTGCGCGCGTAAATAGTTATGTCATCGCCAATCCCTAGCCAATCAGAAGCCCCCATGCACCTGCCTGGATGCGATGCAGGCAGAGCAGGTGCGAGGAATGCAGGAAAACATCATGTACGCAATTATCCTCCAGGTGAATGACATCTAGACATTGGCAGAGTTTTTTAATTCAGCGCTTGACTCAACCTGATTCAAGGAAGCGACTCAGACTAGCAAGAGCTAATCAGGCGCAGAGCCGTCCTGTTATCGGAGACCGCCGATCGATCGAGGGGCAAAAAAAGGCAGCCCAAGTGGCTGCAACGCTACCAATGGCTCGACCAGCTAACATAAGTGTCTCGTACTATGTATGTGGGAAAAGGGGAGGAGGGAAAAATATGCAAAAAAAAAAAACAACAACTTTCGCAGCAAGCATAAGACATTGTGCGTGAAGATGTACTGTGTAAGACGCCTCGGCTTCAGATAAGCGATCTGACGAGCATGTTTCATGGTCTGGGGATGTGCTAGTTCCTCAACAATCGCCCCTCCCCCTATCAGGACCCTCTTGGTTATCTATGTTTGCTTTTTTGCTTTAATAGCGCTGCCTTTGTTACGTAGATATGATGTATATGCATACCTAGGCCCAGGTACAGAGGCGACCAGACAGATAACGGGCGCCCAAAGTGAGGTATCGCAAGAGCTTGCGCCCAATGCAGCCGGAATATTGACTCTGGCACTCAGGCCTGGGCAACCAAGCCCGAGCCCAGCCCATACCCCGGCCCATTGGACCATCACAGGCAGAGACACGACAGAGGCACGGCGTGCTGTCTCTGACCCAAAAGCAGACCCAGGGCGAGGAACCAGACAGGCTGCCGGCGGGGCCAATGGCTCGCTGGGCGGAGCCGGACATGCAGGCTAAGGCAAGGCATGGGCGATTGCAGCCATCCACACCCCACCACCCACCCTCCACAGCAGGAGCTCTGCTGCAACATGGACATCCAGACTCTGGCCCAGGGAGGCCCAAGGCTAAGGGGCCCCTAGCTCTGAGGCTACGTCAGGGAGGTTCTGGGCCCCTCCAACCAATGCCAGCTATCCCGTACGGTGCATGTACGTGGGTGGGAACGGGCTGCCCAGAGAGGAGCCGACTTGCTCCGAAGCGCGGCCTTGGCCTGGCAGCGTGTTGGGCAGCGCTGGGCGCGGTCAGTGACAAAATGGGCCTGACGTCGCCGGCGGCCTCGAGGTACCTGCACAGTGTCGCAGTGTGCAGCATTCCAGGCGCCCGCTGAGCGCTGGCCAAACTGCAAGTGGCGGTCCAGCAGTGCACAGCAGAGCAAGCAGGCACAGCACCTGCTGTGCGCTCTAACCTCCGACGTAGGTACTGATTGAATTCCCCGCCGAGTTTCGGAGGGTGTCGGCACGGCCTGATCTTGAGCGCCATGGCACCATGAGGATAGATCAAACTGATAATAAAACCAAAAACCCAAGAATAACTAAAATAACAAGCGGCGATGGAGGCATGGGCCTTGCCAGTATCGGTGTCTAAAGCCAAGACCTCAGCTGGCAGCCATGCATGTCTATCAGTCACAGCAAGCGGGAGGGGCCCATGTCCAGCTCGCCGCCTCTGACTGGGCAGCGAGAGAAGAGAGACTCCGTTCTCGCCCAAGACACAGTCGACGTCCAAGACGCTCCATGCCACCACCCCACCAGCCTCTTGCAGTTCGGTGCACAGGCTGCAGCAGGCGGGAAAGGTACCTCCGTGCCCTGTCCGATGGCACTGAGCCCGCCCCAAGCCTGGTGCGGCGTGATTGGCTGGTCACGCTCTATCAGCAGCCGTGCCCCTCCACCACACCCTGGCCCCAGCCCCAGCCGGCCCCCCTGCTCGTGCATAATCCACTCTACCTTACCCTACAAGTTCTCTCCCACAGCCCACCAGGGAGGTACCGGACTACTTGCTCGCCCACACCCACCCACCGCGCATCATCCAACACCACCACCACCACCATCGCCTCCCCATCAACCCACAACTAACTTCTACCACCAACCCAACTCTTGCACCCCCCGGTTCGCCCCAAAAGCGCTGATCAGGACCTACTGTGACGCCGCCGTCTTCGTGCAGCTGTTCCTTGAAATTCAAATTTCCCTTGTTTAACTCTCCTGGTTTCCATTTTTTTCCACATCACCTCTCCTTCAACCTCCGGTCCTTACGCCTTTTTTTTTTTGTTGCAACACCCGCCTTTTTTTCCTTCTCGACTCTTCGCACACAAACAAGTCGCCCGCCATGTTGCAGTAAACTCACCCCGACTCTCGAGTCCGAAAGGCCCGCTGCGCGAGCCCGTCCTCAGCTTCCTCAGCATGTCGAAGCAAATCTCGACGACCTCTCCTTCTCGCTCAATTGCGTTATGATCGCCATGGAGTCCTCGCAACAACCACAACGTCCGCACCATAGGCGTCGGCCCTCTTCGCCGGCGCCGATTGCTCATACGCACCACCGTGCGAACCACCACCACCACCTTCATCGACCCTCGCAACCTCAACTATTCACCCATTTCCCACCTGCCGCGACATTGCAGCTGCGAACCTCGCACAATACCCCCGCTTCCTCGCCGGGCCTGTTCAGCCCCTCGACGCATCGCAATCCGCTTCTCCCCCCTCCGACCTCGCTCTCCGAGAGTACCTCTCCAGCCCCCGGCAACCACCCGTATCTGCACCCGCTGCAGACCTACAAAGTCAGAGAGTGAGTTTGCATTCTGACGCAGCCAAGAGCTGGATTATTCCCGCCCCTCATTTCCCTTGATAATCCCCTCCTCCGGTTGGGCCACGCTTATTTGCCGTGGCTGTTCCCCCACAACCAGGCTAGGTTGACCAACCAAATACACAAGTATAAGCATCTGGTGTGGTACGAGGTTACACATTTCAGACGACGAGGCTAACCGTGGGTTTTCCATTCATATAGGACGCACAAGGCGCTCATCGACTCCGACAACATCACGGGCCGCAAGCTTATCAATCAATATGAGGTCATTGAGGAGATTGGCCGTGGCATGCATGGCAAGGTCAAGCTTGCACGCAACCTCGAGACCCACGACAATGTGGCCATCAAAATCATCCCGCGCTTCTCCAAAAAGAGGCGGCTGGGTAAGGTGACGGCCAAATCGCCCCAGGACAAGACCAAACGCGAGATTGCCATTCTCAAGAAGATTCGTCACCCGAACGTGGTCGCCCTCCTCGAAGTCATTGACGACCCTGAGCTGAAGAAGATCTACATGGTGCTTGAACACGCTGAACTTGGCGAGGTCATCTGGCGCAAGAAGGGCTTGCCCCACATCTACCAGTACGAGCGCCGACGGATTGAGCGTGAGATGGCAGGCGAGCCTCGCACCGAGGAGGAGGAGCAGTATGACCAGATTCTGGAACAGCGCCAGGCCTTGAAAGAACACAAGCGTGCCCGAATGGCTCAGAATTACAACGCCCCTTCTGATTACTGGAGTGTCGAGTACGGCGCCGCCAACGAGCCCAGCAGCTACGGCCAACAGTCGCGAGTCACTTCCAGGGATGACTTCGCCAATGGAGATGGATCAGTGTCTCGGACCAGCTCTCGCCCACCATCACGCGGCCATTCCCAGGGCCCCTCGCGCTCCCATTCTGCTGCCTCAATGGGCATGAGCATGGCATTTTCCGACCTGGAGGAGGAGGTCAATTGGGACGACGAGCTCGAGACTCCGGGTCCCGTTCGTTCCAATCCCAACTCCAGCATAGCCCTCGACGGGGCCATGTTTAGCCAGTACTCGGAGGATAGACTGTATCGGGGTCGCCGGCCAAGTGTGGCTGATTCAATCATCTCTCACATGTCTTCGGTTGACTACTATGTCCAGAACCACGACGCCTTCACCGACGACTTCTCCTACGTTCCGTGTTTTACAATGGACCAAGCCCGGGCCACCTTCCGCGACACCGTGCTGGGTCTTGAGTACTTGCACTACCAAGGCGTCGTCCACAGGGACATCAAGCCCGCCAACCTGTTGTGGAGCAAGGATCATAGAGTTAAGATTTCCGATTTCGGTGTCTCGTATTTCGGCCGCCCTATCCGAGATGGCGAGCCGGACGATACCGTGTCCGAGTCTGAGGCGAAGGACTTCGATGATGATCTGGAGCTGGCAAAGACTGTTGGAACTCCAGCCTTCTTCGCTCCCGAAATTTGCTACACCGACATCAGCAAGGAGCAACCCAAGGTCTCTGAGCAGATCGATGTTTGGTCTCTTGGCGTGACCCTCTACTGTCTCATCTTCGCTCGCATTCCCTTCCTCGCCGAGGATGAGTTCCAAATGTTCAAGAAGATTGCGACGGAGGACGTATATATTCCACGCCGGCGATTGCTCCCTGTTGACCCATCCACCTCCCCTATGACCACATCTTTATATAATCGACATAGTACATACCCCTATCGCAACGACAATGATTTAGCTTATGAGGAGATTGACCCTCTCCTTCTCGACTTGCTTCGCCAGATGCTTATCAAGAATCCCGAGCAGCGGATTAGGCTTAGAGATATCAAGAGGCATCCTTGGGTCCTCCAGGGGCTTTCCAACCCCGTGGGATGGCTCGACGATACTGACCCGGGCAGGCCCTCTTCTGGCCGCAAGATCCAGGTCAACGAGCGCGATGTGTCTGACGCCGTCGTGCCCCTGACCTTCCTCGAGAGGGCTCGCTCCGCTGTCAAGAAGGCTGTTGGCAAGGTCATCCACCCTCTTGTCGAGCGAAGCGACAGCCGAACTCGGCATCGAGCCACAAGCAGCGTGGCAAGCTCATCTGGAGACACAAGCATGTTCAACGGCCCTCCTACCTCCCATCCGGGGGAAGGTCTAGGGCGCCGTCAGAGTCTAAAGCCCGATGACTACTTCGCTCTCGCCATCAAGGACAACTTAGCAGCACGAGAGAAGTCCTTCCTATCTGGGTCTGAGATTTATGATCCCATGGCAACTGTCCTCCCCCAAGAGGAGCAAAATAAGCCGGAGAGTGCGGAGCAATCGGACTCCAGCACCAAGCCGGTCCAGCTCCACAGCCGTACTCCCAGCAGGGCGGGGCTGCATATCAGGACCCGAGCTTCCCGTGTGTTTGAGTCCCTCACGACACCCACACTGGGATCTGACGGTGCCCGTGACAACGAATTTCGCGATGAGACGAGAAAGACAAGAGCATCTACACTGCCTGGCGACGATGCATCTCGTGCTCAGTCAGTAGATCGTGGTTTATTTGGTTCAATGGACAAGCACGCTGCTGCCCGGGTGGCAGTGAGCCCTACGACAGCTGGTGGAGACATTCAACGTCCAGCAACTCCATGCCACCCCCGTGCTATGCGGTCCGTCGACCTGGGACGAGCCAAGAAGCGCCAGAGCTACGCCTCACCTCTGGGGTCATCAATTCAAAATGCCGTCATTGCCGCCATTGAGAACGGCCAACCCCCAAGAGAGCTTGCGGCCCCTCGACCCGGATCTCGGAGACACACTCCTTCCAACTCTGAGTCGAACATAAGGGCCGGTTACCCCACTTCACGCTACATGGATGGACAGCTTTGGGGACTAAGAGCGACAAAATCCGACCCCGCCGCCATTCCTTGCCCCCCTTCGGATGAAGAGGATGGCCCTGCACGATCGGCCCCAATTCGGGGAAACACAATGACGACTGTCAAGTCTTCAAGCACCGATTCTCTAGACGGGCTAGAAACGCCCCTGACCTGCCCAAGTGAGGTGACCAGCCCAACTTCTACACAACCACCAACTAAGAATGGTTCAGAGCAAACATTAGCCTTCCAATCCGACCCATCGCTACCCGCTCTCCTCAGTGGCGCCAGTTCAGTCTCTGCTGACATGGAAGCCGAGCTGCTCAATGGGCCGGGTGTGGTGAGCACGAAGCCGTCTTTGCTTGAGACGACAGATTCGCTCACACCTCCAGCTCACACTAAAGAGCCTGCTGGTGGATTTCCATTGGATCAAGTGTTTGGTTATCCTTCAGCCATGGGGAGCGGGTCACTGACGCTCCGGGTTGATCACGCCCCAGACACGCATCAGAGCCTCAGCGACGATGACGATGATAGCGACGACGGCTTCCTCGTTATGGCCAAATCCAAGCGCAAGTCCACGCCAGTTGCCAGCCTCTCGCGCCGGGCACCTTTCGAAGCCAAGAGAAGGGATACCAACATCAGTACCACCAGTACAGAAACAGCTAAGCCTGGGCAAACTGAGCATACTCATACACATACTCATCAGTATTCAGCCAGTATGGATGGACCCTATTCCTAACAGGGACGGGCCTGCCATCACCACTGTAGAGGCGATGGGAAGCATTGCTTCAGCAAGCTTGAAGTCTCGCCCATCGTTGGGCTGAGCAATATACTCAAACTGCTATTTTCTTTTAATCTAGCTTACAGATGGCGGGTACATTTTCGATGATACCACATACACCACACGCACTGGGAACCGCTTTGACGCAACAATATTTCCAAGATGCATTTGATATTACTAGACTACAATTCCCCGATAGACATTTGTTATTTTACGGCAGGGAAATTCGTCCCGCCATGCTTGTTTTGGAGCGGCCTTTTGTCTTTTTACAGCATTTCATCGTTTCTGGGTTGCGGCAACCCAAACACATTGGCATTTTTTCAGAGCACAGACCATGAGATGTGCCAGTATGATCAATACGTCCTCCCTCAACACGATTATGACGGTATGATGCCTGCTAGTCAGGATGAAGTCACGGTCCACTCTGGAACACGCACATCTCTGCAAGTCATTAGCTGTCGAGACCTTGCCGTCGCCAAACACGCGACTGGCTCTTCGCTGCACATGAAGATTAGATGACGAACACCCTCGGTCTCTTCGACTCAATGCCTTATTGAGGTCTGGAACTGAACAGGGGGCAAGAACTCTGAACGCGCCGCTGTATCTATATTATACCAACCCCCCTCCCTCTCGAGCTGGGACAACAAACCGTCTGTTCCATGAGGATAATCCTTGGCTGGAGGGTGGACTCTCCCCCTCCCCGAGACAAGAGGAATGGTGTACCTCGGTACTGGGTTTTCTTTTTTCTATGTCCAATACGTTGATTTGTTGAGCTTTTTTCCGCACGGGCAGCATAGCATGGCACAGGTGAAGAATTTGGGAGTGAAATTTGGGAGGAATCAGGGGACACAGCAGGGACATGCCACCCCCCCAGACACATGCTTTTATGGATTATGCGCTTTTTGATTTGTCCTTCCGCTCGACTGGACTTGTACCCCCCGCTCTTGCTCTTCGTTTATCAGTTTTTGGGAATTATGGAGAGGCTGTACGTGGGGAGCGGATGGTACGAAGATGGGATTTGCCCCTTCTACCATCGCCGTATCCCCACATGATTTTATCGCGTGTGACACGGGTTCAAGTTGGTCAATGAGTTTTTGGTGTAATGGTGCGATGAAAGTTTGCTGGGTAGCAAGGTTCGATCTCCTACGGGAAGACGAGACGAGTATATATATGGAATGAAATATCGTAAACCCACTACTCGTGCATTTCTCTGTGATAGTGATAATCGTTGATGAACATAAGATTTCCTCTGCCTCCTTCTCCTTATGCTACTTGATCGTGGTAGGTTTTATCACCAAGCTACCTGTGTCAAGTAATGTTCTCAATTATTAATATATGTACATATCTATTCTTGAACCTTTCTATATATATGCTATCGCATGTAGTTAACGCGGCCACATGTGAAAGAAAATCCAGGTTTAGGGGGGCCGCACTGGTCAATTCTTTGCGATAATATGGTGGTCTGGCAAATTTCTAATGTCGAGAGACGGCGATAATATAGCTAGTAAAATGCTTCTGCCCCCTTTGATTACTCGGTTCCTGCTGATGAAAATCAACGTCACTTGGAGGACGCCGAGATGAAGTCTTTGACCGTATAGTACGACTGGGAAGCAACGATGCCAATGACGAAAGCTATGGCGACAATGAAGAGATTCAAAGCGAGGGGAAGCAAGAATGAGCGGTTGGGGGGAACCGAACGCATCTCGCTCACGATATCCTCCAGGTTCCGTGCCATTGCATCCCGGCTGAAGTTGTCCCTTACACGTTTTGCGCCTAGGTCACCAAGTATGTTGATCTTCTTATCGGGCATGTCAAGAGCCCGGATCATGACCTCCGTCCAGGCAGGCACATCGGCCGTGTCTCGCAACCAGCCAGTCTCGTTGTCAACGACAGTCTCGACAGGGCCGCCGGTAGTGGCGGCCAGGACCGGGGTGCGAGCGAGCATGGCCTCGAGAGGGACAATTCCAAAGTGTTCCTGAGAGGGGGTGTAGACAAGCAATCTCGCAGCTCGCAGGAGCTTGTCCTTGGTTGCGCCAGGAACTGATGGCAAGAATAAGACTCGAGAGTCTGGAGATGCGGTAGCGAGATCTTCTGAGGCTTTGATTGTCTGGTGGGAGATGGAGAGAGAGTCTGCTAGAGCTTGAAGCTCAGTGTGATATTTGACGTTTTCATCGATCCGGTGGTCATAGCCCCCTAATTATTCACACATTAAGTCTTGGAATGTCCTGAAGCGGTATTAGGACGGTGGCGATGTCATGACATACCTGCGATGACGAGGCGGACCTTCTGTCGTTTCTTGTCCGGGATTGCGGCAAATGCCTTGAGAGCAAGCGCAATGTCCTTTTTCCTCTCAAAGCGATTGATGCTTAGAATGATTTTGTCCCCTCCAAAGAGCTTCTCAGCCTCGACAGACGGTTCCTCGGTTGCACCTGTCTCAACACATGGGTAGACAACCTTCATGGGGCTGCTTTTCGCCAAACCTGGCCAAGTTTTGGCGACCACGCCCTTTGTGAAACGGCTGTTCACCGCGATGGCTTGCGCGAAGCCCATTGTGAACTCCTCCAGCCAGTCAAATGGTACACGGTAGAGTCGCTTGATGGTCTTCTCGCGGCCTTGTGCAAGGAGCATGTCGGGGAAGTGGCAGTAGAATAAAATAGGGCCAGAGGTGACGAAGTATTGTAGTAGGGGTAGGCCAGCGGAGAGCTGGTCGACGATGAGGGCATCGGGGTTGAGGTTGGTCAGCTCGCGGGTGTAATTGATTTGGAGCAACAGCTGGATGTGGCGGGCAATTGCGCAGAGGATCGTGAAACGATTGAAGATGGACATGGGAATTGGCCCAGAGGCGCGCACACGGACGTCGAGAATGCCTGTGAAGTGGTGTAACGGCGATTAGTGGGATGACCAGGGAAGCGGGGAGGGGCAAGGCGAGAAGCAGAGCGCTTCTTGGGCGAGGAACTGGAATATACCATCGGGTTTGCACTCATCAAAGCAGTGGTTTGGATCGCAATGGTTGGTGAAGATGACGACTTTGTGCCCACGCTCCTGAAGACCAACGGCGGCATCGACGACGAGGCGCTCAGCACCACCAATGCCCAGGTCGGGGTGGAAGAAGACGATGGTCCTCTTCCTTTCGCTCGGATCGGTCTTGGCGTCGGCGCCCTTCTCCTTGGCCTTCTGCTTCACTCCAACCTTCGCGACAGCTTTGCGCGCCATCGTGGATGCGAAGAAAGTGTGTGTGGTTGGAAAGGAGTAAGAGAAAGTGAGCTGAAGCTGAAGTGGGAGCTTGTAGCTTGTGATGCGATGGCCACCTTCCTCAAAAGCCAGATAAGATAACGCCCGAGATAAGGTGCCGCTGAGACACTTATTGACCTATTACGAGCAACCTTGCAACAAGAACCTCGAAGTCGTCTAGTTGGTTTATGGCGCCAGACTGTAATCGTTCGAAAGCATATCTGGATGTCAGCGGTTCGACTCCGCTCTTCGAGATTTTCTTTTTGATTTTTTTTGTCTGATCTCTACCTCGTACGTTACTTTTCGAATTAGGTATCTTGAATATTTCAATCATTGTTTTTACTAGGAAAGCAGGAAGTTTGACAAATTATAATTTACTCAATTTAGAAGAAGCGCCTATCCCTGAATACCTAATTTTTGGGAGCATCCTCCGATGAAGGAGTATGCTCTGAACCAACGGTAATTTCTGCTGGAGTAGCAGCCCCTGATGGGCGAGGAATCTCTGGCGGAGTAGCAACCTCTGACGGAGCTGCAGATTCCCCTGGAGAGCCGAGATGCTTTTTGAAGAAGGAAACGATGCGCCTGTGCCCATAGCCAGAGCAGCCACAACCATGATGCCCATCCGGAATGAACACCAACTCATAGTCCTTATCCTGCTCATTCAGAGCCTGCACAAGTCTCATGGTTCCTGCCGGGTTCACGTTGGTGTCCAGCCCCCCTACAACCAGCATCAGCTGCCCCTCTAGCTTCCCCGCATGGGTCAGATTGGAGTGGTCAATATACGACTGGTCGACCGGGTAGCCCATGCACGACTCCGCCCACGAGAGGTAGTCGATGCGGATGTCGTGGGATCCTGAGTCTGCTGCGGCAACCTTGTAGAAGTCGCCGTGGTGCAGTATCGCAGACACCGTGTTCGTCGCCCCGGCGGACGTGCCGACGATGCCGACGCGCGAGAGATCCATCCAGGGCCTGGTCTTTGCGGCCTCCTTCATCCAGAGAATGCGGTCAGGCAGCCCTGCGTCACTGAGGTTCTTGTAGCACACGTTGTGGAACGCCTTCGACCGCCAATTGGTACCCATCCCATCTATCTGCACGGTGATGGCGTTTACAAAGGTTGCCCAGCTGTACAGGCCCCCTCCCTGGCCAAAACGTTTGGGCGTGTAGAACTCGTGGGGTTTGGCGTAGATGTACTCGAGCACCGGGTATGTCTTGGTCTTGTCGAAATTTCGCGGCAGGGCGATGACGCCGTAGATGAGTGTCTTCCCATCCCGGCCCAGTGCTGAAAATCTCTCCAAAGGAACCCATCCCTTCTCCTTGAGATCCTCTGATTTGACTTCATTCAGCACCACCAGAAGCTCTCCAGTCTTGGCAGACCGTACGGTGGTTCGCGGCGGGAGGTCCACTCTTGAGGCCGTGTCGATGAAGAACCGCTTATCTGGGGACCAGTTCCAGAGGTGAGTTCCGTCGCCTTCCGTGACGGCCCAGCACTCAGTTCCATCAAAACGAACATGAACCAGGTGTATGTGGTAAGGATCTTCATCCTCGTTGAAACCATATGCGGATATCCAAAGTTCGCTGGTATCGTGGTCAATATGTTCCACCCTATTCACGTTCCAATTTCCGCTCGTGATTTGGTGCTGAATTTGGCCTTTCTCCAGATCAAGCATATAGAGGTGGTTATGCCCATCTCTTTCGCTGGCCCAAATCATCTTCTCGGAGCCGTCGACCTTGACGATTTGGTAGTAGAGCTTGGTCAGATAGTCGATGAATGTCTCGCTCTTCTCTTCTAGCAAGACACGGATTGATCCATCACAGCTGATAGCCAGAACACGCATACATTGATGTCCACGCTGATTGAATATGAAGCGGTACTCCCCATTCTCACCCCAACCGACATTATACAGATTATATTGGCCAGTAAACAAGTCGTCCTCTGTTGGTACCTCGGCCTTTGTGGTCAGGTTGAACAGTCGAGGTCGGTCTTCTCTTACACGATCACCGGCCTTTCTGAAAGCCCTTTCCTTGAGCTGCGGTACAACCTTGTCACCAGTTGCATAATTAAGCAGCCAAATCTTCTCGTCTGGAAATGGAGTGTGCTGCCATGCGATCACGAACTTTCCATCAGGCGACTTGAAGATCATTCGTTCGTCATAGGTAAGATCTTCTTCGGGGCTTTTCGGGGTGTTGTCTTCTTGACTGGCCCCCTCAGTATCATTCCCCTTGGCCGCATATCGAGGAGGATGGTCAGACAGCTGAAACCGGTTCTTATCTTCATCCTCCATCCATAGATTGTCATCGAGCACAAAGATTTCCCCTCCCTTGTCGTCTTTCTCCTCGGTCTCTGGGCGCTCCTCTGCCTGCTGATCAGTAGCAGGGTCATTCTCATCGTTCTCTTCAGCAGCTGTCTTATCCAAGTCCATCTCGTCCACAATGAGGATGTCCTGGCCCTTGGGGATGCGATAAATGATCTCAGCATCGTCGGGAGAGTCGCTCTTGAGCTTCCATATATGGCCAGGCTGTGACCTTTGGCGTTTGGTATCGCCTGGCCCTATGCCCCGGTAGAAGACGGATTTGCCATCGTAGTCGACCCAGTACATCTTCAAGTTGGCTCTTGTGTGGTTTGTGAAGCTAAAGTTGACGCTAGAGTTGGTCAATGTCTTGGATTCTATCATCTTGCGCAAGAACCCCCTCTTCCGGTGGGCAAACCTCCCATCCCATTCGCACAGGCCGGTCACAGGGTTGTACTCCCATTTTCGCCCCTGGTAGGTGAAATGAACAACACTGGTATCAGCTCCCACCTCAATCCACGTAAAAGGGAGAGACTCTGGATCAATCTCAGTCCCGGCATGCTCGGAAAGTTCCTTGGCCAGGGCCTCGTGGTCAAAAGCAGGCCCGGAGGCTTTCTGGAGGATGTCGACGTAGATGAAGGCATATTTCCCTGGCGAGGTACGCTGGCGATACCAGAACGAGTTGCCGTCGGGCAGCCACTGGGGAGCCACAAAGGTCTCCTGGAGACACTCTCCCTCGATCGAAATAGAGGACATATTGTCTCCTATTCTGCGCGAGTGTGCCGGTAGTCACGACAGGCAGATGGGGGGTTACAGGTTCATATAGACGGCGATATGCATGTGTATGTCACTGGTCGGTTGCACTGCATCGGACATACCTGACAGTTGCATTCATGAACTCTGGGGATGGCCCAGGTGGTGTTAGCTGGCTCCAGCATCAGCATGCACCCGACGACGGAGGCGACCGTGGGGCGGTGAGGCCACGGTTGATCCGCCCGAACGAGCCAAGCCATGGAGGAGGTCGCCACCAGCAGCTAATGTGGGTAGGGATCGCATGATGTGATGCTAATTTTGCATGTTATCTCAACGACGGATTTTAGTAAGCTATGCGACGGGAGCAGTTGAATTGCAACGGTTCAAAGCTCAGCTCTAGACCAGCAGACTTCACACCAAGGGAACGTTGTTATCGTTATCGCAGGGGCTTATCTTATCAGCACTGGACCTTACATAATCACACCGCTTTCGCAGCAACCCGGTCACATGCCACATGCGTGTCGGAGATGCTTCGCAATTGCAGTCGCAATCCCCCACTACGATGGGCAAGTATAGACTCGGCATCGTTGACAGATTGCAGAGCAAGATCTAAAGTGCAACCATGTTCCTGACATGAGTTGTGAAGGTTTAAGCCCCAGCCCATGGGTCAATTGCTCGGTATAGCAGCTACAACGGCGAATGCTGCTGATATGATATCATATCCCAGCTTATGCCGAGGCCCAGAGTAAACCTGCCGACAACACCAACAAGACATGCCGCCGTAACAACACTCCAAACCCAGACACAACCCTCGTCCTCCAACCTCACTCACCCTCCTCACCACCAGATCCTCATCACGACATAGACGCGCCAGATATCCACCACAATGGAGCCTCTCTTCACCATCCCCATCGCGGCCCTCCCGCCAAACCACCCCGGCGGCGAGATCGTCTGCACAGTCCCCCGTCCGCGCACCTACGTCCTCACCTTCTCCTCGCCCCCGGACAACCGCATGACCACCCCCTTCTGCCGCGCCCTCCTCTCCGCCCTCGACGTCCTCGAGTTCGGCGACCACGAGTCCGGCGTCGTCATCACCACCAGCGCCATCCCCAAGTTCTACAGCAACGGCCTCGACCTCGAGCACGCCGTCGCCACCGACGGCTTCTGGGCGCTGCTCTACGAAGTCTGGCGCCGCTTCCTAACGTGAGCCCCTTTTCCCCTCCTCATATTTCCTAAAAAAAGAGAAGGAACGCTGACCGAGGAATAGCTTCCCAATGCCCACCATAGCCCTCCTCAACGGGCACGCCTTCGCCGGCGGCCTCATGCTCGCCATGGCCCACGACTACCGCCTCGCCCCCCACCCCAAGGGCTTCCTCTGCGTCAACGAGCTCCTCTTCGGCGCGCCCCTCAAGCCCCCCATGGCCGCCATATTCCGCACCAAGCTGACACCCCAGGTCTACCGGAACCTCGTGCTCGAGGCGCGGAGGTTCACGGGGGCCGATGCCGTCGAGGCGGGCATCGCCGACGGGCTGGCCGACGAGGGGGTCGAGTCCGCCTTGAAATTCATCGACGCGCGGGGGATCGAGGATAAGGGGAAGACCGGGGTTTACGGGGTGATCAAGGCGGAGATGTACAAGGACCTGGTGCGGATGCTCAAGAGCCCCGGGCTGGAGGCCGAGGATGCGCGGTTCGACGCCGCGCAGGAGAACGAGAGGGAGAGGAAGGAGTTCGGCAAGGTCTGGTATGAGCAGTGGCAGAGGGAGAATCAGAAGGCCAAGCTGTAGTAGGGGGGTAAGAGTTGGAGTTTTAGCGGATGCTTGTGCTAACATGACGGATTTTACTCGAGTTTGTCTTAGATATGACCACGTTTTGTACTTCTCTCTGAGTGCATACTAGAAAAGAGACGAATCTTGTTTTAAAAAATTGGATAAAAATATATAATATATTCACCAGGTATCAAGGACATAAATCCCCGCCATTCATCTAAGGGTATATCGAAAGGAATGACTCTCGTCGTCGTCCACGGACGCTGAAGTAAAAAGCATCAACTCAACCAATGTGTATCTGCCCCCTGTGCATGTGTGTGCGAATGTGTATGCGCCTTTGTGTGTATGCCGCTGTATAAAACAAATGGGCCAAAAAAAAAAAGACCAAACTTCCAACGCCTGAAACCTGTTGCGCAGCGATGCTCCCCCTGTTGTACCCCTCTTCGTACCATCATCTCTTTCGCGACCAAGAATGTTGTTGAAAATCAAAAATAAACGGGGGTATCAAATGAAGACACCAAGTCCTTCTTTCGCCTCGAACCGTCCCCGGCCCCGTATGCTTTGTACTCGCTTTCTATGTTCCAAGTGGCCCGCAATCCAAACAAGTTCCCTTCGCTGAATATCTGATAAAAAAGGGAAGAGAAAAAAGAGACATGAATGAAGGAAAGATAAAAAAGAACACCGAATAATCAAATGCGTGAAGATGAGGAATCATCACTCCTCCATCACTGTTGGTTCAACCGCAACTCCGTTTACCCACCCGTCTCGCGCTGCCGCAGCATCCTTCTCCGCCTGGATCGCTTTCTCTCTCATCTGCTCCACTTCCTCTCGTTTGACTAGCTTCCTCAGAGCTTCGCTGGCCTGCATCAGACTGTCGATACTGATCGCATGCTCCGTCATGTGGTGGTTGATATACGTGTACACGCCTGCTGGCGTCTGGCGCTGCAGGAGATTTCCCTCGTTGAGTTTAAGTAGGGCGAGGGCAACTTGGAACAGGAACGTGCTACCGTCGTGAGTACATAGGACGACATCCCAAACACGGAACAGTGCCTCGGCGCACAGGCAGTCGGTGAAGACGGAGAGGAACCACTGGAAGGTCAGAGCCTCAAGTTCAATAGACAGGGTATCCAAGTGTGCCGACAGCTTGGGAAGCACTGTTGAGACGTATTGTCGCAGCACCTGCTGGTCAGCCCTCGACGACATGAGCGAGTGGTCGTAATACCCCTGGGGAAGGATCTTCTCAATGACGGAGGCGAGGACCCAGAACGCGTCCTCTGCGGAAGGCATGATGAGGAGAAGATTGGCCGCGATGAGATTCATGCCTTGGCAGTACCCGACGTCCTTATTCCGGCGCGCGTACGCCACCAAAACCTCCCTCAACTTCTTGACGCCTGGACCCTTGCGGAAGAAGATGTTGTCCGTGAGTGTGCGATTGATGTCCATCTCGATTTGGCTGATGACAACCGGGTCGTCATCCTCGCTCTTCTGAGCCACTAGATCCTCGTAGTAGCCAGGGATCCGCATCGAGGCAGCCCCAGAACACTCGGACCAGATCTTGGAGCGGTATGCGACTGGGATCCCACCGAGGACGAGATTCTTGAATTCGTTCCACTTGGCTCGGCCGACCTTGCCCTTGTTTCCAAGGTTCGAGATCCCAATCATTTCGCCATCAGCGACCCGTGTCTCCGGGAGAATCATCGTCGGTCTCTCGTACCGGGCTTCCGCAACTGCATTGGCGGCCGCGATCGCTGCTTCCTCCTCGCGACGCCGCTCGGCCCTGACCTTGCGCAAGAAGTCGTTCCACCGAGGCATCTTCTCTCTCTGCAGCGCATCGTGAACATCGCTCAGCTGCTGGAGGAGAAGCTTGACGGGCTCTCTGTCCTCCTTGAGCACCAGCTCGGGAATCACCTCAGGCTGGGATGGTGGCGTCGTCGTTCCATTGTCCACCGCCGTGGTTGTGCTCGCCGCAGGGACAAGGCCAGAGTCGGTGGGTGTAATAGCTGGTGATTTGAGAGGTCCATTCAGCTGCGATTCAGAGGCCGCTGCGTCTGTTCCTTCGAGAACCTCCAGTGATGCGGCTCCGGTGCTGGGGGTATGGCTAAGAAGCTCGGTCGGGAAGGTGGCAATCTTCAGGTAATCCTGCCACCTCTTGTTGGACTTGCCCTCGTCTATACTTTTGCTGTCTTCCTGGCTGATCGGGCTATCTGCCCGGCTTCCGCTCGATACGCTTCGCATAGTAGGAGGCATGTCGTCAATCAGATTAGGAGAGATTCCAGAGCGGCCGTTGAGCATCATTTCCGGGCGACTGCCCTTGCGGACGTGCCTGGCCATCTGCGCCGCCTCTCGTTGGCGCTTTTTCCGTCGCTGATCATAGATGAAGCCGAACCGATCCGTCAAATACTCGCTGTTATCATAGTTCTTGTAGATGTGTGTCAGAGTCGGAGGTTGCGACTCGGGAGATCGGATGGCGTCCATTTCCACCGGCCCGTAGCTCTCCTGTCGCGACGCCGAGTTTCCTGGGGACGTGCCAACCATAGAATCCCACATGTCTGCCGCTTGCGCTCGTGATGCCGCCGCCTGTGCCTGCGGGACGGGCGTAGCGGATCGACGCATGGCCATCAGCGCCTTAGGTCCTCCAGCCACAGAGACAGTTCGCGCAGATCGAGCCGTCTTGTTGCTCGAGGCAGACGCACCGCGCAGAGAATCGGCGCGCGTAGAATTACTGACCGCACGGCCTCTCGACTCTGCAGCAGCTTCCCTGCCGCTGATGGCACCCCCCGCAACCAGCCGCAGAGCCATACTGGCGAACGAGTTGGATGGCTTCCTGTCGGTGTTGTTGGCCGAGTAGAATGAAGCCCTGCTAGCGCTCCGTGGTATCTCAGCTGCGTCTGGCGGCTTGAAAAGGTCGTCCTGGAGAATCGGCCGCCTCTCCAAGCTCGAGTGGGAGCGAACCATTGTTGACGAATTGACGCCCTCGCTGAGAAAGCTGCTGCCCCGGTTCGATTTCTTAGTCGTGCCGGTGCCCCAGAAGTACTCCTTCCAGCCCCTCGTGGTCCCCTTGCCGCTGCTTTCCGCCGGCTTGCAGTCTTTCTGATCGTTATTGCTGGCATTGTTGCCATTCTGGTTACTTGCTCGAATAGTCGTTGATTTCTTGTAATCCCCATCCTCGTCGTGCGAACGCCGCGTCATTGAATCCTGCATCGCATCGGTCATCATGTCGCTCAGCCCCGTGTTGACCCAATTCCTCGTCCGGCCGTTCTTTCTGAGCTCGTCCTCGACCGTGCGCAGCCTCGTCTCCAGCTCCAGATTCGACAGCCCGCATTCTCGGATAATCCTCCGAAGCGCCATCTCGCGCTCGTCCGCCCGCCTCCTCAACAACGAGATTTGCCCGTCTCGCTGGGCAAGGTCCTCGGCAAGCTGCCTCACCAACCCCACGGCGCCGTGTCTCGCCACCAGCCGCTCGATGTGCGCATTGTCGGCCTGGTGCAGCGCGCCGGGCGCCTTGGCCAGCGGAGCATCCTCGAAGAGGGCGTCCCTCGCAGCCCTCGGTTCGGTCAAGCTGTCGACAATGGAGCCGCTTCTAGCACCTCGGGTGTCGGCGGAGCGATCTCGGATGGTTGCCGTCTTGAACCGGTCCTCGTCGAATCGCTCGGTGACGGGGGACTCTGGGGAGAAGCTGGGGAAGCTGGTCAGGGACTTGTCGCTGGGGGCGACGCTGCTGGCCGAGCTGCTGGGCTGGCTGAGGCGCTTGCGGGCTTTGGAGGCTCGGACGGTGGTGCTGCGGTGGGAGGTGATGGACCGATGACTCTGCTGGGATTGGGACCGCTCCAGTCCCGCAACCGAGTCCATCGTGGGATCTGGCCTCTCGGTCTCTTCCTTGCTCACTGGATGCGCACCCAGGTATGAACCGTATAGCTATTCAACCCGACGGGGCGCGTGTATGTTGAGTGAGAGAGGGAGGGAAGGGAAGCTCTCGCAGGGTAGGTTGGTGCTGCTGAGTCAACTCGATGGCATTGCTTGTAGGTTGAACATCAGGCACAGCTGCTGGGAGGGATAAAGTGAGTCGGGAGGGTCTGGCGATGGGCATTCCCTTGGGATCGGGGCATGGGCTGGAAGGTAGCGATTGATGACGAGATAGAATGTGGCGCGTGCGCACGGTTTCTCGTTCGGTTATTGTGGACTGTGTGTTTGGTGTGCCGTCGGTAGGCGTTTTTGAGTGTGGTCAGGTACCTCGTCGGTGGGCGGCAGTCGGTGGACGGCGACCTGCAGCGTGTCGTCGATGCAAACAAGCTGGCGTTGGGCGGGCAATGGCGACGGATGGAAAGACGTGGAAAACTCTGCGAGACACGCTCAGGAACGAAGCCTGGATCAAGGGGTCGGAGACAAGTGTCAGAGCAGCTCGCGACGCTGGAGGAACGACTGGCATGTCGGCAATGAGAGATGTGGATGAGGTGGAATCCGCCACAGCTGCCTGGGGATATGTACCTCTAGTGGGCTACCCTAGGTCAATACCAGCTAAATGGATTCATGCGCTGTCACTGACACGGCTGATTGCCTTATGCAGGGCCCGCTTCAGGGTTTGGGAGAGTTGGAGGGGTCCTTTAGGCTTGGTGCCCTGAGATGGGGGGGACCTGAACGGTACCTGTCCGCCCACGCAAAGACTGTGCCGCACCAAAGTACCCAGCTCGTATCGCGATCCATAAATACCCAACTGAAGAGTGTGGGCGGGCCGCTAATTAGCAGCACATCCATTCAATTAACGCGCCCTGAATGATGAGCAGCGTGCGTCTCCCAGCCCTTTGGTTCCTCCAGAATATATATAGAACGCGAGATTTATTTTTTTATTTTTTAAAAATCAAGGAGGGCATCGACTGCTACTCTGCCCCCCTTTGCGAGACCACCACCAATCTGAGGTCGAGGGGTAAAGAGAGACTAGGGCTCAGCCAGAGGGGCCACGGTACATTTGGCCACCTCAGCCACAAACTGCTTCTACCCAAGTATCTTCAAGGACAAATTCATGCTATCCAGGAACAGGCATGAGGGATGACGAAAGACTGAGGTCGGTCGCACAGAGATGACGCGAACACCATCTCATATGTAGGGTTGCATGGAGATACACACAGCCTTCTCCTGAAGACACCAGTATCTGACCGGAAAAAAGGGTAAGATGGTAAAAAAGGGGTAGCCCGTAACCCCTTTCCCGTCTCATCTTCATCTCATCAAACCAACAATCCAGTGTGCCCTCCCTCATGACAAAACAAGCCGCTAAAATGGGACCTGACTCGCCGGTGCCTGAGATAGGCCTCGGTTCACGTGGCGATGCCTGCACATCAGATCAGGTCAGACACAGCCAGAAGGGCCAATTTCGCCTTGTGGAGGAGCTGTGGATCCATCCCGTCGCGGGAAGACGAGAAGTTCCCGCCCAGCGCAGCCTGGAAAGGAAACAAAGGGCGGCGGCCGAATCAGGGGTCATGCCCTTCGTGTGTCAAGACGTGTCTTGAAACAAAAACCTGGGTCGTACCCACGGGATCACGGGCAGGACGCATGAACTAGACAGATCGCTTCCACGATGCTGCAGTCGTGTCGTGTTTCTCCCTGCTTCCATCGCCGCGTCACTCTATGCCATTGTAAGCAGCTCTGCCCCTCCATCCCACTCTGCGGGGACGAGCCCTCCTGTAATCTTTCCGTGTTCTCTGGGCAGTGGGAGCATCATATGTGCACGACTTCTTCCTCCACCATTTTCCTACAATCGCCCTTATGATCCATTGAAGCTCGTTATTCACCAAGTTTCTGGCAAGATATCTATGAACTGTTCCCTCCAAGATGTAATAGGTGTTTGTAGGTAAGCACTAATTGGGCATACATCCTACATGGATATCTACATGCACAGCCATTCAAGGCATACACCAAAAAGGTATACAACCAAGTAAAAGGCCAAACCGCACTCTATCCCCTCTCCTTCTCATCATGTCTAAAACGTATCCTATCCTTGGATTTATTCGCCATCGATTATATTTCCCGTGAAAACCATGTTTGTCTACGACTCCCTCGACAGCCATGGCGGCGCAGCACACGCCATCCGGCTCTTGACCATACTGCCATCCAGCGTGGGCGGCCCCATTGAATGCCGGCTCGCCTCCCACAGGATATCCGTGGATGAGAGGTCCAGAGCTTGTGGCGGAATTGACATTTTTGAGCTGTCTCGCACAATAGGTAGACTGCCTAGATACGAGGCCCTTTCCTATGTATGGGGGAGTATCCATGAGAAGGCTGATATCACCGTTAATGGCCAGCCCCATCGCGTCACAAAACGGTTGGAGGCTGCGCTGAGGGATCTGAGGAACCAAGATGAGGAGAGGACGATGTGGATCGATGCGTTGTGCATTGATCAGGAGAACGCGCCGGAGAAGAGCGTACAGATTCTTCTAATGAACAGGATATACGAGGCCGCCCATCGGGTTATAGCTTGGCTCGGTCCCAGCAGTCCAGTCGGAGACTTGGCGGTGGAAATTGTGAAGCAGGTCGGCGGTTCCGATGATGTTCTCACGAGGGGGTTCGATGACGGCGTGAGCCCGATACGGATGATCCCAAAGGTGCTGGATGACGCTCCGTCGCTGAGCAGCATCGTCTTTGAGAACGGGGACAGATGGGCAGCTCTAAGATGGGTTTTGGAGAATCCCTGGTGGAAGCGAGCTTGGATCATCCAGGAAGGGACCCATGCGGATGATCTGAGGTTCCAAGTAGGGCGAGAGACCTTTGGGGTGGACAGCCTGACAAATATCATCAGCAGCCGGGACTATCGTGTGGCCGATTACGGGGAGCTCGATATGCAGGCTCTATGCCAGCCTCTGGCTGCACTCATGCACGAACGGAGTCTCCGACGAAACGATGATTTCCACACGGGGTTCCGACAGTCAGCGTCTCTGATGAGCTTGCTCTCCAGGTTCGACTATAGCGAGTCCAGCGACCCGAGAGACAAGATCTATGCCCTTCTAAACTTGTGCGACTTGGATCAGCTAGACATCACGCCTGACTATTCAAGGTCGGTGCAGCAGGTTTACCAGGACACCGCGATGGCAATCATACAGAAGGAAAAATCACTCAACGTCCTTAACGACGTACGTCGTTCGATGAAAGCTTCGAGCGTATCAGCAAGCCTCCCTTCTTGGGTACCAGATTTCTCCGTGCCTGCAGCTATAAGCCCCGTTGTATTGCTACCAAGCCAACGGGCTGGCTCCTTTCGTGCTGCAGGCGATACGGAAGCCGACTACACGTATACGGATGAAAATGGTGGCCCGTTGGGGCAACTGCAGGTTTCGGGATATAAGTTTGACCTCATAACGGAAACCTTTGCTTATCCACCGCAAGAATCCTTTCAAGACGACTCATGGGCGAGCATTGTCCGTGAGTGGGCTTTAACCGCGCGTCATGGTGCCTATCCCACGGGTGGGAGCTATGAAGACGCGATCTGCCGTACACTTCTCCAAGATCGAATACGTTCTGCCAAGGAGCGGATCACTGACGATGATTTTGCGCGACTGAAGAGGTCCTTCTCTGCTTGGGTTCACGATGAGAACATGAACGTTCCGGCTCTGAAGGAAGGAAACAAGGCGAAAGGCTCTTCTGACGATCATGCAGAGGAGCCTCAGGCTCTCGAAGAACGTTGGAAACGATCAGTCTATAGTTCCATCACCGCGGGTAAAGATAGTTCAGAGTTCAAGAAGTTCCTGATTCAAAAATGGGAGAGGGAGGACACTCGCCGCCAGGAACGCGCCGAGCTGGCCGAGAGATTCTTAGAGCGCTCTTTTCTTGATCACGTTAAGCCTCGGTTAATGGGCTGGAAAATGGCATATTCGGCAAAAGGCTATGTGGCTTTGGTCCCTTTTGATTCCCAGGTGGGAGATATGCTAGCTGTGTTCGCAGGTTTAAGCGTTCCGGTGGTGGTTCGCAGGCTGGAGCCAGCGGAGGACATGTTTCTCGGTAGCTGCTATATACACGGGATGATGGACGGTGATGCGCGGGTCATAGAAGGCCTAAAGGAGAAGAGCGAAGTATTTGCGTTGATTTGAGTTAAATGAGAAGTTTAAGCCTGAAAGATAGCGACGTTTAGTTGCATCTCACAATAGTGCAAGTCCCAACCAACCCGAAAATCCATGGATTATTTCTGCGCGGACAACTCACAAGCAATACTTGAGTACCTATCCAAGTCAAGAGGGACGTGACGACCATAATGTCGTTGCCACTGCCGCTGCAGGGGCCGGTGGGAATGTAAACACGGTTTCTGGTGCCCTTTATATGGCCTAATTGCTCCGCCTGAGTTAGTAATCTGAAATGTTCTCATTCCAGCCGTGATGTAGGAAAATTACTCTCATTTCTCCAGCCTATTTTGGACTTAGTCTTGCTGCTCCCTCGATGGTGTTGGTATTCTCACGCTTGCTATACGGCGTGTTACTTCAAGACGCCGCCCTCAGCTCCAACCTAGAAACGTAGGCCTGGTATTCGTAAAAAGGCGACGATAGCTGGATTAATATACAGAATAACGTGCTAAATTTTATATTTCTATAGTTTATTTCGGTGTCTGGTAACTGCCCTTTCATGTCGGATGCAACATGGTCAGCCTCAGGTGTCACGTTCTATTTTCAACCACTAAGACATGTGGGATAGAAACAAGTTCATCTCCTCGACGGGACGGCAATTTCACAAGCATTCAAGGCATGGCTATGGCCATACTTACCTTGGCATAGCGAGGCAATCAATCTCATGCAAACACGAGATCAAGCAAAGTGACAACGTGATATCTGCATCAGGCAGAAGACAGACGTTTGTCCGGATATCGCGGATGGCATACAACAGCACACACAACTCCTCACCTTCTTCATTAAGTTACGATGGTCAATTACCACCCGAAGCGAAGCATCTCGTTTACGCAATCCGACATCGGGAAACAGAGCCCATGGGGTGAGGAGCCTAACAACCTGGGGCTCGCCTCGCTTCTCCACGGGGAGGCGAGACCACCCCATGCAGCCAATACTGCCTCCTACGCCTTGGTTTGGTGATCAACAAGGTTTCAAGGTACATACCGTTCCGCACGCTGGGGTGAAGGCGCGGAATGGGAAGTAAGCCGCGGCTGCCCGGTACCCCAGAATCCACCATAGAAGGTTAAGCCGAGGCGTCAACGGTGTCGAGATGCGCAGATGAGGTGCTGCGGAGGTGGGAGAGTGGTGTGAGGAGGGCGTGGAGAGGCTGACAGGTCGCAAGCTTGTACGTAATACGAGCGTATCGTCAATCTGGGGAGATGGAGAAGGAGACAGCGAGGAAGTGAAGCGGCCTCCAGACAAGGCCAAGAAGAAACGGTAGCCAGGCACCGAGGCGCCGAGACTTGGCGCCCGGGCCTTGGCTGCAGCCGCAAAAGACCCCGGACCAGCCGTCCCGAGCAGCTCAACCGGAGACTGGCATTAGGTAAAATGGACCGACTTTTAGGTAAAGAAATCCACCCGAGACGGATCCGCGGCATGAAAAGTGATGAGCAACGGCAATAAGCAGTTTCTGAGAGATTGAGTCAGCAGACGAAGTTTTTTTCCTCCCGTCCCAGGTAAGTGTGTGGTGAATTGTGGCAGTGTCGCCATGTCGAAGACTGCTTGATAAACTCCAACGAGAGACCCGAAGAGGCGAGGAGAAAACTCCGAACCGCGAATTGGATGGCAGCGGCTCATTAGAGAGAAACATGGTTGGTGGAGCTCCCGCAGGCAATCTCAAAACAGCTAGAAGTGCTGGTGACATCCTCCATGGAGACAAGCGGGAGGCGACAAACCCAAGCCTCCTACGTCTCGAGAGAAAACTCTGATAGGTAGAAGCAGCGTGGAAGCCTCATGGAACACGCCAAGATCCACATTAATCGACCCAACTCTCCACTCCCGTGTTCAAAAACTGCCTCCCAGGTACCATTCACGGCTTTGTGCTTTGGGCACGAGCCAAGGGTCAGACGGCCGAAGAGGTTTCCTGGACCCTGTAATACTTTGCCCGTTATTTTCTCATCCGACTTCGGCCTGGTTTCCCCATGTAATATAAAGGCTCAATGCAAATGGAACCGCTATATAGAGTTCTGTTGCTCCCAAAGTAGGGTGAACGTAAAAACCCTTCTCTACCCTCTTGTTCTTCTCCTTCCCATTAGATTCTTCTCGGTGTCTGACCCTTGTTTGTCAAGTTTGGGCAGGACATAGAAGTAAAAGATTCTCCGTGGGGAAGAAGAAAAAACGACATGGCTCCCCGCAATAACGACGATGCCATCACGGCAGCGGAGAGAAAGGAAACCAAGAAGCAGGCCAGCACCATGCTGATAGATGCCGCCGCCGACAGGGAACTTGCGGCTGGGGAAGTCACCGAATGGGAGAAGCAGAAGATCCTCGCCGGCAATGCCAAATTCCACCAGCTCGGATGGCACCGTCTTGCCTTGATCCTGATTGTCGAGGCCGTTGCGCTCGGCGCCCTCTCGCTCCCTTACTGCTTCTCCATCTTGGGCATGTTCGCGGGCACCGTCGTCTCCGTCTTCTTCGGCTTCCTCGCCATCTACGCCGGACACAACGTCGGTGCTCTCAAAGTCAAGTATCCTGAGATCAAGAGCTACGCCGATGCGGGGCGGGTGATGTTTGGCCGCTGGGGCTACGAGATTGTCTACGCCATCTTTTTCCTCGAGCTCATCTTCGTCTCCGGTTCGCATTGTTTGACAGGCACAATTGCCTTCAAGGATTTGACCAACAATGGCGCCTGCAGTCTGGTGTTTGGCATCGTATCCGCCATCATCCTCTTCCTCGTGTCAGTCCCTCCCTCGTTCGCTGAGATGACCATCCTCGGCTACATCGATTTCATCTCCATAATCGCCGCCATCGGTATCACAATAATCGCTACCGGCGTCCAGGCGTCCGAGTCAGTGGGAGGAATGAGCTCCATCAACTGGTCCTGGAAGCCCAAGGACGGAGTGACTGCCCACGAGGTTTTCGTCGCCGTTGTCAACATCATCCTCGCATACACCTTCACTCTGTGCCAGTTTTCCTTCATGGACGAGATGCATACCCCGACCGACTATTCCAAGGGCGTCTGGACAGCTGGAATTATCGAGATCTTCATCTATACCCTCACCGGCACCCTCGTCTACGCTTTCGTCGGCGTCGACGTTGAGTCACCTGCCCTGCTCTCCGGCGGACCCCTCATCAGCAAGATCGCGTTTGGTGTTGCGCTCCCCGTCATTTTCATCAGTGGTGCCATCATCACCCAGACGGCTGCACGACTCATCCACGGCCGCATCTATGCGAACCGCGTAGAGCGATATGTCAACACGACGCGCGGCTGGATCACCTGGCTCCTGACTGTTCTGATCATCGTCCTTGTCGGCTGGGTCATCGCAGAGGCAATTCCCTTTTTCAGCAACTTGGTCGCCTTGATCTCGAGTCTGTTCAACTCTGGCTTTGCGCTCTACCTACCCGGACTCATGTGGTTCACCCTGTTGCGCGAAGGCCCACTTCTGAGCCGCAAGAACTTGGTGCCCCTGTTTATTAACGGATTCATGATTGCGGCTGGCATGGTCGTTTTGGTTGGTGGAACGTGGGCTTCCATCAAGAGCATCGTAAGTATACCATGTCACCTCTCTGTCTCATTCCCCTCTTTCCCCTCCAAAGTGAGACAATTCCGAATAGCGTGCTAATCATTGTCATTCCCAGGTCGATGACTATAATGCGGGAACTGTCGGGGGGTCGTTCACATGCTCGTAAAGCTGAAGATTGTGTTGCAGGATAGAAGTGGACTTTGTAGCATTAGCGAATCATCTCAAAATAATAATACTCCAATAGCGAATTTTGTCCTTGTTACATGTTTCATGATGAGTTCAGTTGGTGCCCAGCTGCGTACAAAGGAGTGTGGGCTTCGATGTCCTCGAGCCAGCCTATCACAGTTAAGGGCGGAAGACAGAGTCAAGCTTGACAGTGGTGGGAGCGAGTGATGGGTGAGTTCCAATGAGTTCCAAGGATGAGAGCAAAATATGGGGCGGGGCACTTGCTCCAGCTCCATGGAGGGTCAAAACTCAAGGCTAACAGGGGGAGCTGCAAAAGAGAGCACACGACCAGCGAGCTGAGCTAAGGCAGTCAGTCATCAGCGCGTCCTGGACCAATGGACAGGGCAAGGAAAACATTGCTTTTTTCTTGAGCGCTGCCCAATTTGGTTCAGAAGACCAAACAGAGGGGGCAAAGGTCGCTGGAAAAGCGCTGATGGTGGTATCTGGCGGGACGCGTCTGCGTGGGCTCGAGCGATGACGACGACGGCGACGACGACGTGACAGGTCGTATCTAGACGGCTCTGGAATGAGGCGGCGACAGGCACCGTAAGACTGTGTGTGTGCATACCACAGCTCGCTGGCCGTGGACGAGAGCATGCTGGTAGCTATTCTGAGCTCGCCTGGCAAGACGGCCACGTGCCCCCGAGGACACACCTCCAGCTGCTAATCATAGGCTGGCACTCAGCACCGTAAGTTGAGCGATAGCGTCGCATTCGAGTCCTGCAGCTTTGTCGGGTGCGACCCTGACCGCCAGGAAGACGAAAACCTGGCGGCTGCCGAGTGACGGGCTTGATGGCCTGCATAAACGACCGCCTATAGCAAGCTGCCGGCAATAGCAGCACAGTGGAGGTAAGCCGTCGGGAATGTTTCGCTGCTGCAAACAACCTCGAACCCCAGATGATGCGATGTGTGCGTGAGATGGGGGTGGCTGCCTGAATCGTGAGGCCACCACGCTGCCCCTCCAAACCCCGCTGTCTGCCTTATGTGTTTCCTGCTTCAAACATCAGATGTCAGTTGAACTCCGTAGATCGCCAAACATCCCCGCCAGTCTGTCTTTCTTTTAACTCGAGCCAAATCGAGTCCGCGATACCCTCCTCCCAGCGCGCCCTTTGTTTGTCCGTCGCTACGTTCCAGGCACACATCATCTGTCCTTCTATCCATCATGGTCGGTGCTCCCCCCCCGCAGCCCATTGTTCTCTCCGTCATGCTTGTTTCCTGTCCTCTGCCTTACGCAGCTCCCTTGTCCCATTCCAGCCCTTTTTTGCAGCCGCATTTTTTTTGGCCGCCAAGTTACCCCTCCCCCACCAACAAAAAATCAGACCGTCGCCGTGCCCGCCATCATGAGGGCCTCGAACAATGGAAGCCAACATCACCACCAGCTAAATGCGTTGCTAACATTCTCGTCGCCATAGTCTGGACTTACCCAGCAAGAAATCGACGACTACAAGGAGGCTTTCCAGCTCTTCGTAAGATAACCCCCCACCTTACTATAGCTTCATGCCTCGTGTGAGACCATCCGCTAAGATCTCGCCTTCCGTGAACAATAGGACAAGGATGGCGATGGTTAGTACCAAGTTCCCACCTACCAACACCCCCTACGCGACCTCGATCGTCCATACGCACACGCGTTCGCCGCCGTCACCCGAGGTCTCCAACTCGAGGCGAACTGAACATTAGCCGAATTGACGTCCCCCAACAACACCATATTAACGATGCCGTGTCTTAGGTGAGATCACCACCGCCGAGATCGGCGAGATCATGAAGTCTCTCGGCCTTAACCCCTCCGAGGACGAGCTCGAGGATATCCTGAACGAGGTCGACGTCGACAAGAACGGCTCCGTCGACTTCAATGGTTTGTTCCCAGCTCCCTCCCAGCGCCCTTCCCAGCGCCCTTCCCAGCGCCCTTCCCAGCGCCCTTCCCAGCGCCCTTCCCAGCGCCCTTCCCAGCGCCCTTCCTTCCCAGCGCCCTTCCCAGCGCCCTTCCCAGACCTGTCAGGCTGACCGCAAGCGATAGAGTTCGTCGCCATGATGTCGCGAAAGCACCAGAGCGCCGACCCCGACCAGGAGCTCCGCGACGCCTTCAACGTCTTTGACCGCGACGGCACTGGCACCATCTCCCGCGACGAGCTCCGCAACGTCATGAAGTCCATTGGCGAGCACCTCACAGAGGAAGAGCTCGACGAGATGCTCAAGCTCGCCGACGAGAACGGCGACGGACAGATCGACTGTAAGTCGTCCTCCTTCCACTATCTACCTCCCCAGACATGGCTAACCAAGCTTCCTCCGCCAGACGAGGAGTTCGTCAAGATCATGGGCCACGGCGGCGGCCATTGAGTCGGTCTTGTCACACACTGAGTTTTGATGGATTTTTCTCGTCCTGCCATTACCCCCCACCTCGCAAATCCCCCTCCCGCCCCGTTTTTATTTTCTCTATTTATTTCCTGGATGAAGCGCAAGGAATGAAGATATGATTTCCATTTATTCTGGATTATTACCGTATGGCATTGCTGGTTAGGCTATAGCGAACGGGCTCGTTAATAAAACTCGCCAACATGATCATCAAAACATTTCACCTTGAAACTACAAATACAAAAAAGGAACGAAAACGAAGTCCCAAACTGAAACAAAAAAAAATCAAAGGATATGTGGAAAGGACATCCCCCGCACTTACTTCCTAACCACCCTATGAGAGCCACACACAGATAATTATGAGACGATGATATGAGCATGAATGAGCATTTATTATTCATAAAACATCAAGCCAATTCTCCCGGCAATATCCCCCCATTTTGGTTTTACTCGTACATGCCCCGTTGTTCCCAAAAGCGAAAAAAAAAAAGCGCCTGGCCTTGTAAACCGAAATCCAAATCCCTATTGCTTCTCAGGCGATCCTTTCGCCTCCATCCTTCTCCGCCTGAGTCCAAATCCGGACAATGTCAATGCCACACAAAACCAATGAACAACCCTTTCCAGGGAAGAACAACCGTGAAAGAGAAGAAAAACAAAACAGCATGTAACCAATAACTCCAAAGCCCTTATGTACGTACGCCGCTCAATGCATCATTAAGTGTGAAGAAGAAACAAAATCGTGAGGCGAGGCCAGTTTGCCTCTCCAAATTCCTCCTTGCGAGTAAGAAGTGTGCGTCCAGGTATACAGTCTACATCCAAACGGCCCATGCCTATATTCAGGCCTTCACAGGCTCCTCCACAGACTCTACTTCCTGCGCTGGCGCGTTGCCCTCGTCAAGAGATGGAAGCAGACCCTCGGAGAGCAGAGTCTGGAGGACCGCGTCCTTTTGTAGAACGGTTTGCCTCTCGACGGGGAGCCCATCCAGCGTTCGAAGCTTTCTGCAGCTCGTTGTGAACACTACCTGGTGCAGCCGACGGCGAAGCTTGGTTGTTTCGTCCAGACGCCCAGCGTACAGCTCATCCCTCGCTGTGTCGCCGTCTGGGAGGACAAAGGGATCCACAGGCCCCTTGCGTTCCTTACACACAAGGACCTGTATCGGGGCGTAGAATCCCAGTGTCACCGGGTTATCTCTGACATCAAGCTGTCGCAGATGAGGGAAATCTGTCAACAGCTCTGTCACTACGGTCGAGTCTGCCAGTCTGTTGCCAGCACAGAGCAGCTTCTTCAGCCGGGGGATGAACTTCAACGGGGCCAAATTGGCGATAGCGTTGAAGTTGAGGTTAAGGGTGCGCAGATTCGGCATAAGTTGGCCGAGTTTCTCAGGCAGAGTTTGAAGTCCGCAATTCGCCAGTTCGAGGAGTTGCAAATTCAAGAAATCTACACAGGGCTCGAATGCGCCCAGGAAGTTTCCAGACAGGAACAACTTTCGGACTTCATATGCAGCTGCGAGAAAGCTCAAATCTAGGGTTCCGTTACCACGCTGTTCTCGAAGGGAGAGACTATCTAGCCGTCGGCACTTGCTGAAGCCACTCAGGCTGGTTAGAAGGTTTCGATCGGCGTAGAGGCTCTGCAGAGAAGGCAGATTGCCAACATCAAGGCTGGTCAGATCATTGTCGCTCACGTCCAGCTGTCGCAACCCCCCAATGCAACTCGAGAAGTTCAGAGTCTCGAGTTGATTTTTACCGAGCTTCAATCGGACGAGTGACGGCAGAAGCTCAATCTTTCGAATCGAGCGGAGTTTGTTGCCCGTCAAGTCGAGATCTGTCAGCCGCTCGAGTCTAAGTGTCGTGAAGTCGATCTCCTCGATAAGATTATCTCGGGCCGTTAATGAGAGTAGACCATCATGGCAATCAAGATCATCCAGTGAAGTCAGCTGGTTGTTGTCAGCCTTGACGCTTCGAAGATGAACGAGATTCTTCAAAGCCGACAGACTCTTGATCTCGTTGCCAGATACATCAACGTATTGCAGATTCCACAGATGGTTCCAGGAGGTAAGCTCAGTGAGCATATTCTGTGAGACTTTCAATTGTCTCACAGTAGATGGCACTCCGTCCAGATGAGCAAGTGTGTTTCCAGAAGCATCAAGAGTCACCACCTTGCCGCAGAACTCATCCAGCATATGTAGGCTGCCAAGATTTTTCCCGCTGAGGTTGAGATCTGCAAGGTCTTCCCAGTATGGCTCATGTGGCTCAACCTGGCTAAGCTTGTCCACGAGGTTACGTATCGACATGGTCAAGACCTTCTTAGCACCATCCCCAGTTTCCATGTGCCGTCGTCCCATCACATAACTGACTTCGAATCCAAAGGACTGGTCGGAATTATTGACCGTAAACTCAGAAAGTGGACTCAGAGACAGCTTTCCGACATTTTGCCCAATAATGGCGCTATCATCGGCAAGAAAGGAAAGGGCTTGATTCCCGGGAGTATGGTTCATAATGAAACTCAGACTGGTACGGCGTGCATTGGGTGTCTTATGGCTGACCATATTGGTCTCTCCAATCACGCTGAGCTGCTGATCATGAAAAGGCAGTTCGACGGTACTATCCTCGTCCTGCTCGTCAATCCGAGACACTGGTCGAGGAACAAATTCGGGATCACCATCAGAAAGCTGGCGGGGTGGCATTCGGGCAGTTCCGCGGCCATTTGCCTGCGCTGGATGCTTCATGGCTGACTTGTTCATGGATTTTTGCCCCTGAGCTCGGATCGCCGCGGCGGTCGCTTTGTGATCCAACGCCACCGGGGTATCCTCGTCGTCCTCGTCGTCCTGGCTATCCCGCTCCTCAGAATATGCCTCGTGGATGAATGATGCTACCGGTGATGAAAAGGAAATCGTCATATGGCGGCGGTTCGCAGCCTGAGATTCAGGCTGTGTTTCTTGGCTGTCAGCCACTGGAGGAGGCAGCTCTTCGCTGAGCCCCAGGTCTGAGCCGGAGTGGCTGTTGATGCTGACGCTTCGAAGTTGGCGTGATGCCGCAAGAGAGCCATTTGGCGACAGGTGGCCATCAGGTGAGAAAGTCATAAATGCCCTGGCCGGAGGGCCATTTGCGAGTGGACTGCTTGGTGATTCACAAACTTCAATGTTCAGAGCTCCCTCTCCCTTGCGGGTTGTCGCTAGCCGAAGGTTCTGCAATTCCTTGGTCAAATCGACTGAGAGATCTGGGATGCTGGCAAACGGATCGTCCTCGCTGCTATCCGATGGCAAGACGTTGGCTTCTTGCTCTCGAGTCCCATCTTTACTCTTAAACCATGTGTTGCTGGTCTTGTCCAATCGCATGCTCCCAACCTTGTCTGGAATGAGGTGGGAGACACTCTCAGGCATGATTGTTCTTCGTGACTCGGAGCCTCTTGACGACGCAGTAGGATATGAGCGGTGCGTGCCGCGGCCCGAAGAATCAGAAGGGAATTCCCTTGTGGGACTAGCCGTCGCAGCGGCCATCGCTGGGTTCATGGTGATGCGGATGTTGGGAATGTCGCTAATGACGTTTTCACCATCTGTAGCCATTGGGCTTCTGAGCCAGCCATTAGCTCTCTCCAGGGATGACTTCCCACTCGGTCGATCAGCAGTAGAATCCTCAAGGACGAAACCCATAGAACGCAGAGAGGATAGCACATCCCCCATATCGCTGATTTCCTGGTATTTTTTCAGCCTATTGAGAAGCTCGGGATCATCGTGACGGAGTGGTGTTCTAGAGACAGCGGGCTTCCCCTCGCGGCTGGGAGGACGCGAGAAAGGTTCTGTTGTCGATTCTGAGCGCACATCATCTGATGGGGCCGGGCTTGATTCCCTAGCAAACTCTGCTTCAGACTCTTCCAAACTAGAGAGCCCATGGGGCCGCACTTGGTTTCGAATCATGGCCATGATCTGTGCTGCCTGGTCAACGAAATCTTGCGTTCTAATTGAAGGCTTCCTGTCAGTAGCCAGAGACTCCTCAGCCTGTAAGCTTCCGTCTTTCCAGTGGGTGGGATTCGGCGCCGTCTTTGGTCTGAGAACAGATTCTTCGCCAACAACCTCACCCAGCGGGGCCCTTCCACTGGAAATTCGCGGCCTCAAAATTGGGCGTGTAGCTAGAACTCGGGGATCAGCCAGCTCAAATACGCTGTGTAGAGCTTCCTGGTTACGTTCGCCTTGGCTTGGTTGTCGCTGGCTCGGGCCAAGGTCAATGCCAGCAAGATTTTCTCGCCCAAAAGCAATATCTGATCGATGAAGAGTTCTCCTGCGTTTGGGTGTGGGGTCCTTCACTGGGGATGTCCTTGGCCGCTTGCCTTCAGAGTCAACATCCCGCTTTGGACTGCCGAGATTCTCCAAAGTCAATTGTGGGTGAGTGGCAGGTTGTCGTCTCTGGCTAGATGTGGAGGTGACCCGCGAGTGTGTGCCAGCTGAGACTGACCTGGATTTATCCCGTCTCCGTCGAACGATAATCTCTGAGCCATCGTCAGGCGATGACTCGCGCAAGCCTTGAGAGGTATATGATGGCCGTGATGGGAATGGCTTAGGAGAGATGTTCTCCTTGTTCGAAACTCCTGTTTCGTTGCCCAAAGTAAACTCGTAATCTTTTAATGTGCCAGCTCCAAATTCGCTAATCAAATGAGATTCATCCAGTGGTGGCAAGTCTGGGGAACCCGGAGATCTTGGGTATTCGTCGTCCTGATCAAAGGAGAGCTGTCTCTCGAGTAACGGGGCGGGACTGATTGAGTTCTTGGATGGCGTGGCCGAGGTGCCCTCCTCAAATTGGCTGATGCGCCGAAGCAGTGTTTGGTTGGTAAATGTGTCATAGGGACCGAAGAGCTTAAGTGGGCTTCCGCTAGAGTTCGCTGGTCGATTGGGAGCCTTTTCAGGGCTTGGAAATGGTGCCCGTGGTATCGAAGGACTGGCCCCAAAGCCACGATTAAAGTTCATTGTATCGTTTCGAATCGTCGGGAACTG